CCCCCCCCCTTCCCCCTTCCCCACCGTCGTCGTAGTCCGCGCATCATATCCCGCCCGCCGCCTGCACTCCCTTCCGCCTCCGCCACTCCGCAACGCCACGATCCACCTCGGCGGCCGTGACGCCGTCCGGCACCATGACGAAGACGGCGCCCAGCTCGCGCTCGACGTTCCGATTCCGCGCCTCGTCGTCGAAGAACAGCATGTCCTCAAAGGGTAGGTCACGTCCCTGTTTCCGCAGCGCGGCCTGGATCTTGCGGAAATGCGTCGTCTTGCTGCCTGGAAACATTTGCGGGGCGGTGAAGAAATCTGCGGCGCGGAGGATCGAGGTCTGCTTCGACGTGTCTAGATGTTCGTAGCTGTTGAGCTGCTGGTCTTCCGGCGGTGATGATGGGAGGGGCGGGACGTGCAGGCCGCGCAGCATGACGGCGGCGAGGTCTGGCGCGTGGGTGCGCGACGCGACGCTGAGGGTGAGGCCGCGGGCGCGGGCGGCGGCGAGGACGGTGGGGACTTGGTCGTAGAAGGAGAAGTGTTCGCCGGTGCGGTCGATCATGGATCTGGTGTAGGGCTCCGCGTGGGCGCTGCCGGCTATCTTCTCGCCGCCGCTGTTGCGGGAGGACGAGGCGGGTTTGAGGGGACCCGTGCAGTGTGTGTCGACCCAGAAGGGCCAGAGGGTGTAGTCGAGGTCGAAGACGAGGACGGGAGGCAGGGGGAGGCCGTCGGTGAAGGTGGTGGGGATGGGGAGTGGTTGGGAGGGTGTGGTGGCGACGGCGGGGATGCGGGAACGGGGCATCTTGACGAGGGTGGTGTTGATGGCGAGAGGGATTAGGTATAGGAGATTGCGTGGGAAGAGTAGGAGGAGGGAGGAGAGGGGAGAGAGGGCAGGTATGAGCATATAAGAGTGTCGCACGACAGTGTAGGACGAAAAAGTTCAAAGAGGCAATGTGCTTTTGCGGACTGCGAACCGCCGAATATTGGGGATGGGGATTTTGGGAACCGATGATGTCAATTGGGGGGGGGTGGCAGCCTTGGGGGATTTTTGAGGCGAGGCTGTACTTTTAGGAGATGAGCTCGACGAGTCCTTGTGTGAAGAGCGTGTGATATTGTTTGGGACTTTGGTACTCTACACCGATGTGATTACGGTAGCGAGCGTTGTGGCTGACATGCTGTCGCCATGTTCGAACCCGTCTTCGATATGTAAGGTCGGCCAGTAATTCTGAAGAAGGCGCAGAACGTACCTGATCGAAAACCAAGCTTCTTCTACACGCGCAAGGATTAGAAGCATCACTATGCCTCTGGTGGTGTGTTTCCCTACCTTTGTAGGAGCAATCCCACAGGTCTCAACCAATTGACTTTTCTGTGTCGCCTTGTTTGTGCCTGAAAGGTAGTGTCGTACACAATCGCACTGCCTGAGCACTCTGAGCACTACTTCTGGGATCTCATTCCGAGATCCTTCTCTTCAGACGTTGGCTTCAAGGATGGGCTGGCAGAAAAAAGGGTTAAGTAGTCGCAACATGGTTGAGATCCAATGGCGCGTAGTACCATGTCCAGGATTTGGAACCAAACAATCCAAGATGTGTTGTGATTGACGGATTCGGAGGGTCTCCACTGCACATTGAGGAAGTAGATACAACCCGTGGGAAATTCAGGTTCGTCCGACCCGCGATTGTTCCTCAATGAGATTTGCGCAATGTGCGAACTTACGGTGGGTTCGTCGGGGGTCGAGAAAATTGGTGGGCGGCCTCCTCGAACTCCCAGCAGACGCCCTCGGGTGATATTCGTCGTGAGCACGCGAGTTCGCTCGTCATAATTATTGACCCTTATTGAGCCACGTTTCTCGTTCGTGTCAGGGCTGAAAAGTGATTCGGGTTGCTTTAAGCTGGCGAATTGCTGCAGACAAGGTTCAAGCTACCCCGGAAAGACGATGCGAACCCCTCATCTATGTGCTTCTCTTCACAAACTCCTCCGATATCGATTCATTTCTGGGCATGTACGAGAGGCGCCTTACCTGCGGCATTGAGATACTGGGGAACGTGTAAGAGCAACTCTTTCGATGCCGCCGTTTCCTCATAGACACGTGCACACCATGGGTAGGCCGGTCTACTCGCAGTCGTATACTGCTATGAGCCAGATACGAGGCAACGCTTCAGCTTGGCACTTGCATATACGAGCATGCCGCAGGCCCTCGCCTGACTGACCTGTCGGCTGTGTCGTGTGCCGAACATCGATCCCATCGAGTCCAACTCAATTCGCCAGCGTTCCGGCTTCTCAGAGCAGGGAGCTCCTGGCCGCGTGGCTTCAGCCTCAGCCTGGGGAATGGCTAAGGCATTGTCAGCTAAGCCACTGCTTTGCCCGGTACGACGATTTGCAACCTGTATAACTTCTCTATATATATTCAAACCCAGCACTAGACAGATGATCAACCTCCATTCTTGTGTTCGAACTCGACTCCAGGCATCTTTCTCACCGATATCATCTGTTAGTGACAATCTACCCTGTACTCCGCCATGGCCAAACCTTACAACTCCGTCGAAGAGCAGCGGCAAGCCGTCCCTATCGCTCGTTTTGTGACTTCTCAATCACCAAATGGCGCTCTACTTGTCATGAACGTCTTCATCAAGCCGGACAAGCTTCATGACTACGTCAAGATCGTAACGCCGGTCGTGCATAAGATCCGCGAGATGTCGGAATGCCAATTCTGCGAAATCAGCACTCATCCGGAAGACAAGGGGCATGTCAGGATTGTGCATAGCTGGACCAAAGACAGCGCCTGGTTCAAGGAAGTATGTCACGTAATGCTCGAGCATGCGGGTCAACGTCATCTGAAGCTAACTTTGTCTCTATAGAACGTGGAGCCGACGGTATGGTTTGGAGAGTATATCAAGGCACTCGCCCCTATGCGCGATCCCAATCGAGCTCGTAAGAACTTCTGCCCCCCTGGTGGCGGCTTGATGTCCATAGATGGGGGTACCCTGTCCAAAGCCTCAAAACTGACGCTCGTCAACACTTCAGGTATTATTGAGCATTTCGATCGAGTTCTCATATGAGGGATTGTGTCAAAGAACAGTCGGAAGACAATTGTCGCGAAACCGGGCATTGAAGCGTTGGAAGCGTGGTTTTCGAAAAGTGAAACGGTGGCTCAGTAGTTGTTATTCTCTTACATGTCCCTACTTCCGTTAGCTTCACGACCTGCAAGCACGTTCGTTTTGAGTAAATGACACAAGCGCATTGGACTGGTGCCAAGAAGAGGCGGCTTCAACCACCACGAGTATTGATTGGCTGCTCAGCAGGCCGACGCCTCCTTTCGGGCTACGCCTCTGCAGACCCCAGCGTCTAGACAAGCATTACCACATGCTCTTTCCAGGGGCGTAGCGTGGATACTATCCGGCGCAGGCGGTGCCATGCTTTTGGGTCGACGTGACAGCTAGTCGGCATGTTTCAATACATTCTCTCTTGAGCACGCCATCAAGGTGGGACTCACCGTCATTGAGTCCTCGCTGCCATCCCACGCACGATAATGCTGGGACGCTGCTGACTGGCTCATATCTGCCCACGCAATGTCAACCAGAGTCTCGACCTCCCGAGGAGGCTCTAGATTCGTCGAATATAGCCGGGACCTGCTACTCAGTAAGCCACCCTATCGAGTACGATGACTGAAAATCTCAATTTTCGACATCATATTCGGGTACGATTCAACCCCTTCCCAGGGTATTCAGAGCTACATAAGTACCGGGCTAATGTCTACTGTCAACACTGCTGTCTCGTTGGGACCTCGTTCTCTCGGTACCTCGACCCTACAACGTGACTATGTCTTCAATCCCACGCAAGAAATGGTGGAAGATCCAATGGTATTCCGATGATGACACGCCCGAAGAGCGCAGATTTCTCGTCAAGCTCGATCTCATCGTTGTGCCATACGCAGTTCTAGCATACTGGGTCAAGTACATCGACCAGTCCAATCTCAGTAAGACCGACCGATACAAGCTGTCCGTACTCCGTTTGCTAACGGCCTAGACAATGCATACGTTGCAGGTCTGAAAGAAGACCTGGGGTTTCATGGCAACCAACTGGTGCAGCTGCAGACATTCTACATCATTGGCGCTGTCACTGGCCAGATACCGTTCATGTTTCTGTTCACCTATATCCCCATGTACTGGACGATCCCGTTTCTCGATATCATGTGGGGAGTCTTCACATTACTGCAGTACCGCACACAGACTTTCGCGGAGCTTGCTGCTTATCGTTTCTTGGTGGGATGGTTCGAGGTACGTCAACTTGCCATTTGAGCAATTTCTCGCTAACTGAAGGTAAGGCTGCGTTCTTTCCAGCTATGCACTACGTTTTCGGTAAGTGATGGGATGAATGTGCATCAGAGCGTCACTGAAAGGTCCAGGATCGTGGTATCGAGGCCACGAAATCGCCCGACGAGGAGGCATCTTCTACACTGGCCTCTCTCTTGGTACATTGACTGCTGGCTTGATCCAAGCCGGTGCCTCACAGAGACTTGATGGTGTCCACGGGCTTGCTGGATGGCGCTGGATGTACATTATTTGTGCTCTGATAACCATCCCTGTGGGGATCCTTGGCTATTTCATGCTCCCTGGAACCATTGATCAACCCAACCGCTGGATCCTGAACGAGAAAGATGTCGAGATCGGCCGCAGACGTCTGGAGCGGGCAGGTCACGTCACACACGGCAAGTTCAAGGTCGGGAACCTTCGCAACATCGTCACGAAACCGCAATTCTGGACGGTTATCCTCGTCGACGTCCTCTTCTGGCAAGCCGGCACACACGCCAGCACCGGTGGCTTTCTTCTTTGGATCAAAAGCCTGCAAAGATACTCGAAAGCTCGCATCAACGAGCTCGGCACCATAGCGCCTGCCTTGGGCGTTTTCTACACGCTCTTCGCCTGCTTCGCATCCGACCTTGTCATGGGCCCTGCATGGGCAATCACTATGGCCTCGACCTGGAACGCCACAGGCCTGCTGATCCTCACTATATGGAACGTCCCAGAATCGGCCAAGTGGTTCGCCTTCTCGACCGCATACGCTTGCAACGCGTTATCCAGTGTGTTCCACGGCTGGGTCAATAATCTGCTCAAGGACAATCCTGCCGAGCGAGCCTTCACGCTGGTCCTCATCAACGCCATCTCGCAGTCGTCGACCGCCTGGACTCCGCTGCTGGTCTTTCCCACCGTGGAAGCGCCGCGGTATCCCAAAGGCTGGCCATATTGCTTCGCTTGCGCCCTCGCACTGATTGTGGCGACGTGGGCTCTGTATTGGTACCTGCAACGCACAAAGTATGGATCGTCGCCCCGTTTCTCTGCAAAGGATATCGTTAACAAATGGCTTTTAGGGTTCACAAGGCGCTCTTGGAGCCGGGGAGCCCAGCATCAACGCCGGAGGCCTCTGTGCTTGAACAAGGAAAGGTTGTTGAAGTGTCCCTGGCGCCTGCGGCGGACGAGCAGGAAGGACTCACCAAAGGTGTCGATTGATTACTTGATGGAACCGTGCATAGAAGTTTGCGGCTTCTGGCACCAAGCCAGCAGAGGAATACTGATCGCCACGTACGGGTGAGTGAGGGCCGGGGATGTATCGCCTCCACTAGAATTGGTACATCTGGAGGGCAGCAGCCATCATCTGCGACCTGTTTCAATGTGCAGAATATACACTTGAGGAGGGCCACCGGCGTTCATTCGTTATTCAGAACAGTCAAATTAGAAATCACTCAGCGTAAGATGGCCATCGGCTTTGCTCTACTTCTCCGGTAGCTTACCTCCCCGCCATCTCTGCGCCCACGTCCCCATCACTTCTCTTCCCAGCTGCGTAATACAGCGCTTGGATGTCTATCTTCCACTGGTGTAGCGCCATCTTCGATCTGACCGTTCTCCTGTCGTAGCTCATCAGACCGTTGACCTCACCCTCGACATCTGTGGTCTGCGTCCAGACCGCGCCACTGCACGCGTCCTTCTCCACCTGGTCCCGCAGCATCCTCAGGAACTTGTGGGATTTCTCGTTCCAGGTGCGGAAGTCATCGTAGACCGCGTACGTCTCGTCGATGCTCGCGATGGCTCTGGCGTCGTTCCAGAGGCTGCTCGATTGTGGTTAGCCCAATATTTTTTGCGTAACGGAAAAAGAGGGGGGGGGGATGAGGCGCACTTCTCGATGCTGAGGTTGGTCCCGAGACCGCCAAACTCGCTCTGGAAGCCGATGCGCTTCGGGTCATACGCCTTGGAAATGCCTTGCGCCAGGTTTGCGGTACCACATTCGGGGCTGGGGTAGTGGTGGTTGGACGAGAAATCGCCTGCACCGTGGTCGTGCCAACCGGAGGTCGAATCGATCAGACGCGTAGGATCGGTGCGTCTGACGGTTTCGGTGTGGGCGATCTCTGGAGAACCGTCACGCTGGCCCCAGCCTTCGTTGTAGATGGTCTGCACCCGTCAATACTTGCTAGAATCTGGAGGCTTTCCTGCTGCTTACCCAGGTGACGATACTTGGGTAGCTTAAGTGCTGTTGCACCATCTCCTCCAGCTGACGGCCAAACTCGGCTTCGTCCTCATCACTCGGCTGGACGTTATGCGCAGGGCGCATAGAAGGCATGTCTTGAACGACCATAATGCCGAGAACATCACATGCTTGGTAGTACAGAGCGTTTTCAACTTTCATGTGCTTGCGTACCATGTTGAAGCCGTACTCTTTGAGGAGCTCAAGGTCGTAGAGCATGGCCTCTCGGGTGGGAGGGGTATATATTCCGTCAGGCCAATAGCCTTGGTCGAGTGTGCCCATTTGAAAGACGAATTTGCCATTTAGTAGTGGACGCTGAACGCCGTTTACCTTTCCAACCTCGATCGTACGGAATCCCATGTAGCTAGTTACAAAATCATCGCCGTACTTGATTGTGATGTCGTACAACTCTGGAGAGTCTGGGGACCAGAGACGGGGATTTGGTAGATACAAGGTGTGTTCGGTGTTCGGGATACCCGTGCGGGCGATTTGCTTAGGGCCATCCTTGTAGATGGTAAGGAGGTAAGGGCTTGAGCTGTTGTCGTTGGTGGAGACTTTCACAGTGACTGCAATGGTCAGCGATGGTCGGTCGATCGATCAAAAGGGAGTGCCAACCTTTGCCATCCATCGCACCATACACGTCGAGCCGGGTGATGTAGCTTTGGGGTACGGATTCAAGCCAAACACTCTGCCAAATGCCACTACATGGTGTGTAAAAGATGTGCGATGGATTTCGGGTCTGCTTGCCGATTGGGACATTGTAGCCCTCTGCATCGGTAGGGTCGTGGACGTAGACAGCTCTACCGTCTGTTAGCACATCTTGCAACGGGGTCGTTAAGACCTACAGCTCATGGTCGTTGCCGGCCTCCACAAAATTCGTAATATCCAGGGTGAAGCTTGTGTAGCCACCCCGGTGGACACCCACCATAGCGCTGTCGATATAAATGGTAGCTTCATAGTCTACAGCACCGAAGTTGAGCAGTACACGGTCTGACCAGTGTCCAGGCATCTGGAACTTGAGGGAATACCACGAATACCTGGCGTCCTTGGCTTGAATACCTGAGCGAGGGTCAGCTCTGCGGTTATCTTGATTAATGCCTCTTAGCTGATGCTAACCTGAAAGCCCGCTCTCGAGGCATGAAGGAACAAGCACCTCCTGATCGAGGTTTTCCCATGTAGGTACCATGCCAGTGAATGCATCATTTCCGCGGGCATCCATATACCTCCAGATGCCATTCAAATTCTTCCACTCGTGTCGCCGAAGCTGAGGTCGCGGGTACTCTGGCCAAGGTCTCGTGCCGACCTCAGAAGTCCAAGGTGTATCGAGAGGAGGCTTTTTGACAAAGTATTTGCCCAAACCACTTTGAATGTCCTGAGCATGTACCTGTAGAACGCCCAAGGCGGCGACCGCCCAGTATGATATGACTTGCATCGAAAATGCGTAGTTTGCATGATTGAGCAGGGTGTAGTGTGCGATCACTGTGTCTAAATACTCAACCAGAAAACAAAACCACGAGTTGGTCAGGTCCACACCACCATGAACAACATCTGGTAGGAGGTGGATATCAACCATCACAACAACAGCACCGGCAGGGCACCCATCGCTGACTGAAGCCAGTAACACTGACCACCTGGGACAGCGTGCTGTACGCTTCCAGCAGAACCACCTGTTTCGAGGTCTCTGTGCACAGACGAGAGGCTTATTCGCAGTCAGACTGGGCAGAGTTGCAGTAAAGCGATCAGCGCAAGATGATGGTCTCCAAGACATGGGCAACCTGTCTGAGGAGGATCATGAACCTCAGGCAGGAGCGCCAGCACTTCGAGTTCCGGGGAAGCTTGAGCCTTTTTTTGAGTTGCTGATGTGCCCAGTTGAGCACCACGCCTCGCCGCTGCCCAAGGGTGCCCTCACAACACGCAGAAGGGAAATTAATAACATATTCGGTCAATTTTTCAGTCCAAGCACGACCACGTTTCAGTGTGTTAGTGATTACCATTGGTAGAGACAGGCAGGAACTCGCCATGTGACATTGCATATGGGTCGCATCATATGGGTCGCATCATATGGAACAAGATGATGCTGGGATGGAGGACGAAAAGATGTCACATTGCCGGACGAGTTTCTGACAACATCAGGTGATAGGAGTTAGGGACAGTTATCCTGGCCAGCAGGGTCCGACGAAAGTGCTGGGAGGGCTCCCCAATCTCACAAACGAGTCACACCCAAAGGCCTCTGTTGTGATTCAGAGATCCCTCCCGTTAACTTGTTGATTCCTGGTGGGCTTCGCGTAGCCTTCTATTTTGGGAGTAGGCACGCGCTGGAAGCGCGTCAACTATCGCCTGAAGATCGCCCGCGACGTGCTGTGCAGACCAAAATGAGAGAACAGGGAATAGATACAACAGGTGCTCATTGTGCTGTAGTCAGCTATCAAAGTATTAGCGAGTGGCGGAGTACAAGAAATTATGAAGTGATGATCTGGTATGGCTCGATAAAAATGACGGGAGTGCTGCCGCAGCCGATCCGCCTCGGCCGAACTTAAGGAACACGGTCACAGCACCTATCCTTCTTCGCTCATCACGACCACTGATGCTTACCCGTCTCAGCTTCCATGGACTGTCCTCAGCCTATGTAGTTTCGCGTACCAGAGGCGCGTCATGCGTCCTCCACAAGCTAATTGGCTTCAATCCCACCGTATCCCATCCCGTGAGGGTTCAACGCAGCCTAGGGGCCGGCTTTTCATCACTGAGGAACCCGGAGAGCGAGTCTGTACCGCACACGGCAGACCGACCAAGGGACTCGTTGCGCCATTTTAATGGCGTGGAATCAGACCATCAGCCCTCCAACTCCGAATCAAATGCCTTCCCGCCATTGACCTCCCTCCTGCCATCGAACGAGCAGCATTCTTCGCTCTCCACCTACATCTCCCACGCTCAGCGCGTCAAGCTTAACCCTGCTACTACGACCTACACCGGGACGAGATACGAGTACCTGGCGCAAGACTCCCTGCAGCGACTAGGGTTCGAGCTCCTCCGAACGGGCAAGACCGGTGATCGAGGCGTGGATCTGGCGGGCTGGTGGCATCTTCCAAGTCCCGCGAGCGGTAATGAGAACCAGCAGACGGAAAGATTGAAGGTCGTCGTACAATGCAAGTTCGTGAAGGGCAGACAGCAGTCGCCCTCGGTCGTTCGCGAAATGGACGGAGCATTCTTGGGTGCGCCTGCGGGATGGCGAAACGGCGCAGTGATTGGTGTCGTTGTGAGTACACGGCCAGCCACCAAGGGTATCATATCCGCTCTGGGTTCCAGTAAGAGGGGCATGGTCTGGATCTGTATGGAAGAACATGAGGTTCCGAAGCACGAGGAGGATCTAGGCGCAGGCAACGCTGAGCTGTCACTGCAGCAGCTATCGAAGGAGGAGAACGGTGATCAAGAGCCTGCAGTAGCGGACCAGGAGAAAGCAGCCTATCACACGGTTCATGGTCGTGTCGTTCAGCTCCTCTATAACGACGCAGCTCGTCGGCTTGCACTGGAAGGCCTCGATGTTCTAAAGCGGCATGGTGATCAGGGCAATATTGATGCTGCACCCAGCGACGGTATAGCATTATCTTATCGCGGCAAGGGAGTTCCAAGCGTATCAGTCCGATAAGTAGACAGAACCAACGAAATGCCCTTGGAAAGATCAATCGAGCAAGAAGCCTGGCACATGGTTCAATCGTTTTCATTAAAGCTGGCCAAGCGGATATGCCTGCTTGGGTGTGGAGGTACGGGTACAAGGATATCGTCTTCTAGAGCTGATGTCGTGGGTATCAAGATGTCGGAGGGTTGAAGCGTGTCTCAATCAAAAGCGTGGCCGTAGCCCAGATGACGCCTTCATCATTTCCACTTTCCAGTCCATCTCAGGACTCTCTCGCACGGGCTATCGTCCCCTTCTCCTTAGCCCGTGTTTATTTGCGTGAGAGAGTCCTCGATCATACTCGACTTCTCGTCGTTGTCGTTCTCCGCCTACCGCCGCCACCGCGGCCGCAGGTAAGGCATGAGATGAGAACGCCGAAAAATGACACGATAGCATTGACAATGCCTCGAAGATATTAGCATATAGACAACGTGTATCTGCGGGAGTGACTCACCAGTGATGATAGCTCCAATGCCTCGGATAACGGCCATGATGCCTGAAGTCCGTTAGTGATTGCCGTACCAAAGGTGGGAGTTCAACGTACCGGCCCCAATGGCCTGCAGCATGCCCTGTATGCAACTGACGACGGCACCCATATTGTCGGTTCTTTGTGTGACTTGAGAGAATTCTTTTGGGAGGAGTACTAAATTTGGTGAATGTCAAGAAGCAAAGGAGCACTCTTACGATGGCCGCAAAGTTATATCAGAGTCAAGCAGGTCCCCTCAGCATCCGATGACGTGGTGGTTCGCTGATAGCGAGTCCAACCGCTTAGCGCTGTCATTGCTTGCCGTTTTCCGTATTCCGTGTCGCGAAAAGCACTCTTCTGACCCCTCCCTGGCACGCAACTTCGCTTGGAAGCTCGATCCTGCCAGTCAGACAGAACCGTGGCTGGTAATCGATGTCGCTAAGGCCCAGAAGGGCGATCAGCCATCGAAAAACTGGGAAGAGCCGACACGAATCCCTGTCACGGGAACGTGTAAAAACGTCAGTGTGGCGCACCAATACCAGTAGAACCGGGCTTTACAACGCGTCACACGCTAGAAAGCCGGCAGGCAGCCCGTATCAGCGCAAATTGGCCTCTGGCTGTTACAGTCGATACGGATCGCCCTTGACGCTGATCACATGCAGGTTGGCGTCACCGTACGTTACGATCGAAGATTTCCGTTGGCTGTGCGATCTCACCAGCCACAGCGCTGGGGTCAAGGCTGGCGAGGTCTTCCTGGCCGTTGAGGCTCAACCGCTCTAACCCTGCAAAATCTGGGGTGGGAGTTGTGGCGGTGCAGCCGTGGACAGGGGGGCATCAAAGCTTGCGACAACCGTTCGTCTGAGTCAACGAAATATGCAGCAGTGGGAGGACTGGCGAGCCGGCTACGATTGGCGAGTTCTTCTTGAGAAGGTGCTGCTGACATTGCTCGTGGTCGCGCTGTCGTCGTTGACCTGGCGAGCATGGACAACCTCACAAGGTGAAGCCGCTGTTTCCTATACGGTCGAGATTCCCGCGCAGCTTTCAACACCTGCCGCGCAGGATGAAACGAAGCGAAGCGGGCCTTCCGAAGAGGTCAGTATCTTCCACGTGAACCTCGCAGACTCAGCTGCTGACATGCGCACAACAGATTCGGAATGACAAAATCTATCCTCGCGCGCCCGCCGACGGACGACTGCTCCAAGAGGGTCCCATCGTGCCCGCTACGACCCAGGATATCGACGAAGCGATAGCCCGTGCTTCATCTGCGCAGGAGCAGTGGGCGAAGACCACCTTTGCACAGCGAAGAAAGGTCCTCAAGACACTACTGCAATACGTCAACCAACATCAGGAAGAGATTGTCACAGCATGCTGCCTCGACTCTGGCAAGACCAAGATCGATGCCTGCTTGGGAGAAATCCTAGTCACGGCGGAAAAGCTGCAGTGGACCATCAAGCATGGAGAGAAAGCCTTGTCGCCGTCCTTACGTCCCACAAATCTTTTGATGAGCTACAAACGGAATACCGTCTACCATGAGCCGATCGGAGTCGTTGCGGCCATTGTGTCATGGAACTATCCTTTTCACAATCTCATCTCACCAATAATCTCAGCTCTGTTTGCTGGCAACACGATTGTCGTCAAGCCTAGTGAACTGACATGCTGGAGCACGCAGTACTTCGTGGCCTTCATCCGGGAAGCACTGCGAGTCTGCGGCCACAATCCCGATGCAGTACAGACGATCATCTGCCTGCCCGACGTTGCAGACCACCTCACCAGTCACTCTGGTATCAAGCACATCACCTTCATTGGCAGCCGCGAGGTGGCCCACAAAGTGGCCGCTTCGGCCTCGAAAGCCTTGACACCAGTGGTGGTGGAACTAGGTGGGAAAGATCCTGCCGTCATTCTCGACGACCCTCGCACAGTGGCAGATCTCGATAGTGTTGCCTCCATCCTCGTTAGAGGAGTGTTCCAGTCGGCTGGCCAGAACTGCATTGGCTTTGAACGAATCATCGCGCTTCCTCGGATTCATGACTTGCTCCTGGGTCACATCAAGCCCTTGATAAAATCTTTCCGATTGGGAAGCGCTCTGCTTGACCCATCGGCCCCAGATATGGGCGCCATGATCTCATCCCGCTCATTCGCACGATTGGAGGACCTGATTCAGCGAGCAGTCGAAGATGGAGCGGTATTGCACGCTGGTGGTAGCAGGTACAACCATCCACAGCATCCCGGTGGGCACTATTTTCTTCCAACCTTGATATCAAACGTGACGCCGGAGATGGCGATCGCGCAGACCGAGTTGTTCGCACCAGTGTTCCTCTTGATGAAGGCCGAGTCGGTAGATGACGCTATCCACATGGCCAATTCGACCATGTTCTCGCTGGGTGCCGCAGTGTTCGGGCACGAAGCCGCCGATGTACAGAAGTGCGTGAAGGAGATTCGTGCCGGGAGCGTGGCAGTCAACGATTTCGCAACATTCTATGTCTGCTCAATGCCGTTTGGCGGAAGAGACGGCAGCGGTTATGGACGATTTGGTGGCGAGGAAGGTCTCCGAGGCTTGTCCAACACAAAGAGCGTTTGCGAAGATGCGCCGTGGGCGAAGCTTTTGGGCATTCAGACGCGCATCCCGGCCATTCTGCGGTACCCAATTCATGGAAAACGCGGATGGGAAACCGTGAGAGGTATCGTGGGTACTGGATATGGGATTGGCCTCGCTGCCAGACTGCAGGGTGTCCGTATGCTGCTACGAGGACTCATGGGGAACACGTCGAGAGCAGAATAAAAGAAGAGCACTAGTATGGCAGCAACCAACTGCACGAATCCTCCGCTCAAGGACCAGTACACTAGCTTAAGATATTGTACAAATTTTACCGCCATCATGGTCTCCTAGAAGTGAAGACACTCGTTCCAGCATTACGTTCACGGGCTATTCCCATCTCTCTAACGTCCAGGATACATGAAGCCTTTGATACACCGCCACCTCCAGCGATCCATGGGGCCGTCGCTGAGCGTCGATCTTGGCTCGTCTAGACCCACTGCGCCCCGAGACAGCCAATCATGTCTCTCGCTGGTTGTGCCGACTCGGAGTAACAGACCCTCCGATTCGACTTCAGTCATGCCGCCTCTAAAGGCAGCCGGCCTGTCCTTCTCGTTCTGCCTTTCCTCTCGGTGAAAGACTGCTGCCGGGGGCCCTGATAGCTAGATGGCTGTAGAGTTTGTTGCTGTCAAATTTGCAATCCGCTTCCCCCACTCAGCACACGACGGCATCACCGTCGGCCGTTGGCTCTCAGCGGCCCCGACTTCGTCGGCCGCAATGTAGTATATAACTGCTGCAGCCGCGTATCGAGCTAACAAACTAACATACAAAGCATACGAAAACACACAAACAGAACCACACCTTCATCATCTCACTCGAAACCAGTCACTAGCCATTCATCATCCCACACAACCACACAACCACACAACCATGACAACCACACCCCCATCCCTCTTCCTCGGCGCCACCGGCGGCTGCGCCAACGCCTGCCTCGTGCACGCCCTCCGCGCCTCGCAACCCTGCATCGCCCTCGCCCGCACGCCCTCGAAACTCACCGCCCAACTAGAATCCCAAGGCTTGACCCCGTCACAACTCGCCAACCTCACCTGCGTGCAAGGCAACGCGCTTTCGCTCACCGACGTCAAAGCCGCGCTCCTGGCGCACTGTTCCGAGAAGCTGCCGGGCATGATCGTCACGGGCCTGGGCGGCACGCCGCACCTGCGCTTCGACTGGCGCGCGCCGCTGCAGATCGCGGGGCTGGATGATGCGCATGTCTGTGAGGGGGCGGCGAGGACTTTGGTGGCGGCGCTGAGGGAGGTGCAGGAGGAGGAAGAGAGGAAGAAGAAGGGGAAGAAGGGGAATGCAGTGGAGAAGCCGAGTGTGGTTTTCATCAGCACCACGGGCGTGAGTCGTGGGCCGGAGGACGTGCCGTTGGCGATGAGGTTTCTGTATCATCAGATGTTGGCGGTGCCGCATGCGGATAAGAAGGGAATGGAGGATGTGCTACGGGCGGAAGAGGGGGGTGTGTTTCGTAAGGTGAGTGGCGTGAGGCCCACGTTGTTGGCGGGGGCGGTGAGTGTGGAGGATGGGGTGGGGTGGAAGGCGCTCAGGGCGGGCACGGAGCAGAAGCCGGAGTTGGGGTATAGTGTCAAGAGGGCGGATGTGGGGGAGTGGATCTATGAGAATTTGGTCAAAGAGGGAGGGGAGAGGCGGAGGTGGGAGGGTGAGATGGTGAGTCTGACTTCTTGAGCCGGTGTTCGTCTGCACGGGAAGGGCACCGGGGCTCTTGATGGCGTTTGTTAGTTTTAGGGATTTATATCTACGCGGAGGGCGGCGGGAATAATGAACGGCCTGCAAGACTGGAGATGCCATCGATATAATGTCAAAAGCCAGTTATCGAGGAAATTCCGATGCGTGTTGCTATCGTACAAGAATTCTAACGAGCTGCCGCTCGACTACACCACCCCTCTGCAATCCCACGCAGTCCCACCCTCGCCCACGCACACCCCGCCTCCTTAAAACCCCGAATCCGTCTGCTTGAACGGCGCGGTCTCATAATACTTATTCCACGCATCACACTGCTCCCTCCACTGCTGGTTCACGCCCTTCGCCCTCAACTCTGCCGGCTCCTCGAGAAACTGCGCCCCCAGACCAAGCGAGATATGCCAGCCAATATGGCAATGCATGAGCCACGCGCCCGGATTGTCGGTGATGAACGCCAGCGCCAGCCAGCCGGCGGGCGGCAGCATCGCCACATCCCGACGAGGGGGGTTGTCGTACTTCAAAGAACTCTGGTTGTTGGCGAAGATGCCGGCGCCGGCGCCGAGGACGTAGAAGTCGTGGCCGTGCAGGTGGATCGGGTGCGCCGAGGGCGGGACGCGGGGGATATTCAGGGCTTGGATGATCCAGTAGCTCCAGGTGTTGGCGTTGGGGAGGGAGATGAGGTTGGCGGCGTGCGGGAAGGTGAGGTCGTCGTTGTCGAGGGCGTGCTGGAGCGTGGGCCTCTGCCAGGGTGCTTGGATTGCGGTTTCGTTCAGCAGCCATTGCACGAGGGTTTGGTTGATTTCGTTCTGCACGATGGCGAGGCTGACGTTGAGGTGGGAGTGGTCGGGGATCGTGCCGTTGGTGGGGACGTTGAGCTTCACGTACGGTACGAGCTTGTCGTTTGGATCGTTGCAGTCGTTGTTGGTTGCTGGCGAGTTGTTGCGGTTCGCTGCCGAAGGTGTGGTGTTGTTGGCTCCTTCGTAGGTGAAGATGGAGACGCCATTGGCGACCAGGTTGTCGGAGCATCCTGCTTGTGGGATCGCGTGGAACCAGTAGCTGTCGACTGGCTGATTGGCATTGATAATAACGTCGTATCTCTGACCGATGCCGAGAAATAAGAAGTCCGTTACCCACGGCTTCAGGGGAACGAAGTCCGAGGCGATGACCGTCATGTTGTGTCCGTCAAGCCCGACCTTGAAGTTGTCGTTCGTAGAGGTATTGATTAGCCTCAGACGATGCTTCTTGCCTTTGACCAGTGTGACGCGATTGTACTGACCTGTGGTGTTGGTGCCATTGCTTGGGTAGACATTGGTGCCATTGAATAGGATATTGTCAGCCTTTGGCGCTCCACGGATCTGGCCGGATTGTAGGAGAGGTGCAAGAGTGAACGCTGGGGTATGAAACCAGTCGGTAATTTGCATAGGGTCCTTGTAGTCAATATCGTAGTTACTGCTGGCTGGACCATCGATGACAATACTGCCCACAACCCCGTCACTGTATTGATCGCTATAATGGCTGTGATACCAAGTGGTACCGAATTGCGTGCAAAGGAAGGTGTACGTCCTGCTATGGCCTGGGGCTAAAGGGCACTCGGTAATACCTCCGGTGCCGTCCATTGAGTTAGTCTGCCCTGGAGATGTGCGTTAGCTTATAGCACGACAACGATAGGAGCAACTCATGCAGTCAGACCAGAGCGGCCCCCAGGTGTGATTCAGCGTCTGTGTACCGACTTGGAAATCTCAGTCGTCTGATCACCTTTAAGGGGTTGAATTACTGGCCGAATGGGAAGAGCTTACTGTCAACATATCAGCATAGATCCAAGTGGGTACGCCAAAAGCCTGAAGGGCTCCTGGGCCATCAATAAAGTCTGAAGGCCTTCAGATGCCCTGATGTAAGTTCTCTGAATACTCAGTACTTACCACTGCCTGATTCCGTGCCAGTGAATGCTTGTGCCATTAGTTATTAGGCTGTTCTTGACAGTGATCTGAAGGGTGTCACCCCAGTTGGCTCGGATTGTAGGACCGGGAAACTGCCCATTGACGGCGTAGACAGGGCGAGGCACTCCATCTGGAGCGAGCGTCTTGTTCTGGATATCGAGTGTGTAGGTCACCATCCGTCCGGTATTTGGCCACACAGCGTCGTAATTGGTGTTGACACTGTAGCCGTTGCTCCAGCACTGACGCGTGGATGGCCCATGTGTACATGCTGGATCTGCTGGTCTGCTCATGGTGGCTGAAGCTTGTCGAGGGAACAGCGCACTGTCAAGGGGCAACAGCTCTGCTTTGGGCAAAGCCAATGCGGCTGGCAGAATTGTGAGAAGGAATGACAGGCAGCGAAGAGATGGCATGGTAGAGAATGACTTCCAAAGTGACTGAAGATCAAGAGGGATCTTACACTCGTACGGCCACAGCTTCTTAATGGAGGTTATCTCCTCTTGTAGGATGAGAGGCGAATTAGGGCCTCACAACCCCTTTTCGACTTCTGATGGAGGCTGGTCTTGGTTATGTCGTGCAGCATGATGATTGCTGCATGGTACGAGAGGCTCAACCAACAAGGAATGGGGCAAAATAGGCGAGCTCGTGCGTGTATTTGACCACTCGTGGTCTCAGGCCGGCTCCAATTTATCGCGTTCGACACTGGAGAGTCTAAAAGACATTCATTAGGGACTGGAACAAGATGTCGATGCAATCTCCGCAGATGCGTCGTAGCAGCATCGTCGTATCGGGTCGGTCGGCCTACAATATCAATGGCTGGATCTTAGCAGCGCACAAGACACCGCAGCTTGCAAATCTCGCCTTGTGACCTTCGACGCCCAAGGCCATGTGTAAAGGTCGAGGAGGGAAATCGTCAGACAAGCCGGTGATTCAATTCACCCGGGATCAACCTCCATTACTCTCGCAAAACGTACTCGGTCCTGGCGACATTGCTTCCAAGATTGGAGAATGTCTGAGACAGCATCGGTTCAGTTGACCGAGTCCCGAGGGTGTTTCGCAGTCAATGCTTGCGCAGGCGGTGTGCACAAGTCCTGGATCAACTCAGGGCCCTCCATGGTTGCACAAACACGACATATTGTTGTCTCACAACCTAATCATGCAGGTCGAACCAGAATAATGGCTCCAAACCAGAACTCGGACCTTGAGCATACGAGAACGCATTTCCATTTGGCTGTGTATGGTAGGAGACCGGGACAGTGGTCCCATTTTCCTTTTCGCCCAAATGCTGCACTCGCCGAGATGACCTCGATCGCTCTCCTGTCTCAGCCATACCGGAGTTGGGAGTAAGACACAGATGATTTTGTGAAGCGCCTCACTAACATGTACGCCGCTGCAAGGCGAGATGGAGCTATGTCGTCAATATATGTCGAGAAGATGATCACCATGAGGCCTCCAGTCTTGATCTGCTCTGATCAGCCGTTTCCACAAAATGCGTTGTCTTTGGCAAATTCTCGCCGCTCTCTTACTCTTTGCCTTGCAAGGCTCGTGTGCTTGCCATTCATATGGTTGGGACTATGTCGATGGCGGGACTTACTGCGTCAACACTAAAAGTGATGAATACTTCAGCTTCGGTACAGGGTTTTGGGGGTGTACGCCCAATGATACGCAAGGTGGCGTAGAGCCCATCCTCGTCGATCCAGACAGCAATGATGTCCTTTGTTCCGTCATCCAGACTAATCCGGACGACGTTAACATGGTCTCAACCTGCGATATTGTTGGCCATGAAATTCGAAAGAGCCAGATGGTGTCCGGCAAATGGTCGGTCGTCATCGAGGGTCTCGAATTCGCATGGATGCGGTCCTTCAGCGTCATTGCCGGGCCGCAGGTCACTAAGATTGCCACGCCAACAATTACCATCAATCAAACCATGTCGCCATCCACAACCGTCACCGTCGTGACGACCAACACTCTTCCGACCACCTTGAGTCCCAGCACCATCACGATTCCGTCGACGACAAGCACCGCGACCTCAACAGTGACACCTAAGACAGTGACCACCACTATCACCAAAGTCAGGACCATCACCTTGCCAGCGTGGCCGCCGAAAGTCACCAAGACAACGGTGACAAGGACTCAAACAACGGCTTGCAAGACAGCTTCGCGCCGTAACGATCCGACGTGCACCGTGCATCCACCAAAAGCGTCTCTTGCGGCAGCTGGAGGGTCCTACGGTCGCTTCCGTCGACATGCTCCCTATGTGCCCAGAGCGCCGCCGACGCAGCACTTGAACGACCTTGGCCGTCGCACACCTGACCTCTGCACAACCACCGTGCTTGCTTCCACCGTTGTCACATCAACGTCAACTATAACGGCGCCGACCACGACGATCAGCTCGACGTTGGTGGAAACGGCGACGAAAACCATGTGGGTGGATCCTGGTGTACACTTTCGGACGAGATTCTGACCTTGTTTAGCACACCTGCAGCGGCGACCGTTTATTCGGGAGCTGCACAGACGACAACTACCATGACCTTGCCTACGCCAACGGCGACGCAGACCACTTCTAGCTCAACAACGGTCATGACGACGCCGACATTCACTGCCACGTAAGTAGAGACCGAGGATGTGTCGTAGTGGGCTAATCCACGGTGCAGGATCACAAAATATGTCAAGGTAGCCCCGTCAGGAAAAGCGTGCCTATCAAGGTAAGGTAAGGACCTGTCCATGTAGATCCATCTAGCATGCTCTCAGCAATCGCGCGTTTGCAAAGTTTCTGTACACTAGGTTCTCGCAAGTGTGATGGTCAATGTTCGATCTGAAAACAAAAGCAGCAGCAAGATCTTTTCGGTAGTTTCTTTAGAACTGTCGAATGCTTCGGGTTCTAGCATGCTATACACATAGTGTCTGAGTGACCGCTCAGATGCCGACCAGTAACAAATGAGAAGAGTCGCCCGGAAGGGCTTCTGCCGTTCGTCTCTTCTACAGCACTGTGAGGTTGGGGAACTTGTCCTGTGATGATCTGTCAGTAATCTGTCCGGGTAGGTGATGGGAAGTCTGTTGCGCACCAAGTATCCAGGAGGCATCCATCTGCCCTTCTTGACGAGCCTCTCAGTATACTCGTCGATCTCCGGAGCCGCCTTCGCGACCTCATCCACAGTCATCTCGTCCCACCCTCTAGCACCCTCGATATCGCTGAGCGCCTTGTCCAAGCTCTTCAGCTCAATCTCAACCTTGCCCTTGGTATCCTCGGCATTTTTAATAGCAACCTGCTCGAAAGCTTCAATCGATCGAACTTGCTTGTCAACGTCGTATGTCTTGGGCTTAAAGGTCTTGAAGTACTGCTCGATCTCGTCGATCACAGCAGTGTTCTTGAGGACGGAGCGGTAATAGCCGAAGTCGACGCTGGTGGGCTGGTCCTGGAGAACCGTCAAGCGGCGGCGGGCCTCGTCATTTCGCTTCTTGAAGTTGTTCAGGGAGCTGGCCGTGCTGCCGCGCAGCGACAGCTGTGTTGGCAGCTTAGTCCAGTCGAGCTTCGCGGCTGCCCGGGTCTGCGAAGAGGTAAGATGTTAGCTTCAGGTACGGGTCGCTGGGTGCGTGAGGAGGGCGTCTGTGAAGGGGCAGCAGACTAGCTTCTGCTACACTTCTTCCTGGGCGCGAAGGTGGCCTTGACGCCGCCTTGAGCTCCGCGAGACTTCATGTATCGGTATACGTACAGGTGCGGACATGTTGAGGGCGTGGGAGTGGAGAATGGGACGTTGTAGGGAGAGTGTCGTTCGGATAGCTCGATCGTCAAGCCGCGAAGTTCTGCTTCTTGGCACCAGGAGCTGCCGCGCGGATATTTGATGTTCCGAAATCACGTGATGGTACGAACTGCGGCAAGATTAATCCTGTCGGCGGCGATGAAGCATCACTTTGGTCAAACTGCTTACATAGCTCACAAGGGCTCTAACTAGGTGTCGGAAGAATCGTGTCACTTTCCGCAATAAGGGGTCAAATCAAATCAGTTGGGTCAAACAGTTTGTTCGAGTGACCTTAATGAGGGCCCTACATAGGCATGTTCTGGCAGCTGGAGATCGCTTGGAATCTGTCGCTGGGGTAGCTAGAGAATAGTCCGGCTAAGAACTTTTTGCACATCCTGGAAAGACTCGGAACCCAACCTGTCTATCATACACTTAGCGCCATGATCGAATTGACAATGTCGTTCCCGTTCTCGTTCAGAGCTTTCACGGCCTTCTTCCGACTGACGTTGGCTTGTGTCATGACGAGCTCGATGTCCTTGGCCTCAAGACCGCTGTCGTCGACTTCCTCGTCATCGTCGTCATCTTCTTCTGGCTTCTTGTCCTCAACGGCCTTGCCCTTGCCCTCCTCGGCGGAGTGGTCATGACCGGAGTGGTCTTGGTTGGCTTGCTCGGCGGCGGCGAGCTGCTGAGCAGCGGCAGCCTGGTGTTGAGAGTTCAAATCCTCGATCTTGGCCTCACCGAAGATACTGCTTGGGTCAGTCGTTACTCATAGCTATTGTGTGGAGCACTCACATCCACGTGTTGCTGGTAGGAGATCGGTAGACATCAGGGTTGGAGATGACGAAGAGGATCTGTGGATAAGTTAGAACACGCAACCTGAGTAGGCGACAGCGTAGCGAAGGTCTTGCATCGACCGTGCGAAGCTGTTGGTGCGATGGACAGTACTTACACCTTTCGGTCTCCGCAGAGTAACTCTTGTGATGCCTGGAACATGCTTGAGTCCAAGCTTGCCAATTGCCTTGCGAGCCTTCTTCTCGTTGCGGCTGTGGACGGCAACAGCAGAACCGGCCGGGATGTTGGCCTCGCCCTCACCGGCACCTTCCTCGTTCTCGGAGTCGGAGGAGTCAGAAGCCTCCTCGGCGGTGGTCTTCTTGGTGGGCTCGTCGTCTGGGAGCTCTTCAACACGAGGGTTCGACATTTTGACGGACTAGGCGGACGTGGCTAAGATACTGCAGGAGCGATGTTAGTTTGGTGGTCGGAAACTTGAGCACTCCACAAATAGAGCTGTCCGCAGGTTTGCGCTCGATGGTGAATTCGCCACCAGCGCAGTACATATCTTGCGATTGTACGAGGTAGACGGAAGACGTAGACGTGACTGATTCAGACGTACCTAGCTATTGTCCTGTAAATTCGTCGTTGTGAAGCGGTGAATTTCGTTGGTGATGGTGGTTGCGGTCGAGGTTTGTGCAGCCAGACGATGTAATTCTTGGCATCTCCGCTCCTGCCCGCATCCCGACTGTGAGAGCACCTGACGGCGGCCAGCCACCTTGTGCCACACCTGCGATGCGAATGCTGAGAACTGCATCGTCAAAGACTTTGTCTGCTACAAGCAGCATGATTGAAATCCACCAGGAGGGTATCATAGCTTGCACATCCCGCTCAAAAGCATGGAGGCCATGGCTGCCTCGGTGAGGTTTGCCCGACGACCGCCAAGACTCATGTAGTCCCCATCTTCAGTCTCTCGTCATCGTCTTATGAGCCCAGTCATCCACGCTTGCTGCTCTGAGTCAATCGGGCGGGGGACTCATAGTCTCGGGAAGACCCCTAGGCCGCCTTGCGGGCATCCTGAGCCTTCAGCCAGGCTCATTAAGATTCCATTTATGCCGTGGGTACCCCGTACTTCTTCCAAACAATCGACTGGTCCAACGAGCCTGCATCTAGGAAGAGCAGGTCCGGTCTCTGTAAGTCTCTGCCAAGCTGAGCATCACCAGTGAGGACAACGAAACCACTGAAGAGTCTTTCCCTTCTAAAGGACTAGTCTGCACGTTGGAGACTAATCATAACAGCCTTGGATTGCACTGCGATTGAACTACACCAGCGGCTCAGGCCCTGGAGAAAGATGCTGCCGCTCTAGGCGCTCATTGAGCCTCTAAAGTAGTCATCATGGGTCAACGAAAAGAAGCACTTGCCCGAGTGGCAGATCAGGCGGTAGGTGTGCTTCGACCGTGCCGTACGGCGTTGATGATGCTAAGCAAACAAGAGCATTGTTCCCATTGCTTGCGCCATCACCTCTGAAGAGGGCCTTCAAAAAGCCATTGCGGAAATAAAGAAGGAGGCTCCTTACGTCAACTGTCTGATTGCGAACGCCGGAGCTCTCGGCGATGGCGAAGTGCAGCCTCCTCTTTGGGATCCCGACTCAGCAACCCAAGTATCACAGCTTCGCTTTGTCACTATTCACCACTTCCCTGTCCACGAACCTTCGTGCCTCTTCTATCGCATCGAAGTCCATCACCCACTTCAGAAATGTGCCACTGCTAAAGTCCGCGTTCTCATCTTGCATGACATCCCTCAGATCTACCACGGTTCTCTCTCCTGGTCCTTGCTCCCCTTCATTCTGCCGCCTATGGAATCGCAGTACTCCTCTGAACGCATCCGTGTTCCATCTCGCAAAAGCTTTGACCCTCGCTACCCTCGGAATCCTCGCCTTCTCCCACAACTTGACTACCTCCCCGACCCGCCAGCTCATCAGCCTGCTTTCCCCATGCAACAAATAGTCTAGGACCCCTACGTCCTCGACAATCTGGCTGAAACCCTGTGCGGCGTTGGGGAGCATGGCGTGAGCGGAATCGCCACACAGCAATACCCTCCCACTCCGACTTGCCCACCTCTCAAGGTCCGGCATTTCACTCAGCCTCCACCGCTCACACTTCTCCACCATACCCAAGCACTCCCATAGCGCCGCACAACACTTCCCTCGATATGCCTCGCGCACGTGCGCCACGTCTCCAGCGCCATCCCACAATCTGCGGTCCATTCCGGTCTCTGCCGCACTTTCGTCGCTCACAAAGAACAGAAAATGATACTCGTTCGCAGTTGTTTGATACCGGCCTACGACATACCGCTCGGAGCCACCCATCCATACATTCAAGTCGGTCGAGTCCAGCAGCTCGCGCGTGATCGTACTCTCCCGCAGTCGCGCTACAGGCACTTTGAACGCGTAAGCCGTGCCGTCTACAACGGTGGCGTCAACGTCTGGCCGTCCAATGTCCCGAAGAATGCCGCGGCGCAGCTTGCTGTGCGCGCCACTTGCGTCTAGCACGAGGTCCGCCTCCAGCACCTTCCCATCTTGGAGGCGAACTTTGACGGCGCTCTCTCCTGTCCTCTCTACCTCGTTGATGCTCTCCACCACGGCGCCGAACTGCAAATGCGCACCAACCTCGACTGCAGCGCTGTACAATACGCGCAGCGCCTCGTCTCGCCCCACTCCCCAGTCAGGAAAGGTGCTGACGTTGATTGCCGTGCGTCCAGTCACCAGTTGGCCAGTGTCGAGGCGGTATATGGCAGTAGAGGCGGAGGTATCAACCACAGGCGCGAGTGCATTGCTCAGATTGAAGGCGGGGGAGCTGAGGATGCGGGTGGCGTTCGGGCGCAGCATGATGCCCGTGCCGCGGTAGAGGGAGGCATGGTCGGGGCGGGATTCGAGGATCTGCACGGCGTGATTGCGGGTAGAGAATATGTACTACGGCGAGGAAGACCGATTACTTAGCCAAGTTGTGTCGGAGAGTGTGAAGTGCTTACGGCGGCGGTACACCCGGCAAGGCCGGCGCCAATGACTATGATTTGCAGTGGCTTGCGGGGAGGTTTTGAGGAGTTCATGGCTGGTTTGGTAGAGGTTAAATGGCCGACCTCAAGACGGATGCCGCGGAGATGCTAAGTACTACGAGATAACTAGGTTCATCTTCGAAACGAGAGGGGCGGGAGGGTCAATAAGTAGAAGCGCGGACCCGACAGTAAGCACAGTTACGGGAGGGCAGCTCCACGACACATCGTCGCGCAAGGTATACAGACACCACGTTGCGTGGCTGCTGTTCATCAGTGGTGAGCAAAGGGTATACTTTGTACCTACGGCAATCGCGGCATGGTTGGAGGCCTCATGTAAGATTAGTGGAGCCCGCCAGGCATCCAGCACCGATCACACCGCAATGTCGATTACCAATACGAGTCCATGAGGCAAATCTGTACATGTTGGCAGGACGAGGCAGTGTACTATGTGCAAGGCTGCCGGGTGACCACCAAGACCTCGATGCTACAAGCTCCGATGTCTACTGGGCGGCGACTCGACGGAAGATGTCTCCGAAGCACGCACCCCTTTTGCACGTGGACCACTCCACTGATCGACTCGAGGCAGCGTCATCCCGCAACCCTCGTATGCTTAGATGCACTGAAAGCGGCTTCGATAAGAACTTTGGTGTGAGCGCACCTCATGTTTTGGCTTTGTGGATGTCATATAGTATTGATAGCCAGTTGCCAAACCCAATTAACTTGCATTATGTCCAGAACCCTTTTGTAGCTTTTGTAGATAGAGAGCAAGACCTACTGATTGATGCTTGTATAAGTGCCTGGCAGGAGCTAGGTGCGCAAAGGATATTGGAAGTCAACTGGTGTGCGTTGTCCAGAGCGGGGTCTGGGGCTGTATTGGGGGGGAACCCCTTAAGCGGCTCTAAAGGGGCCACGCCCGGACAGTGCTCGGGGGAGTCCCGATATGGTGCCTGCCCTACTGTAGAAGTGCTTGCCACGATGCTCTCAGCCAAGCCGTTCCCGATGTATCCGAGCTGTCGTGAATTCAGTATGACGCCTGCGACTGGTCCTTGCGTGTGAGCGCCCAAAAGTGCGCTCTTAGGAAACACGAAGCTGTCGCTCGCCCAGGGGCCCCACCAGCCTAGGGATAGCGGTCGCTTTTGACGCCGTCCACTTAAGCTCCGGTCGCTACCTTAGGCTCGTTACGAATGCGGGGGCGCTGGGCCAGGCTGGACTCTGTTGGGCTCTGCGAGTCCACACTGGACATTAGGTAAGGATGACTGCCAAGCAAATTGAGACCCTCTTCTCCGGTTTCATTGATCGCCACCATATTCACCTTCTTCCTCATCCTCAGCTAATCTAGCCATGCCCTCGCCTCAAAATGGCCTTTGAGGAACACTCTTCAACTTCTTCCGCAACGTCACCTGCGTCATCTCGCAACGCCGACGGCACTTGGTCTAGTGGCCGAGTCCTGAGTGCCGCCCAGCGCGACAGAAAGCGCCAGCTAGATAGGATCAACAAATCTAAACGCCGACAAGACGACCAGAGACTAGTCGAAAACCTCAAGGCCGAGATCGATTCCTTAACTGCCAAGGTTAAGGCTCTCGAACAACAAGCAGTCGAGGCCACAGCCCAGCCCAATGTGGTGTCCACAGGTCCCTCGTATAGCGCCTTCCCCACGCTCCACGACAGAACTGATCACACCGACTCTGACCCAGACCAGCCGGTCAACCTTACATCGGGGTATATAAGCGAACTTCCTTCCGACAATGGTGATGATGAGTCGACCCCAGCACTCCCGCTGCCCGGAGAAACGGCCCTCGCCAATAACCTGCCGATTCCGGGGCTTCCTTATAATGCAAATCCGGGGGAGAACGTTTCGATCCAAGACCTTTTCAACTACATTTTAGGCATGGCCTTGCTGTGCGATCGCCGGCTCATCTGTCGAGACGAGAAATTGAGCCAGGATGCTATCATCCGTGGTGTTCTCCATGGGTGGGACACCGTTCTCTCTCCGCCATACACCTGCCCTATATGGGATCTCTTGGCTCGCTTCGATTATCTCATCTTTGGATTTACCCCTGTCAACACTCGCTTTTCCACCCTAAAGACACTTCACACCTTCTGTCTGGTGAGCTCACTTACACACATCAGCACCATGAAGGCTATTACTGACGTGAACAGTATTTAGCAGGCATGGTTTCTGTTCAAAGTCTCCCTATGTGGCATCGCCCGAGGTAACATCGCGCAGTCGTGTTGGTCGACACCATCATACTCACGATCCGCAGGCCAACCCAAACCATGGTTCCCCATGATTTAGCTGTAGATATCCTGGCGTGGTAGGCTCTCACACCGGTTAAGTGTTGACAAGACATACTTACTTCAGCACAGGCCTGGGCTGCGGGAGCGCGGTGTAATGCATCCGGAAACCACCAAGTCGAACAAGTTCTGGAGAGAACTCATCCAGGGTTTCGAGCTCCATTGGCCATACGCGCCTGAGGAGGCCTATCAGGTTGATCCTACCACCGGGCTGTACACATTTTCTGGCCTTTACGTGAAACATGTACGCGAGATCCGCATGTGGACCATGTCCTCGAGCTTCTTCAGGTCATTCCCCACGTTGGTGGAGGACATGGTAATTGTCCCTCCGATCTACCTCCAACCCCACCCGCCGCCTGTGCGTCAGATAGCTGCAACGGCGCCTTATTCCGCAAAAGCGGAGCCGACAAACGAGGATTCCAAACCTTCACAGTCGCTTATTGTCGCAGCACATTGGCAACCCGGCAGCAGCCAGGAAGCGAGTTTTTCTGATGCCGGCTCGGTCAAACGTGCTGGTCTAGGCGCATATTCTGCGTCGCACTATTCAATGGGAGTTCCGCCAGCGTGGCTAGCATCAACCAAAAGAAAGCCGCCGTGAAGCCGATGCGTTGGCCATTCCGAGACTCATAAACACGACAAACGTCTCGATCGAGAACCATTACGAAACCGACAGGAACATGTGGAGAAAGATGCTCGTCAAAGACATTGAGATCTTCTTTCGCTCTTTGGTTCGCCACTCCCCTTGGCCTGGAGAACACATACAACCATTACGGCGCACCATATCACAGTCCTGCGCCACACCAGGTGAAGAACTTGCATATCTTTAGACCATCAGAAGCAACCTGTCTCCACGAAAGACCTCAAGTTCGGGTTGCAGCCATGTGCCTGAATCGCCCTTGCCAAGAAGCGCTCCTGCCAACGCCATGTACGAGGTTTGCCCCAAATTTGAGACATCCTTACCGCAACCTCATCGCCCTCACCCCGTTATCGCTAAACCATGTCTCTGGAGTCATGGGCGTCAGCGCATGATATCATACTTCATGCAACCAGGTTTATGGACATGCAAAGGTCTTATGGGTACGAGGTTCCTCCTTGCCCGGGTGTGATTCGCCATGTGCTCATGCAAGCACTGCGCCCGACTCTTGGCGCTCGAGGCGTTGATCATTTCAGCCTGAATGACTTTTGAAGAACATACCGATTTTGTTTAAATGTCAAAGAGGACCGTGGCTCGGACGGGAATAAGAATCTGTGTCTCCGCGCGGCCGTGGCCGGCCGTTCAACATGGGTTCCAGGACTATCCTTGGGCTAGGCTCGAGAAGGTGACCTCTAGGGACCTCAGCCCATCCGATTTCTGGGCGACCGAGCCTGAATGTGACACCCTCAAAGCTGAGATCATGAAGAAGCGCAGGGTGTCAGTTTCAGGACGTCACTCGTTGTCCGAGAGCTCTAACGAGGACTGATTGATGGAGATACGATGGGCCAGTGAATGGTTCGTTTTGAGGAGATTCCCTACGACCTTGACAAATTCTTCTACAAGATGTTGGAAGGCATCACGCCGACCCACCATAGTCATGTAGCGCTTTACTTCCGTTGCGTGCTCGCAAACCGCGATCGCCCAAGTCTTCTTACCTTTTCATTTATGGAAGAAGAGGAACGAGAAGCAGAGAACATACTGGTCAACAAACCAGCAGCAGGAGTACAGTGTCAACACAAGATCAAAACTCGCACACCATCCGCCCTCGGAAGAACAACCCAAGAGGAGGAATATGGATTGCATTTCGTGGGCACGGTGGTGTAGAGATGGCCAGATTGATTAGGACGAGATATCAAAACATCCAGAGGAAGAAACGAAGATTCCCCCTTTCCCTGGCGAAAAGATCTCTCTCAAGAGCGCTGGTGCCGCAGGACAATACACTGATCATCTAGAAGCGTCTTCCTATCGCGAGCGTGGTAGAAGGGATGTAAGGAGGGTTACATAAATCACCAATACAACATCGATGCTTGATCCGCAGAGATTTGCTACGACTTGCTCATCTATCTCAGATTACCGTGTTTGTGAGTCTCTACTCAGAGCACTACGATGACTCCTGGATAGCGATTTATTAACTTCAATGGCTATCCCGGACTCAAGCCCAACCCTGGACGGGAAAGACATCGAGATCGACCAATTCTGCCACATCGTCTCGGTCCCCACCACTCTGTTCGTCTCATCCGCACTTCAATCCACCACTCCAAGGATGCGGCAGGCACGACCTGCTAACCAAGCCATGTAACCCTCCAACTGACAGAGCGTCACATTCAGCCACCAAGCTGATACTTGGCCTTCGTGACATTAACCCCTCCGTTCATCGACCCCGCGCGCTTCGCCTCGTCGCGCTTCTCCTTGCGCTTCTGACTTCCATTCTTATTGTGCTTCTTCTTCGGCGGCCCCTTTGGCACCATCTCGCCACCACCACCACCGCCTGCCGCAGATCCACCAACAGAGACGTGAGTCTGACCGGAGCTGACACCCTGCTGCTGCTGCTGAGGCAGGTTACCACGCCCGACCTCAGCACGCACGCGCTCCCGCGCCTCCCGCACCGCTTTGACTTCTGCGGTCTTCTGATCCCACGCCTCGTCCCACGCCTCTTGCATCGTGTGCTCGGAGTAGCCGTCTTGGCGCTTGGCGAGGGCGAGGAGGGCGGTGTCTTTGCGCTGTTGGAACGTGCGTCAGTTGATCAATCTCTTTCTGCGGGATATGTAAAGTGAGCTAGGAGTGAGGCATGAGGTACTTACGACATTGCGGGTTGCGAGGAGGTCGAAAAGGAGGGTGGTGATGACGGAGAGGCCGGCGCCGGCGTCCTCGGCGGACATGTTTTGAGCAGCGGCGGCGGCGGTGAAGGAGGTGGAGGCATCCCAGTAGGTGCTGGCGGCGATGGTGGAGAGGGCGTTCATGCGAGAGACGTAGTAGGATTCGGGGCGGGATTGGGCGTCGAGGATGAGGGTAGAGAAGTCGATGGTAGGGGCGTTCGTGGGAGCCGAGGAGTTCTCGCGAAGGGAACCCATGCTAGAGGATGGGTTGCTGGTCTTGCTTGGAGTCGACATGGTTGGCGCCGGTTGCGAGTTGCTGATGGAGGTGAAGATGCAAGAGCTGATAAAGGAGATGGAACTTGATATTTACCAATTTGGGCCGTTGGCAAGATCTGCCCGAGTGAGATGGCCTTGAGAACTGGATCAGAAAAAAACTTTTCTGGAAGGAGAGAGCGAGGTTTCTAGTACGAGTGGTATGAAGAGAAGAATTCGAATGTGCCAGGGGAGAGCCTCTGACATATAGTGGGAGGCGAAGCGATGGACACATTCGTCACCCGATGCAATCAATAGATGCAGCGATTGTGACGCATCAAACAAACGGTGATGGATAGCCCTGTGACTCGAGGCTCTGATGTGGCTCAGCCATTGATCTCCGGCGACGAGGCGACATTCTCGCCAGTGAAGGCGGCCGCGGCACCATTGCCTGGTGACACCACCCCACAACTTTTGTGAATCCTTTAATATTAGAAAATCAGAAATCCCTCTAACAATTCCACCACAAGATCCGGTATGGCCCTGATATCAGCAGCAGTCCTCAAAACTGTGTTAAGCCCATCAGTTCGACATCACCGCTAAGAGGTCAACTAGCTCCCCTGCGTCCGGCGGAGGTGTCCTTTGAAATTCAGCTCTAAACAAGTTGTGATTTCGAGGTCCCTCTCAAATCAGATATCCGTGGGGTCACCAGAACGCCTGAACTTCCTGGCTAAAGAGCGTAGGTTGTAGACGACCTGATCTTAGGAACACTAAAATGGTTCCGCCTCGTATTGGCTTGCGGATATTGCAAGCTGGACCATTTCGGGGGATCTCCCTTGAGGAGGTCTTGTTTTTTTTTTATTTTTGGGGGATGTCTCGTACTTAGTCTTTTTGATTTTGTTGATGAGGTTCGGACCTGGAGGCAGTTTGTGGGCGTTGGCAGTGAAGTGAATGGATGTCGAGATGAGCCTCAGTTTGCCAAGGCCGGGCCTAGAGGAGACGAGCCTCTTTCGCAAATGCCTGATACTCTCCTGGAACCTAATGGGGGTTCTACGTATATGAGACTACACGTAATACTTGGAAATCTACTTGATAAGCCGGTAGCCGACCCCGAGGGCGGAGATTGTGTCGATGCAATGTCGCTGTGCCTTCGCTTGACAGTTGACAAAGACACTATATGCTGCCTCCCGTGCAACTCTGAATACGAGAATGCTATAAACCACATCACAATGCCTTTGGATGCCCTCCGACAGACTACAGTCAACATCAAAAGTCCTTGCGACTAATCAGCAGCATGAGGCTGACAGACTCAGGGGCACAGGACGGAGCGGAACGCGGCACGGCACGAAGCTCCGCCGCGCCAAGCAACGACATCAACCCAAGTCAAAGCTGGGGATGGACATAGACTCAACCAGACTAGGATGTACTCCACAACTCTGATGATGTCCTTGCTGGACTGTAGGTCTAGCTCTCTTGAGAGGCAGTGCTTCTCTCCCCAGGTGATAGCATTTTCTACCCATTGCCAACCCCCCTGTGCACCTCGACAGGCAGGAGGAGCCCAGCTCCCAAAGTTGTCCTATGCACGTCGGCATCTACTTCTCCAGGCACCTGCTAAATCAATACTACCAACACACCTTCTGATCTCTACCAGTACTCTTCATCCTGCTCAAGCAATATCCGCGGCCTTGATCCTAATTGAATAGACACTCAACGCCGGGAACGCTCCCGGCGTATACGGAGATACCAACGCATCGGCTACGCGCAAGTTCTTAGAGCCCCTGACGCGCAGCCGCGAGTCCACACACGCCTTGTGATCTCCCTCATCAGGTCCCATACGGCAGGTACAGCTGGCGTGGTGCCCAAGCGCCTCATCCCGAGAGCCCTGGCGGGGAGATATGTCGTCCGGTGGCTGATGTCTGACAAACGGCTGATACTCTTCAGGCGCGCGTTTGAAGCCGCGCATCAGCAGGTCCGGCGCCTGCGTCAGGGCGCGGCAGGTCGCGCGCTCGTCCTCCTCGCCCCGCAGCCAGTTGAAGTCAATGGATGGCACGGCGCGCGGATCGGTCGACCGCAACGTCATGTTTCCCGTGGACGAGGGATCGCCTGGGGGCTGCACCTTGACCATGATCCAGGACCAGCAGTTGGGCGAGGGTGGCGGGCTGGAGGAGCCTGGCTCGAGGCCGCGGAGTAGACCCCCAGGAGCGCCCATGGTCACGATGTCGACTTTGCCGGTGGTGGACTCGCTGCTCTGGATATTAATTACTTCGAGGCTTGATTCAGGGGCATTTCTGGGGCGTGGCTCGCACCAATGCCATTGACAGGTCTAGACCCAGATCTAACGCCAAGAAACTCGTGTTCACGAAACTACTAGGACACCTGGTTGTGTGCTTTGGGGCTCTTTTCTGTGTTTCTTTTCTGTCGCCAGTCTACACCTTCTGCACAGCCTAGCGAGAATGTATCTCCATCGTTCCAAAGACTGGTCCGTAGCCTTGCATCAGACCCTGGGGGTTCTACCTAAGCATGGCGCCGTATCGTGAGGACAGTTTGGCTGTGGTGTTGTGTCACCCCCCATTGGGACGATGCCAAGATATCTTGGAGGTTCGCAATCTCTTCATACGAGGGTGGCTGGCTCCAGCCTGGCTCCAGAGCGGACTTTGAGGACCAAAACAAAAAGTACACCGACTCCTCACAGCACATTCAATGTCAGACTCTTCGCAAGGTGAAGACACCCGACTTTTGCGGCATGGAGCTGGTGTGCTCAAAATGGAGGATCACGGCTCTGATCCTTATGTTGTGGCCTTGCTGTACGATCGCACAGACCTCCGGTGACATCGACTTCAACGTCACCTTTCCACCCAGTAGTGGTGGCGACAACAGGGTAGCATATTATGTTGTCTGGAGCCAGCCCGACCCCGCAGTACCCGAATATGAGTTTTCGTGCGCAGACAAGTGCTTCATCAACTGGACGCAGTCCGGCGTCGAAGATGTCTTTGTCAAGATAGAATGGAGCGACGAGTCGTCTTCGGGTGAGTATGCGACAACCTTCAACACATCCGCCGACGATTTGTCCCTGTCTTGGGGGAAGCTGCCGTATAATTCTGTCGATGAGTGGAACACAAAGTGAGTCTAGTAGTGTCGTTGATCGACGCGTCGAAAAGCTGACAGGGCTGGTCACCTAGAGCGCGATACCGTTGGATGTTCTTTCCCCAGTATACTCCGGACAATAACGGACTGAATCAGTTGGGCGTCTCGGACTACTTTGGGATCAATATCAAGGATTGGTCGTACACGAAGGGAACGCCGATTTCATCTACCGGTAGCACAGCCACTCAGGGCACAAGCGAGACTCCATCGAGTAGTAACTCGGATAGCAATGGCAGCAACATGAATGGTACTAACACTGACACTGCTGAAGGGAACGACAGTGGCAGCACCAGTACTGACGGTGGCGACTCTGCTGCAGAAGGATCAGCAGGCTCCGGGCATCTCTCCACCATAGTCAAAGTTGTCATTGGACTTGTAGCAATTGTGGTCGCTTTGGTCACGGTCGGCATAATATTCATCGTCATCAGGAAAAGCCAACACCGAAACCAGCTTTGCTTTCCCTCCACCAATGCAGAGAAAGGCATCGATGATTCCATCGGCGGTAAGCCAGAGCTACAGGGCAGCGTGGCGACCGGCAGAGGTGTTCCTTATGACAAGGCCGAGCTGCCGCAATCATTGCAGCCGCACGACGGCTCAGGGTACGTTGACGCAAAAGAGCTAGACAGCAGAGTGTTTGTCGCAGAACTGCCGGGCTCGCAGGCGACTGAAGGCTCTGTTCTCGCGGAGTTTCCAGCAGCCAGCGCTGACGCCAACGCACTCAAGGCCCAGGAGAGAGAATTGACGCGTCGCATGGAAATGGACGAGGCATTGTGCAGGCTTCGAGCCGAACAGGTTGCCCTGCATGATCGGATTCGCGTGGCGGAGATGCAGAAGCAGGAAGCCAACGGTGGATGAGACGCCGTTGTGGGAAAGCATTGTGGTACACATCAACAAGAGCCAACAAAACCAAAACTCAAACCTTTGGACGAAAGGGCAATTGCAACCTAGTCGCATAGATCTGCAGCACTAGAGGCCAAGTCCAGTCGAGTCATGAGCGGTGAATGCTGTATTTTCATCAGCCCACTGGCGTCCGGGAGCATGCCGACCTCCAACGGTGTGTTGAGCGGCCAGCCAATGATGGTGGGGGGGTTCCAGAGACAGGACTGAGCACAGGTGATAGGAGAGGCGATGGAGCATGAGCAGCAGAGAGCCATGACAGCAAGTGTCCACAGCAAGAATCCACAGGCATGCAGCAGGTCAGCTGTATGTGTGAGAGAGGGTGAAGGGAGATTTCCATGCAAAGACTGGTGGACGATGTTTATGGACTGGCGCGTGCCCCGTCGTAGTGCAGGTGCCGCATTTGGCAAGCCACCGGTAGATGCTAGCGCCTTCCACAGAACCGGGTCCTCGTCTTGTGGAAAATCGCAGTGCTGACATTGTCTCTTCAGCTGACTTACTGTCTGCTCGTTGACGAGTTCTGGTGTCTTCGTGGGTCATGTTGACTCCGTATGCTTCCGATTCCTGATGAGGGCGGGAGATATTCGAGGCGATTCATAGCCTGGTTTCAAGGATCGCTGATGAAACAATAATGCCGTTCTGGACGACCATTCAGCTCTGGATGCTGGTAGTTGTTGTCAAACACTGGCACTGTGCTGAACAGGCCGAGATCTTATGAGCTGAAAAACCACTGAACGATGTTACCTTTCTGGAGCCTTCATCGTCGCTTACCTGTAAAAATCGCTGTCAGCTGAGAGTCAGCGCTCTACATCCTAGAGTCGCTTGCGAAGGACAGCTGCCATCCGGTCAGTGCACTTACGGTATCTTCCGAATTGACATCCAAGAGCGATAATGTGTCAATAAGGGTACTCATAGACCTGTGCACCTTTAGGCGAAGGTGCGGGCCGCCCCTCGGCAGCTTTGACCCTCTCGGGGTCTCAACGCTCATTTTTCTTGACTGTTTGTGACATTTGACAATGTGTGATGCGAAGTGGACCACTTTAGATGTAGCTGCGAAAACGACGACTGAAAAAGTACGTAAATTGCGCAAAAAAAGAAGAGTGGCGACGAGGAGAATTTACGCAAAGGGAAACTTGCGACGCAAGGGGACAGGTCTCGTGAGCATTGGCGACTGATCGAGTCAGACGGAGCCCGACTAGGGTACAATTGACCTCACTGGCGTTGGAACGGCGCCTAGCTTCACAGTAGTACTTATTGCAAGTGTGATAGCTTGCTGTCGGTGTCTTCTTTCTGGTCGTCGGGGAGGGGCCGATTTAGCCGCTGTTGCGGGGAATTGACAGCGACTTGCGGATGGCGTTGCGCAACGGTCCCGCTGCCAATTTTCACCATGGGAGAAAAGTACTCCGCTATGGTGGTGCTTTGCATTAGGGGAGCAGGTTAAGGAATGACAGAAAACTGTGCACTAGTGCCGAGGCGGCGGTCACGATAGCATGGGCGCATGTGCAGAGATTGAGAGTGAGGAAACTGCCCACGGGAAGTGTATGGCGCGGAGTCCGCGAAGGATGTCGCCACGCGGGATCATTCGCGCGGGACGTTGGAGCGGCCGGCGGCGCATGGTCGGAGCCGCTGCGACATATAGCTAGCTATGTCAAATAACTGTGGCAAAGGAGGATCTCTGGGAATTGGAGGCGGTGGAAGTGAGCCTCAGAGTTTTGGCAACGCCGACAGTTGTGGGCTCGGCGGATCCAATGTCAAATCTGACAGCGGGGATGGCGAGTGCAACGGCGACACCGTTAGCACTCAGATTCGGTCTTTCGACGGCGGCCTTCTCAGCCTACGGGCTGCTTTGACTTTAGATATGATGTAGGAGAAACCGAAGTTGGAGCTGGAGGGCAAGTATAGCCATGGAGGAAATATACTTTGTAGGGACACCGGGAAAGGCGGTCCGGGGCGGTAACTGTAGGGGGCTGGTCCCCCGCCTAAAGTCGCAGCTTCTGGCAGGGATGTGACGGGCGCGTCGGCTAAGGGGGCCAGATGGCCCTTGATGGCCTCGGAAAACTCGCTTCAGCACGCTGAAACACTGGTAGAGTTGGGCAGCAGTGGGATGTGTTTGCTTCTGATGGAATTGAGACATGTTGAAACTCGTCAACGAAATGAGCAGCTGGTGGTCCTGATAACCAAGCCAAAGGGAAACGTCCTTGCGAAGTGAATCTACGATCGATGCAAGGCGGAGGAGTGTGCTGCCAGGGTCAACAGGTCGCCAGGTTGTGCAAACTTGGGCGACGATAAGGTTTGGAGTAGACCAAGAGATCTGGCATCGCGAACCGTGCGCAGCAGTTTTCGTTGGACGGAAATGCAAGCAGAGCATTCGCCGGCGACAGTGTGGGGGGCGAGCTGGGCTTGACTCCGTGACCTCCTGCAAGCAGTGCGAAATTGAATCGTATTGGCGACTCGGAGCACATGTGATGATGGTCATAAGCTGAGAAGGCGAGGCTAAACACCTTGGCCCTAGATAGATCTAAGCGGCCGGCTCTAGACACCCTGCATCAAGAAACACAGTTAGGCGTGCTCCGCTGACCGCCACCCCTTGACTGACTCGATCTTTTGTCAAGTAAGTTTGCGCTCAGCTGCGTTTCGAGGCGTCTTTAGCGAATGGTGCTGCTGCTGCTGCCAGATCGATTGGTTCAGCGCAACTACAACTAATTCGTGTCGTTAGTTGCACGGCTATTCCAGGAGGGCTGCTCTCCGGCGCTGTGCGACCTGCTATTCCCCATTTCGTAGTCGTAGCCTCAATGGGCTAGTGTTGGTCACACAGCCCTGGTCCTGTAGGCATCCAATTCACTGGGCCCTGTCACTGTCAGCATTGCAGAGGCAGAACACCTGGCCCTCACGTGGGCGCGGATCACTGCTTGGATGGACGACAACAGGGTACACGATGTACATGTCTCGCGTGCCGTCTGCATCATGTGGACGAAACGTGAAAACATGTCGAAGTGATGCTGAGGGATACGGTCGGCAACTGTCGATCTCATCGCCCTGCGGACGATCGGTACGAAGCTTAAAGAGTGAGGCCCGAAGCAGTGGCATTCTTGCAGCATGAACCTGCTAGCTCGCCACAAGCGTTCCTACAAGCGACATCACAGCTGCAGTTCCCGAGATCTAAGGCTAGACCAGGTAAGAACGGTGGGAACGGTGGGAACTGGCGAAGCCTGGGCATCGGTGCGGCCCATTGAGGGCTGCCACCATCGCCCGGAGACGCTTCCCCGGGGATCGCGGTCTAGCCATGAGCGGTGGTGGCCATGGGCTCGGGGCGCGTCAGACGTCCTCATGAGTCCTCTTCCGCCCGGGCCCTGTCGTGTTCACGTGTCTTTTGAAACACATATCCCCCAGGATATTCCTTGTCAAAGGCCGGCCAGTCGGCTGTGTCCACCGCTTTGTCGTGAACCTATTGTGAACCGCATCCCACGCCTCTTCTCTCGCTTGTCGCCCATCACCGGGTCACTCCCCTGCTTGTTGCGCTTCCGAACAGACAGTTCGTTCATCGGCTTGTGCCAGATCTCACGTATTCCCTACTGCCAATCACAGTGACGTGTGCCCTGTCCATCGTCAGTGCATCAAATCTGGCCATCCAACGTCCAGCCCTCCTATGGATTACCAACTTGGTCCCCTGCTCCCCGTTCAGACTCCACAAACTAGAACCTGTGACTTTGCTGCCTCATCCACTTACCGTGAGGCTTTAGCCGGTCCGCTGAGCTTTGGACTCGTCGTACGCTGATTTCTCGCTTGCTGTTCCCTGCTGCGTCCCTGCTGCAACAACGCACTGGCCAGACAGGTCAGATTGATGTGCTCGACCTGACCGACAGAGGGGCTGTCCAAATCGCAATCCTCCAGTCCCTATTGCAATGAAAGAGCTCATAACGATCGGCCAGAACCTTGAGATCCCCGAATGGAGCCCGACGCTACAGCAGGTAAAACCCCCCATGCTCGTCACTCCGGCTGTGGCTTCCTTAGGGTCACTCTTGCGCCATCCCTGATAACTCTGTTTGACAACAGATTGAGTATTTGTAAAACTTTGCGATCCCCTGGCAATAATGAGCCTCCCCAACTACGTACATCCCCAGTGCATCGTGCCTGTCGAGTGGAGTTCGGACTGTCAACCTGACTCCCCATTCTCCCAGAGGGCCGTTCCCAAGCCTTCCCGGCTGGTGGCTTCCGCAGCTCCCGTCCACCCCAGCTATCTAAGAGGGGCACCGTCGCCAAGCCGCGAGACGTTGCTGTTTCGACATCCTGACATCCCAACTTGCCAGATCGAACTGGCTCGTCTCGACCCCCACTGAATCTTTTTCCATCCCACAATAGCGCCTTCACATCCCTGCGTAGTGTCCCTGTTTCGAACTCCAACTTCCCCCAAAAGGCTATGATATGTTCTTGCTCTTCCCAATCTGATACCACGTCTCTCGTCTCTTGCCTTGCATTGATTTTTTCCCCTGGATCTGTGTACTTTCTACCTCGCGATCTTAACACGATTTGTCGCTTAATCTGGGGTATCTGAGGATCGAGGCTCTGTCAGACCCATTTGAACGCCAGTACACCCTGTACCTGAGCCGCTTTCGCCCACTCGCAGCATCTCTCTCAACGAGGCGGTAAGCGAGGCTGTGAGATCTCGCTTCTCCCTGCTCAGTACTTAATCTGTGGCGCCATCAGCTTCGGCTTTGCTCTGTTTGTCCCATGACGTTCCTTTCCTTTGCACGGCAAATGATTAAAGGTACTGGCACCGGCTTGCCGGAGCCATTCATCGTCGAATGGAAGAACGAGAGGGCATCCACAACGAAGGCGAAGAAGATGCCCACTACTACTTCTTCTGCCACACCTCAGAAGAAGAAACTGACCAGGCGACCCGAGTCCTGCGAGCCCTGCCGGAAGAGCAAGATCAAGGTACCTCCCATCTTGTTTGTTCCTCTTGACCATTGCTCACTTATATCCAGTGCGATGGCATCCGGCCCCAGTGCACCGCCTGTTCCCGGAGAAAAGAGAAGAAGCGCAAGGAGCCGTGCACCTACATTCCATCAAAACCCCGCTCCAAGGCGGCCCTACAAGCACAGGTCATTTGGTCTCCAGCATTCCGATCATGAACTCCAAAGCTAATTCAATCAGGCCGACGACAAATCCATCAAGCCTGAGAGTTCGCCATCATCGCCCACCTCAACTGTTGATGACGACGGCGCAGACTCCGACACCCTAGAGCCATCTCTATACCAGCACCGCGGACCACCGACGCTCTATCAGAGAGACGAAGAATTCTTTGGCCCTTACGGATTGGCACGATGCATAGACAAGGCCGGTAGCACCTGACTGCCTCACGATTACCCCACTGACGTACGCAGTTCAAGTCCATGGCCACGGGCAGTCGCCCCCCCTCTACCCTGGGGGCTATATCACGATGCAACGGCATCGAAGTCTTCGACTGCGTATCGCCAACCGAGATGTTGTCAGCACAAGAGATGTCCGGCCCATGCCCAGAACATTCCCTGCAACACGTACTCCCAGATGAAGAACTGCAGGCTATGCCACAGCCGATACAAGACCTAGCATGGAAGGCAATCAACATGAAGGAGCGCATGCTCGACAAAGGACGAGTGTTTGAGGCTTATAAGGACCTCGCTGCTCTTACCAGAGAAGCATTGTTGTTTCGAAAATGTGAGTATTCCCTCAACGTGTCTATCTTTCAGCTTTGCTAAAGTGTACAGTCAACTCCAAGCGACACATCAAAAGCACTCGGTCAGACAGCTTACAGACTGAAGTGGAGAAGAAAATCTATCGACTCATTATTGACTTGGACATTCGCATCTGTATGCACATTGGTATGCCGCTGGAGGTTCAACCCGAGAAAAATCCTACTCCACCAAAAGTATCTACCAATGAAGCCACCATGGCAACCTATGCCCTTGAGCAGTTGCAGTGGGAATATAGGCGGATTACGTTCGACGTTCTGACGACTCTCGATAAACTCTCGGACGAAGATGACAGCACGGTGCAACAAAAGTATATATCGGATCTGAAGTCGTCCCTACACCTTCTTCAGAAGCACGATATCACCATACCCGCCCCAGTGAGCGAAAGTGAAGACATGTCTGCAGTACTGGCAGAGTGCCACATTGAGTATCTCTCACTTTCGCTACTGCTAGCATGCATCCTGGGTACTATCCCCGCTGAAGCCGCCAAGGAAGACACCGGCGCCACGACAATATCCACGCCCAAATCGAATGAACAGAATGCAGAGCTGCCGTCAATGTCCTACACTGAAATGGCCACGGCTTCCTCTCGCAGAATCCTGCAGATGTTTGCCAAGGCCACGGCATCTGGACATGTTCCAACTTGGACATCGTCTTATGCAGTGTTCTGTGCAGCCACCATCCTCTCCATCGATGCCTTGATTGGTGGTTCAGCTACCCATGACTACGAAAATATCAAGCTTGTTGTAGACTACCTTGGCACTGCGACACGAGAAAGGAGCAACGAATTCTACGGTCTTGCCTATGCTCAACTCAGCCAACTTTGGGTTGAAATCAAGGCATTGTCTGGTAAGACTCCAAAAAGCAAAGAAGCACAGCACCAACCGAGCGCGACCGACGCATCATTGGATGAGTCTAATGCTCACTATTCCGCGATAGGGCGTGGCGCCAAAAGGCGTCGAAACAACAAAAGCGACACCCCAACAACCAGATCCCCAGCCAAACGACAGCGCACAAGCGCGAACCCTAGAGTAAACTTACCCAACGCCACCTTAGTGTACGGCCAGCCCATGACCGAGGAAGTCATGTACCCAAGTGGTCTTGGCTCAGACTACAACAGCCAGGTCTACAACTGGCCTGGCACGTACAAATCGACTGGAGGGCCGACAAGCGCCGATACGTCCTTCAGCAGCTCCATACATATGGAACCTGCATACGATGTCCCAAGTTCGGCTGTCCCGCCCTCCTCACACGCAGCATCATCCAATACGTTTGGCTTTCGAATGTGGTACCATCCTCCATTTGCACAGCCAGAGCCACCTCTCGAGCCTCTTGAGCACTGGGAGAGTGTGCCCCAGAACCTGTACCGCGACTTTCTCTATGCTTCCGGAGGCGGCAATAGCTTGGATTATGTCGACGCAAGTACTTCGAGCTTCGAGCGCCATGCATACACCAGCCCAATGGTTCCTCACATGGCCTCCGGGGCGCTCGTCTCCCCACAAGGGGTCATGGGTCAGGATTCCTGGGCAGGTGTCCCGGTTAACGCAAGCCAGGATGCCTCTGACTGGAATGCTGCACCACAGTCTTCGCGCCGCATGTCTGCAATCGAGGAGCACCTCACGCAATACGGTTATGGAGAAGCGCAAGCTGCCCACGATCGTGTCCACATGAGTACAGGTGGAGAGTGGCGTCCCACTGGGTCGTACCACTTTGATGGTGAGTTGCAGGATAGCAGTGCACATTGGTCGACAGAGCAACGGGCGCGGTTATGGCCGACACCAGTCACATGTGGTTGAGGGCGATGTTGTACCAATAAACACTCTGGAACACAGCACAGAGCAGGGCAACTTTGTGAATAGTTCCAGTGGTGTACATTCCGGGATAATCCTCTTCAAGTTGATCAGGCAGCGAATTTACGTCAAATGACCCCTAACCCTAACAATAATGTGGCTTCGCTTCGACTTCCTCGTTTGGGACTGGCATCGTGAACTGAGCCGAAGTGTCGGCAGCAGCACGGCTATCAGCGCATCTCCCAAGGGTCCGAACGCCCTGTGAACTTTCCCACCGCATTGTATATCACCTCGTGCCAATCTCCGTCCGCGCTGAACTTCCTTCAACATGTAACCGTCGCGATGTATCCTCCGTTCGACTACTTTGAGCATTATCGCGCTTGGTGAGCTTCTCGGACCCCCTATGCGCAGGCACCGCTAATATACCTGTACAGCGTGAACAAACAACGCAAGCGCGATGCTCGATTCGAATCGCTGCCTGTTACATACAATGGTCCCTTGACAGCACAACAAAGGTCGATACTCAACGCCCCCATCGGCTCGCTGGTCCAGGATGTCCAAGCCGGAAAGCTCTCCCCGATTCATATCCTGCGCACTTACGGCAAGACTGCGGCTGTTGCGCAAAAGCAGACCAACGCCGTTACCGAGCTCCTACTACCAGAAGCCGAATCATGGGCCAAGGATGGCGTCGATCTCAAGGGACCTCTGGCGGGCATTCCCGTCTCACTTAAGGACACCATCGTCGTCGGCGGATTCGATGCCTCGGTTGGCTATTCGGGCAAGGTCTTCAAGCCCCATGCCGAAGATGGCATTATGGTCAAACTTCTCAAGAGAGCTGGTGCTATCCCGCATGTCAAGACTGCCTGTCCAATCACTCTTCTCTCATTCGAGTCAGCCAACTCATTATGGGGTGTAGCAAAGAACCCCCACAATCAAAAATACTCGCCTGGTGGCAGCACAGGGGGTGAATCTGCCCTACTGGCCCTCAACGGCTCCCGCATAGGTGTTGGGTCAGACGTCGCTGGTTCTGTCAGGGCACCGGCAGCATGGGCTGGTTGCTACTCTATCCGCTGTAGTACTGGCCGTTGGCCGAAAGGTGGCATCGACACTTCTATGCCTGGTCAAGAAGGCATCCCATCCGTTTACTCACCCATGGCACGCACTCTCGACGATCTCGTCTACTTCACCGAATCCTTCATTGGCATGAAACCTTGGGAAGTCGACTATAGTGTCCATCCTATTCCCTGGCGCTCAGATGCGCTCGAGGCCGCTTCTTCAAAACCACTGCGGATCGGCTACATGACCACGGATGGTGTCGTTGACCCCTCGCCTGCCATCAAACGTGGCCTTGACATGACCGCTGCAGCTCTCCGCAAGGATGGCCACACCATTATCGAGCTGCCTTCTCAATCCGCGTTTCCTTCCACTGCGAGCCCCGCATATGGTCTGCAGGTCGCTTCCATGCTTCTCTGCGCTGATGGCGGCAAGACGTTCAAGCGCTTCTTCCGTACGGGCGAGTGGAACGACCCTGGTGCCGCGCAAATTTACTTCTACATGAGTCTTCCTCGACCCGTGAAGTACTTGTGGTATCTATGGACAAAGTATGCCAAAGGTGATAGCCTGTGGGCTAGCATTTTACGCTACTTTCACCCGCTGTCTGCCAACGAGCAGTGGAAGTGGGTGGCCAAGCGTGAGAAGTTCAGGGCGGATTGGTTCAGCTGGTGGGATAGGCCCGAGAACCAGTTCGACTTTATCCTGGCCCCTGCAAACGCGACACCGGCTCTGCCGCACGGCGCTATGAAGGATGCCGTCTCTAGCTGTGGCTATACCTTCCTCTGGAACCTGCTGGACTATTCAGCTGGCGTCATCCCCGTAACGCACGTCGATGCCGAGAAAGATGCTCTCTCCGCCGACTTCAAGCCCAAGAATGGCGTGGAAAGGGGTGCCTACAAGCACTACGATTCCAAGAAGATGGAGGGTCTGCCTTGCGCTGTGCAAGTCATTGGCAGGAGGTTGACGGAAGAGAAGACGTTGGGCTGCATGCAAGTGGTGGAAGAAGCGCTCGGAAAGGATGGCGTTGTGTACGAGCAGTTGGACATTGAGAAATTTATGTAAGGTATATGCAGGACCTAATGTTGATAAGTCCGACATCCTCTTCAAACGTCCTGCATGTGGACCTCACGTCTGGCCATTGGGGCATATGAGATGGGGCAGGTAGCGAGGTGAGAAAGAAAGTCATGGTGAGCGTTATCACGGCGGAGATCGTAGTCGATGAACTTGTAGCAACGTGCCAACTCAGGGGGCAGTCTGAAGTCCGACAAAGGGAGGGTTGGGTTGCATTCTTGTCGTGTCTTGCATCGCTGCCTATCAGTGGCGGCTATCTATAGGGATCTGAGACTTGGCGGTTAGTGGTATGGATCACGGGATGGTGGATGGGTGTGATCTGATGTCCCACGGTGGTGTGGAGGGTTCCAAAGTATTGTCGAAGCGCACGAGGACTGCTGCAACGTCGACGACGACGACGACGACGGGAGATCCACAAAGCCAAACCCGGATTCTCGTCGGGTTGGGTCGCTGGCCGGATGGGTTGCATTTGCAGTGCACTCCATCTGACACACTTGTTTCGCGACAGATGGTAGATGCCGTGCGTGCGCTCTCTGACCACCCTTGGGGGCACTGAGTATAGTTTCGTAGTCTTGAGTGATCGTGCTCGTTTGGGTCAAGCAGATACGAGGATTCTTTCTCAGAGCTTTGAGACCTTGTGAGCGCTTTTCCACAGGGGGGCGCTTGTGTATCTGGGGGCCATGGATGAGGTTTATGTCAACTTACTTGCTCGCTTGCTCGTGATGGTTGCCCACTGCGGCCACGAACCCGAGACAGATGGCAGGCGGCCTTCTTTGCTGTGGCGACATCCTCATGCGGTCGCAGTATACTGTTGGAATACCCGTAGAAGCTCTGCTCGAGGGAGCGTTAGTGGGGGCGAGAGAGGGAACCTTCCATCCATCCATCCATCCATCAATCACGTAGGAGAATGGTTCACACGGTGGGCAATGGTACCCGGTCTTGACTATCAGTAATAGTAACAATACTGGAGCATAAGCACAGAGCGAAGCTTTTACCCTGACAGAGCTTGGTTGGCTCCATGGAATTCATCTCCGAGCTTCGGCGATCATGGCGCTACTCTGGTAATGCTACCGAGGTGAGACAACGCTGAAGAAAGGTCATGAGGCAATACAATAACGGTCATGCAGGAGCATGGAGCGATTGGATGGGCCAGAAATAGCTGCAAGGCTGATGACTGGATGTTTCTCGCCAACAAGATTAAAGATTCACCCGACTGCCGGGCGGCAACGATGACTGGTCACTGGTAGGGTAGCAGCTGGGATGCCAAAAGGTCGCGAGGAAAAAAAGGCCTCGCGGAGTACGCGGGCTCATAGGTGCGTCAAGCCTTGGGCTGCGCAAGCCAGAGCCTCAGTGCTGGGCTCGGGTCTCAGCTGGTGGGACTTTGGGAAGGCGTGCACACTAGCACCGTACCAAGTACAGAGTACCAGAAGGAGGGGGGTACCATCTGCTTAATGGCGCAATGGCCTTGTGGCTGAAAAGCAGCGGCGTGGACTAAAATAAGGCAGGTCTCCTGAGTCATCAGCGAATCGGAGGTTAGAAGTATGGGATGCAGCGAATGAGGACTCGCCTGACAATGAGCTTGTTGGGAATAAGCCGCCAAGCCCGTGGCAAGGACTTTCCCTTTGAGGACTAGCATCGACGACGTCAGGTGATGGCGTGGATGGCGTGGATGGCTGACTTTTTGTCGAGGCGCAGCCCCTCCATCTTCGACACCCCTGCTCAGTCCACCTCGTAATTGATGTGTGAGCAATGCTACCACACCGGCTTCTGAGCCACCACCATGAGGGCTACTGTGGTATTCGTGTCTTTGTGTCTCATGGTACATCACCAGGTAAGCAATGCTCGTGTCTGACTATAAAGCACACGAGTCCTCTTCGTCCAGGTAAGATCGGCATCAACCAGCAACACACAATACAGCAACACATTCCATAAACAAGCTACTCTCGCTTTTTGTCCTTTCGTTAATATTTCCTTGACACATTCGCTGAACCCTACATCAACGACCTTTCGCTCTTACTCAACTTTCAGCTTTCAGACCATCGCTCCACCCAATTAAATATCAGACTCACTAATCTTCCGCCAATCACAATGCACGCCTCTATGAGCCTCGTCCTCGCCGCCCTTGCTGGCTCTGCTTTTGCTCGCCCCATGTTTGACATGCCGCAGAATGGCACGACCACCACTACCACCTCCGCTTCTAGCTCTTCTGCTATCACCACAGTGAGCTCTTCCAGCACGAGCGGCCACCCCACCTCCTCCAGCTCGAGCAGCTCTCTGTCAACCAGCAGTTCTGGCTCTAGCTCCAGCTCCTCGGTGATCAAGACTTCCACTTCCAGCTCCTCCGTTACCGAGACTTCCTCCTCTTCCACTCCCTATCCTACCACCACCACGCATCATCACAATGGTACCACAACCACCGCTCAGCCTACCACCTACACAACCACCGAGACTGTCACCATCACTACCTTCGTGCCCACCTCTTCTCCTGTGGCCACTCAGCATGGTACTACTTACTACACTACCTGGTTGTCGACTCACATCTACACCACGACCTCGTGCTACCCAGTTCCTACCTACAATCCCGTTCAACCCACGCCCGCTCCTCCCGTCATCACCAGCAAGCCTGCTCCTCCCGCACCTGCGCCATCGTGTCCTGCTGAGACTACGGTGACCGAGTACGTCTATCCCAACAACGGCTGGGTCTACTATCCTCCTGGCCAGTGCAACCACTGCCAGACTGTGACCTACACTGATATTACCGGTATCATCGTCACAATTGCTATCCCAGACCAGCCAGTCAAGCCCACTACTACGCCGTACATCACTAGCACCACGACCTCCAGCGCTATCATCACCAGCACGACTAGCAAGCCCCACCACAATACCACCAGCACTAGCGTGAGCTCCTCGGCCACTTCCACCAGCTCTTCTTCCTCCGTGACCAAGACCTCCACCAGCAGCAGCTCTACCCACGTGCCCACCTCTACTTCTTCCAGCTCCAGCCACACTGCTACCTCAACCTCTGCTTCCTCAAGCCCCAGCTCGAGCGCCAGCACCAGCACCGCTAGCTCCACCTCCACCGTGAGCCCAACCACCAGCTCCTCCAGCACTGTCCATCCTTCCTCCACCACCATCATCATCGACTCCACCACCACTCCCGTCGTCACTCCGACCCCCACCATCATCATTGACCCAGTCACCACCCCAGTCGTCACTCCCGTGAGCACCGTCCTCTAAACGGCAGGCCCGCAGCCATCATCGACCGGCATTTCACACATGCACAACGACTTTCCTTGAAGCAACAGCAAATACAACGAGCATAATCACAGCATAGCGCGGCATCGTTTTTTAGGGGGACATAGCATAGCATAGCATGGGCATGGGCATAGCATAGCGATCGGTTTACTTGGGCCATTGGGCACACAGCATAGCGACGGATCACACTCACACTCACGACGAGACCAATAGATAATAAAAAGGATACACACGAGTGATTGTGAGAAATTGAGCCTAATAGAGGAGAAGATACACAGAAGCATACATACAAAAAGCATTTATCATCACAATTTTCTACTCGTTCCTGTCCCATCTCACCCACAGCAACCACGAAATATACTCACATACGGAAAAATTCTCAATTCGTCCCTTTTCCATCTCCCTCCCTCTCCTCCCTTCATCTCGTTTCGTTTCGTTTCGTCTCCTGGATGTGCAACGGGAAAATGGCTCCTTTTCTCTCATTCTCCGCCACTGCAAAGCGAGACAAAGCACTGCAGAAGGCCCCTAGGGGCCTTCTGCCTCTACCGCACGCCAACTCCGATGTCATAACCACGTGAACATCACACAACCTCGTCTGCCTGTCTGCCCTACCCACGTCGCGATAGTACACGCGGCTCTCGGTAAACAGTAGTGCAGTCGTCAAAAGCAGGATGAGATTGTATACGTGCTCAAGGCGTGCCGCATAATTCGTATCATCGCGTGGCGTGGCGTGGCGTGGCTTGGTATAGCATTGCGTGGCCTGAGCATGAAGAGTGAGCGCAGGGGTGAGTCACGTCGAGACCCCAAGGGCCAGCGCTGATTGGTGCCGTCTCAGGCAACACATAGTCTGGATCGCTGCAGTGAGAAAGGTACAAAGAAGCGTTGCGCCACGCAAGAAGTACGGGCTGGGGGATATGATTGGCGATAGAGTGGCGTCAGGCGGCAGGCATCAGGCGGCGAAGGTCTCAGTATACTGGTTCGTTGCGCGGTCGCTGAGAAAATAGTGTGCTTATGGGTGCGGCTGCAATGGCTATGGATGCCAAGGCTTTTACTGCCTGAGGCCTTCCGACGGGCACTCGATGGAGGACATGTGGGCCACGCTGAAGAGCTACTCGATACAGTGCAAAGCGCTGCTCACTGGGGCTTTGCCGAGAAGCGCGGGAGAAGCCCTGTACAACGTTACAGGAGAATCATCATCTGTTCGTTCATATGCACGTCCGTTCCACGTCCGTTCCCGCGGTCTAACCAACACAGCTATCTCACAGCCACGGCATCGGCTGCGCATTCCTCCTATACAAGTTCTGCTTCCCCGGCCGCCACCTCTGCGCTCTCTTTCTCCGCTTACTCTTCTCCTTCTTATCCTGATCCCGCCTCACCAACCGGCTCGGAGGGTTGCTTCTAGGCCCCGTATTCGCGCTTGTCCCATTCTCGTAGACCGGCAACGCCGTGTCCACATCGTAGACGACATCGTCATCCTCTCCCACCACTTCCAGCTGCACGGTACTGTTGCCTTCCTTGAAGTCACTCGTCACCGTCCCCTTGGTCAAATAACCCGCCGTTATGTTGACTTTTCCTGTCTCGATGTCCAAACCATTGACCACACGCCCGAACATCTCCAGCGCAGCCAGGGGCTTGTAGAACGGCACTTCGTGGCCAGATTCATAAATGCGCACGAAAGCGAATCTCCCTGCCTGCTTGACTTGGCCGTGAACTTTGCCGTCGGACGTGGAGATGTTGGTGAAGCCTGCGTCCTCGAAGCCGGCGGCGCCGACGTTCTCGGCGATGACTTGCCCGCCGATCCAGTTGCATACGTAGTCCGCGTCGCCGTAGTAGTGGATCATGGTCACATTGGCGTCGTAGATGCGCTTGGTGGCTGCGACGGTGCCGAGTTCGCGGTCGTCGTCGCCGGTGTTGGCGAAAGCCAAGCTCACGGCATTGTTGCTCTCGGTGAAATTGACGTAGGCACCGATGGCGGCTTGAACCTCTGGCGTGTTCAGGTAGTCCACGTAGTAAGTGGGTGGGAACGGGTCTGGGGTCAGATACCGGATGTCGTACTCATCGCGTCCGGTGACGAGATCGAAGATGTACTCGACGTTCTGGTAGCAGAAGGCGTCCGCGTAGGCACACACGCTATTCCAGCCGTTCTTGTTACAGTCGACGGTCATGTCGTAGCAGTTGCCGCGACCATACATGGCGTTGTACACAAGGGCGCTCATTGAGTCGTTGAATGGTGCGTAATCGTAGGAGTTTCCCGGGTTGACAGTGTAGTTATAGAATGCCTCGTATTGAATGAGAGGGTCGTACCAGCCGTTGCCGATGAGGACGGCGGCCAGTTTGATCTTTTGGGCGCCTTCGATTTCCTTCTCGTTCTGGTCGAGGAAGTAGTCGTTGAAGATTGGTGCATAGTGGCCTCCGTAGCTTTCAGTCGCAAAGAAGAACTCGTTTCGTGAGTACTGTGGGAACGCACCCATGAAACCTTGAATGGTCTTCCACATATTTGGCGCGGCAAGGTCGGTGGTGTTTGCAGTGAGGTCTTGATACGGAAGGGAGTAAGTGCCACAGTCCTGGTCTTCGGCATAGTCTGGGCAAGTGTTTTCTGGCAAGACCACAACGTAGCCGCCAGTCTCGTCGACGTACGCTGGAACCGCCTCGCTATACGAAAAGCCGACCTGAGTTGGCTGGTCGATGAAGAGCATATTGGAGACGTTGGACCATGAGTAAGGGTTATCTACCGGATCGCCGCTCGAATTGACCGTGCAGGGGCCGAGTTCTTGAAAGAGACCGATCATGGAGGAGGACCCGGGCCCGCTGTCACACCTATTAGTACAATATTGCCTGAAGGAGACTTGCCATACCCGTTGATCCATACAGTCCTGTCAATGGTCAGCATCGCCTTCTTTGTGCGGAGAAGAATACGTACAGCGGTGCCTCGCTGGCGTTTACATTTCTGGCTTCAAAGAACCACCAGAATATGTGTTGGTTCTCCTCAACATCGGCATAGCCCGAATAGCTTTTCACGTCTGGATTCATCTCGCAGATGCCCGCCGGTACCTCTTTGTACCGAACGGGAACACCGGCATTGCCCGTAGCATTGGTGAAGTTGGTGGGGGTTTCGACAAACTGCGCGGTAACCTGATGGCCAGCCAGAGCCAGCCAGAGCGTCAAACTCGCCTGGTAGGGATGCATTTTGGAAACGAGGACGGAAGCAACGCACGAAGGCTGCCCGGGGCCAGAAGAGGGCGGGTCCCCATGTTTTGTAGCTCCCAAGCAGCTCTACAACCTTGTGATGTACTCACCTACCTCGCTCATGGCCAGAACCGTGGGCTACCAAGCGGTAGTGGAAGCGCGTCCAACGTTATGACGCAGTCTTGTGCACGACGTTACAATCTGTTGCGATAGTCCTGCAACTAACTAGGTACCCTTACCCGGATAGGCAGCTGGGGTCCAGTAAAGACCCTGTGGCGATATGACCAAGCTTCCGAAGGAGCTCCAAGCTTCTTTAGGGACAGCTTTGATGGTGCTTGTGTGGCTCAAGACATTGCGCAACTGTCGATAAGGCGCAGCGACCGGCATTGGGATGAGCAAGGTTACGGACCAGGTCAGTCACACAGAGCCGCGTTGCTTTTGAGACGTTGTGTAACTTCGAGGCAGCATTTCTCTGCAGGACACTGCCTCGGCTTCCCCGGACCGGCGTCCTCCGGGTGCGATAGGTGGCCGTAAACCCCCACGACATCCTATCTATACGTAGCTCAGCAGGCTTAACTCCTCACCCCCAACTCGTCCACACCTGATATTCACGTCAATTCGCTGCCTGATGCCAAGGCCGTACCACCTTGCTCGCGGTCGAGCACGACTGACACTTGTGGCAAGCTCTCACACTGCTCCTATACTGATATGCTATTACTACTCACTGAGATCTCCACGCCTACCAAGAACTCCCCAAACGCGACGAACATGTGTATATCTGTACTCCATCCCGATATCGGGGTCCCCTGACAGTGCCCGGATAAGTCGGTATGTACCCGCGGGATCGGCCACCAATCCCCCGCCCCCGCACCCCCCGAGCCAGTACGCCTTACCGCAATTCTAAGCTCAGTCTTCGCGTGCCTCCAAAATTCTTTGCGCTTGTGCTTCGTCGATACACAAGCAATATAGAAGGCTATCCAATTGGAACTTGATGTCGGCCGTTCTGAAACCTATTAAATGGTTCTACCATGAGTTTGGTGTCTCTGCCATCCATGAGACCGGCCGCAATGCATACCTCATCATTTTCGCGCGAGCATGTCGCATGTTCGCCTACGGAACGAATTCCCTCATCTTGGGTACGTCGATTGATTCACTCCAGCATACATAGACACAGGTCTGACCACGATCGACAGCCATCTTCTTTTCGGCGCTCAAGTACAGCGATCACCAAATTGGCCTCTTCATGACATTAACCCTCGTCGGAGATGTATTGCTTGGCACGTTCCTCACGCTCATCGCCGACAAGGTTGGCAGGCGGAAAGTGCTCATCGGTGGCTCTTTCTTGATGGTACTGAGCGGCATCGTCTTTGCTCTGTTTGAAAACTTCTTCATTCTGTTGCTGGCTGCGGTTGTGGGTGTGATCAGTGTCACTGGCGGTGACTTCGGACCGTTTCGAAGCATTGAAGAGTCAGTGCTCTCCCAGCTCACAACCCCGAGCACGCGTGCGGATGTACTAGCATGGTACGTTACCATTTCTGCCATTGGATCCAGCCTGGGCAGTGAGGCTTCTGGCCGAATCATCCACTATCTCGAGAATCTTGATGGCTGGACGCCGGTCGCGACCTACCACACGCTCTTCTGGGTGTATGCGGTTATGGGTCTTGTGAATGCCATGTTCATGTTGCTCCTCACCGATGCGTGCGAGCTGGAAACTCAGGACACCAACTACGCCCAGGTCCCGCAAGACGAGAGCGAGATGACTGAACCTCAAATCCAGCCACTACCTCAACCCCCTGTTGAGCCCGCTACCTGGTTCGGCCGTGTCAAGTCCTCCCTCGCACAGATCTCGGCACCGACGCGCTCCATAATGTACAAGTTGTGGTTCCTCCTGGCGTTGGACAGCATCGCAGACGGCATGGTACCCTACTCGCTTACCAATTACTACATGGATGTCAAATTCTCGCCTGCGAAATCCACGCTCGGCGATGTGACATCCGCCTCATACTTTCTTGCCGCGATCGGCTCCACCTTCGCTGGTCCCATGGCCCGAAAGATTGGCCTCATCAACACAATGGTGTTCACTCATGTCCCGTCCTCTGCAGCGGTGCTTTTCTTTCCGGCGCCACCTTACTTCTGGCTTACAGCCCTCCTGCTGTTGGTGCGCGCAGGGCTGAACAACATGGACCAGGCCCCAAGGTCGGCGTTCATTGCTGCGGTCGTGAAGAGCGACGAAAGGACGGCCGTCATGGGCATCACCGCTACGATCCGCACATTGGCGGCCACAACGGGACCGACATTTACAGGCTTGCTGGCGGGCAAGAATAAGTTCTGGATCGCGTTCGTCGTGGCGGGCGTCTGTCGTCTGGCCTATGATTTCGGACTGTATGCGCTATTCATCAATGTGAAGCTGTACGAGCACGAAGCCAAACCCGAGGCCATGACGGAGCAGAATCGAGGACGGCCGAGCGCCGATATAGCCGATGATCTCGAGATGCAGAGTTTGGCGGATTCAGAGAGCAGTAGCGAGTGGATCGGAAGCAGCAAAATTGAAGGACAAGAAGCCATTGTAAAAAATGGACTGCAAGCGCCCAGTGCTGAGCAAGTGCGAAGTCGAAGTCCTCACCGGAGCCGGGACACTGAAAGCGGTCTATGAAGCCAAATGTGGAAGAGGATGATTACTACAGGACAGAGCAGTTGCCCAGCATGCTAATGCCTGAGCAGGCTCCGTATACCCCAGGCGCTCCCAGGTCTAAGCGGTAGATGCATCAAGTCGAGGTTTCAACTTGCGGTGCCCAATACATTGTCTCCCGCCAGCCCCCCTTTTGTGGCGCCGAGACGTTCTTCTCCTCTATCTATGCTGAACATCAGTCGTCATCAGATTCTTGCCGTCCGTAGCTGCACTCTACCTGGAGCTGGGTTTTGGTGAACGTGGAGTTTCAATGCAGTAATAACCATGAATGGTAAGGACGGGCCAGGCTCTCATTCGCGACGATGGTATCTGTCGATTTGGGGCTTCCTCGAGGATCAAGGATTTGTCCTGACTTATGATTTTCTGCTGGAGTTATGTTCCTCATGCCGATCAATCTTCGCCCGATAGGAAAGCGATTCACGGTGAAATCCATAATTTGGCGGACTTGTTTAGCACCAATTTAGCATATAGCTCTCGGGAGGACACCAGTGTTTTCCAATCGCAGCACAGCTGCGTGCTAACTGGAATAGCAGCATCAGCCCTTGGCTGTTGGTAGTGAGTCAGCTATATATATACCTAGGTACTCATCCCATCAGCAGATATACGTCCACTTGGCGGAAAACTCGACCCTTAGACAGCTCTCAGCCCCTGCCGTTCTTTGACCACCCCAAGAATGAACTTTTGCAGGCCTTTGTGGTTCGTCTGCACGGAGAGTTTCTCCAGAAAGCGATCGGCGAGCTCCGTTTCCAGTTGCTGCGTCTTTGTGAGATACAGAAGGGAGCAGGTAATGGGAAACATGGCGAACTGGGCGCCGAATACGCCAGCAGCAGGGTGGAACAGCACCCCCACAACGTCAGAAATCTGCTGACAGTGACCGTCCAGTGAAGATTTCGCGAGATGCTCACGGAATTGCAGCCCGGGGTCGCTGTCCGGTGACAGCGAGACCGCCATACGCATCATGTTGTTGGTTACCAGACACATGGTCCAGTAGAGCGTCAACAGATGTGCGGCCAAGACATCCTTGGTGGTCGGCTCCTGATCTCTGCGCGCTTCCAGGGCACTGAGCTCGTCATGCGGAAACTTCGTTTCTCGCCAAGTTCTGAGCTCCGTCATGATACAGCTATAGGTGGTGCGAATGCGATATGCAATGCTTCCACCAGAGTGCGCGTGCAGCGCCAAGGCATCAATGTCTTCGAAAAGGGTAGGGATTTTGACAAGGATGTCGATCAGATGATCCTTTGGACTCTTGGACATGTGTGACCACGGGATGCTGGTCCACATGGGATCGGACAGGAAGGTTCGCTTGTTGCTCAAACATGCCGCGATAGCCTGTCATTAGATTATCAGCTACTTCCACCATTCAAAGGTGGCTCGGGGTGTCTACCAGCTGCAGACGGCCGTCTACAAAAAGACGATGCGCTCGGCCGTCCGTATAGTGAATTGGACTGCGTCTTGTGATGATGGCAGTCTGCCCTAGGTGATGGCTGACCCAATTCTTCGGTTGCGAGTACGGTGAGTTGGGTTCGGTGTCCGGTCCACGTAACAGCTTGGTTGATCAATGTCATCACAATCAAGTATACGTTGACAGAGAACGTACCTCGTATGCACTCAATGCTCTCGAGGCGACAAGCGTTGCGTCTGAGTACCATGTGGAGGTATAGCTTAGACTATTTCGAACGTTGTCGAGGGCACTGGTGTACAACTTGAGGCTCTCATGAGCCATCCACGGTTTAGCATCGTTCTGACCAACCAATATCATGCATACCGCCAACAAAGCTTTTCTGACCGCATCGTTATTAGACGAAATGTCTCGTGCGACAGTTACCCAGCTTCCCCAGGACCCAATTGCCGGTGGCGACGCGCCTGGCAAGTAAATGTCCCAAAAAAGACCGAGGTACTGCTCTTCATAAGCCGCAAGATTTAACGAATGACGCAGCGTAACCTCGAAATCGCTGCGAGTGACGGCAACACCTGTGCTCGTCGCCGTCGTATTCACGAATACATGGACATCATACCCGATACATGCCAGGCCAGACTTTTTGCATCGGTCACAGATCGGACGTTCTAAGGTGCACTGGCGATCATTCCTTAGCATCCATTATGAGGTTTGCAATGACGAAGGAAAGCTCTCGTACTCTCTTCTTCCGCCTTCGACACGTGTGACAGCCCTTGGATCTACCAGATCCACCGACCATACTGGACAAGTTGAAGGCCTATCTCGCAAGGCAGGTATCGGTGCTGACGATACTGTTTCTTCGTAATAAGGTTGATGTCAGGGCGCAGAAATTTCTCAAAAGAGCAGGTCGAAGTGGACGAGGGCTGACTCCCGCAGATACGAGGTAGATCTTTGAAAGCCATTTGTAGGCTACTCCCGAAAGCTGGGGTTTCGCTCGCGATGCACAGTGGCCCCCATCGCGCGGCAGCGATGCAATGGCGACCACTAAGCTGGATTTGGCGAATTTCACCGCGATGACTTCAATACCAAGCATTCTGCTAGGCGCAACGCAACATGGAAGCGTCCGTCAAAGTCAGGATAGCTTCAAATCAGCCTTGCCGGCGATTACGTCGTCACGACCGGGACGTCTAAACACCATGACTGGAAACCGACAACCCTTCGAGCATCAACAATGCAAAAGGTCGTCAAAATCAAAATGATTGCAGGAATTTTTGTCGGAGGTCGCGAACATGTTACTCTGTGAATTCCTGATGCTCGGTCGCTGGTGGAGGTTCAAGAAGGACTCCAAACTCCACGACAACGAACGAAGACAGGTTGAAGTCGAAAGCCATGTCGATAGCAAAGGTACGAAATCTCGGGCGAGACGAGATCTCATCTTTGGTTCTCGATGGTGCGTAAGAACTCAACTGTTCCATGTAACTCTCCTTGCTGGCTAGCTGGGACATTCCTGTTGCGCTTGCGACCATTTTGCTGGCCATATTGCACTCGAGCCCCTGAAGTAGCAGAAATACGGAAGGATAAAGTCAAGTCACTAGTCCGGTCTACTCCGACTTGTTGTAGAAAGGAAGAAGAGAGGCGTCAGATGGATTGGGAAGCTCAGCAGTCTCGGGCGCCCAAGGAACACCCACTTGTCACCACGGCGGGACCCATCCCGTCTTGAGCTGCTCTTTATCAATAATGGTGGGACCTGTACCGCTCGGACATCGGCGGCTCTAGGCTTCTTCGCTGACCAGTCCAGTTAGGTCGAAAAGTCGCTTGAAATCTCCGAAGCCGGCAGCAGCGGCCTTCACCCGTTGCCGGTGTGATGAGGTTGGACATGCCCAGCTCGTGGTGCGATCCGAACAGACCATAGCGTTGCCCGACGGTCCAGCCTCATCCACACAGAGCTCGTCGAACGAGAGAAGCTCGGCAGCGGAGGTGGTGAGGAAGTCGACATCGGTAAGAGCCTTCATCAACTAAGCGCACCGGTCAGGCTTTGCCGATGCTTGCCCTAATCTCCAGGCTACAAGCGACCCGAGGCTTTTGTCAGTGGTGGCATTGACACATGTCATCCTTCACGCTGCAAGGAGCGTATACCTCTACATCAAAAACGAAAGAATGTCAAGACTGGTGTTGATATCGATGTGCTGTACTACCTATTGATACATGATCTTGTGCATGACTATTTTCCCCCCACTCCCTTGTCTCTTTCTGCCTATGCCCATTCATGTCTCCTCGCACCCTTTGGCGTGATCGGCACGTCCGTTTGCGTCACGGTTGTAGTGACGTTCTTCTGAATCACCCCAAGCGCAATAGGTTTGTTCTCGAGGACAAGGCCACGCTGACTCAGGGAGCCGTCCGAGTCATCGACTTGATCATGAGAGTCCAATCGTTCCGTGGCGCGCAAATTGTTGAACCCCTTTGAGGAGAAGGAGCGATGTTTGCTGCCAGTCGGACCGGTGTTGTTGCCGTAGCCATATTTCGCGGTCAGCCCCTTAAAATACGTGTTGTCGAGGATGGTCTTGAAAAGTGGCTTGAGCGAAGGGAAGCTTCCGGCGATGATGCCCGTGTTGAACTCCGCGACGAACCAGATACAGAGATCTCTGCTGTCCCAGAGGAAGTCGCCGGTCTTGCCGTAGTTCTCGATGGTAGGAATCCGCAGGATGCCAGCCAGGCAAACGAAAAGACCCAGCGACAACATGAGCATGACGGCGCCCTTTGTTCTTTTGTTCATTTGGAGTCCCCACAAGATGGGAACTGGAATCACCACGGCAAACACAAAGTCTGTTGCGATGTTGAGTGCAGCGTGGGTAAAAGCCAGACCCTGCAGTGTCTCCTGGTCCCAGCATTTGCGCGGAATCGAACCGTCCCATTGCATGGCGACTTGCTCGCATTGGGTGAAGAGAGTCTGTGAGTGTTAGCATATGCGCCATCGAGGTGCTGGAGCGGCTCTTACTGTCATTGTGCCGATGGTATAGCAGACCATAAAGATCATGATGCCAATGATGGGAAACCTCCACCTTTTCTTTGTCGCAATTCTCAGTAACGCGCATCCAACTGAGAGCTTTACGATACAGACACCCGCCTGAAGCAGCGGCTGACTGATGAAGTTCAGCTTCATCCCCTTTATAAATATGTCTGGTTCGACATCACCAATACTAGCACCGTGTCAGCTTTTGACGCTTCAAGACATAGGAAGTCCGCGATACTTACTGCTGGCCCGCTCCATACTTCACTGAGAGAGCGATCACGGTGGTCGTAGCGATACTCTTCCAGTAATTAGCCGTGTTTTTCCTTTTGGTCGATGTAAACACTTACGACCGACATAGCCAGGGCCATGAAATAGTCATCAAAGCCCATGTTTTTCACCACGAAACCCCGGACGTAGAACCGGGCCAACACCGTCACAAAGGCAAGGCATGTTGTCGACAGTGTTGCTCCGAGGATATGAGGTCCAGCGTTCTCATCTGGATTGGAAGGAAGTGGTGGAAGGTCTGCTGGAGTGGCCATGGTTGCTCGTTAATCAGTGATCTGCATAGGCCAGTCCGTGCACGAGTTGCTGATCTGCAGAAAAAAAGACCTGGAGAAAGAAGCATAGACCTCTTATGATAGAGGTCCTCAGGGTAAGCTCTATTCAAGCGAGTGCAACGTCCTGAGACATGCTATGTTCGCAAACAGAGGTATCTCGACAAGCGAGGGTTGCTGTCCGCAGGGAACCATGGTTGTACCTCATGCAACTTGATGGGCCTATCCCGTACATGACATGTCGCCGATGGCTAGGCATGACGCGAGGGCCTGTCAGTCACTTTTGAGTAAGGGCAGGCCTTTTCATCTGTCTGCAGTGCTTTCCGGATCCTTCTCCGACTGGTTCTGTCGTGGTAGCGGATGATTAGTGCACGAGCGAAGCTATTCCACGGCCGCGGGGCCGGGACGACAGACTGATGAGTCCACGTCGGCAACAGAGTTTCACTAGCATGGGTGTTAGCTACTCACAAACACTTGTTACTTCACTTGGCATCTTTCGCCGAGATAGCCAGAGTCCGGGACTTAGATAATGCAGTGCTGCTACGGCATGCGTCTCGCATAGCATAGAAAGGCAGATTGCAGTGGTGTGTTCTCGAACGGTACATGATACTAGCACTACGAAACACGAAGCAATACATTCTGGAATTTGGAAGAATTTGGAAGCTCACAACGGACGACTCTCGTCGCCTTCGCTTGTTGACCACGTTCCTGAGCATGATAAAGTCTATTTCGACATGCCAACCCGCTAGATAAGTGCTGACCCCAGTTCTGTCTCGCTAAGCCGGCCATTTCCACAGCCAAGAGCATTTCGGCATCGTGCGGCTGGAACCGAAGTCCCCCTCATTACCCCTGACACGTCAAAGATTGTCCCTGCCAGACATTCTTCGATATCGATACGAAGTACCGCCATACTAGATCCTCGTTGCTGTGACTGTCTGCGTGAGTTTCGAATATGCTTTGAACTAAGATGCAGCCATTCCCACAAAGTCCCAAAGCAAGGCTCGTCCCGCGCGCCACAGTATATCTCTCCTGCAGTTAGGGCCAAGAAGTAATAACGCTACTGCATGGTGTTGATCTCTGTGCGACATGGAAGCGAACTACCCAAGTATTGCGGGCTTTACCCTCCACGGACAGCCTGGGACTATGAATATATCGCGTACAAATCTAGACCGAACACTAGTGTTCAGACAATCCCGCCCAGCGTGAAGAGCGAGCCGTCGCTTACGGAACGTACGAACACCGATCAGCAGTGCCACGTTGAGACCCTGGGACTTGCCTAGTGCCCCCCTTCAGCCTCGCATACTGCTTAGTGTCTGTATATCCAATTATATTCAGGGACTAAACCTAGTAACCGAGCTCAATAGATTGACTAGTTTCGAAGCTCCCCTTCGGCAAATAGATTGCGACCAATCTGCTTTCTGCGGTGTCCTGCTGGCCCATGCCTCTTCGTGATCAGCTATATTGCGGCGATTCTCGCAACAGCAAAAAGGTTGCAACTCCTGCATATCAAGACCACATTCTTTTCCTCTAAAGTTCTGCCCACCGTTTCAGCCACAATGAAGATCTCTACCGTTGTTGTTAGTGCTCTATTGGCGGTGCAGGCATCATGCGCCGCCACACCTCGTAACGATGACTACAGCCAGCTACAAGCTCTGGTCGAGCAGGCAGCAGAAGTCGCCAAGGAGGAACTGGCGGCGGCTGACTCGAGCAGCGATGTGAAGCGTGCACCACCACCACCGGGAGGCGGACCGGGCCATTGTACTCTTGACAAGCTGTCGATCAGGAGGGAGTGGTGAGTTACCCGAAACCTTCACAACGCTTGTCGACGCCTAACAGCTCATCAGGAGTACCCTATCAAAGAAGGACCGGAAGGCCTACACGGATGCTTGCAGATGCCTGGCTGCTAAGCCCCCCCAAACCCCCGCATCTTTCGCCGCTGGTGCCAAGTCAAGATGGGATGTCAGTGCCGTTCCTCCTAAGCTCACAAACAAGGCAGCATCACTGACTTGATCAGGACTTCACTGCAACGCACATCTCACAGACGCCATTCATCCATTTCACGGGCAACTTCCTATCATGGCATCGATGGTTCGTATATCAGATGGAACAGGCTCTGCGCAATGAGTGCGGCTACAAAGGTCCCATGCCATACTGGGGTAAGTTTGCCACGTCCTCATTCAGCAAACATCCACTGACCTGCTCCTAGACTGGGCTCAGACCGCTCAGACCGGTCTACTGAAGCACGCTCTGTTCGACGGGTCAGAGTACTCGATGAGTGGTGACGGGGCCAAGGTCGAGCAGTCGGGTGATATCATTGTGGAACAGCCAACCCTACCTACCCTCATCTTACCAACGGCCAACGGCGGTGGCTGCATCAAATCAGGCCCGTTCAAGGACTGGAAGGTGAACATGGGACCTCAGCAGCTTTCCATCCCTGGAGGAGGTGTCGTCGGTGCCCCGTCGGGCAACCCTCTTGACTACAACCCTCGCTGCCTCAAACGTGACTTGACCGACTACATCAACAGGCGTTTCGCCAACGCGACCTCGGTCATCAAGACCCTCAGCGAAAAGACCATCGGAAACTTCCAGGCTAGAATGCAAGGCAACCTCGACATGGTAAATGGCGACATTGGCATTCACGGCGGCCCTCACTACACCCTGGGCGGCGACCCGGGCCGCGATGTCGGTGTCTCTCCATCGGACCCGATGTTCTTCCTGCACCACGGCGGCGTCGACCGCGCATGGTGGATCTGGCAGATGCTCGACCCCAAGAACAGAGTCTACGGCAACAACGCCATCAACGGCACCGGCACCTTCTTGAACCTGCCACCCAGCCCCGAGCAGACTCTCGACGACACCATCGAGCTGCAACACGTGACCAACGAGGTCATCACGATCAGAGACCTGATGTCCACAACTGCCGGACCGTTCTGCTACATCTACCTTTAGTTTCCCCATCTAGAATTTGTCTTGCATTTGCATCTTCTTTCGTTTCGAGCCAGTTCTTTTTGGCCATTCATGGGCGTTCGGGTCTCACATACACACATAGGGGCAGGAAGGGCCAAAACTTCTTTAGACACAAGCAACTTCAAACGAGAGTCCACACATAGTAATGATAATAGACGAGAAGAGACATCCCTGTGTTGTTTCACAGGTTTTTCCAACGAGTATCAATGCTTTCAAGTCATCATTCACGCGGGAGTTCGCAGATTGCAGGACACACTTTCGGTCCCTTTGAAGGTGGCGTGATTCCTCTCTCCATTGCGGGCGTGAATCCATGCAGGTCACACAGTTTGGGTACGGCAAAGGCGTTTCAGACGGTCGAAGGAATGACAGGCAGGGACATTGTACCGGCATGCCCCCAGCATGCTTCTCGATCTTTCTGGAACTTGACCTAGATTCCTCCGCTCGTTTCAAAGCTCTGGGGTACTCCTTGATGGGTTTGAATCAAGGTGTTGAACGACGTAAATTGTCCTGGTCAATCATCTGACAGGCGAAGATGGGTCATCAGCAAGCCAGCTGGTGGGGCGTGTCCCTGTCTTGGTCTTGGAACACCAAGAGTAACCCAGCAGCATTAGGGTCTGATGCCGAAATACCCGAAGACCGTGGACTATGCCGAGACATTGTTGCGAGCGATGTCGATAAGCTTGCTGTAGTGATCGACAAACGCTAATAGACGGGCAATCTTTGACAGATTCCGTCTTGGAGGTGCATCTGCAGCCAAGGGTCTTCTTTCTCTTGATCATGCGTAGTGTCCGGAAGCACACCTTCTACTCCGTGGTATCTCCGGTGCGCCAGGAACAAGCGGAAGTCTCCCAGGGCTCGAAACGACGCTAGATGGCGGCGTTCCTGGCCCGCGGGTGCGCGATAACACGGAGTTCCATCAAATCGCAACACATGTGGAGACGTGGGGCGCATGAGGACCTGGGGTCTCTCATGGTTCGAAAGGTCTGGAATGTATCAGACGAGTAGGAGAGACCAGGTGAAGGCTAGTCTGGCAGTGTTCCACCACAAACACTGGGGATGCTGGCGGACAAACCCTTGCCCTCGCTGTCGATACTCTGGCCTGGTGTATGACTTGTTCTGAGGCTAAAGAGTCTCCAACAGGATTGTTCGCCGCTGTTGGGGGCGGTGCTCAGGCAGCTTCCTCGCCCTCGGACTCAGCAAGCGTGTTGGGAACTTCTTCCCACTGACAAATTCCTTCGAAATCGCGTTTCTGACATCTGCTTTTGCCTCAGAATCAAACGGTGGGTGTTTTTTTCATGCACTACTTTGCAGTCATATGGGCAAGGAGAAAATGATTCGTACTTACGACGGTCGTGCCCGTACCGTGCTGTCGCAGTGATTGGTATATGGCTTATGTTCAGTAGAGTCATGAAGGCGGCAATGGAAGATATCCCAAATATATCGATATCTCGAGTCTCGATATTTGACTGACGTCTCGCAACTCCACGGGCTTCCACCGCCCACTGTGCGTCCTATGATGAGCAAAAGGAGTGCGCCTCGAGCAGATCGGCGTGGCAGGACGCCTGATGCTGAGGGGCCAGCTGGCCTCGGGCCACAAGGATATAGACACCATTCGCTCACTGTCATGGAGCAATCATTGCACTCTGCTGCCAGACACAACGCATCACTACCTTCGCCATACTTACCTCTTCCACCATGACCGAGATCGCCACATCCCTCGCCGACTGGCCGTACGCCTGGGCCTACTTCTTCCCAGTCATGCTCCTCAGCATCGCCATTGGCACCTTCACTCCAGCGGCACATAGCATACTCGAGCAAGGCGGCTTCCCGCAGCCGCGCCACCAGCCGCTAAACGTCTACGTCTACTTGTTCGCAGGGTGTCAATCGGCAGTTGGGCTTTCGGTGGCTGTATTGGAGGCCCTGGGCGACTGGAAGGCCGTTGGTGTCATTCTGGGCTGCCTGACTCCCATGGCATTGCTGAGCACGTCCCTCTCCGCGGTCAAGGGCGGGACAGGTTTGGGGAGCGCGTTCTGGACTCATGGCGTGATGACTGTGATCGGAACGCGGGCAGCTTGGAGGCTGGTGCAGGAGCACTGGTGAGCGAGGTGGTTTGCGACTGATACTATTGTACGCCGAGTAAATTTGGAGGAGTGGACTTGCTTATACATCGCTCCAAGGTGATACAAGCACTGACAAGACTTCAGAGCAATCGGCAACATCGAAGACTTATCTGATGCCAAGAACATTAAGTGCTGGATTCGATTCGGCTAAGCGCACATTGATTCCTAGGTATACTCAAGCTCACTGTCCAACCGTGCAGCATTTTATACCAGACATCATTGGAGTGACCTTGGTGGGGGTTTTTTGAATCCTAGAGTATCCAGGCAATACGAGCCACGTTTCTGTCGTCGGGTCAACGAGGCTGGAAAACGTGGGGGATAGCAGGCTGCGGTAGCCTCACCTGAAGTCTACCAAACTGACAGCAGAGGCTCCGTGAAATGAACCGCTGCGAGTTGGAGGTGCCCTCCCGTCGATCTTGTCACCCCCTGGTGACTCGTCGATCACTCTCTGCTCGTTACCCCATCACGTCTGATCTTCCTCTTCTGACACGGGTGTCTCAGTTTCCTCAGCAGCCTGGCAGTCGCTGTAAGATCATGTTTTCGATAGCTGGAGTGTCGAAGTATAGCTTGCCAAGTCGTTTCCCAAGACAGGATGTTGGTAGATGGACTCGGGGATCTGTCTACATCGAGCATATACTGTTCCTGAGCGTCAAGTACCGTACCTCCCCATGGGTGCACTGTCAAAGGTCTGCATACTAGTCAGCGTGCTGACGCTCTATCACGAACACAAAGAATTCGAAGATACTGGCCAGGCTGCTACCGAGCATGTAAGCCAAGATGCCAATGCTGACAAGAAGCTGTTAGCCCCTTAAATGACTAAGCTGACTCGCTTGGACGATGTCCTTTCACCCCGAACGCCATACCGGCGTATTCTAGGGTTCGATCTGACTACCTGCTGGCTTCACTTGTCCCATCGGTCATGATGCAATGCCAGAATACAGGTTTGTTGTCCAGAGTGGACGCAAACTGTCCCATAGAGAGCAACAGATCTCTTCGTCGCAGACCAAGGCTCATGCCGCAAGGGTCGCTCACCAGAGGCGAGTCGTACGAGTGCAAGAGGCCTCGGCTCTTACGGTAGCGAAGCGGATATGTGTGACCGAATACCAGGATGAGGGTCGGGAACAGGACTCTCGCTTGCAGGATCAGCATGAGAGCACGTCTTTGATGCTTTACAAGGGAAATTCAGATCCGTTTGGTGCAGCGGTGGCCACAGAAGTCACCCCTAGAATCAACCAGATCTTAACCTTTCTGCAAGATACTTACATACCGAACACCTACCCAGGCAGTCCATCATGGGTGAGAAGTTTTACCTGCGGGCGCTTCTTCAAAGACCAAGCGAGGCTGATGCTGAGTGAAGCGCCGGCCTTCTGCGAAACCCTGCCGTACCTGACAATGCTAGCGAGCAACTCCGGCAGTCAAGCGCTGGAACGTGAAGCAATGTCGACGCAGCTCCAAATCATCCAGAAAACCAGACAGGCCGTCTCGTCGAACTCGGAAGCCAACCAGCAGCATCTGCTGCTCTTCACCAAATCGCTGTTCGGCGCGGCCATGATCGAGCAGGACATGCGTGCCGCGAGCTCCCATGCTAGGGTGCTCAGCCATTTGCTCCAACGGCACCTCGATGCCGGGACATGGAGATCTCTACCCGTCGACCTCGTGACCAACTGTCTCTTCTTCATTCTCAACCACTCGCAAATGATGCTCCGCAAGTCCGTGCTCGAGATCGACACCTGGGCCGACCTCTACATCCAGCACGCAGCCAGGCCCGTCGTCGAGTACCTCGCGCCTCTTCACTCGTGGTTCGACAACCGCCTGGACCCCTGCCTCAGCAACAGCCATCTGCGGCAGGATTACCGCGCCATGTACGAAACTGTGTGGCTGTGGTCGCAGGAAACGCGACCCTCGCCGGCGATCTCGCAGGACGCGCTGAACCAATACTGCGGGCTGCAGCACAACGTCGTCTCGATCCGCCTGGTCAACCACTTCGTGCACTTCACCGATCAGCTGAGCCGCGCCACCAGCCTGGGCATGCCACCGCGCAGAGAAGCGCATCTGGTCTGCCAGGCGATATTGGCGCTGAGCCTACTGGCGTTCCTGGCGACGTTTGTGGGGAATCCGAAGATGGGGACGCGGTATATATGGAGGAAGCATGGCATGTTCCTGACGAGGCTGCAGCTGCTGCTGATGAGTCGGCTGAGAGACGGTGGGCTGCTGCTCGGCGAGGGAGAATTCGGCTTCGAGTACCGCCATGCGCTGCTGTGGGCTTACTGGGCCGGCGCGACTTGGGAACATCGGGAACGCGAAGCGGACACGAATCCTGTGCATGGCTGGTTCAACACACGTTTTGCGAAGCAATGTCAGGTAATGGGTCTGAAGAGCTGGGAGCAGGTCGAGACGGTGTTGAACGGCTTCGCGTTGGCTAGACTGGCGCAGCCTCCTGGATCAACCTGGGTAGGTGTCCTTCTGGTGGAGACATGGCCGAGTAAGGACAGCAACAGATTCAACTGAGGATGCGTTTCAATTCCAGCCCGGTAGTCATTAGGTCGCAACACCTCCGCCTTTTTCTCGCTCTTCCGTCCCCATACCACCTCCCTCCACGCGCCTGACCACACTCTGCCTTCTAGTCCAAGCCCTCTTCCCACGCCTCCCATCAGCGTCCCTCTCCGGCAAATCCACCACGAACCCCACCCCTCCCAACACAGCACTAACGGCCATACACCCGCCCACAAAGCCCACCAATGCAGCCCACTTCCCACCCGCCGCACTCGCCCATCCCCTCCCCCTTCGGCTCCCACCCCTCCTCAACAGCGCCTCACTGACCGGCCCACAAACCACACTCCCCGCCCCCCTTCCCGCACACATCACCCCAAAAACCATCTGCGCATCCCTCTCGCCAAACAACGTGCCCATGCGCGCCCACAGCGCACAGAAGCCCGCGGCCGCGAACCCGTAAGCCAGCGCGAAGAGGTACAGCTGCACGGGCGAGTGGGCGTAGCCCCAGAGCAACAAGACACTCAGAGCGGAGAGCGTAGAGGACAGGATGGCGAGGAGGTGGATGTTGAGGTGGTCGGAGAGCTGGCCGAAGGAGACTTCGCCGAGGATTTGGGCGAGGTTGATGAGGGCGAGGGTGAGGGCGCCGGTGGAGGAGGGGAGGTTGAGGGTGGCGGTGTAGGTTGGGAGGTAGATCAGAGGGAGGTAGAAGGCGAGGGATTGGAAGAGGTTCGACACTGCCAGGATGTAGAAGATGGGTCGCTTGTAGAATCGGCGTGTCGTTGGAGGTGTGTCCTGGCGGATAAGGTCGAAGTTGCCGCCGATGGTCGAGACGAGGGTGTCGTCGCAAGGCTCGCGGCCACTGCGAGAGGCCGGGGTGGGGTTCGGGGTGGTCACGGAGAGCGAAGACCTGCGCAGGATCGTGGTTGAGCCTCGCTCCCGTAATACCAGAATGCAGGGACCAGGTACGAAGAATGTGATGGCGGCAAAGATGAGAAACGTCGTCCGCAGGCCGTAGCGGTACAGGAGATGCTCGGCCATGAATGACCATGCCACTCCACACAGATCTAGGACAATGGTGTTAGTCGGTCTGGACCGGGGCCCACGGTGAGGCCGCGAGATGGATCTTTTTGGAGGGAATGGCATGTCAAGGGCAACCTCGAGGCTATAGGCAGAGTTACTCACCACAGAGAGCAAAGATGATGCCATAAGCCATTCCACGATGAGACAGGAACCACGTGTTGACGATCAGCAGCAGAGGGTTGTCAGCAAGCAGGATACCAACACCGTAGAGTAGACCCTGAGTAATGATCAACGCCGGTATTGAGGGTGAGAATGCAGCGCCCACGAGAGCCAGGACTCCCAACAGCCACCCGACCCAAACATAGTGAATCCGTGAGGTGCGCGTGTGTGTGCAGAGATAGACTATGAGTGGAGCCGCAAGAAAGGGCACGCCAGATGAGAGGCCGCCAATCCAGGCTGAGTTGTTGCTATTGTCAAAATCTGCACTATTTTGGTAGAAGGCGTGGAAGACACCGAAGCATAGGTAGATCCCTACCTTCCGTTAGTGATCAGGCGCGTGTCAAGGCATGGGAGAAGCTTACCACAAGGGAAGGACGACACTATCGTAGCGGCAATCAGTACCCGGTAAGCTGCCCATCCCTTGTCCCTAGGCGGCGGCTTTGAGCCGATGTGATGCTGGGAACTTGGGGGTATCGTTAGGTGCGACAGTACGGGCTTGGAGCGTGACGAAGTGTTCGAGGTGCTGGCGGGAGAGGCCGGCGTTGGGAGATCAGGCTGCTCGTCCATATGTGAGGCCACCACGCCCGTCGGATCGACCTGAACGGCGAAATCGAACGAGGTACTCATGCTGTGCTGAGGTGGAGTCTGGATGTCAATGAAGATGGCACACAGTGAGGCTCAAGGGAAGCCCCAAGTTCATATGTGAGGATGTGGCCACTCTTGTGGCAGCCACGAGGAGGCACCGACACTTTGATGGGTTGGGATGCCATCTGGGCCAGCGAAGACCTGCAGGAGCAAGCATCTGGTATGAGGACAGGTGCTGTAACAACATTGGGCCTTCACCTCGGCTACAGAGGTTTACTGGCTGTTAGCAGTTTCATTGTAAGCCGGCAAAGACGAGTCGAGAGTCCAAGCGGCTCACGCTGCGGCTGGACCGTCATGCTGGTGCAGTCTCAGCCCTTGAGTCTCAAGCCATAAGCCACGGGTTGCGAAATGCGAGTGTTGGTGCTAGACGAGCACGACACCCGGCTCATGTAGAGACCTTCGTGGTTAGTTAGCGGCGGAGCTGAGGCCTGCTTTCGTAGCATCCGCATCCTCTTCCTTACTACAGCTCAAGAGCCGAGACTTGGTAAAGCGCTTGCGCCATGTAGGTTGAGGCAAGGTTCGCATAGCCACCCAATTGGGGACGCCAATCAGCCAAGGACAACGCCTCGCGGGGTAGGTCAGCCCTCAGCCCGGGCGCTCGCCTTCAGCAAGCCACGAGCAGTGATAATCAGAAGGCCTACGGTAATATCAGTATTGAGTAGTTGCAGTCGGTAGCGAATCATGAGTGTCATCATTCATAAGCCATATAGTAGCCTCGCCCGTTTTCTACTCCGATGCCATAATGCCTTTTCCGCTGCCGCTATTAGCTGGCAACTGTCCTGCCGCCGCTGGCTGGAGGGTATCTATAAGAACTTTTCAGCATAGACTTTGTACAAAATATCGGGCTGAGGATCTCTCGCGACGGCAAACGAGATCCTCAGCCGCCCCTAACTTCGAGATATTGCCCACCGCGCCAGCAGCCGGTCACTGTATAGATTCGAGCCAAGCCACCTCTGTCGAAGGACGAGGGGCTGACACCAGGTTGCCAAACAGGACATGACATCTTCCTTGGAAGTTCCAAGTTCCGTGAGCACGGTATCGAGAACTTGCTCAAATGGGATGTCTCTAGCCTTGAAGTCTGCACGACCTCGGTCGATCTCACAAAGTGCGTGAAGACTGAATATGGTAGCCTCGTCGATGACGACCGTAGGTTGGCTCAAGAAATTGGTTGGATCGGTCGTGGTAGACCGGTTAAGGACCTCCTGGTAGCCGCTTCGTGCAATGTCGCGGCGGCCCTGATCAACGTATGTATCGGCGAGGCGCCTGATAGCCCCTCGTGTCAAAGCATGGTTTCTCCCGTGTAGATTGTTGCTCTCCACGCACATCGAGTTGCCTATCTGGATAGCCTCGTCGAAGAGGTGGCGCCTCTTGAGAAGGTCGACGAGCGATCGCTTGGCTTGACATGTCTCGTTATCCATTTGCCCTCTTTCCTTGGTCAGAATCTCAACCATGATTCTCAGAGCTGGTTCAGCAGCGCAGTCCAGTACCTGTTCTGACTTGAGCAGGCGTAAGATACACGATAGATCGTGTTCGTCTCCAAGAATGACGGACGACAATTTGGCAAGATAGCGTAAGAGTGCCGGTCGCAGCCCTGGGAGGAAACTCCAGCGCTCGTCGGTGAAGGTCATGATGAACAACCTCAAGAAGGCTCGATGCTGTTCATCAATAATGACCTTGGCCTGACTGCAGGCCTGGTGAACGAGCAGCCATCCTCCGTTTCGAGCCTGGCCAGGGATGCTCTCTAGCGCCAGAAGAATCTTCTCAAAGAAGGTCGCGACTTTGGCGGCAGCTTGCCCTGACTGAACCGTGCTTGAGGCTGCTAGCGGCGCGAAAGCCACTGGCGACGGGATAGCCATCGATGCAGATGGTTGAGGGGCCAGATGCCATTCGAAATACTGTTGCACGTGCCAGGCAACGGATTCGGCAGGGTCGGACAAGGAGGTACGGGGGGGTGTGATGTCGGCTGGAGCTGAAGAAAGGGATCGCCCACGTCTGTGACTGGAGCCAGGAGGCGTCAGAAGTGTTGCTGGCGGGGTAGCGGTAGTACTGTCTCCAGTAGAGCGCTCACCGACGCGGAGAAGCTGCTGCTCCAGAGCCTTGGTGGGAAGGGCGTTGGCAATATTTTCGTGGACACCGGTCTTCTTGCAGTATCGGCGTACAAGGTCGAGTCGAGCCGGGCGGCCGTTGAATTTGAGCTTCTGTAGCGTGTCGCCCTTAATGTCGTTGTCATTGATGAAAGAGGCGATCTGCTCCTTCTCGCTTGCCTTAACGTATTTGCGGAGGCGCCAAGATTTGATGCGCGTTTTGTACATCTTGGTCCTGTCAATCAAGTCAATACTTGCCTAGCAACAATACTCTAGGGGACTTACGTTGCGTAGAAGCCATGCTCCTGTTGTAGAGTGCGTTGGACGTCTTTGAGGCGTCGACCGCGGTTGATATACTCTTCCTCGAAGACATGTCTAATTCGCGCCCAGTCTTGCTGCGATGGAAGCTGTCGCGGTTGTGTAGGATGCAGAGCGTCGTCACTATCGTCGTTGTCCGAATGTACTCTATCATATGGGTTTGCAGGGTCCATTGATCGTTGGAAGATTTGTTGTTGGTACGGAAGTGCGTGATTGATGTCGCCAGCCTTGTGGGGCTTGATCCTGATGAAGGTGGTGCATGCTGACGGGGCCGAGCAGTGAGCTATATACACGAGCCTTCGCTTCGGCTGGGACACGAGGCATCAGACACACTATGGCATCATGCGTGTGATACCAAGTGGTCCACCCGGACCGGCTTGAGGCTTGTGGTAGCCGTCATGGGCGTATTGTGGCTTCGATAGCGGCAGGGGGATGTTTCTGGAAGGTTTCTAAGGTCCGTGGGGGCGAGGCTGTGGTTAAGTCACCAAAGTCCCACCTATCATTCGCTGTGAGGGTAGCTTCTTTTGACTGTGTTAGCGGCCTTAACGGAGGGCGGCACAACGGCACGGCGGTACGGGACAGCCTGGGAACTTTGGTCAGCCTCCACAGACTATGTGTACCTACCACACCTGTTCTCATCAACACGCAACAGCGTTGTTGACGTGCATGCCATTACGACGGCATATCTAAGTCGGACCGGCAGCATATTTACAGCAAGCAGAGTGCCATGGGCTAAGCAGCAATCCGCATTACTGTCGCCAACAATGTGCTTTGCCATCCTGCTTGTCGCTTCTGCTGTTACTGCTCTATCGGGCTGTGGCCGTACCGGCGTTCATGCATCATCGAACATCACAAAACCTTTGGCGAGGGCAATGCTTAATGCCGAGCGACCGGTTTCTCGCTTCCGGGTATTCCTGACTGATGAGGAGGACGGGATCTGGCACAGCGACTAAACAAGTGATTGATGAGGCGCAGCGGAAACTTGGGTGCATCACTTGCACATTTCTGGATGGGATATGGAGCCTCTGTGATTGGCCAACGGCGCCGACCGTCTTGGCAAGACTCCACTCTTCGACCGCGTCTTTGCACAGCCTCGACGAACACCCCCTGGACCCCCTCTTCGTCTCTCCCGTGATCTATCGCTTGTGCTGTACCCCTGTTGATGCATACCACTTGGGTTACTGAACATCGTCACTTGGGTTCATTTGTGTGCCACTTCTGGCGATTTGGGCACGACCCGCATGAGCCCGAAAAGCTCGATCAGGTTTGGCGTGGAGCGTACGGTTGCAGAGTAGGAAGCGTGGAGGTTGTCAGCAACCGCAGACATTTCCAGCTCTACTGGCGACCGGACCGTCCATACAAATTTCCAAGCTGTGCAGGACGACCAGACAGCATCGTCGCCACGCCATTCGCCCATGTTGCCTAAGCGCCTCGTCAGGCGAACTTGCAGCCGTGCCGGCCAGTCAGTCAAATAATTGTCCTCGGACCGCATCTATACCACACCTGCATCCGACCCCCCCAGCTTATCATTGTACTAGCATTGACCTTCAATCAAGCTGACGAACTTCCCAATTACTTGTTTCGGAATATCCGTTCTCCGTGTTGAGCCTCCAGCTTCGTATGTCAGATTTGACCATTTGCAGCTGGCTTCGACTCGACTTCGCTTTGCACCTAAACCGAGCAGCCACAATATCAGTTCCAAGGGTAACAAAAGTCCCGATGTCTCGCTCGGTGGACCCCTAGTCGCCAGTTCAACCTTGTGATCTTTGGCAGGTCATTCCCAGGCTTCCAGTCAATCGAAGCATCTGGCTGCCCCTCTCGAGAGCCAGCCCTAGCCGCAGCTCCCAGGCACCATTCATACCGAGACTGTTCCCAACCTATCCCCCGTCCGAGCCACTGATCCTCGTAAGCCCCAACGACAAAGCCTCCAAGCTTGAGCCCCAGCTCGTCGGAACGTGCATAACGGCATTATCTCAGCGACAGAGCTGATCGGATGGTGGGGAAAGGAATTTGTACCGTGATATTGACATGGAGCGAGAGACCCCACGAGGCGGCCGCTGAGATCAGGCTCCAGAAAAAGCTCTTGGTCTAAAGTCCTCCTGTCATTATAACAGTATCGCACTCATGATACCCACCCAAAGGATGCATACCCAGTCAAAAACGAGTTTCGGCCACTCGACCAATTACAGCTCCGGTATGAAACAGAGCACATCTATGCACCCCACCTATTCCCTGACTTTCAACCTCGCTATTACTACTCAAGCCTAGATTCCTATCGCATTGCATCCTCAAGCCTCGTTGAGCTTGTCCGCGTGGCGGTAGAATGGCGGCAATGGCTCCAGTTTCTGCCTCAAGACCCACACCTTGAAGTGCCACCACGCGTTTTTCAACTGATAGCTGGCGTGCCTCCTGGTCGACACGTTGAAAACCTGATCCAACTCCTCGAGCGTAAGAGCCTACATTTTTTTTCCGTCAGTCCTGTGCTGTCGTTGCGGAGATAACCCGCAAAGATGTTCCGTAAGGGAAAACTCACCTTGGTCTCCGGCACCGCCAACAGGATCCACACCCACAAGATCAGACACCATGCACCGTACCAGCCAAACGCACCCTGCGGCTTAAAGGCGCTCAGCAAATGCGGCCAGGTGAAACTGAGAATAAAGTTGAAGCACCAGGTCGTCGCGGTGGCCCAGCTCATCCCCACATCACGTACGTGCACGGGGAACGCTTCGGCCGAATAGGTGAAGGGCACGGGACCTTCGCCAGGAGAGTAGAAGACTTCGAAGAGGTACATGCCGGTCGTGACCATGCCGACTTTGGCCTTGTTGGCGGTGAACCAGAAGGAGAAGCCGGTCCAGAGCAGAAAGACGGAGAGGAAAGGAAAAGTGAAGAGCAGTAGGTTCCGGCGGCCCCATCTGTCAATGGTGAAGAGGGCGGGGATGGCGAAAACCCAGTTCAGGATGCCAGTGCCCATGCTGGCCAAAAGGGCGGAATTGGTTGAGTAGCCGGATTCGATGAAGATAGTGGTGCTGTAGTAAGCAATCACGTTGACCTGGAGAACAGGAAAAGGCCATGTCAGCTACGTATGAAGTGATATGGACGGAAGAGAGGGGGTTATGCAAAGGTAACGTACACCGCAGAACTGCTGACCGAACATGACGATCCAGGAAGCGAGTGTGGCGCGCCTGTTGCGTGGCACGGTGAACAGTTCGACGAACTGCGTGAAGAGATTCTTGCCCTTGTTGGCCTTGCGCTCCAATTCGACACCCACCCAGGTGTAGTAGGTGTCACGGGCTGCTTGCAAGTTGGTGAAGCGCAGCTTCTGGAAGGAGCGGAACGCCTTGTCGGTCTTGTTGTGCTGGATATACCATCTATACAGACACGGTATCAGCCAAGGGTGTCTTGTAAAAGATTCGGGGGTATATCTGCAACTCACCTTGGACTTTCCGGACAGAAGTACACCTGGGCGCAAACGATCAGCGGCAAGACGACGGTGCTACCGAGCATCAAGCGCCAACCCAGGTCTGGGCTGATACCTGTACTGGGACCGAACGCCACGCCCATGATGTTCCCCAGCATGATACCAAAAGCTACCCCGTGTCAGTTGTTTAGTGTCAGTCATTTCGCTGTTACTCACCCGTCCACATCTGCCACTGCATCACGAGGGCGCCACGGATGGGTGCAGGCGCACACTCTGCGGAATAGACTGGAACGGTAGAGGACTTGGGGCCGATCCCAAGGCCGAGCACCTGGCGCAGATCAATCAGCAGCCGTTGGGGAACCACGCTGGGCCAAGGCGGTGTGTGAGACTTACGAAACGCGCCAGGAACAAGTTGACCCAGCTGTTGGCCACACCCTCCCAGATGGAAGCAACTGCGGCAATGAAGCAGCTGATGAAGATGGTGCCGCGTCGGGCAAAAATCTTGTTCATCGGCTCCGTCAACCAGCAACCCAGAATCGCGCAGCACAGGTACGGAGCTCCCACGACAAGGCCCGTCAGATTGTCGACCATACCCTTACTGAATCGCTACAACCCCCGCGGTGGGGAAAGTCAGCATAACGGACCTATACGGCGAAACGAAAACCCAGGCGATGGGGGTATCAGAGGCTCCGACAAGAATAAGGCAAAGCGACACAAAAGCATCACAAACTCACCTTCTGCGTAATACCCAAGTCCTCCAGATACAGCGCCTGCGCGCCATTATTGACCGTCTCATCCATGCCCTGCACCGCAGCTGCCATGCTGCACATGACGACCAGCCACCACAGCATGAACGGCTGGCTCCAGCGATGCGTGTGCTCGCGCCGCAACGCCTCACGGTCCTCATCGCTCAGCTCCGCGATCCGCTCGACCTCGTGCGGCCGCTGCGCCACCAAGGCACCCTTGCGGAAGTCGGCGGTGAACTCGACGAGGTTGTGGTCCTTGCAGAAGGTGTCGACGTCGGCGAGGAGTTGGTCTCGAGGGATGCCGGAGAGCGGGTTCTCGAAAGCGGCCGAGAGCTTGGATTCGTCGACGTCGACGAATGATTTCTTGCGTGGGGCTCCGGTGGTGCTGGTCTGAGAGGCGTGGCGGTAGCCTTGCTTCTCGGGGTCGGCATTGGGGGACGAGTGCTGCACGTTTTCGATGTTGGTGGCAGTGGCGTCCGAGTCGCGGTGCGGATTGAAGGCCCCGTCGGACGTCTTTTCGTTGATGTCGGCCATGATGGCGGGCGGGCTATCTGGTGGACGGCGAATGGCTCAGTGATGCCACGTGAGCATTGAGTCAGGGTGTTGTGGCCAGACAAAAGGGTAGGAATAAACTGTGGGTGGTCGCAGCCGAGTTGTCACGCACTGGTCTACGCAACAGAAGCTATAGACGCGAAAAGGCCAGGAGAGAAAAATCATAGAGCAATCCAAGGCCAGCTCCCACCTTGTATATACATCGGCCGGCCACGAAACGTATCTCGATCCCATTCTCCACTCGCCAGCAACAGTCCTACACCAGACACTCGCACGTGAACGACTATCCCAGTCCTCGAGAATGACTTCATCCAGCAGGGGCCTATCACGGTATATCCCGCGGCCCACGAGCTGGAACCCGCGTCGATGAACTACCAAGTCGCGTTAATGAGGATACGCGGGACGGACTTCACTATGACTTCATAACGCACCAGTGCACCATGTGCCGCTCCCGCAACCCCCTGGTCCTACAGTATTATCAGTCTCTGTTCCCCACTTCCCTGCCCGCGACAAACAGGGGGGCACTTCCGTGCTCTGCGCAAAACTCCAGGACCCGCGGCACCGGTCAACCCGAGGGTGGCATACCCCCTTCCCGACGGCGAGCTTATGCGCAAAGGAGTCTTCGCGACTCTGCTACTATCACGATACCGACAATTCTCACCAGCAAGCCTCCTCACAACCACATATGTAGAAGAGGGCCAAAGCATCAGTAGAATCTTCTGCACAAATACCAACACCGTAACCACTCCCATAAAAATATACACAGCGCCCGCAGTACCAGACACGGGCCCATCTTGGAACAACCCCGGTAACCAGCCCCCGGAAACTACAGTACTGTACCAATCCCTCAAGCATCCACCCACTCACCCCCCTACAGTAGCACTGTACATCACTCGACTAGCGACCTACGCACTACCTACTATACCACAAACTCCAAGAATTTTACTCCACACCAAGCTTCCCGCTTCCGGGGCTGCAGTGGGCCTAACGCGGCTTTGCATGGCGTGCTTGGGTGTTGCTTGCGGGTGCTTGTGAGCTGTGGCAAGAGCTTGGGTTGGCTTGGTCGGCTTGGGTCGGCTTGGTCAGGGTTGATTTGGGCTTTGATCGACACTCAACCCAAGACACGCGGGGCGCGATATGGTGGGGGGTGCCGGGGGTGACGGGGCCACTGACACTGACGCTCGGTGGTCCCTTGCAAAAAGTCCCCCCTTAGGGTCGCTAAACCCGGGGGAAGAAGGGGGGGGCTCACCATACGGAGTAGTAGTGTAGTGTGAGTGGTGTCATAAGAGGAGAGAAATGCAGAGTACTCCGTACTCCGTACAGATCGGAGATCGTAGACCGCTATCGTCCCACAGAGGTTTGTGGTGCCCGTTGCGTCCGGCACGCGATCGGCGGCACGTTTTGGCTGGGGGCTTCTGGGGTGGAGGGGCGGTTAGGGGAGGAGGTTAACACGAGGGCGGCAGGATGCTGCTGCTGCTGCTGCTGCTGCTGCTGCGTGGATGCGTTTCTTGCGCAGCAGTCTGCCTGCCTTGACCTTGATTAGTGGGTGTCGACATCTCAGCATGGTATCTCTTCGTAGATTCCTGGCTCTGCGGGGCACGTGTTGCACAGCGTGCAAACACCGGGCGCTGCCAAATGCGTGCCGGTTATCCGACGTATATATGTACGTTGTGGTTCCGCACCGGACCCAGTCTCATGGCCGGTGTGACTGGTACGGCAGTGCCGGGAAGAAGCTGGCACAACACTGCGTAGAAGGAATGGCCACACCATTACAGCTTGCCGGGTATCCACAGCTTGTATATACATACGTATGTCTCGTCGTGTTTCCTCTCAACCTGCTGTATCAGGGTATCATATCTTTCAAGGTCGTCCATATCGTCAAAAGCATACCATTCTATCCACCTCCCATCATTCAGCATTCGCATTCTCCATATCTTCCCAACCGCCCATTACCTGCAGCCATGATTGAATCTTCTCCTTTGCCTCCTGCAAGGCATTTCCCAGCGCATCCGCCCACTGCTCCTCGATGATGCCAACCTTTTGTTTGAGCTCGGTCGTCAAAATCGCTTCCTGCTGCATCCTATGTTCTTCCCAATCAGCCGGATTTTGGCCATCGACCTCTGCTTTCCGACATTCTGCGATCAGTCTCCCGTTCTTGACCTCGTGGAGCAGACAATGTAAATTCACCTGCCCCTCAATGAACTGGTAGCTGCTTTTCTCGGCGTGATCCAGGAGGGTATAGAGATATTGTTGCGGGAAGCGGTGGTAACTCGGATTTTCCAGATACTCCTGCTCCGAAATCGCGAGACGGTCCCAGTGTTCCACGTCGCCTTGAGCAGACAGCTTTTGCAACAGGTCCACCAAGGCAGGGGCAATGTCCCAGAAAGCCGAACTCTGCATTTCGACACCCGTCTCAACGTTATCCTCGACAATTTGATACAGCTGTTGGTGCCGCTGCATACTCTCTTCGCAGAACACACGTCTCCGCTCAGCATTGTCACGAGCGAAGAAAGCCTCCGTTTCCCGAGCTTTCTCATTGTTGTTGGCTTGACGATAAGGCAATACGACAATCTCCTTGTACTTTTCGTTGCGCTCGGTCAACAAATCAAAAATCTCCTTGTGAACCGTCTCGCGTGTCTCAAACAGCCACTTCAGCTGTGTCAAATATTCAAGGAGTTCGGGCGTATCATCGCCTTCTTCCTGTGGACGGTCGGGGTTGTGTTCGGCGGCGTCGGTCAAGATTTTAGACGAAAGCTCGTCGATCGAGGTATTGAGCTGGACGAGGCGATCGTTGAGCATATCATGCAGTGGGTTGATTACCACGTCCTGTAAAGTGTCAAATTCAGCCTGAAGACACTTTTTATTGGCGCTTTGCTCCTCAACTCTCAGCGCGGCTTCGGCTTCGGCAGCTTCTGCATACGAGATCGAACCCTCTGCAATCTGCGCCTGTATGTTGTTCTTGAAATGCTGGCGACTGTCTCCGATTTTCTGTTTATGTTCATTTCGAAGTGCTTCGATGCTGATCTGATGGCGAGCCTTACGGGATTTGATCTCGCTCAAGTCGGAAAGGCTCCTGACTGTGAGTCGATAAGTTGAGAGTTGAGGATGAGAGTTGTTCACTGCAGGATAGTGTCGTGGATATGGTGGAGGCAGCGTGATAAACCGGGAAACATCCATCAGACCAGGACTGCCTTGAATCGTCATGCTGTCTTGACTCCGCTCCCTGTCTGCGTAAACGCCAAAGCTGCCCGGATCGACCTTCTCTTCTGGATATTCTTCGGGGCCAAGAAATCCGCCCGAATCAGGCAATCGGCTGGGCGTGTCTGCCTCTTCCAACATCGTGTTCATCAGACTGGTTGAAAGGCCCATGTACTTGGACTCCCGCTTCGAGCGGCGGACTGGGCCTGTGTCATCTTGAGAGCCACCAGTATGCGATTCCCACCACCGACTTGAGGTTCGTCCCCTCGAGCTCATCTCATCATTACTCATACTAGCAATCGGTGATAGTGCAGGTTGGAAGTCTTTCCACCACATCGTCTCTGGTCGCGACTTGGACTCCTCGGTAGCCGAAGTCGCGGCGGATGGCCGAAGTGCAGCAACTGCTGCGGGATCATTCTCGTCGAAAAGCCGTTGCCGAATACGTAGAATATCCACCTGTCGGGCACCTGAATAGCGTCTACGTCGCAGTACAGACTCACCAATGATATAATCTGCAAAAATTTGAAGTCGCTCTTCGTCGTTGGCGGCCTGGCTCTCCTTCGCTAGGAAGTCTCGATGGCGATTCAAAGAATCCGCAGCGAGCTTGTCACCATACTCTCTATCGAAATCTGGCAAGGATGCATTTGACGATGGCATCAGACTCTGTGCCGACGTAGGTGCTTTCTGGCTGAGCGGAGGTGTTGGAAGTGGCTTATTACCATGCATAGGCGTGTTGCTGCCAGTTTGTAATTTGTGGATCCTCGGCATCGGCGACCTAGGCGAGTTGACATGATCATATTGCAACGGCGACAGAGCCAAGTCAGCTCGGGCACGCCTGGAGAAGCTCGCAGACCTGCTCGTCGAGGGCCTGTTCGCATCCATGGCTCGGAAGTCATCTTCCCTCGCTTTCCCGGATACACGGCTTTCGGATAGTTGAGCTGGTGAATTCACAATACCGTTGTCTCTCGAGGAGGACGGCCAATTGTTGGTGTCAACAACAAGGGCTGCAAGATTGGTGGTGTCTGAGTCGGTTATGCTTTTACGGAGACTGCGACGCTCTCTGAGGCCTTTTACCGAGCTATCGCGAACAGCTGCACTTCTATTCAAGCCGGAAGAGGACCGTGTGGCAGAGCTAGAGTCGCCAGCCGACTCGCTGAGAATCGGCAGGAAACGAGACGGACCAGCCTGGTCCAGATTTGTAGTTCGAATCTGAAGTGGTACCGGGGACCGACTGTACGAGTGCATGGGCTGATCTTCTGTCCAACCTGCCGGCGTAGGGGGCATGGGACTCAGCAAGGGTACACGGAGGGGAACACGATATGCCTGACCATGTCTGGCCGTGCCCTGTAGGGGCTTCTGCTCTTCTTCAGTGCCACTGGCGGCATCCAGCGACTGAGACCTGGAAGCACCAGGAGGAGGACCAGGGGGAGGACCAGGTAGTGGCATACCAGGATGCCAACCATTCCTCGACGAGCCCGCATCAGAGGGTTCTCTGCTCGGAATAGACGAGCCACTATTCGAGATGGCGTCTGCCGAGACAGCTCTTCTTGCAGCTGGAGGACTCGGGATAACTTCTTCAATAGGTGGACGTGTCTGGTTGTAAGCTCCCGAATGTGTTACAACCTGTGACAGGGCCGACACTGACAATGGTCGAGCACGATTAGCAGTGGCTGTGTTCCTCGTATCGACACCCCGAGGCGGTGGAGGTGGAATGTGCATGCTGGATGGTGACACATTGGTTGAGCCATGTGAGATTAGCGAATCGCGTATCGAGGGGTGTGTGTGTGTACCACTCGAGAAAGGTGCGGGGCCGCTCGTGGGTGTATTCAGTTGTGAAGCAGTTGTGGACGCACCAGTTGCGGGAAACGGTGGATTCGCGGGTGACACAACGTTGCTATCGCGTGGAGTGGCTGACCTCCGACTATGTGGTGGAGAGTATGGTGGAGGTGGGACGGTGATGCCATCTGGACATATAGTCAGTACTTCTGTTTACTTTTGTTCATCCACGGCTCCAACAGACCCTCGGGGTTTGTAGCTTCGTGCTGGGACGAGCGCCGACTCCCAGAAGTCCACTCCTGAGGATTGTATGGCACATTGTACGCGGCGCGTCCAGCCATTGGCGATGGACCTCTTGAACTGCTCCCTGGACCTGGCGTGTACGGGGTCGATAGGCCCTGCACAAAGGGACTCGAAAGGGAGGTGGCGGAAAGAGGCGTCTGTTGGGAGTGACCCGCAGGCCCACGTGCAACGTTGGTGGTCAAGGCCGGGAGCCTCGAGACATCACCACCGCGAAAGGGATCAGACGGTCGAGGACCTTCGCCTGCGCGGGGTGGAGGAGGAGGGAGACCGGCAATGGGGCTGGATACATATTGATCTATACCAGGCCCCGGTGAGAGATGTCTAGACGCAGTTAGCCACGAGCTCGTCCTAGCCAGCCATGAGACGCAGGGTCCTGTGGACGTGCCTGGACATAGTAGCAGCAGATCCTGGCTCCGATAGAAACAACCAAGCCAACCAGAACAAAGCAAAGCACAGAACTAAGCGCCGGGGGCACTGGAGGTCATGGTGTGTCAACCTGAGGGAACATATTGGGTGAGACGCTGCCGCACCAGGCGACAGAAAGATACCAGTGCGCCGCTGAGAAGGGGAAAGCTGGGGACGGATGTGATGTTGAAACGAAATGGACAGTCAACGCAACGAGCGAATGAGGGGAGGTACGCGAGTGAGAATAGCAGTCAATGTTCTATTTTGGCATCAATCTACTGCAAGAGTGATAAGGCAGTCCACTCAGAGACATGGCGGGCTGCAGCTGTGGTCCCTGGTCGACGAGAAGAGGCGCTTCTAAGCAAGGCCTCATTGGTTCGAACTGGCCGAGCCGAGCTATCTCGTTCGGGGACTAGGGGTTCTCCCGGCAGTGGGGTCAGGCATTTCGGGCTTGGCGTAACTCGCGGATATTTCAAACCGACGTCTTGAAATTTTAGAAACATCCTGCAGCTTGCAGCTTGCAGATTGCAGACTGCAGCACCTTCATCTTCATGGACCGCATTCGCTGCGTGCTGCGAGGGTCATATCGATCTAGGTCTGAGTTGACGTCTATCTTCGGCGGACCCTCGTGTGCGTCCCGAAGATGTTTGATGCTTCAGATCGCCCGCAGCTGCATTGCCCAAGCCGTGCTTGATGATCCTGTGCCGTCTTCACGCAGAGGCTGGAGTGCTTTTCATGGCTCTCAAAATACGACGAGACCTACCAACCGAGACGTCCATGCTAATTGCAGCTGCCGTCAGCTTACTGACCTTCAGTAAGTCCTCTTCCGCCCCCACGACCTCGAAGATGAATACGCATACCACACAAACTAGAGTCTTTGACCCTTTGGGGAATGAAACTGGATTTGCTTTGCACGTCAGTCTGAGCGCAGAAGATCCCCTCGCATTTGCAAGATAATTTTTCCTTGACAATACGCTAATCTGCGCAGATTGACCACAGATCCATCGAACGACAGATAACATGCGCCCGTTGACCCCTTCTCCCCAGCCTGGTAAGCTCTCCTCGCGCTCTTCGATCGCCCCGATGATGTTTTTTCACATATATATACGCAAGGAATTACCGGCGGAGACCTTTTGGTTGTTGAAGATATCAATGGCTACTTCTGAGGGACACAAATACTCCATTACCCAATGATTGCGAAGGAGAATTTAGCTGACACAACTTCTCGCAGACTCGAAAAGGTACGAGACCGCATCCCTTACACTCGTCTCATCGAATGATGAATGGCACTGGGCGCCGACAGCACAAATGTGTCTGGTCATGACGGATATGCCTTTTTGCGGCAGGCCTAGAAAACCTCGCCCACTGATCGTCCCAAGCATCGCAACCAAGCACGCTTATACGTCGCTGCAACTGGCTAACGCATCGCTTCTGTTAGACGGCATGCTCTTCCCAAAGATCACCAGGTAAGCCTCTCTGACTCCAACATCAACCTTTCGAAGATGATCCCTAGATGACGAGTCTTATTCGGCTTCGCCGATGCAGACAACATCTTTTATACCATTCATGCATTTCCTGAGTTAGCACGAGCCTTCATCGATGACACAAGCCCCTTCAATGCTCAGCATCTGACTGTCTACAGTACCATGCAAGCGTAGCATAAATACAAGGTATGGTTTCGAGATCTCCGCACCAGCTCCATTCTACATGATGAACCGACGCATCAAAAGACAAGCATATGTCCAAGCCTGGCTCCGGTCTGGCGCAGACGAGACTGTCCAGCCTGACTGCTTTCGAGCCACACCATGATAACAATCCGCTTACATATGAAAATGTGCTAACGCCGAAGTGCAGTTAGCTTGGCATTCTTCCGACTTTATGGTGTGGTAAGTCCTTCCCAGCCTTTTCCTTCTACACCCTACCATGATGATTTATTCTATTATCACGACGGTCAACGCAGCTTCGGCTTTGACGACCAAAGCCTGTGACAGGGCTTAGATCTGATCTCCTGCAAATATTTCTCTTCACTCGGCACCGTGAATGAACGTATGCTAACGTAATTAAAAGTCCAGATACTGTCCGCCACTGGCGACTATATGAAGAAAATGACATGGCAATAGAGTAAAGCGGACAAAGTGTAAAGCGAATGTCTCCGCAACAAAATTCACAGTCCTGCCATGCTTTCTCCTGCGCGGTGAAATGCTAGAAGCATTTTCCCCTGTTCAACAGTTGCCCGTATATCATAGCAAAGCAGGCATCCAATTCTACTTTGATTCTCCGGGCTCTATCTGTGCACACATCTTTCTCATGAAGCACCCGTCTGGTTGCTGAAGGGATCCACGAGACATTGACTGAACGTGGCAGTGAACATGAATGCGCCAAGTCCATCCCTACTACTTTCTGCCGCAGACCATTACAGTTTCTAATCCGCATCTGATCTAAGATACAAGTCAGACCTACCTACATACTTGCTAGGTACATACCACTGTCCCCGTTCTTCGGGTTCTCGGTCGATAGACACATGCGCATTCATTGTAAGTTCCTCGTATCTGTGTCCAAGTACCGATGCTTGCCGGGCCTGGCTCGATCTCCCGTTCCTGGCCACAGCGTCCGCGAGTACCTTGGAGCTCTGAGCGGTCGCGACCATCATACTGATCGCCACCGCACATCGTTGCTGATGGAGCCTCGCCATGCTTGCCATTCCCCACCCAAGGTGCAGCCGCCACAGCGTCCTGGGCCTCATTTCTGAACGTCCACACTCCAGTGTTAATACCCTTACAGGCTCTTCATCCTAGCCGTCTACGCCGCCATGGTTTACTCCGTTGCTAGGCTCAACAAGACCTTGAGAATCTTTCGCAAGGCGAAGGAGAGGGAAGCTGGTCAAAGGGACGACGACAACAACAACAACATCGAGCTTCTCCTGCGCGGTAAGCGACCACTTCGACTGGCCCACGTCCAACATGGAAAATCAGGTTGCTTGACACGAGGAGAGCAGGCCCTGGGTGCCGATGACGGCGACGGCGACGATGACGAAGCGTATGATCCAGACGGGAAGCCGGTCAAGAAGAAGTCCCTCGATGGCGGTGCCAAGATCAAGAAAGGGCTCAAGCGTAAGGCAGATGGGCCTGCCGAAGCGAAGCCTGCCAAATCTCCGAAGACCACTGGTACAGCCGTGCTCAGTAAGGAAGAGAGAGCGGTCGACCGAACCGCTTACTTAACCATGGTGCTGACTTCGGAGAGGGCAAGAAGTTCACTCGCACTGCAGGCTCGGAAGCATTGCAACAACGTGAGGGACCTCGTATTCGAGCACTTCGATAAGAGTGGCGAACACTTCAATACGCGAACCTACTTCGAAACGCTCGACGAAGCTTGCGCCCAGATCGACAACGAAGGTGGCCGTGCTCTACGGAACCGCAAGGTAGTCGCGATTGATAACAAGTGCCGTCGTTGCAGGTTTGCCAAGAAGCGATGCGAGTGCTATAAGCTGCTCATACGACAACCTCAGGACGATGATGATCTCGATCGTCCCAGGAAGCGTATACGAGAGCCCTCGGTCGCGCCGATTGTTCCAAGCAAGGCGATCTGCCGGAATTCATCCAACGCTCCTAGGAGCTCACCGTCTGTCAAAGGCAAAGAACGAGCAATGTCTCCCTCTCCACCGCCTGCACTTCCGACGCCGCCTGCCACTAGTAGCCAATGCAGCTCCATCAGCAGTAGGCCGCGCTCATCGTTCTCTTTATCCAAGGCTTCTGGTTTCACGGACGACACACTCAACAAACCATGCCAATCACCATGGAACCAGAATCTCGATCAAGAGGACAAAGGTCCCAAGTCCAGGCTTATCACCAATGCTCGAGACGAGAGAGGATCTTCGCACGCCCACCCCATAACTCTGGAAGACGATGACGATGAGCACGGCAAAGAGATCACACTACAAACCCGCTGGTCACATCCGATCGATTTTCGGTACACTAAAGGGGGGTGCAAATTCTGCCATGATTTCCGCTACGGAGTATTTGGAGGTATTCAGCGCCTGGTGCAAGTCATCAGAGACCCGACAAGCAAGACAATTCAGTACATCGAGGTGGAAACCTATGGCCAAGATCAGCCAGAGCAGACTAAGATGTGCCCTCGATGCGCGTTCAAGCGACTCTACATTATTGATTGCCCCGGCCATGCCTTCAGAAGGCTAGACATGTCTGGTTTGGACAACAGTGCATACATCAAACAGGTCACCAACCAAACAGGCCCGCCGCAGAAGGATCCAATGCGTACTATGTGCTCGCTGTGCCCGCTACCGGCTCATCTTCAGTGCTGTGCCAGCCAGAAGTACAATCAATTGCGCCAAGAGATCAGCCAACCAAATAAAGACGGTTGCGGCCTGTGTCTCTGCCAGAACTGCTGGACAATGCTTCGACGGATCGGAGGCCGTACGCTTCGGAAGGAGAGAATTGAAGGTTACATTGAGCAAAAGAACAAGGAACGAGATGTTCGCCAGCAATTCATGCTGCGGGCCGATGCCGAGTTCTTGTTTAGTGAGAGTCTATTGCAAAAGGCGTATCCATGTGAGTAATTGTCGTTGTCATGTTCGCCACAACAGCTAACACTGTAATAGCGAAGAAGGATGCGATTGGCAATAAGCATAAGACGGGGCAGTCGCCCAAATCAGTTACTTTGACGTCGGCGATCTAGCTATTGCCACATGGGAGAAGGCATCATTTCGATCGAGGCGAAGGATTTCGGCGCTAACCGACAGCTGCCTCGCCGCTTCGAAGGAATGATGCACAGCCGAGCGATGGACTCGTCGACGATGCAGGCGGTGAGCGTGCGGGACCAAGGGACGTGGACAGCGGTCCGAATCAGGATCTCGAACTAGATCACATAAACTTCTTCTCGCCTGTAGTGAACCATAAAAGCAGCTAGGAACGAAAGAAGTCCTCCAGTTTCAGGAGAAGGCCTTGCGCACATTTACCTCCTGTCCAACACGGTGTAGACACGCTCGCTTACGACTGCGTGAATACACATGTAACTGCAATGGCAACCTTTCTGGCCGACTAGGGACATGCACAAGTACACACCTGGTAGACCCCAAATCTGAATCCATCAAAGCACCTTTTTGGCCTTGCAAGAATAATGGTAAAGGTGAAGTCAGGTGGAAGTGACTGCTTTGACCACATTCCTTCCTGTCCGTGCGGCTGCAGCAGGCTGCGCAAGGCTGAGGCGGTATCAGAAAGTGGCGTTTGTCCACCCTGTTGGTCACGATAAGCCACTGCACTCCATCAAACTCAGCAGAAGAGTGTTCACTCCTTTTCTATCACTTGCTTTTGCTTGCATCGCTGCATTGCCGCCGACAGTCTCAATCCCACGAAGCAATGCCGCCCTAGGTCAGAAGCTGCGAATACCGGAGAGCGAGGGTTCACAGATCTCGCCCACCTCGGTACCCTTGTTCTTTTCGAAGTCACAAAGCCGTTGAGCCATCGGTGCCCATTTTAGAAGCGGAAGAAGAGCACCGGTCGACATTAGAGAGACTTCGAACAAACTCCCTCAAGAAGAAGAGCAGCTCACAGTAACTGGCGAGCAGAAGGTCAAGAAGCCTACGACGAGCGCCGCGGGCCCCCAAATCAACCCTCGGCATCTGCCACACCCCCGTTGGGCGCCGATTTCCGAGGGGGTTTGAGCCTCCACAGGCTTCCAACAACGCCCGAATACGCCCAGAGGATGGCATTCGACCAGAACAGTCCCGTGGCCACCCTTGGGCGTGCCTCGTTGCACAGAGCTGTTCAGGCTGCTGCATACGTAAGTCAAATTTCGTCTTTACTCTCTCGTCGAAACCTGCTGTACTTCGTTGCCGCGTGATATCGATATTATACCTTTTTATCGTGAGGTGCGCTTTCCGGGCCATTTGGAGAGCCTGGAACCCCCACTTTCTGGAATCGTTCAGGGGCTTCAGCCGTGATGGTTCAGGGGATAGCTCCCTCAGAATAGCAGACCAGCCTCGTTCGGGGAGGCAGAGCCTCGCCTGCTGCTCACATGGCAGGTCAAGCCCTTCAGCCCGGCCAGCGTTATCAAATGCTTTGCTCGGATTCGAGCAAAGGTGGTCCGGCTTACCGGCGGTGCTTCCAAGTCTGGACGAGCCGTGGAGAAGCCGGAAAGACTCAATTGGGTGGAGAGCTTTGCGGGGGTGAGAGACGCTGTCCCTAAATACCCCGAGTCCATGCACGATGATGAGCCACTTCTGTTGAAAAGGCCAACAGCAAAATTTGTTGCTCATTCTTGGTCAGGTGATATCAACCTAGGCTCTTTGAGACACTTACATGCGACAACATCCCTGGATGCATTCTGAGCGATTGGAAGCGCGCGTGGTATTACTTTCGTGTCCGACTCGGTGGCAGCGGTATATGTCGACAGAAGGCTTTTTTTGGAGGCACGACAGCAAGATTTTGGTGGCTAGCAGGAGGAAAAGCACAAAAAGTGCTGCTGCAGGATGACAATGAACAAGCAGGTGGCCGACAGGCACACTGCCTATGCAACGGCAAGTGAATCATTCTTCTATCGCAGCGGAGGACGTTGGCTTGGTGAAGAAATGAGTGTTGTCGCCGAGGCAGTGAATGGGCTGGCCACACACTTGACACCCCTCACCTCATCTCCTCGACAAGGCTACCCTTTTGTTCCCACCACCACAACACTTACTCATACAACCAAATTGAGTCAGTATGGCTTCCTCGGCGCCAATAGAGCCATATCAGGCATGCTTGTGTGCTCCGGAGATGGTGGCATGGCACTACGACCCTGGCGAGAAGCCGGTTAGCGACCCTGTACTTTGATGGCGTTGCTGCTCGTTATTTATCTTACGAGGCCCTTGCTAACAGCTTTGGTTCTAGGACGATGACGATAACCAAATCGTTCTTATCATGGTCGGTCTGCCAGCTCGCGGAAAGTCCCTCATCGCCGGCAAAATCGTACGCTACCTCAAGTGGCTCTCTGTCACGGCCAGAATCTTCAACGTTGGCAGCTATCGTCGTAACGATAACCCCCACCCTGATGCCAACTTCTTCGACGTCAACAACACCGCTGGAGAACAGGCCAGAAGAGCTGCTGCAGAAGCTGCCGTTGCCGACATGATCAAGTGGTTCTCTAACAAGAAAAACAAAGTCGGCATTCTCGACGCTACCAATTCGACCAAAGCTCGTCGCAAGTGGATCTACGAAAAGATCACAGAGGCCAAGCTGCTTCGTAAGCTCCATGATTATTTATTGACATCACCAGCTAATCCCTCCTAGACATCTTCATCGAGTCAAAGTGCGACGATGAGAGCATCATCATGCACAACATCCTTGATGTCAAGACCACATCTCCAGACTACGTGGGCCAGGATCCAGAGAAAGCTGCTCAAGACTTCAGAGACCGGATCAAGAACTACGAGAAGGTCTACGAATCACTCGACGAGTCGGAAAAGGACTACAGCTACGTCAAGGTCACCAACGTCGGACACCAAGTCGTCATCAACCGCATCCAAGACTATCTCTCAAGCCGCATCGTCTACTATCTGACCAATCTCCACATCAAACCCCGCTCCATCTGGCTGTCTCGACATGGCGAATCCGAGTACAATGTCCTCAAGTTGATCGGCGGAGATTCAAACCTGTCCCCTCGCGGCGAAGAGTACGCTAAGATTCTTCCAGAACTCCTCATCAAGTCTGGTATCCCAAAAGACCAAAAGGTCGTTGTTTGGACCTCCACCCTACTCAGAACCAACCAAACTGCCAGACATGTTGTCGAGCAGTTAGGATTCCGCAAGCTCGAGTGGAAGGCCCTCGACGAGATTGATGGAGGCATCTGCGACGGCTATACGTACCGGCAGATTGCCGAAAAGTGGCCCGAGGACTTCGCGGCGCGCGACTCTGACAAATATCACTACCGATACCCCGGTGGTGAGTCGTACGCCGACGTCGTCGCGCGTCTTGAGCCAATCATCATGGAGCTCGAGCGCGAGGAGAACGTCATCATCGTCACGCACCAGGCGATTTTGCGGTGCATCTATGCGTATTTCAACGAGACGCCCTCCGACGAGAGCCCCTGGCAGAAAATACCTCTGCACACGCTCATCAAGCTGACCCCGCGGGCCTACGGGTCCAAGAAAGAGGAGTTCCCGGCCAACATACCGGCCGTGAGCACCTACCGAGCCAAGGGGGAGGTAGAGGAGGAGGCGGGAGATAAGCCGGCCGAGTGAGGGGGCGGCGGCGGTGGCCGCGACAAAGAAGAAGGAAGCATAAACATAAGTATTTTATCGTGAATAAGACTTCTCTTCTCTGATCGGTGTTTGTGACTTCTCGTCGCCTGGTTGCCTTTTTTATTCACGTACTGCAGTGACTGGCATTGGCTCTTGTTTTCTTCTCCGTTCTTCGCTTTCTACTCCAGTCCTACATATAAATGACTTTTTGGTATTCTCCTCGACTTCACCTGCATATACTACGAACAGTCATTCATGTGTGATGTGTGAAGCAAGGGAAGTCTTCTTTACAAAATCAGTATTACCTCAAGACTGGCTCAGCCTTGCCTACGCAGCCTTGCGAACTTCAGTTCAGGCCAGGTCGCCCAAACTCGCCAGTTCCCTCGCACATCTACGACCGCGACCTCTGCCATCGACTTCCAGCAGAGGCACCGCCAAAATGGTCAGTGATGGTCCGCTCCCCTCCACCAACCAGACCCGCTAACACCAAAGTCCAGAACCCCCTCTTCAACTCGGCGCTCAAGCAATCCACCGCGGTGCGCAAGGACCTCGACACCTTCGCCGCCGCACCCGCGACCGCCTCGCCCGCCCTACAAGGCCAGCTCTCGACGACCCTGACGTCCCTCAACCGCACGGTGCAGGACTACGAGAATCTATCGCGCAGCGAACTCAACGCCGAGAAGAAGGAGAAGGCCGTCGAGCGCATCAAGAACTTCCGCGCCGACCTCGCCTCGTACCGCGCGCAGTTCGACCAGCTCAAGAAGGAGCGCGAGGCTTCCATCAATTCCAATAATCGCAGTGAGTTGCTGGGTCGGAGACCGCACCACGCTGCGACGCCCGAGAACCCGTACGCGCACGCTTCGTCGTCCGTGGGGAACAGTGCGTTTGCGCCCGCACATCGCAATACGCAGGATGGGTTGCAGTTTGGAGGTGGGGGCGGGCAGCAGAATTTCACGCGCGAGGAGCATGCGTTGAGGGAGCAGAGTTTCTTTGCGACCGCGAACAGTCAATTGGATGAGTACTTGGATCGGGGGAGGGCGGTGTTGGGGGATCTGGGCCAGCAGAGGGAGATCCTCAAGGGGACGCAGAAGAGGTTGTATAGCGTGGCCAACACGCTGGGGGTCAGTGGGGATACGATTCGGATGGTGGAGAGGCGGGCGATGCAGGACAAGTGGATCTTTTGGGGAGGGGTGGTGGTGTTTTTCAGTTTTTGTGCCCTGGTGCTCTATTTCCTGAGGTGAGAGCATCGTGGAGCCAATGGGCTTTCTATATCTACGTCCTGGCTGAGATGGATGGCGGGATTTGAGAACGATGTTCGAATCCGCACTGCAGAGCTGATGGGACCGGACCGGACCGACGAATGTTCGGACGCAAGTAAGAGACCGGACCCACACGTCGTCGCACCATGCAGCAAAGGCGATGCCCACGAGAGAAGGCATCATTCAGTGCGTCCTTCAGAACCTGGCACCTACGAGCAGTCACGTCTGGCATGCTCGGGTCAACGCGCGCTGCGCCAGCATGTTTCTCAGCACTGAAGCCATACAACATTTATGGGTTGACAAGAGGCGCATGAAAGCCGTCCCGCAACGCTCTGGGGACTATCCACAGCCTTTCACATCCAAGAATCCCCGCCCGGCCTGCCCGGAGATCACTTCCGGCCGCCAAGACTAAGGCCAGCCAGCGAACAAGGCAAAAGGCGTCCAAACAGTCTCGAGCAACAGGCCCAGGCAGGAAAGCCCTAGCCCTCGGGGCAAATTACCAGCAGACTGTGTTACGGGACAGCGACTCAGCTCCGAGCTACACTGAATCGCAATCTACGAGTCACCGTCGGCACTGCAAAAGCCAAGCCGCTGTCTACCCCGCATATTCGAAACCGCCCGTCTCCTCTGGTGCCTGGAGGCTCCGCCTCTAAGCCAGGATCAGACTGCTGCCTCTCCCCCGAAACAGAAGGAATGATGCGAGCTCTTTCGTGCAATTGGCTCTCTGGGGCCGTATCTGCTGCAGCCTCGACAGTCCAGCGGTGCTTGACCGTCCGGGTTTTACCTCGGCCTTGCAGGCGACACGCGGGCACCGTCGTGTAGCTCTTATGCCAGGGTATCCTGCACTACACGCGATGGATGTCTCCCACAAGCTACATAGCTAGCATCATATTTCTCTGGACCTGCGTCCTACGAGCTTCGCCTGTGGTCTGACACGTTCAGCTCAATCGGTCCTTGCTATCCTTCACACTGTCCCTTCCTGTACCACAAGTAATTTCCGTGCACCTCGAGACTCTCGCTACAACTCAGACTTCTAGCAACCCTTCACCGTCGAGTGCAGGATACAATGGCAGGCGACAAGCCCTGGCCGCAGGTGCCGGTGGGCAACAAAGAGTACAACTCCGCCGGCGTGGTCATCATCGGCGCTGGCATATCTGGTCTCGTCCGTGCTCCCTCTATTCCTTACCGCCCGATACTTCTTCTCCTCCTTCCCTCTACCCATACATACCCCCCGTCACGAACCCCACCTGAAACTGACGTCCCCTCTCCACCAACAGTGCACAGCCATCGACCTCCTCACGCGCAACCGCTGCCAGAACTTCATCATCCTCGAGAAATCCGCCGGGCTGGGCGGGACCTGGCGAGACAACAAATACCCCGGCTGCTGCTGCGACGTGTGGTCGCACCTCTACTCCTACTCGTTCGAGCAGAACCCGGCCTGGACGCGCGAGTATCCCGGCCAGGAGGAGATCCTGGAGTATTTGCTGGGGGTGGCGCACAAGTATGAGTTGTATCGGTATATCAGGTTTAACTCGGCGGTGGAGGAGGCGAGGTGGGATGGTGAGTTCTACCCTCTCTGTTTCTTTCGTGGGCCCAGCAGGAACAACAATGATTGGGACAGACGAGAGAAGAGAACATTGGGCTGACGAGGTGTTTGGTTCGGAGTAGAAATCGAGAACAAGTGGAAGGTCGACGTCGAAGTGCAGGGCGGCAAGGACGCCGAGTTTGGCTCCCACTACACCATCACGTCGGATTTCCTTGTGTCGGCCGTGGGCCAGCTGAACGTGCCGCGCCTGCCGGACATTGAGGGCCTGGAGAGTTTCAAGGGCAAGATCATGCATTCGGCGCGCTGGGACTGGAGTTATGATCTCACTGGCAAGAAGGCCGCTATCATCGGTAAGGATCCAGGTCTCCCCCCTTCACGCATCAGCAACAGCACATCCAACTCACGCGCTCCAGGCAACGGCGCCACGGCGGCGCAGATCATCCCCGAAATCGCCCCCACGCTCGGCCACCTGACCATCCACCAACGCACCGCCAACTGGGTGATCCCACGCCTGGACGCGGCCATCCCATCCTGGAAACGGTCGCTGTACCGCTACCTCCCCTACGTGCGCCACCGCAAGCGCGCCGACATGATGGACTACCGCGAAGCCTTCTACGACGCCGTCACGGACAACTCGTCGGCGTTTGCGCAGATGCTCGAGGACGCGCACCGGCAGCTGTGTGCGGCGCAGCTGCCAGGACCGGAGAGGGAGGAGTTGCGCAGGAAGTTGGAGCCCGGATATAAGGTCGGGTGTAAGAGGGTTATTATCTCGGATGACTACTTCCCCGTGTTTATGAGGGAGAATGTGGCGTTGGAGACGGGGGGAATTGAGAGGATTTCGGAGAGGGGGGTGGTCGTGGAGGGGAAGGGGGAGGAGGAGGTGGATTTGATTATCTTGGCGACGGGGTTTCGCACCGTCGAGTTCATGCATCCGATCCGCATTGTGGGCAAGGGGGGGAGGACACTGGAGGAGGTGTGGAAGGAGGGTGGACAGGCGTTGTATGGTGTCAGTGTGGAGGCGATGCCGAACTTTGGGATGTTGTATGGACCGAATACGAATTTGGGGCACAACAGGTGAGTACAACACACTGACCTTGGGGAGCGAGGCCTCATGTGCGAAGGAGGATGGCATGGCTCCTGCTCAGGTGGCTTGCGAGCACTGACTGACTGACGCCGCGCAGCATCATCCTCATGATCGAGGCCCAATCCAAGTACATCAACGGGCTGATCAGCGAGGTCCTTGAGGCCCGCACCGTCGGCAAGACACTGGCCATCACGCCGCGGGATGCCCGGCTGGCCGAGTTCAACGAGGAGATCCAGACCGAGCTCAACGCTTCGTCCTTCGCGGACCCGAACTGCAACTCGTGGTACAAGCGCAAGGACAACGGCAAGATCACGCAGAATTGGAGCAGGAATGTGATTGACTACCAGAAGGTGAGTTTGCGAGGACAGATGGAACGGGCTCATGTGCAGTGCTGACCACGCCAACAGATTCTGAGCAAGATTGACTGGAGTGACTATGACTTGGAGGGGTCTGGAGCTGAGAAGTTGAAGGGGGACAAGGCTGGAAGCAAGCAGCTGGGACGGGTGGTGGAGGAGACGGTGGTGAGCTATCAGACTATGGGCCTGACAGCTCTGGGGATTGCGGCGGTGGGCGTGGGTGCTCTGTTGAGGAACTCGGGGAGGTTGAGACTGAGGTAGGCCCGGGGGCTAGCGAAGAGACGTGACCTCTTTACTGTGTAGGGTGTCTCGCAATAGACTCATTTGCCATCATTTTGACGTGAGAGTGCGCAGGTGGGACTGTTCTCTGGCCAGGTCCAATCTTGCACCGTGTGACCACGAGTGTCGTCAAACAGACGGGAGTATTCTGCGCTTATGACTCTTTATTGCGGGGGGCCCTTCTCGTCAGCAATCTCCCTGAGATCGTATGGAGCTTGAATATGCTTGATACAGCGGGCTGAGGCATAGCGAACAGGCAGTGAATTAGCCGTCGAACGAGGTGCACGGCCCGTAGACCTTTATTGGTTTCAAAAGACGACGATATGGGCGCCAGATAGCTACAGTGCCGACGTCTGACCGCCACGAATTAAATGCGAGCCCCCACATTCGCTGCGCAAGACCAACAGCAGTCTAGACAGCAGCGAGAACAGGCTAATGCAGGGTCCCCGCTGCAATAATTTCTGGAGGACAATTCACCGAAGATCGGTCAAGCAGCCACACTCTGCACCGACATTTCTGAGTCTTAAAACACTGCTTAAAAGAAGGTCGTGTGCCGTCCATCCTCCTTTGTCCTTCTCTGCAAATCATCATGAACACCATCAAAGCAGCGTTTGCAAGGGCAAAGGCCGAGAAGCGGAGCGCCCTCGTGGGCTACTGGACTCATGGCTATCCCACCATCGAAGAGACGCCAGATATCATGCTCGGCATGCAACGAGGAGGCGTTGGTCAGTTGACAGTCCATCCCCTCCAGCGCCACCGCTGACCTCTTCCAGATGTAATCGAGTGCGGTCTCGCCTTCACTGATCCCATCGCCGACGGCCCCACCATCCAGAAGTCCAACAACGTTGCCCTCTCCAATGGCGCCTCTATCACAAATGCCCTCGAGCAAGTCCGCATTGCAAGATCAAGAGGCCTGCGTGTCCCCGTGCTGTTTATGGGCTACTATAACCCCGTCCTGCGATACGGTGAAGACCGCTTCCTGCGTGACTGCCGAGAAGCGGGCGTAAATGGCTTCATCATGGTCGATTTGCCCCCCGAGGAGGCTGTTCGCTTCAGAGACAACTGCAGAAAAGCCGACCTCTCATATGTGCCCCTCATTGCCCCCGCCACCAGCGAGAAGCGCATGAAGTTGCTCTGCAGCATCGCCGACTCCTTCATCTACGTCGTCTCCCGCATGGGCGTCACCGGCGCAACAGGCACACTCAACACAAAGCTTCCCGAGCTGCTGGAACGGGTACATCAATATTCGGGCGGCGCACCTGCGGCAGTCGGTTTCGGCGTCAGCACACGCGAACACTTCCTCTCCGTCTCCGAAATCGCCGAGGGTGTCGTCATCGGTTCCCAGATTGTCACTACCATCGGTGAGGCTGCGAAGGGGTCTGCCTCCAAAGCCGTCGAGGACTACTGCAGCCAGATTACCGGCCGAAAGGTCGGAGATGCGAACCCCGACGCCGCATCAACGACACGTGAAGTTGGTATTGTCGAGACCATGGCCGCCGCCAAAGAGCCCAATGCCGCCACCACAAATGGCCTGAATGGGCACACGGTCAAAGTTGACGCCGTCGTCACCGACGCCGATCGGGCCGGTGCCGGACCAGGCCTCGCCGACCAGCTCGATGCTCTGAATAGCGCGACCAATGGCAGCGACCCCAACCCGTCAGCAATTCCTGCCCGATTTGGCCAATTTGGCGGCCAATATGTCCCTGAGTCATTGATGGACTGCCTTGCGGAGCTGGAAGCCGGCTTCGCAGCAGCCAAAGCAGATCCTAAGTTCTGGGAGGAGTATCGGTCTTACTACCCTTACATGGGCCGACCCTCATCACTCCACCTTGCACCGCGTCTCTCCGAAGCAGCCGGCAACGGCGCCAACATCTGGCTCAAGCGCGAAGACCTTAACCATACCGGCAGCCACAAGATCAACAATGCCCTGGGACAAATGCTGCTAGCCAAACGCTTGGGCAAGACTCGCATCATTGCCGAAACGGGGGCCGGTCAGCACGGTGTAGCTACCGCTACGGTATGCGCCAAGTTTGGCATGGAGTGCGTGATTTATATGGGCGCCGAGGACGTACGACGTCAGGCACTCAACGTCTTCCGCATCAAGCTGCTAGGTGCCAAAGTTGTGGCCGTGGAAGCTGGCAGCCGCACACTACGCGATGCCGTCAACGAAGCGTTGCGGGCCTGGGTTGTCGATCTCGACACTACACACTACATCATCGGTAGCGCCATCGGACCACACCCCTTCCCAACCATCGTGCGCACTTTCCAGAGTGTCATCGGTGATGAGACCAAAACCCAGATGCGCGAGCAGATGGGCAAGTTGCCAGATGCGGTCGTTGCCTGCGTCGGCGGCGGCAGCAACGCCGTCGGCATGTTCTACCCCTTCTCCGCGGACCCTTCTGTCAAACTGCTGGGCGTCGAGGCGGGTGGCCACGGCATCCACACAGACAAGCATTCAGCCACATTGTCTGGCGGTAGCGTCGGCGTCTTGCATGGTGTGCGCACCTACGTGCTTCAGAACGAGCACGGCCAGATCACAGATACGCACAGCGTGTCCGCCGGCCTAGACTACCCAGGCGTGGGACCCGAGTTGAGTTCCTGGAAGGACAGCGAGCGCGCACGCTTTGTCAACGCCACCGATGCCGAGGCTTTCAGGGGCTTCCGCATCCTGAGCGAGACCGAGGGTATCATCCCTGCGCTGGAGACGAGTCATGCGGTCTGGGGCGCGTTGGAGCTCTCGAAACAGTACGGGCGGGAAGCCAAGGCGGGCGAACCCAAGAAGGATATCGTCATTTGCCTGAGTGGTCGTGGCGACAAGGATGTGCAGAGTGTGGCGGATGAGCTGCCCGTGCTGGGGCCGGAGATCGGCTGGGACCTGAGATTCTAAGTTGTCGGTCAACGGAGGATTGTACTGTTGGAGATGACAGGCGTGATATGCATTGCAATGTGCTTGGACTACAGTCTATAGCAGGACTAGGCCTGGCCAGGCAGGCGTCCACGAGATATATGGGGAATAACGAGGTTATCTAGCACAACCATCTACGTTTCCTTCACCTCCATCACACCCGCCAGCCACGTAGATGACCTACCCTCCCAGCTCCCTCCTCGCCTCAACACCCCTCCTGACCTCCCCAACAGCCCAAACCAACAACGCTCCCAAATCCCACTCCCCCCTCCCCGGCGCCACCCTCAGCGCCTCTCCCTCCGCCTTTCCCTCATCCACATCCACCATCCCCATCCCCATCCCCTTTCCCTCCTTCCCCCGCACCCCATCATCCACCCCCCTCCCCTCCCGCATCACCCACCCCAAATCCCGCACATAATTCGGCCACACCACATCCTCCACGTAACCCTCAGGATCCTGCCAGAACCCCTCGAGAGTCACATACCCGGCCCGCCTCGTGCGCCTCGCCACCGTCTGCGCCCGGCTCGCCAGCAACAGGAGCTTGACATCCAGCAGCGCCGCGACGGCACGCAGCGCCCTCACATCCCCGTCCGCGTCCGCGTCAGTATCATCCTCCTCCTCCGGGGAGGGATAGAGCAAAAAGCCATCCAGCACGCACACCCGCAATTCCTGGCCCGCGGGCAATATCCGCAGCGGTAGGTTGGCCAGCCACTCCGCCACCTCCGCGCGCAGCCTTCCCGGCAGCTCGGGCGGGATGTCGACGGGCCCCACGCTGTTCTGGTCCTCCTTGCTGTGCGAGTCCGGCGGGAGCGTGCCGTGCGTCCTCACGTGCCGCATGGTCTGCCGGAATAGCGGGAGGTCCAGACTGCCCAGACAGTCCCAGTCCTGGAGGGTGCGGGAGCCCAGACCCGAGGGGCAGGAGGGCCCAGTGGTGATGAGGGGGATGGCGGCGTCGGTTTTGTAGAAGTCGTCTTCGTGCAGGATGAAGAGGGTGATGCTGCGGTGGTGTGTGGTGGGCGTTGCGGGGTGGGCGTTGAAGACTCGGTGCAGGAGGCGCGCGAGCGTGGTTTTGCCGCTGGAGGACGGGCCGGAGAGGCCGATTAGGAGGGGCGTGAAGGGTTGGGTGGTGGTGGCCATTGTGCGTTGAGTATTGCTCAAATGTGTTAATGTGAGTTTTGGCGCTCTGGGTCAGAGACGCGGCTGCTCTCTCCCGGCGTAGTCTGTATGTTCGAGACCGGCCTGGATCCCAGATGTAGCAGTCTGTAGGCCAAGGCCCGCTTCCAGAAATTGCGATGCAGTTGCGTTGAGAGAGAAGTTTGAAAGTCCGGATATCAAGCCAAGGTTTGTCTCTCCAGGTGTGGTTGATAGAATTATTCGTCACCACCTGACCGTAAATTTTCGTCGAATTGATAGTCAAGGACTCTCAACTCACAAGGCATGCGGCGCCGATGATTCACGAGCTCACAATTGCTTGTAGTTGACACTGGCTGAGCTGTCTCTCAAGCACGGAGAGCCAAGATTATGACATTGAAATTCGAAGCAACTACATTGGGAGAGCAACTGAGGGTAAAGTGCTGGACTGATCTATACTGGAAACGCCCGGTCTGGTCTCTCCGGTGGTATCAACTCTGTATCCCCACTACGTGTGATCGACCACCACAAGGCGTCCCAAGTGCTCTTCCATCTTGACGCCTTATTTTGCCTTCTTGAGGAACAACGCAATAGTGAACAATCATACTCCATGCCTTCTCGATGACTAGCTCTTGATCTGAAAATGTGCACGTACGCAAAGACCGTTATAATACAGATATCCATCCCTTCGTCTCCATTCGGACGATCTGTTCGCTGGATACGCCATCGGTTCGGGTATGGTTGATGGTTGTATGGTCAAACTAACAACCGGAACAGCTTATTCTGGCTGTCTTAGCCAGATCGTGGGATCGTGCGTATAAATGTGTAGCTCGCAAATAACGCCAATAGGTCAAACGGCTCGCTGTCTGACCTGGACTTGTCGGCGGAAGCAAGTAGGGTAACTAATGAGCCAGATGTTTCGCCTTCGCCATCGGCGGTTGGGAATGCACATTCGGTCGGACTCGATCGATACGGGCGGTGGTGTCAGTATTCCACATACATCGGCACTCCACAGCATAAGCACTATCCAGCCTTCTGTCGCTTGCCGCCGATCCGTGGACTAGGTTTCACCTTGTTCTGGTTCTGGCCGCCGTCTTGGTTAGCATTCGCATTGTCGTCTTCCCCTTTTACAGTACTCGGTCTCCTTCGTTTATTGCTTACATTTGGACTTGTGTTCGTACTTGGGCCTTGACTGCCGCTCAGGTTACTGCCTTGTGCGCTCATCTGGTGCATCATTGGTACACCTCCCTGCGCGGTCTGGGCTGGGGAGGGCGTATGAACAGGTCCGCCGATGTGAGGAGAGCCTTGGTTTTGAGGAAGGCCTAGATGTGCCATACCTGGCGAAGCAAACTGGTTAGGACCATTCATTCCGCCTTGATTGGGGAACTGAATCTGGCCATTTGCGTTTCGAGCCATCTGGTTCTGCATCGCCCGGTTGGCATTGACATTGGCATTCATCTGGGCTTGCTGCGATTGTTCGTGGTTGAGGCGGTGAAGCGATTCCAGCGGCCCAACTCCTGGATGACTGTGGAACCATTCAATCAGCGGCGCCATCTGCGTGAGCACTTCGGCAACCTGGACACGGATTAGCTTATAGACTTGCAAGTGGAGGCTTCAGCCTACCTCAAGGAACTGCTGGATGTGAGAAGTGATGCCCCAATCATTGACACCTGACGATGGTGCTTGCAGCATCGGCTCTGGCTGGTTCTGTTGTTGAAGCTTCTTCACATTCTTGTTCATCTTGGGCGACTGCTTCGAGTTCTGTTGTGGGGATCGGGAAGCTTGCATGGCGGCGGATGCCATTGGCCGAGGGATGTACTCCTGCCAACCAGATGTCATGATATCAAACCGAATGACTTTGTTGAATTCATCAAATAAGACCAGCAGATTGCCAGAGGTGCTGACGCGGATGTCATTGTTGAAGACGTATGTCAACGAGGCCGTCTTGCTCGTGACCATCGTTTCACCTGTAGGGTGCTTCCTCTGTGAATGGTCGTATGATGATAGTAGAATCTGCTTGATTCCACTGACAAAGTGCGCATGGTAAAAACGAGCCAGCGAGGCGAATTGCAGGAGGAAGGCCTTATCCGTTGTCGTCTTGAAATTAAAAAGCTGCATCTTCATCTGGGCGATTGGTGAAAAGTACTTGAAAATGACTTCGTGCCACCATTCGAGGTCCTGAGGCTTCTCGGGACATGCAAGAGCGTCTTGAAAATTAATCAGTGCCAGGATACAGTGGCCATTCTCCTTGGGAATATCCTGCATCATGATGTTCGCACCAGGATCTTGCTGCTTGATTTGCGGCTCCTCGTCGGTCTCGTTTTGCTTGATCTGTGGTGTAGGTTGATTTTGTGGCTGCTGCTGTTGGGGGGTTTGCTGATTTGAATTGGTTCCAGAAGGGGCCTGTTGCGGCGGCGGCGCTTTGGCCTGTGGTACAGGAGTCTGAGTCGGAGTTGGCTGAGGTTGTGGAGTTGGTTGTGATTGAGGCTGATTCTGAGGAGCCGGGGTGGGGTGCGATGGAGGCGGTTGGCTGGTCTGTGCTTGTGCTTGCTGTTGTTGCTGGGCTTGTTGCTGTTGCTGTTGCTCCTGCGACCTTGAGAGCTGCATTTGTTGAGCCTGACGTTGCTGATGTTGAGCCATAGCAGCTTGCTGTTGAGCTTGCGCAGCATGCGCAGCCATCATTTGCTGCTGCTGTTGCTGCTGGTTACGGAAGCCTTGCATGTGAGGGTTCTGTTGCATATGTTGTATCTGTTGCTGCATGGGCATATTCATTTTCATCTGGGCCATTTGGGCCTGATTGAAATTAGGGTTGTTGACCATATTCATCGGCATACCCCCCTGGTGATGCTGCGCTTGCATCTGCGCCAACATTCGCTGTCGCATGACGGCTTGCTGCTGCATCTGAGGACCACCAGCCATTCCACCGAAGTTCATCTGAGGATTCTGTTGTTGGAACATATGTTGCTGCGGGCCAAGGTGTGCCATAGCCATCGAGTTGCCGGGCATATGGCCAGGCGCAGGAGTGCCGGGACCCTGAGGCATGCCAGAGACCATGGGACCTTGGGTGACTTGAGGCGCAGAGACTCCCGGATGCATGCCTTGCATCATGCCGGGACCTGGATGGCCTCCCATATGTCCGCCTGGGTGTTGCATACCAGCCATGGGATGTGCAGGACCTCCCATTCCTGGATGACCAGGAGCCATGCCGGGCGGGAAAGCCGGCTGCGCCATCATATTTCCCTCCTCAGTAAAAGGCGCAGGATTTCGGAAGACCGTTGCCTTGTATGATGCCGGAGGCGGGGATGAAGTGTGGAGATGGTGCTATGCTCGGCTCGGGCGATCAACTCGGGTGTCGGGAAGGTCGCGTAGACCGGCGACAGAACGCCAACACGATGCAGTAGCTCCTTCACTTCCTTTGACCGATACACAGAACCTGTATAAATACTTCATTCGCGACGACGAAGAATTCGAGGTCGCGGGGAAGGCGTGCGCACGGTGCGATGCGCAGTCGGGGCTTCGAAAGTGGCTGGGGTGGGTGACTGCGTGATGTCTCCCCAAATCACAGGACTGTCGCGCTGGAGAGATGACCAGGATCCATGCTCAGTTATATTTATTGCAGAGTCAGATAGATGAGGGAGATGATATGAATGGCAGGGCTGTTTTATCGCGCAATGAGGCGAAGTATAGGGGCGACAGTAAGCAAGAACAAGGTCGAAGTTGGGCGGCGCTGGAAATCGGCTGCGGGAAGGTGACCCGGATGGGCGACGGGTCGGCGAGGAATGAAACGATTGTAAATCGCCAAAAGGCTGGCTCCAGGATTGAATGCCCGTGTCCTATATCCAAGTCCTCGCACACGAGAAGAAGGAGGACACTAGATGGCAGGAATAATCGCGGGCGACAAGGTGAAGCAGCCTGACTGAAGAGAACTCACGGGCGCAGGGCGAGGCAGGTGGCAGACGGGCGAGACGGGCAGAGGACTCAGGATCACCGCACCTTGCCTCCTCAGGAGGCCTGGGCGTCACGTGAAGACCCACTTATGGGTTAGGGTTTCTTCGGTCGGGATTATCTTTTCTCCCGCCGCTGCTGCACTTTAGCTCCAGGATTTCAAAAAGTTGTTTCTTCGCTCTTCGTCCTTCAGTAGCAGATGCTTGACATCTTTACCTCGACCTTTGATGATGGCCTCCATTGACGACACCATTGTCCAAGCTAACCAGTAGCCGGTAAGTCACCCTTCTGCCATCCCATGCCTATTCAGAAGATGACAACAACTCCAATAACTTCTTCCCATCTGAGTCGACCTTGAAGAAACATTCGGGCCGTCTAGCTGGACGGTCTGCTACTTGCCAGTACTTTTTGTCTGATTGAAAACCCAAGCACGTGCTTGTCATCAGCATCTGTTTACGCTCAAATGCTGACCATTATCAAGTAGTTGCAGATCCCGAATGGTCATTTGCTTCGACACCTACCAAGTCCCAAGGTACGTCGACCACCTCCTCGAGCACACAGCTGTCCTCTTCCCCACCTCACCTGATGAAAACCTTTTCCACATTCGCAGTTTCTACCATAGCCCGCGCAAAGAACCTATATAAGTCGCGGTGTCGTTGATGGCGAATATCTTCCTTGGATGTCTGATTGAATCATTTATCTCCCCTCGTTACCTTCACAACGTCTTCGGGCTACGTTCCTAATAGATCTCAGAGAGTAGGATGTCGCAGCACATATTCTGTGAGGTGGACTTGCCATTTGGGTCGGTCTCGAAGTCTGGGAGTCAGGTCGAAATTTCCGTACACAATGCAAGGAACACCAATACTATCCGTGGCTTACAATTCAATCTGTCCAAATCACAATTCTCTAGTGTAGGCCATATCAGTATCACTGAATGGTACCTACCTATCGGAACCACAGGATAGTACTCTGTAGTACCTAAGCAACACTCTTCTATTCTCGCATCGCTTGTAGACCTGTCATTTGAATTCAAATATTCCGATTTTATTCCTGCTTGACGCTCATATTCGATCTTGATCCATAGACCGCCATTGCCACACCTGTACCGCCGAAAGACTGTAGCTCTTCAGCCAGAATAGACGCGTCACCCACGAATGACCAGCGCTGCCTACTTGCCACAGACTGTTCCAGTACCAAATTTTGCCGCTCACCAGTGAGGGGTCTTGGCAAGGCAAACGGTCTATGACTTTTACCTCAGCCTACAGGGAAGGCAAAGTTTCGACAGACTCCCCGACTTGACAACATCGCGCTGGCGTACATCGACCTCTAGTCATCATGCCTTCAGCAGGCAACACTAGCCTCCCTTTCTCTCCCGCCGAGCTCTCATACCTCCATTCCTCCTTCTCATCAATACCGCCAATCCGCTCGGACTCGCGCTCTTCAACAGACTTCCGAGCCCTCAGCGCCGAGACAGGCGTTCTCCCGCTCACAAATGGCAGTGCCCACGTCAGTTTCAGCGACGGCAGTGAAGCCATAGTAGGTGTCAAGCTCGAGATCGAAAAGACAACTTCCCTGGCTCCTACCACCGATTCTGCTCCGGGGCCAAACGAGAGCGGATTCATCAGCAAAACATCGCCCAAATGGATATCGTTGTCTCTGACACTACCATCTCTACGAGATGATGATCCTTCGCTTATCTACCTGGAGGAGATGCTGCGGGAGCCGCTGATGCATACTTCCCTCGCCTCAAAGCTCATCATCAATTCTCGCTTCCACTGGCACATCTACATCGACGTACTCCTCATCTCGCCGCACGGACTGTCAGCCTATCCGCTTCCGTTGCTGAGTATGGCGACCCATCTCGCACTACGGGAAACCAGGACCCCACGATTGAAGAGCGAAGGCGAAGAGGATCCGATTGCGGATGACGACTGGATGGCCAGCACTCACCTGTACCCGAGCAACAGCGCAGAACGACCACCTGTGACACTGCTAGTGGCGGCTGTTGGCGACAACGTCTTGTTTGATCCAAGCCATGAGGAGCTGAAAGTCGCGGATGCGATAATTGCTATTAGCGTCGGGCAGGAGGGGAGTGAAGAGGGCTGGAAGATATTAGCAACAAGAATGATTGACACACCAGCGCGCGATACGATGAAGGGAGTTCCGAAGGATGGCGAGCCGGATCAGCAGATGACGATGGAGGTGCAGGGCGTTTGGCGGCCAAAGGTGGGAGGCATTAAGAGGAATGTTCTGAAGAACATCGTTAAGTTGGTACTCAGTGGAGGAGTGGCGCAGGATGTGATGCGAGGCTTGGATAAATTCGCCGTGAAAGAGGCAACTTCATGATCTACCCAAACTTATGGGAATGAGGAGGCCTTCCGCCTCTATCAGCGACCTGACCTAGGAATGACTTGATCGACTTAGGGAGGCCCTCTGCACCTATTAGCGACCTGGACGGGGATCACTAAAATAACCTGAGGAGGCCTTCCGCCACCATTAGCGGCCTACTCTTGGAATTACTCAATGACTTGAGGAGGCCTTCCGCCTCTATCAGCAACCTGGCTTGGAGAATGCTTCATTGAATTGGGGAGGTCTTCCGCGTCTGTTAGCGACCTGGCATGGGAATTACCAAAATACTCTGAGGAGGCCTTCCGCCTCTATCAGCGGCCTATTCTTGCAACTACTTAATGACCCGAGGAGGCCTCCCATCGCCACCACCGACCTGGCCTCAGAGTTGCCTCGTGAGTCCTAGAGGCCTCCCGCTACCAACGGTGACCCAGCCTTAAGGCACGTTCTTCAAGTACCGCTCCAGCTGCGAGGTTCCGCAGATGAGCGTGACCTCAGCGCCGTCCTTCATGACCAGCCGGCCAAACTAAAAGTTCCATGTCAGTCATCGGTATTCACAGTCCATACAAGAGCAAAAATGCTACTCACTTCAGCATCATCATCCTTCTCGTCCTGGAAGATCACATCCAGCCTCGTACTAGCGCGCAAGCCCCGAATCTCCTCGCGCTTGATGCCCAGCACGTCCCGACTCAGCTTGGTGATGGCGTTAGAGCGTTCGCCGATCAGGCGGAAGGTGCTCTGGACGATAATGCCAAACTCGGCCCGATACGCGACGGGATCGTGGGGAACCAGCTGGCCACGACCTCTCAGGTTCGCCCAGAAGCGCGCCTCCCTCGCAAAGTCGCGGCCATCATCGACAAGCACCTTCTCGATCGCAGCCAGCTTGTCCGTGGCGTCGTAGCCGCCCATCTCGACGTGCGTGCATCCATCGTCATTGAGCAGGCGTGTGAGGCGTTTCGTCGACGCGCCGAGATCGCCGGCGACGAGCTGCAGGGTCTTGAGCTTGGGGAAAGCCGCGACGCTGATGTCGTGGGTCTTGAGCATCCAGCCGAACTGCGCTTGGAAGATCTTGAGGGTTTTGGCGCGCTCGCGGAGGTAGCGGGGGAAGATGGCGCCGCCGTGGATGCAGGGCGTTTCGAAACTGGGGTCGTCGTCGAATTCGATGCAGATGGCTTTGGCGAGGGGGCACATGTGGAAGATGGTCAGAATGCTGCGGTCGCCGATGGGGCGCAAGGCGGCTTGGTGGATTGCCTGGTTGAGGTTGAGGAGGTCCTTGACCCAGCGGGCCTCGCCTGGCCAGTGGAGTCGCCATCCACCTTTTCGGCCTTCGGCGTTGACGTTGAAGGCGTCTGGGAGGGCGTGGGCAACAATGCGCTGCAGGATCACCTTGGGGAGGTCGGTGAGGTTCTTGGTTGAAGATTGGAAGGCAGTAAGGAGAGCATGCTCAGGAGTGTTCAGCTTCGCTTTGATCTGGTCGGCGATGCTGAGGTCTGACATGTCAGGAGCCTGAGAGTTGTTCTTGTCGTCCTTGTCGGCCTCCTTCGCTGACTTCTTCTTGTTCTTCTTCTTGCGGTTCTTTCTCTTGTCTGATCGATCGGACTTCTTGGCATCGGCTTCGCTCTGGTCATTGGTCTCGTTGACGACAACCTCTGATCCTCCGACGGTCGCTTCGGAGTCGGCGACAGACAGGGTGTCGTTATTGTCCTTGATCGGGGTCTCGGAAGCATCAGGTTGGTGGTTATCATCTCTCAGCTCATCGCCATTATCGCCATCCTCTTCTTCAGCAGCTTCAACATCCTTAGGCTCACCCTTCGCCTTTCGAGTCTTCTTTCCTCGCTTTCTCTTCTTCTTGGACTTGCGCTGAGTCTTCTTAACTGGAGCGGCAGCAGTTGATTTGCTATCATGAGCTGCATCGACGACTTCAGATGGTGCTACGGCCGTGGCACTGTCGACAACATCAACAGGCTCGAGTTCATCCTGTGACTTCTTCGATGGGGTGATAACAAGCTCAGATAGTGCTACGGCCATGGCGCTATCGACATCGTCAACAGGCTCGAGCTCGTTGTCTGACATCTCCGATGGAGTGAGGATGACCTCAGATGATGAGTCGTCCGTAGTGCTCTCAACACCATCAACAGGTCTAGCTTCGTCTTCCGCCATGCTGACGAACAAGCAAGGAAGGGGATTCAAGGCCAAAGAAAAGCTGCAAATGTTGTAGAGCAAATCGTATGTAACGAAGGAATTCACAGGAGTTGAACAAATTTTGTGGTTTAAGTAACGCTGGGTGAAGAGCTATGCAATGACTACGCAATGACTATGCAATTGTGGTGGAATTTTTAATAGTTGGCGTTGGAGAGAATGCTCTGTCATGGCTATCTGAAAGACGGCCTTTGTGGTCCTCTAACTGCCTTGCTTGCCCTGAGCAGTATATCAAACTGTGCCATCTTGCACATGAACAAGTCCTTCTCAGATTTTAGTCCCAATGATCAGTGTATGAGACCAGACATGCCTCTGAGAATGAACGTGCATCTGGCTATCAGCTTTAGACGTTCTGCTACCTTCAGAGACACTCCCGTTGATCTTTATCAACAGCCGAATCAGATTTCGTTTCAGCACGATAGTGCCACCGACAGCATCGACGTCCTACCTAGGGACCATGCTTGGTGAACAAGGTCGCTTCAAATAGATCGGACGGAGGTAGAACAGTTCGCAGGTCTTTGAGCTTACAGGCCGAACGCGAACAGAGAAGAACTGACTCCGACATTGAGAAGGAAGTCGAGACTGCATACAAGGTGATACTAGACCTGGTTTGCTTGGCCTCTTTCCACTTGAATAAGAGCAACAATTGGCGAAGGAGGCTCTGAGATGGCCAGGAAACTTCAAGCATGCCACAAACGAGCTGGAAAAGAATATAACAAAGACAGAGATACTCTTCGTTATGTTCCTGATCATTGAGGGCCTCGAGGAATGTGACGAGACGATCGACTCACTACTCAAGCTTTCAAGTTCAGTTGTGGCTCTACACATGAACTATAAGATCAAAGTGCTCCTGCTCACACATCCTGACCCCAGGTTTTCAAGGCCAGATAAACATACTGCAGAAACAGTCCATCGCCTCCGCCCCACGAATGAGGTCAACATTGAAGCAAACAAAGGCGACGGACCACCACTAGAACTCGCAGCCAGAGGCTCATGCATCGAGACAGCTCTGGATCTTGTGACAGCACACCATGCCGACTGGGGTCATATCCTTGCTATCATGAGGAATACGGACCGGCCACGCTTTTTTTCAATTTGATGAGCCATGGTTATGGCATTCTTATTTGTCTCGGAAGGAAGACGGCTTCTGCGAGAGTCTCGGTTGCGAAGTTGTGAAGCTCATTAAAAGATGTGAGTACCATTGGTCGTCATGCCCAAAGAGCTAAAACTTGACGAATCATGATGATGGATGGGTGTGAACATTTGTTCGAGGAATGGGGGCGTCAAGAGACTCGCGATATATGAGGTCCGAAGATCTTGTTTACAGAGGGACTTGACGCGCACTACGCTGCGACAAAAGTTTAGCGGCAGATGGCATCCAGTTTACATACCAGTGGGAGGAAGGCAGGAATGGCGTCAGACTCGACCTCAATTAGATTTAGCAGGGCGTTGGCAGCGGCCAATCTCTTGACTCTACTGCATTAAGTCTAGTTGTCCACCTCCCAAACCGCCACCGGGTTCATCTTTCAGCACTCGAGCCATGATGCCTTCAGCCCACGCGGCAGTCTCTGCTCTCCAATAACTCTTCCGAGCTTCATAGTTCTGCCAGATTACCTTCCCATCACCATGTTTCACCTCCACCAGAGCTTGATACACCATGAGTTCGAACTGGCCCAACGGAACATCAGGCTTCTCATCAGTCACTTCCGTCACGTTGCTACCAGCCGCATTCTTCAGGCATGTATTCGCAAGTCCATCGAGCAAGACACACGTGAGTATTGAGAGTGTTTCAGCCGTCGCTTCGCTTGAAGTATCGGCCGCACAATACTTCACCAGTTGGAGCAGACGCCACTTGCTGACGAGCCGTGAGGGGTGGTGCTGCTGCTCGTAGAGCACAGGATCGATTTTGGAGGTTAGGACAAGATTCTGTCTCATGGCTTCTTCGAAGTCTTGGGTTGCGATCAAGGCTAGCACGAGCTGATGGCGAAGCTGTGCGTAGGGGTATGAGTGTAATGGCAAGTCGTCCAGAGCAGCGAGGTTTCCGAGAGCCCTGCGAAGCTCCGGGATGTAGAGCTCGTGGGTTCTTGGTTTCGAGGATAACGACAGCAGGAGATTAGTGGCAGTCGAAAGTGTGGGTAGTGCTTCTGCGTTCGATTCTTCAATGCGTGGGCCGCGTTGGCACATGAGACAGCCACAATCAAAGAAGTATCGCAACTTTAGATCCGCCTGGCGACGTTCCAAGCTCATGGTTGCGTCGATATAGGTAATGCAGATCTCCTCGCCTTTCGCGATTGGCCTGAGGGCGTGTACAGATATGCTCCCATGGTGAACCTTCGGTATAGGGACTGGAGAGGTGGAAGAGGTGATGTCGAACCTGACTATCGCATTGGGCTCGCAGCTGTGATTCATCATTGCAGGCAGCGGGTGCAAGACGATGCCCACCGGATCAAAGGTTGGTGTAGTCAGGGTGAACGAGTTGACCATGAGCGTACAGCAGATCCTCGTCACCGTCTCGAGCGATTCTTTGGTACCAGAATAGGCCATGATGGCCTTGATCATTAGGGAAATGTCCTCCCACCGATCTCCACCGGCTTCGCAAAGATCATTCTGGTGCGATTCAAGGTCCCGGAGCTGACTCCATTCTTCATCTGTGATGAGTCCATGCTTGAGCTGAAGTAACAGCCGTATGATACCCCTGGCAGCACTAGGCAGTACACGCGGATGTAGTTTGGCGAAAAGCTTGCATTCAAGTTTATGGTAGGAAGTCCAGGCATGTTTCTGGCAAGTCTTGTTACAGAAGCGAACAGTATGGCAACCCATACATGTCTTGAGTGTAAGTTCACCAGGTTCAGTCCCGTTGGACGTGACCTGTGCGTCTTGAGATCTCAAGCAAGCGTAGCATGTTGTTTCGAGCTGCGGCTTGTCCAACGCCAAAATTAGTGGCCGTTTCACGAACAGGATCTGCGCATGTGGAGAGAAGTCGCGTGTGGCAAGGAGGCCATTGCCACGACCGGATAGCTTCTCACGCTTCACGCCGTCGTCTTTGATGTTTTGTTTCAGTGGACTTGATGCAAGAGCCATAGTCCATGAGGAGAATGGTGGAAGGATAGTGATGTTGGACGCTCGGCGAGAAAGGAAATTCCGACATCGTATCAAATGACGTCAAATAACTCGAATGACGCTGCGAAAGTGTCATCGACGCCGCTCAGCAGATGTGTCTTGATATTAAGAATGAGTGTCGCCAGATGTCTCTGTTTGGATACTCGGTGAATATACGGTAGTCTAAAGCTCTGCCAAAAGATCAAGTGAGTGCTTAGCCTCGCGCCCCTCAAGACCACTGGGCTTACATGAATGTCTCAGTTGACTGACTTTTCGCGCAACTCAACTCCCCATTACAGCCTTGAATGTTGACTCGATACACCTAGTCTTATATACGAGTGATATATAGGCAGTCAGGTAAGCTGAAGGTGACATCAAAGGTACGAGCTATGGCTGACTAGCCTTGAAATCATCTCTGACTTCCCCCGAGAGTATCATAAGTTTGCAAAAGACCAAGACTGCTTCCGCCTACTACACAACTTGACGCCCAGCACTTCTGTTTGACTCGGAATTCCGGTCTGGTTGAGCCACAGACTTGTGCCTACTCCAAGTATCTATAGCTGCGTCCGCATGCACACTGAGTTCCCGGTTCCCCAAACAGGCCGCATTCCTCATCATGACACCGAACTGTCTCAGAGTTAGCGTTTCCTTTCGAATTGCTTTTGAAACTTACCATCCCCGGGTTCGCGGTTGCACACGCACCGAGCACCCGAGGGGACGCTTTTGTTGCAACTAGGGCATGTGGAGATGTCTCGCCGGGCCTGAGATGCCGTGACGAAAGCGTTCGGGTCATTGGAAACCTCCCGAATCTCAGTCTCGCAATATGGCGGAACAGGATCAGCTCCAGGCGAGCCAATGCTTCTCACTGGCGAGAGTACTCTTGGCAACCGCGCCACCTCGCGAAGTCTCTGGTTTGCGATGGATCGCTCTATCATCTCTTGTTCGCGAATAGCCCTCGAGAGAGCCGAATGTGAATCGTCCTCATCAGAACTGTATGAGCTTTCCGAGCCTGAGGATAAGGAAGAGTTTCCGTGTAAGCTTTCGGTAGAACCGTAGTGAATATCCGTTACGTTGTCTCTCCAGCTGTTGATACTTCGCTGACGATCCTGCTCTGCCTGCCGCATTTGGGTTCGTCGACGACGTGCGGCGGTCTGGCCCTCCAAGCTCACCAACCCCTGTTCGATAAGAGAACCACCGGCCTTTGCAAGCACCTTTCCGGTGTGAAGGCCGAAGCGCTCTGCCCCCTTGACCGACGCAATGCTCATCGCAGAGCGCGAGACAATGCTGCTCGAGTATGACCGACCTAACTGTGGAGAATTTTGTCTTTCAAGAGCTCTCCCGTGGTCGCTGTTTGGACATATCCTCCCGTGACTTGCTGATGCACCGTAGGAGCTACGGGATTCAGTTGTGCGCGATTGACCTGTGCTGGCTGAATTCGTGGACTCTGTTGTGGCGAATGACACAGAAGTCCCTGATCGAGCCGTGCCCCTTGAAGCTGTACTGACTTCGGAAACGCCGCGTCCTCGATGCCTGCGGGAGACATGCGTTGAACCAGTGTCTTTAGTTACTCGAGAGGTGCGAGTGTTGTGTGGAATGCCAGACACTCTTGTCGAGTTTGATGCTGAGGTAACAGCGGCGGAAGCGGAAGATCTGGCCACATTTAAACGCCCAGGCCGGACTAGAATGCTGCGTAGTCCGGGAGTGGCCGTATGATCAATGACGGCAGGCGTTCTGCGAGTAATGGGCCTATCGGTGGACGAGCCGATCGAAGATTCAGGAAGTTCGCTTACCCACTTGAGCCATTTGGCCACATCCAGATAGAATGAAACGAAGTCTTTCTGCAAGACAGCATGCAAAAAGGAGAACCAAGCTTTGTCGGGGATATCGAAGTATCTGAGGCACGGAGAAGTACAATTCAGGTCTCGCGTTTTCATCGTGAAGACTACCGCGCAAAGATAGTGGTCGCGTGAAGACCAGTCCTGGCCGTCTCCGGACGCGAGATACCGGTCCAAATAAGTTCTGAATCTTCTGTGAATCCGTTTGTCGCGGAGAAGGGCATACTCGAACCCGGCGTCCCAAGGTATGGACCTTCGTGCCTTTGCGATTGCTTCTGCGTGAGCCCTTTTGAACTTCTTCTGCTGACGTGCCTTCTTTTCCTGGGCAAGTCTTTTGCGTCTGGATCTACTAGTCTCAGCCATGCTCGACTATCTGATTGGCGGACAATGCGGACGTTTTGGAGGAGGAGAGGTATTTTGATCGTTGCGTTCTTGAGTAAACCGAGAGTCGCAGGTGGTTTCCTGGAAGCTGGCGTCGAGACTTTTTGTGGAGCATAAGGCCAGTTTATAAAGAAAGAAACGCCCACTCTGCAGGTCAGGTCAAGCTTGTGACAATATCTAAGCTATTGTTTGTTCTTATCCACATTCCAACAACACTGTGGCAGATGCTCTAGTATGTCCAATATACGCGCTCACGACCAACGAGAAGTTATTGTTTGTTGGCGAATGACTGGAGTCTGATGCCACGATGCTAAGAATGAGTCAATGCGTGCGTGAAGAAGCTATAAGCCAGCCAGCCCTCTCGTTTGCCGTCTTGCCAAACCCTCCAATCCAAGCATCCTCGTCCTCAGGCAGCGAATGCTTGGCGCTGTTTGCCTGATAGGTGGGTCCATGATAAGATAAGCTCGTTAGAAGGCGACGGCAAGGCAGTGTCCCCAGATTGTCCATGCGGCGTCTGTTTCATTATGGACGATCCAACGACATGATCAAATCATCCCCAAGCGTCTCTGATAGTCAGACAGGCGCCGTTGTCGATGCTGCCAAAAATGGCCGCAATGACGATGGTCCGGGCTAAAGTTCGGCGCCGCGCCGCTCATGTCGTCAGTACCCAAAGCCTGGCACATTCTGGCCTCGAGAAAGTTTTCGGGGGGCTGGCTTCATTTGTACATGCTTATACACGTTGCAGCAATGTTCGGGGCTATATGCTGAATCGTACGAACTGAAACCATGCCACGAAGCGCTTCGGATGAGCTCACCTCGCTGCTACGGAGCGAGCGCTGGCACGGTGAAACCCCGGATGAAGACGAGGAACAAGTTAGTTCACGAAAACCCGCGCTTCGAATATGCCTGACTTGTACACAGCTCGTAGAATTCGACGAGGAAGACAGCGAGGACCCCAAACAATGGCCGCTACAAACGCGGTATTTCCAAGTGCTACAAGTCACCCTAATTGGTCGTATGTTGTTCCCGCCTTTGAGTCTCACAAGCAAACGTGCTGATCAACATGGGCAGTACTATGTCCTCTCGCCAGTTCCATCCTCGCGCCTGCGTCTGATATCGTAGCCGAAGAGTTCGGCGTGGAAAAGTCGTCGGTGATTGGCGCCCAGTCCGGTTTTGTGCACATGCTGGGGTTCGGACCATTGTTCCTCGCGCCTTGCTCAGAGACGTTCGGTAAGCAGAACCGTCTTCTAACCGTGCGTCTACTGACACTACACTCAGGACGCCGCCCCGTCTTCATGACCAACCTGATCATCTTCACGATCCTACAAATCCCCACCGCCCTCGCACCAAACCTCCCAGCGCTCATCGCCCTCCGAACCCTCTCCGGCCTCTTCGGTTCCGTCGGTATCGCCAATGGCGGCGGTACCATATCTGACATGTTCCCCGCCAACGAGCGCGCGACCGTGCTCGGCTTCTACCTCCTGGGTCCTCTCTTGGGTCCGAGTCTCGGCCCCTTCATAGGCGGCCTCGTCGTCTCCCGCCTCGACTGGCGCTGGGTCATCTGGACCGTCTTCATCATGTCCACGCTCCTCACCCTAACCTGCTACTTCTTCCTGCACGAGAGCTACGCGCCCATGGTCCTCCAGCGCCGCAAGCAGACCCTCCAAGACAAGAACCCCGACACGCCGTACCGCGTCTCCGGCGCTTCCGACCAACCCACCTTCCGCAAAATCAAAGCCAACTGCTCCCGCGCCCTACGCATCCTCTTCACGCAGCCCATCGTCCTCATCATGTCCATCTACCAAGCCATCATCTTCGCCTCCATGTACACACTGTACTCGACCTTCACCAACATCTGGCCCTCCCCACCCTACCACTTCACCAAAAACCAATTGGCACTCACCTACCTCGCCCCCGCGACGGGCTTCACGCTCGCCGCCGCCATCATCGTCCCCTCGATTGACCGCCTGTACAAGCACCTCTCCCGCACCAAATCCCGCGACAACAACAGAGGTGGGGGCCTGCCCGAATACCGCCTCCCGCTCGCGTCCATCGGCGCCCTCCTGCTTCCCATCTCCCTCTTCTGGTTCGGCTGGGCCGTCGAAGCCCAGACTCCCTGGCCGCTGCCCCTAGCGTCCACATTCCTGTTTGGCGCCGCGCAGGTTTGCATCTTCAACACAACGCAGAACTACTATATCGATGCGTTTGAGAAATATGCGGCGTCGGCGCTCGCGGCCGGCGCGTTTCTGAGATCGATGTTTGGCGCGCAGATTCCGTTGTACGTGGGTGCCTTATTTGAGAGGTTGGGGTATGGCTGGGGGTTCAGTGTGTTTGGATTTGTGAGCGTGGCGTTGATGCCGGCGCCGGCACTCTTTTACTTTTATGGCGGCTGGGTGAGGGAGAGGTTTGCTGTGGATTTGTCTTGAGGAGAAGTGTTGGGGCTTGGTATTGGGGTATACTAGGGGTTGATACTCGCGGTATAGATGTTCTCCTCGCGGCCTTGGGAGGGCGGAAGGGTGAACAGTTTAGCAAGGCAAACATGATTCAAACCTGTGAGACTTTTCATCGAACAGCGGCAACTACTTTGGAGGATGGTGTTCGTGAGCGGGCTGGTGGATGCGAAGGTGGAAGTGGAAGTGGCTGTCAAAGTGAAGAGAGATGAGGCGGTGCAGGGGCGTGTCATCGCTAGCCAACTGGGATTAAGAGCGATGGGTGTTGCAGGCTTTCGTATGCATAGTATAGGACATTCGCAACTCTCGCTCATACTAGCAGCGGTAGAGACAGTCGAACCTTGGTCGTGATTCCGCTTGCTGGTGCTCGAGGTTAGTAGCTTACGTGGTCCCTAAAGCGAGTGAGAAGCTGGTGCAAAGGTCAATCGAGTGGCGTGGCCGTTACGACGGATGGTGTGCACGTTGTGGGCACGATGTGTGAGATGTAATTTGCAACATCCACAATGTGGTACAACTGAAGCACTAGGGCACAGATCGAGTACCCTTCATGTCCGAGTTAAGCAAGTTGCGTACCAGTCCGGGAAGTGGCCACAGCTTTCATGGGCGAAATATGCATTCGTGGGAGGGAAGGTTAAGCCTTTCCGTGGGTGGCGCCTCGAGTGTGACACCTTTCCATGTGGCAGAACCCTTGAGGAGTCCTTTGTGAAAGAATGGCTCTCAAAAAAGAAATTGCGGAACCCAGTTGGGTCGAGAACAGGTCTGGTCCAAGAGCTGATTCGGTGCCAATTTGATGGTTCAGGACCCGGATGATCGGTGGCTAAGTCACCGCAGCCACAACTTGTGAGGCCCTCCACACGCATCTTGCTTGGAAAACCTAGTTCGCAACCCTTTCCCAGCATCTGAAACGGGTGTGAGTGCAGCAGCAAATTGGACAGAGAGATGTGCAGAGCTCGAAGGTCTCGACAATGTCTTTATCATGGCGATCGCTTCCAGCTTCACTACCTTCTCCTGCATAGTAGTAGCGCAGCTATGGCAAGTGTTAGTGTTCATGCCCGCGATCTGCGCTATTATACGACTTCCTTCCAAGGACAAATGGAACTGCGAGACAGCCAAAGAGACCCTAAATATTTGCATGATCGCTCTGCATGCATCGACGAGGCAAATTCGAATCATTAGGTGGTGCTGAGGGCGTCGAAGGTGTTGAAAGTGTCTCGTGCGGCGCAATCTGCAGACACCACGTGCCATTGACGTGATTGGTGGAGGATTTGGTAGATGGAGAAGCCGGAGATATGCACCACTCCAACACTTTGGTGTATGATAGATGCTGGTGGGGGACACTTCAGGTCGTTGATGGCGGTGTTGTTCATCTGGCTAGAGATTCACTGAAAGAGTATCGTACCCAGTGAACACGTTGTCTCGTAGTTTGACCTGCTGCGTACTCGGTGCCACTTGCATTGCACAGGACAAGCGCGCCATCTCAAGACAGCCCAATCATAAGGCGTGAACCTCCAACACCTACTCGACGACAGCATTCACTACGGTCGAGCAGACTGTACTTAGGATCTCTACTCCTCGTAGCATTTCCGCACCATTGCAACGCTGCCGAGCAGCTCAAAGCCACGGCCTGCGCCGTGGAATAGCACCTTGTGGCAACGGGCACCGGCGTGGACTTGTCCGCACGACGACCATGTTAAGAAGTCCGAGGCTCGCCAGAGATATCTTGCCCCCGATACGCGTCCAGGGAACAAGATATTCCATCACCTCGTCGGCTTCACCGTTCCACCCTCGCATTGCAACAATATACACAACACAACGCCGGCTCAAGCGCTTTACGATGGCTGTAAACGGACTGAACGGCGTCAATGGCGTCAATGGCATTCACACCAAGTCGGACTTCTCTGCCTTCAAAGTTAATCAATCACGATTGATGGAGCATATCCACGATGGATGCCAATTTGGTGCTGCCCATCGCTATGGCGAGTGCGTGCCGTACTGAAGCATTGTATACTTCCGCTAACGTTTGGCAGTGACCCCACAGAGACAGGGATGGATCGTTTGTCACTGAATGACTCCGATAAGCAAGTTCGCGATTGGTTCACCAAGAAGGCGACGGCAATTGGCTGCAAGGTCACGGTGGACGAGATGGGCAACATGTTTGCCGTTCGGGAGGGTAAAAACAAGGACGCCCCACCGGTGATGATGGGTAGTCATCTTGACACACAACCAACTGGAGGCCGATATGACGGCATTCTAGGGGTGAACGCCGGCTTGGAGGTGCTAAGGGTACTCGCTGACAACAACTACGAGACCGAGGGCAATGTAGGAGTGGTGAATTGGACCAATGAAGAGGGCGCCCGGTTCCCTATTTTTGCCGTCGCCTCTGGTGTATGGGCAGATGTTCTTCCACTAGAGACGGCGTGGAACCTGGCAGAAGTGTCAGCAGGCGAGGACGGTAGGAAGAGGACCATGAAGGAAGAGCTGACCAGAATTGGCTATCTCGGGGAGCAAAAGGCGAGCTACAGAAGCAACCCCATTGCGGCGCATTTTGAGCTGCACATCGAACAAGGGCCCATTTTGGAAGCCGAAAAACGGCGAGTTGGAGTTGTCACGGGAGGCCAGGCGTTCAAATGGTGGGACATGACCATCAGAGGTCGTGACACACACGCTGGCACCACGCCTTTCTTTGCTCGCAAGGATGCGATGCTTTGTGCAGCCAAGCTGATCGTTGAATCCAACAGGGTCGCAAAGAAGCACGGCGGCCTTGCCACAACAGGCATCCTGACTCAGGAACCAGGTTCGATCAATACCATGGCACATACGGTCAAGTTCACTCTTGATATTCGGCACAATGAGGACGAGGTGTTGAAGAAGATCGAGGCAGAGTGCCAGGACGCGTTTGCCAAGATTGCAAAGGAGGACAGCGAGGCTGGGTGTAGCATTGAATGGAAGGAGCTGGTCGACAGTCCTGCCGTGCACTTCCATGCCGATTGCATAGCGGCTGTTGAGGCCAGTGCGGATGCGGTGTGCGCGGACCTGCCCAAGACCGCCGAAGACGGCAAGCTGTGGAAGCACATGATCAGCGGTGCAGGCCACGATAGCTGCTATACTAACCGTCGATGTCCCACGAGCATGGTATTCGCCGTGACGAAAGAAGGTGTTAGCCACAACCCGGAGGAATACTGCAGTCCGGAAGACTGGTGAGTGCTGCCTTTCCCCCAGGATGATCAAGACTGACAGATTCTATCAGTGCCGTTGGAACACAGGTACTGTTGGGAGCGGTGTTGAGATACGACAAGCAGAGGAAGTTCTGATGATGAATATCTGAATGATTTGATATCGGTTCGCGTTGAACCGAGATAATGTGTTCAAGTGGCCTTCCACAACTGAGAGCCTTGGCATCCACGACGGACGCACCTGCGCCCTGCCCATACTTCTTCCACTTCTGCTTCCATCTGCCAGAAACGTCCATCTCTCATGTCCCCATCTTCATCATCCTCACCCGTCGTGACACCCAGCAAACCCCAGACAATGCCCTGCTGCCGTATCGACGCAAACTTACCTGACCCCCACGTATTGTCGGCCCTGCACCTCGCAGCAACGAGCGACGTCCATTGACACAAATTCACCGCCTGTACGGCAGTTGAACCATCTCTGGCGACCGACGACACAAGATATAAAGAAGCCTTGACAGACAATGGCGTGCTTTTACCCCTGATAAAAGGGGCCGCAAAGCACATATTCCTAGCGCCGGACAGGTGCTCTGTGGAGAACAGGGGTCTTTCTACCCATTGATACGAGAGTGATTAGTGTGGGTGTGGCTCGGCCTCCGCCCACGTTCCTGCGTCCGTCAATGCCCGATCCAGCACTGCGCTGTCCAAAAATATTCCTAGGATATCCTTCCAGAAACACCGTACTGCACCCGGACAACTCAAGCGTCCCAGAGCCGCTCCTCAACAAAAACAACGGTCCTTGATGTGTGCGAAGAACGAGACACGGCGCTACCGCCTGGCTGCATCTTCACCGCCAGATCTCTCTATCTGTGGCCCCGCATTGAGGGGCTTGACTGTCGATACGCCCCTCGTTCATTGGACATGGCTGCGCACTCGGCTTTAAACCCGCCCGCGGTCCTTCGTCTATACTAAATCGGACGCCGTCAATAGACAAGAACAGCAGCTTGAGCCCGTCCTCGTGCCGTGGTTTATTGATGTCCGACATTAACAATTCTGTGGGCCCTCCGCCACATTCACAGGCCAAGGTTTGCCCTCTTCTCCTGTCCGGACCCTAATCTCAATATTTTTTGGACGGAGTTGCTTGCGATTTATTACCCTTAGCCTGCCCCTCGACCTCCTCACCGCTCCCCATCACACAATTCCCCTGTTTCGTCGTCAGTAAAGACACCAGTCACTTGAATCTTTTCGTTCCATCGCCTGTCCGTCGCAACCGCCCTCTCACATTACATTTTCCAATGAGCAAGCGTAACTCAGTCAGAATGGCCAACGGATCCGCTGCCACCGATGGCGTCGTCCCATCCTACCTCTTGACCGGCAAGGTCGCCCTCGTCACCGGCTCTGGTCAGTCCTCCAATGCCCACCTCCACGGGGCAACGTTCCCCACAACGCACAGACCATCTACTAACACATCGCAGGCCGAGGCATGGGCCGTGAAACTGCTCTCGAGCTCGCTCGTCGTGGCGCCGACGTGGTTGTCAACTACGCCAACTCCTCCGATGCCGCCGAGATCCTCGTCAAGGAGATCAAGGCTCTCGGCCGGGACGCTATCGCCGTCAAGGCCAACGTAGGCAACGTTTCCGAGACCATTGCTATGTTCAAGCAAGCAAAAGACCACTTTGGCAAGATCGATATCGTTGTCTCCAACTCCGGCGTTGTCTCTTTCGGCCACCTGAAGGATGTCACCGAGGAGGAGTACGACCGCGTCTTCAACATCAACACCCGTGGCCAGTTCTTCGTGGCCCGCGAAGCGTACAAGAACCTTGAAGTCGGTGGCCGCATCATCCTCATGGGCTCCATCACTGGCCAGGCTAAGGGCGTTCCCAAGCACGCCGTCTACTCCGGCAGCAAGGGTGCCATTGAGACCTTCGTGCGCTGCATGGCCATTGACTGTGGTGACAAGAAGATCACCGTGAACGCTGTGGCCCCCGGTGGAATCAAGACCGATATGTACCACGCCGTGTGCAAGGAGTACATTCCCAACGGTGAAAACCTGAACGAGCAGCAGGTCGACGAGTACGCCGCTACCTGGTCGCCCATGAACCGGGTGGGTCTGCCCATCGATGTTGCACGCGTCACCGCTTTCCTCGCCAGTACTGACGGAGAGTGGATTAATGGCAAAGTTCTGGGGATCGACGGCGCTGCCTGTATGTAGAGCAGAAGGAGGATGGGCGAGATTCTATGCGGGCACGAATGGTCTCGATTCGCAGTGCGGGATGAGCGACATACAGAGCCAGTTCCGGTGCTCACGAATACCTCGAGGTTACGTCAAACGATTCGGGGCAGATGTACTGATCGGGAGGAGGTACTCGATATACCAACATGTTGGCCCTTGTCGGCTCACGCATATGGCGAGGTGAACGGCGTAGATTAGGGACTCTAGCATTACAACGTTGCTAATTGTTGGTCACTTATCCGGGAGAAAATGGCAAAGATCTAGACACGAACGGCTTTTTGGATGCATCCCATCCGCTGAAGAACATCATTTTGCGCACTTGTGGTGCAGTATTGAATAATAGTGCAGGCATAACACTAGTGGAACTGTTCAGCGAATGAGCACCAGAGGGCCATTTTTCGCTTAGTACCTAGGTAGGTAAGGCACTACCGTACTCCGTAGCGTGCAGTGGTATGTCCCGGCGGCCCGGTGGCCAGGACTTCAAACCTCGTCCAACTTTGCAATAACACCATGTGCTTCCTCTGCTATGACAGTGGTCAAGCTTCCTGTTGCTCTTCTTCGTCATCATCTCCAGCTTGAGCTCCTCCTGATGGCCCCGCAGTGCGCTGTCGTTGTTGGTCGTCGACCTCTTTGTCCGGGTCGATGACTTTCTCTATCAACTTCGACAGCACACCTAGCGCCTGCTTCTCCTCTTTGCTGAGGCCGTCCTCCCCCATACCCAGTGTAGCAAGATATTCAACAGTGTGGCACAAATGACGACGGACAAACTTCTCTTCCTCCAGCAGTTTTGGATCGTAGATCGGAATTGCAGGTCTTTTGTCGAAGACTGCACGGAGCACGTAGTTAACAGCGGTATTGGTCTCGGTATCGAAAGCCCTGGTCGAGCGGTCGGTAAGCTGACATGCATATAAGGTTGTGGACTTACTGTGTCTCTTGGAACTCTGGAATCACCAGCTTCGCCAGAGGCCACATTTCCTTCCCACGCACCAGGACGATAAAGGCATCGACGTGTATGATGTTGTTACCAGTGGCAATCCATTCTTCCTCCCCCGATATCAGAACAAGATGCTCGAGCTGGGAAATATACTAACCTCATTGCGGACGATTTCCATGAAATCTTCAACCATCTCTTGAAACTCCATTGCGGCGTTGGGACTATTGACTGCGTAGGTTTTGTACAGACGCTGCGTGTCGAAGGGATCAGGAGCCATGTTGATTGTCGTTGATCTTGTCAGAGGCTGCTCCTGGAAACAGAGATGACGGTTAACCACGAGAGGACTAAAAGGGAGGTTCAATTTGAAAACCACGTTTCTCCAGGAGTACAGTAAGTGTGTGGCACTGTCCAAAGAACAATGGCGTCAGGTGATATGGCGTTATCACCTGGTGTATTTGTTTGCTATTAGCGCAAACGACTTGAAGGCAGTAGTTTTCAAAATATTTTGGGTGGATTTCAGGTTGTCACTCCTACTGCTATTGTCCTGACTCACATCACTTGATTGCCACGAATTTACACCATCGCAACGTTAGCCGATCCATGGTTTTTCATGTCCCTTGGACAGCCTTCGTTACACCCTTACACTCTTCGCAATTCTTGCGATCTCCTGTCAACGCTCTGAACCTCTCCTATCCTCAAACATGGCCGCGCAGTCTGAACTTGAGCCAACTATCTTAGCCAAGCTTCCACGTTCCGCCAGATTCTATCTAGGCTCGGACCAGCATGGACCACGGTTTGCTAACGGTGGCCAAGGGCATAACTGGCGTGTGGAAGAAACTAACGCTATCTCGACAATGGGCTTGCATCCAACTTTGGCATTGGGCTTGACCGAATGCTGCGCCGCAATAGGACGAGGCAAGGTACGCGATAACCCTGCTGCTGCGAATTAGACTGATATTTGACCAGTTTTTCTTCGTCGCGAAAAGCACCTACAGTCTGGACCTGTATCGGACTAAAGACAAGCTTTCCGCATACAACGACTTCATCAAGCTCCCAAGTAAGAAGCGCCTGCCATTTATGATCCAGTGCTGATACTAACGTACAATTAAGATCTGCTGTACATTGACTACGTGTGGAACGACGCGAGACGCACCGAGTGGTTCCATACACCTCATGATCAACGCTTCAAAGCTCTGAGTGCCCGCAACAACGCTCTCAGCCCGTCAGTGCCGACCTTGCCTATCACTGTTTCAACTGATCAAGACAACCATCCCGATGTGATGATCTATGGTGGAGGAGGTATGGGACAAGCATGTCTCTACTGGTCTCCAGATGGCGACTGCTTTGCAGACTTCTTTGATGTGCTATCGCAATCTCTAACCCTGGTCCAGGAAAATTGGAATCGGCCGCTTCTGAGCGGACTAAAGACAGCTATTGCTGGGTTCAGGCTTACGAGTGGTCAGGATATTGTGACGAAAGTCCATACAATGTACAAGGCAAGTCGACCTGGTGGCAATGTGTTGTTCAGCGAAGTCATCGATGAGATTGTCAAGGCTCACGAAAACTTTGTCAAGGAGGGAGGATATTCTTACAATCTCATCGAGTCTCGACAAAAGAATTTGGCAGAGCAAGTTGAGCAGAAGATCGCAGGAGGAGCACCCAACTTGCCAGTCCAACGTTTAAATCGATTACGCGATGATTCAAGCAGTTGGAGCCCCGGAATGAAGAACGCAAAGGATGCCTTCGCTCTCGCTGCCGATCGAGGCCTTGTTGAGGTCGCCAAATACACTATTGACGATCTGGACTGGAACGCTCTGACCAAGGAAGAGAGACATACCATCGTTGAGATGTATGAACTCGAAGTCGAGTGCAATCAGCGTGTCATAACTCGATCTACTCGTGTTGCGTTCGATGCAAATCTTCAGCCTGATATGCAAGCACGGGCAGCAGCGGGATCTCTTGGAGAGAAGAACGACGACGACAGTGATGACGATTGAGAGGTCGGCTCTGGAGTTTCTCAGCAAGCACGTGGCACCGGTTTGCGTGGTCGCGGCCGCAGTCGTGACCGCGCCCGTGCTTCCGGCCACAATCGTGGTGGTGCTGGTCGGGGACATGGGGGTGACGCTTTCAATGCCGACGACGATAGCAGGGCTGGTGATACGCCTGATCCCGGTCGCCTCACGGAGCGACGCAGAAGCTCTCGCTCGGGCCGCCGCAATCGACGGGCGTGAGGGCCTTCTTTTTCTCATTTCCGTAGCGGCGATGCATCGTTGGGTTCTGCAGGCCGGTTTAGGATGGCTTTTTGGCGTTGGCACTGTCACTCTAGACATCAGAGCGCGCTCTTCAATCAAATGCTGTTTGTTGGTAACTATATCCTCCGGTGTCCTCACTCACTCCTCCTACGACTTGTCTCGAAAACCCGCTGCTATCCGCTTTACCACACTTCTTGTCAGGAGCTGGGAAGCTGCAGTGGGAAGTGAGGCGAGAAGAAATAGGAGTACTCTCATACTGGTATTGGTGCAAAGGGACTTCATTGAGGTAAGAAGCACCTCTCCTCCTACCTTCTGTGTATCACATCGAATCGAAACGGGAGTATTAGCGCCCGAGTCACGTGGTATTCCCTGATGACCACAAACACACACACAACCCATCTAACGACGCGGCAGTCCCACTATCGACCTCTAACCCGCTGCGCCAGCGCCTCATCCAAGCCCCACGGCTCGCCCTGTTCATCGCACACCAGCTCCTCCTCAAAGTAGACGCGCAAGCCCTTGCCCCGGCCCGCCACGTCCACCAGCCGATACAGCAGACGGCCCAGCGCGTCGCTCTTGCCCGTGCTCTGCAGCAACAGGTCGTTCTCCGCGCACCACGCCTCCACGAGATCTTTGAAGGAGAGGTCGTCCTCGTCGCCGCCAGGTGGTGCCGCGTGCGGGTGGTCCTTGGTGCGGGAAGCAGCGGCAGTGGTGGTGGATGGTAACGCGGGCTGGCGCGGCTTGCTGCTTCCCAAAAGCGGTTTCCACAGCGGCCACACCTCGGCTGTGACTTTGGCTTTGACGGCGGAGCGCAATTCCGGGAAGAGCTCGAGGTCCAGGTCGGGCGAGGAGATGAGGGACCACCAGTCGAAGAGCCAGGCGTGCAGGTCTGGCGCGGTGCCTTTGCGGCGGTCCATGGGCGTCGAGGTTCCGGCTAGAGAGGGTTGGTCGGCGCGCTTGGGGAAGCGCCGCGCGCCGTCGATGAGGCGTGGGAGGATGAGTTCGGAGAGAAGCTTCGCGGTTAGCCAGGGTGGGAGGAGGGGTCCCCAGGCGGTGAGGAGTGCGCTGGCTGGGAGGGGGTCGTAGATGGACCAGTGTTGGAGAGCGCTGCGGATTGAGGGATACCAGTGTTGTAGCAGGAGGGTTTCGAAGGGAGTGGTGCGCTTGCGTGGCGTCGGTGAGTTGGATTTTGGGAGCTGTAGGAGCGAATTTAGCGAGGTGAGGGAGGTGACAAGATCAGATGCGGTGGGATCGGTCAGTGGCTCCCAATCCAGGAGCGCGGAGCGGAAGGGAGCCTCCAGTGTCGACGTGGCGAGGGTCGGAAGTTCGAGGTCCGAAATATAGGAGGCGTAGGTGGACTGAATGGCGTGTAGGCGCTTGATGACTTCAGACCAGGGACGGGGGCTTGCCGAGTCATCGGTGGAGACGCGTTCAAACGCCGTAATGAGCTCGGCGTACTTTTGTTGCTCTTCGTTATGGAGAACGACAGCGGCAGAGAGATGTGTTGCTTCCTCCGATAGCCGTTCCTCGGCTTCTTTGGTGGCATCCCAAGCGTCTACATAGGCGGAAAGCTGGAGTTTTATGCGAGCGGCCGCTTTGGACTGCTCAAGTGATGCGGGTGATGCTTCGCGAACGGGCGTAGAGAAGCCGGAGCCTGATATCGACGAGACGGTCTTGTTTTCTGCACCGGTCGCATCGATGATGACTGACTTCATAGCCTCCGGCACATGGAGTCCTCGCGACTCGATGGCCGCCACTGTATACTTCTTTTTTGGCGGTGCCCTGATCTTCGGCGTGCTTGTCCCGGGAGTGGATGGTTTCGAAGACTTGTCCTTGGTTCGCTTGTCTTTTCGTGGTGGCTCTGGTGTTCCGCTGCCTGTTCCTAGACCCGCTCTGCTTTGCAGCACTTTTGCTTGTATGGCCGTCGAGATACCCTGGCCATGCTTGCCGAGGCCCTGTCCCTCGACATAGCCCTGCTTGGCCATCATACGCGCCGCGAAGGAGTTCTTGTTCATTTTTCCTCCAGGCGCAAAGGCTGACCGTCCGGCACCTATTGGCTTTGCCGGTTGCTGCTGCTCGCCCATCATTGGCGGAGGTGACTCTTCACGGTCTGCTTGACCGGCGTATTCGCCTATATCGAAGGCGCTTCGAAACCCGCCTATGGCACCAGATCCTAGTCCCATGGTGGGACGTTCATCATCAACATCTTCGTCTTCCTCCTTGTCCTCTTGGTCATCCTCAATTTGCGCTGGCGCAGCCGAGGACACAAAGCCTATGCCTTTTCCCCATAAAGGTTTCCCGGTCATCTTCCTGCGCTTATTGGGTCTTTCATCGTCGGTGTCTTCGTCGAAATCGCGCAGTTGAAAAGGCTCACCTTCGTCTGAACTCGAACTCATCGTGACTCTGGTGCCTGAAGCGGCGGTCTCACTCCCTGCCCTCCTCGGGGATGTCTTCCTGAGCCACCGTCACGGATCTGCACCGGAAGATGGCGCAGAGCACTCGCAGCTCCGCGCGGAGGTAGAAAGGGAAAACCTAGGCTGTTGTTGACCGATGGCGCGAGTTGCAGGAAAATGTTCAGAAATCCGTATGGCCCGCCAGACCCGGACTTAGGTGAGGACTAAATCCTGGCGGGGAAGCTGAAGCTTGGGTGTGACGTCGAAAGCTCGCTTCGGTATCTTCCCCGTGCATGCTCCGAAGCGCAGGGTACTTGTCCATATTACATCAATCTTCTTGGGCGTTTTCCTTCTCTCCGATAGCTTCTCTCTTGTCCTCAACACCCGCACAGACTTCCTATACTGGACAACATGGCTTCCCTACTCAAGACCGCCTCCCGAACCACTGCCTTCCGAGCAGCTGGAGCTTCAAACCTACGAACAATTGGCACCGCCGATCGGACCTTTGTGAGAAGGAAGGCTACTCTCCCGGATCTGTCGTGTATGTGTCTTGAAAGAATTCACGGGACCAGAGGCAGGACTAACCCACATAGACGATTATGGTGCTCTTGAGCCCGCCATCAGCGGCAAGATCATGGAGGTATGCTACACTACTGTCCCAATCACAGAACCTTCAAGCTAAGTCAAACCCCAGCTGCACCACAGCAAGCACCATCAGACCTATGTGAACTCCTACAACGATGCTGCGGACAAGTATGCGGCTGCTGAGGCCAACGACGACATTGCTACCAAGATTGCCCTCCAACCACTGGTTAATTTCCATGGCGGCGGGCACCGGAATCACACTCTGTTCTGGGAGAACCTCGCACCCAAGAACCAGGGTGGTGGTGATCCTCCTTCCGGCGGTCTGGCCAAAGCCATTGATGAGACGTACGGCAGTCTGGACGAGCTCAAGAAGAAGTTCAATGCCGCTCTTGCCGGCATCCAGGGCAGCGGCTGGGTATGGCTTGTGAAGGACACCCAGACCGGCCAAATTGGCATTAAGCCATACGCCAACCAAGACCCTGTCGTTGGGCAGTACAAGCCTCTCTTGGGTGTTGACGCGTGGGAACACGCTGTAAGTCAATCAGATTCCGAACGTACTCCGAGCTAACTTTTATCAGTACTATCTTCAGTACCAGAACCGCAAGGCGGAGTACTTCTCTGCTATCTGGGACGTGATCAACTGGAAGGCGGCTGAGAAGCGCTTTGGTGCATAGATGCCATTTCAACAGCTTGTACAAAAGTGACTATGCATCAGTTTTAGCGGAAATAATACCCTTGCACTCACTATGAAACAACACGTTTCTCGCCCTTTTGCCGTGTCGTTGAGCCTACCCCATTGGCCAGCATACCCACAAACTCCTTGTCGATGGCATCCTGTAGGTAGGCCACATCTTCCTTATCCGGATTCCAAGTGAACCAGTTCTCTGCCCTCGAGCCTTCAGGCGCGTTGAACAGGCCTAGAGCTATATCCAGCCGCTTCAGATCAGGCCGGTCATAAAACACCGTGGCTCCGCACCGCTTGCAGAAATATCGATGCGTATCCTTGGAGGACAGGTAATGCCCCATCTCTTTCATGCCGGCCTCGTACGAATCCCCGCTCGCCATCCTCACTTTCTCCTTCGGCCAATGCGCCCAGGCGTTGACCTCGAAGCCGCTGGTCTTCCGACACGAGGTACAGCAGCAGAACTCCGCTGACATATCCCTCTCGGTGGCCGTCCCCTCTTCAAGCTGCAACAAATCCACCTTCACATCCCCACAATGACACCTCCCATCCAGCACCTCACCCCTCTCCTCAACGCTCCTCCCTTGCTCCAGCAACGCCTGAATCCCCTGCTCCGTCACAACCTCGCTCCCCCTCCCCCGCATGAACCTCCCCCCAAACGCCTCCGCCCTCCCCTCCCCCAACCACTGCACCGCACCCCCATCCCCCGTATCCTCCACAAACAACAACACACGATTCAGCCGGCCATCCAGCGCGCCCCTCCCCTTCTCTGCCTCTAGCTCCTCAAACTCCATCACGCCCGTGCACAGCTCCCACTCGCCCTCCCGCCTATCGACATTCAAGACGCTCGCGCCGCAGACGGGGCAGAAATAGCGGTCCAGCAGTTCCGACGAGGGGTATTTGGTGAGGTGCGTGAGCAGTGAGGCGGAGGGTAGGGGGCCGGGGATGACGGCGAAGGTGGCGAAGAGATGGCCGGTGACGTGCCGGCAGGAGGTGCAGTGGCAGAGGGCGGATTTGAGGGGGAAGGCGGAGGTGGGAAGCGTGAGGGTGTGGTTGAAGGAGGCGCAGTGGCAGGTGGCGGTGAATGTGGTGCTGGTGCTGGGGCTGGGGATGGTATTGGGGCCGGTGGTGGTTGACATGGTGGGTGGTGGCTTGTTTGGAGTGGAAGTATTTGCTGGGTGGGGGGCGTTGGACTAGGTTGAGCATGTGTATCCTTCGCTCGTTGGAAGGGCAGTAGGTGTGGGATTTCAGATGGTGCGGTGCATTACATTATTATATGTGATTGAGGCTATGCTACAGTATCTACTACCTACGTAAGAGCAATATGTGTCGTACAGAACGTGGAGGGAAGGGCGTATAAAGTGGAGAAATAGCTTGTGTGTGGCGGTCCAATGAGGTGCCTTGTTTCAACGTCAACCGATCTTCTCCTCCTCCCCATCACATCGTCTTTTGTCTAGCTTGGGGCAAGAAGCACTTTTGCATCGTGTTTCTGGCCTGCAAAATGTCAATGAAACAGGTAATTGGACCTTAGTGCTCTTCATAGACCGGGAACGTGCTTGCCGCTTCTCGGCCCTGACAATCTACTAGCCAACCCCACCGCGTGGTTCGGGTGATGGTCCTACATATCAGGACAGACGATGTTACTACGTAGACCGTTGTAGCGAAAGGATCATTGGTTGGACAGCCGCTTAAGAGAGCCCCTTCAGACACGGAAACGTCATCACAGCACCAGGGAAACGCATGATGGCCTGCGGAAAAGAACATTTTCTACATTTTGGATATATGCTCTCTATTGCGCACTACTGCTGTCTTGCTGCATCGGATGTAGCATACAGTAGCCGGTCATGCTGCAACTGGGGCATTCACCGCCGAAGCCGTCGTACGAGATAAAAGATAGGAACTGATCGTTAGATGGTTCTGCACCCTGCTTGCTGATCCCCCATCCTCCTTGCTGCTGATGCTGTGAATCCGATGCGGAGAGACGATCTAAGTACTGCACCGGGCCTCCCGGGTCCCCGTAGTAGTCGCGTCGGAGTGGCATCTTCCATATGGCTTCAACAGTCTCTTTTTGCTTAGCTTGTGCTATTGATGGCACATTGACTTCGGCCTCAATGCTATTGTATCCTGCCGCAAAGACAGACTCATGTGGTAATGGGGGTGTCTTGGGAGAATGGGATCGCGAAGACTTGTCCGAAGAACTCACAGTCAGCGAGGTCCAATTCACATCATTCGTTCGGGGTCCTGCACCGGCGCCAACACGGCATGTAGTGAAGGGATCTTGCTCGGCTCCATCTGCTCCAGCATAGTGGTGGGTGGCCGTGATGAAGCTGCCATCATGCGCTGCAGGGAATTCAGAGCCCATACAATTCCTAAAGCTGCCAGAATGCTCGGTGGCGTGATCTGCGCTTGGTTCACCAATCCTGCGAATCTTGGTAGCTTTGCCAGATCTTTCAGGTAAAGCTGCGAGCTGGTCTTGTAGGGCGATTTCCGCGTTTCTCAGCTGTGCAATTTGCGCTTGAATGGCGTGCAAGCGACCCTGTAGATACATACATCTTGTCGCCGTTTCTAAACAGGGATCGGGCTCCGCCGTTGAAGATTGACCGCAGTCAGGCATATGATGTTCGGATGGCAGGCAAGAGATCTCTGCCGACCTCTCATCGGGTGGTAGGCGTAGCTCCACCCTCGGAATTTCGGACGCTTCTCGAGACGAGGTTTCGCAGTACGAGCCTGACATCGGATCGGCTGCCGTTGGCAGGAAGTTGCTGTTCTGCGCTTGTGGCATGGATACGGCTTCCGCAGAGGCACGGTTCACCCTTTGCAGGTATAGCGAGCATAACTCCTCTAGACGTGATGCGTCTTGAAGTAAAGGAGTACCGCAATACGGATCCAAGGACTCTTGCACGGAAGAGAACTCGTGGGCCAAAAAAACCAAACACCGGGGCCAACTGTCTCGACTTCTTTCGAGTGACTCAGAAGCCCCGGCAAGGCTTACAGCGGAAGAATCGCGGAGATGAGTGTCCGCCTCAAGTAAAATCTGGTGCTGATGGACTGTTAAATGTCCCTGGGTCATATGCCACTGAATGTGTGACGATCGGCGAAGGGCTCGATCGGTTTTCCATTTCCGATCTGAACATTCATTGAAGTGACACTGCAACTTCTCAAAATAGCACGCAAAGTTGGACTTCGAGGCATCCCAGGACAGTCGACCTGCGAGAGCCGGTTTCGGATCATGTGATGCCCGAACACTGCTGGGGCGTGTGCTTCGATCAACTCGGTAACGTCCTTGGCTTGCCCTGCGAGCAACAGGTGCAGTAGTCTTCTTGTTGGCCTGCGGCGCTGCTGCTGCTGCTGCTCGTGTTTCACCGATGCTAGCTGCATTCAAAACGACTGATGCTGGAGAGGAGCATGACTTTTGTTCTCTGATGTACACTTGCTGGTCTCCGCGGTCAGGACCGGCACCGAAAGCAATGGCCTTGTTGTTAGTATCTGATTTGCTATGGAGGACCGGGCCGGTGTCAGAGTCCTCGATCTTAATCCGGAACATCTCTGTTTCCCACTCGGGCTGCTCTCGAGCGAAAGACTCGTGATGAGATTTGACATGCCGCCTGCATTGTTCAAAGCTGCGATGCGGTTTCTGTTCGCAACGACCCAGACGGACAAGTGGACAGGGATAACGCTTCAGAGAACGTTTTTCAAACGATTCTGGGAGCGGTAGGGTGTCTTTGCCTTCCAACAGCTGCTGCAAACTTATCCCCGTAATCCTACTGATCTTCTCCAGGCGGCTGACCGATGTCTTGCCGTCGAAGTTGCCAACTGCGGTCGAATTATTTCTTGAATTTGCTCTTTCCCGAGTGCTCTTCGTCAGCTGCAATGCTTCAAGCTCTCTTGAAGATTCCTCTATGTCAAGATCTGCCGTCGAACGAGGCGACTTATCCTGCGCGGCTACGCTAGTGACATGGTAAAGGCTTCCCTCTGTGGACTCTTGGGTGTTAGTAGTTCTCAGGGGTTCGAACGTTTTAGAGACACGACTGCTTTCCAGGCCGTCGATCCTCTCCTTTAGCCGCTCGATTACGTTCTCAGCTTTTTCGATGCTTGCCAGGTGCCTCTTCCCCGCCTTACGCCATTGCATAATGTTGTGGTGTTCCTTGGCCAATTTTCGGGATCCGATGTCTATGTCTTTACAGACTCGACAAAGCTCGTTAGACATCGTGATATAGTCTTCGTGAACCAGCTTTGTGCCACAAATGTCGTCCACACGCCGTTGCCTCGGGCATCGCTCTTTCCTGTTCCCCCATTTCCAGTCACCACAGCTATACGCTGTCTGTTCGTAAAAACACATCGTGCTAATAGACTCAACGGTCCAGCGAATAGGAACGATCAAGCGCTTTTGGCTGTATCTGGCGAGTGTTACGAGCGCGAGACAGAGACTGACGACCAAACACCGATGCGATGCGCCCCAAATGGCTGGAATGGCGATTGTTCCAGAACCGGAAGCCTCGCCAGGAAGCCAAGAGTCAGACCCTGCAGTACCTGCGTGCATCCCGTACTGCGCCCCGGTAGGGTTGGAGTAGGGATCTATCACGGCCTTCACTTCGCTGTTTCCCGGCTAGATGCCATGTTGCAGTATAGACACGAGACTCTGGCCACCGGCACAGATTTGGTAAAGGTGCCAGAACTGAACATAGTGTAGTGCAAAATTACTGCAAGGCGTCTACGGCGAGACCCGCACAAAGCAGAGACCCACGCACTCTGAGAGAGATTCAGAGGATAACGCAGTCCGACGCTGGTGAGCGTACTCGATCGAAGTTAGACACGGACCCTGCGACGGATCGCAGGAAGAAGCCAGTAGCCAGTCCTTACACACGCCAAATCGGTCAGCTACGTTAGGAAGTTGTTTTGGAGTTCAATACTTGCAACGACTACCTCCTGATCAACATAATATACATTATTGATACGCCCACCCGACAAAGAGCGTCGACGGTAGCACAAGTCAACGCCACGTTATAACCGGAACTAGGTCAAGCTCGTCCCCACGACTCTGAGATGACAGCATCTGATCCAGATTGGACGCCGCTAGAGTCCAGGAGGCTCCGGATCCTGGCTTGCACAGGATTTACATGCCTACTGTTTGGCCCAGCCTCCCACGGGGATCTTTCATCCCGAAGAGCAGAAATGAATGGGCAGTCCAAAGTGAACCAGCTGTGGACGATGCTGCATGCCAACATGGTGCCACTGCCTAAACGGGCTCGTCTGCTCTTTCCAGCGGAGCCACCATGAGGTCGTCTGCCCAGACCATATCAGTCGCGCTGCTCTTACCATATAACCTCACGCTTCCGCCATCAAAGCGCAACGTGCTCAGCCACGAGTCGAAGTTCTGTCCTACGGCGACTCAAGGTCAGTGACATCGAAAAACCAACTGTCAGACATGGCCGAGTGCACCCTGAATGTCGCATATGCGTGTCCACGAGGCGATTGTACTCAGCTCAATTTTGTCTTCAACGCGGGTGATGACATCAAGACCATCATCGCGAGACTCAAACAACATACGGTTGCTAGCCGAAAACAAATCTGGACAAAAAGGCTGGTCCATTGCCAGGAATTGTCTATCTTTGAGGCCGCTATTTCCATAGTGAGATCAACCTCCAGAACAATGAGGGCAGTGCTGATTGTAGATGAAGCGATATGCAGTCAAGTCCGAGCCAGGACTGGTGTCTTTGGGGCTAGGTCCTCTGGATTGCAATCCAGTCCTGACTCGTGCTTACCACGACCCAGACATCCTTCTTGCGCGAGCTCTGTTCTTGCCCACCTATGAACGTTTTCTTCGACAAGAGCCACCCGCTCACAACACCTCCCTCGTCTTGGCCTGGAAGACACAAATCAAGTACGTAGTGGTCATGATGACTGCACTTGGCTCACTGTCAATAATTCTGGGCGTTGCGGCTGGCTTAGCATGTCAAAGCGTGGAGGTCGGTGCTGCAGTCACCGGAAGTCTAGCTGCTCTACTTGCCGTTATCATGACCACTGCACAGGCCTTTGCGCGCAAGACTTGACCACGCATGTACTTTGACGACTGGGGACGGGTGATAAGGTCATGTCGAGCATACAATGTGCCCTGGAATTGTAACGGAGCGATGCAGACCTCTCGGTATAGTTGGCCGATGTGCAATTCGGTATATGATTCGACTCAGGAAATGGCCGCCACGGCTTGCTTGTTTGCTCTTCAGACATCAAGCACGAAGCCCTCGCGAACCTCCAGCCTCTCCACCATGCCCTCAAGCTTCCCCAATACCTTTTCTATGTCATTAGTCTTCTGCAAGTCCTCGCCAGTCCTTAAAACGACGACGAGCTCCTCCGTCTCGCCCTCCCTCCTCAGACTTCTCTCTTGCTCTCCCTCTCCCAGGAATCCCTCGTCAATTCTCCACCCACCAATCCACCCCTGCCCACTGAATTTCACACCCCCATCCACCTTCTCCCCCGCATCCACCGCCAGTAAAACCCGCTCAGCTTCCCCCACCATCTCCCTCCGCACCCCCGCCCGCCAAACCCTCACCCTCTCCCCTCCCCGGTCTCCTTCTTCCACCTCCCTAAACAACCCCCTCTCCACCTTCCCCCTCCCCCCCCCCACATGCCACATCCACCGAACCCCAACCCCCAACCCTTTCAACTCCTCCACAAACGCCGCATTCTCCTCACAAGGTATCCACTCCTCAATATGAAACCTCACCGACGGCCAGCCGCCGATAATCAACACCAAATCCGGATGTTCCGGCGCTAGATGCACGTACGTGAAGGGCTGGCCGGAGAAGCGCTGCATTGCGCCTTTGGCCTTTGCGAGACTTGAGAGGATGGGTGGGGCCATGAGGCCGTCAGCGGCCGGGAGGGAGAGAAGGGCGAGTTCTGTCACGGACGGATGTGGGTGTGGGGGCGTTCGTCCGACCATGATGGTAGTAGCTGGAAAGATGTATCTGGGGGTGTTGATGAAGAGATTATCCAGCGATGAAGGATGGGTGGCTGGTATGAATGAGGGCATGGGGATGGGGGAAAGAGAGAAGTAGGAAAAAGTGGAGCTTGGGGGATGGCGTATGCTTTCTACTGCCTGGGTGTCGATCACCCTCAGCCTCCTACTCGCCACTTGAGGACAACTCAACAGGCCTTACAGGTCTGTGTCCGGATGTGCACTGGTGAAAACAAAAAGGAAAGCTGGACAGAATGCTTAGGTCCCATTCATGATCATAATCATTCAACTCTGAGCGACACTGGGGATGAACTGAATCCTGAAGAAATAAAAGAAGGACATGATACAGTTTTACGGCCGTTATAGCCGGGGCAGAACCTCCGAGGCCAACCAGATCTACCACATGAGGGCAAGGCCGAGGAAGCCGACGCCAAAGGCAGTGCTGAAAGCGCCCTTGCTGGCAGCGCCCGTGTACTCGGCGACTTTCTCGCCCGTAGCAGTCGGCTTGTATACGTCAACCGGTGCCGGCTTCTCGACTCCCTCATCGGCAGCCTCATGACCAACGGGTTTCTCCTCGACAGGGGCTGGCGTCTCTTCAAGCGGGGCAGGCTTCTCCTCGACGGGGCTTGGAGTCTCATATCCTGGGGTGGGTTTGACGGGCTTGCTCTCGCCAGTCGGCTTAGGGGCGGGAATGGTTTCGAGAGTGGTTGACTCAGGGACATAGTCGGCCCAGGTCTTGCTCTCAGAGGACTCAGGCTTACTGCCGTCTGCAACAGAATCATCCTCCTCGTCACAATCATCGTCGTCGACCTCACCGTTATCGCAGTCTACATCGTCGTCCTCCCACTCAGCGGCATCGGTGACGGAAGGGGCAACAGGCGATTCGACAGATTTCGAAGGCTTCCCGGACGTGCTGACCGAAACACTAGCGGAAACATCCTCCCAGTAATGGCCGGTAGAGACGCTTCCGGTGGTCTCAGCTGCCGTGGTGGTATCTGTGGTCTTGGTGATGAATTTGGTGGTAGAAGTCGAGGCCGTAGTTTCGGAGACGGTGGCAGTCTTGCTTGTAGTTTTGGTGGTCTCTGCCTTGGAAGTTGTGCTGGTAGGCTCGGGACCATCACGCTTGTTGATCTTGACGACGAATGCACCACGTTCAATAGTGTTGACCAGGATGTTGCCAGATGGGTATCCGGCATAGTGAGACCAAGTACCAACAAACTCGATGATACCACCGATGGCATCATCTTCGGGGTAGATGTCGAAGAAAGCAGCTTCGTAGACACCGGCGCCAGTGTTGTCCTTGGGAATAGAAGAGATGTCAAGAACGCGGATACCGGCACCGTAATTGCTCTGGTAGACATAATCACCGAAGACATACTGATTGTGGTCGATAGAGCGGACGGGCTGACGGTAAAGACCAGTGACCACGGGGTTCTCAAGGTCACGAATGTCCATGATATATGTGACGGCATAGCCATCAGCAGCAGGTTCGATTTCATTCATTTCATCCAGCTCGTCATCAATGAGAAGATACTCCTGGTTCATGGGATCCAGGACAGCTCCCTGATGAGTATAGGCAACACCCTCGTAGGCCGTGCGGGAAATGATGCTGCTGGCGTTCAGGCCTGTCTTGTCAGTGACATCGTAGATTGTGACGGAATCCTCATTGTATCCGTAACAGATGTCGCGACCTTGGTAGCGCTTATCTGGGCCGCGGTACACGACACACTCGGCATCGTGGACGTAGCCGTCAGAGGAGGCACATCCTGGGCTGGTTGGGTTGGCAGGGTCGCTCATGTCGATAAAGATCAATCCGGACGCGCAAGTATCATTACGGGGCTGGGCACCGACGGCGACGGCATAGTTCAGCTCTTTGTTGATGACAACGTTGTGGGTGCGACCGATTGGAATATTCTCCGAAAAGAGACCGGTAAGGTCGTCGGTAGTAGAGAAAATGGTAGGCTCCTCCGGGTCAAGGGTTAACAGCTTCTTCATGTCGAAGATCTGGACGTTATGGTCAACAGCCTCGGATCCGATGATACAGTAGTCGCCCAGGACACGGATCTCTCTCCAGAAAGAACCCACGGACTGCGCAGGGAGGCGGCCAAGGTAGATCAGCTTGCCCTCCTTGGATATCTCAGCAAAGGCGGTCCCGTCGAATTGGCCGATGGCAGCGAACTCGCGACCATCCTTGGACACCCATCCCCAAGACGAGGACCCTTCGCCTTCGGAGCTGCCTAGGTCGGCGTGGCTTTTGAAGTCGTGCAAGTCCATATTCTTGCATTGGAAGGTCTCGAGAGGGTTACCCTCCTCGACGACAGCAGTGCCGTCAACGCAACGAGCAATGGGAGCATCACTGGCCCAGGACTTGTATTGAGTTGAGTCCATTTTGCCGTCTTCACGGGCCTTCTTCCATTGGGACTGGTCTCTGTTAGTAACCGTGTATCGCCCCATAGAGCTCGGACGCTCGTACCAGCTTATTGTCCATGATCTTGTCCATGACTTCACCGGAGTCGTACTCCTCCTTGGTGAATGCTGCCATGGCAGAACCTGCGAGAAGCAGGCATGCTCCGATATTCCTCATGATGAAAAGAGCGTCCGGGTTAGGAAGATCAGAAAATGAGAGGCACGGCGCAGAAACTGGCCAGGAACGAATGGACGAAGTCACAGAAGACTTCAGATTGGCAAAGCTGTGGGAACATCGGCTCTCGTGCAAGCAGGCAGCTGTTTGTTTTATGCATGCCTGCTATCGCTGGACTTCCCTGTTGTCCGTGCCACGGCACGCTCCCGTGCCCACAACAACAAGGCTTGCGGGGGATCTGCCCAGAGATAGCGAGGTAGTACCCAGCCTTTGTGGGGTGCCATATCGAAATCATCCACCGACGCTTGTACAGGTGATAGATATGCCCATTGGCAGTCTTGTATAGGAAAGCGGTTGACGCGTGAACAAGTGTCTCGGCCAAGATGGACAAGGGACGCACTGGGCGGGAGAGATTGAAGATGAACGGTTCTCACCTTCTTTAAGTGGACTAGACTCTATACAAACAAGCACCGCTTGGGTGCTTGTCAAAACACCATTAATTCGGTCGCGTGTCCATGAAATTGCTTTCGAGGCGCGGCGCAATTTTAATCCTGCCTTATCCGCCTCGTCTATGCAACAACCGTTCAAATCACTTGCGTATCAAGGATATTGTCCCTAGCGATCCGGGCTTGGGTCGCATTGCAAAGGATAACACTTCTGGGCAGCGGCCGAGCAGGACATCGACAAGGCTGGGTCAAGTAGGGGGAAGCCCGGAATGGAGCCGGTGTCCATCTAGCGGTTGACTCCTCCCGCCGTCCTGCCGAAGCACTCATCAAGCGAATGTACGGAGATGCGGAGGCGACGTCTGCGTCCAATGCTGCACTCGAAGAATACGATTACCCCTCAAGAAAAGCAACATGGCGGCTGACCGGTGTGGATTACGATGGTAATTAGTTACTTTCACTCATATTTTACGCCCACCAGCATGGCTTGTTGTTGCCTCTTGTTGTCTCTACGTCTTCAATCACCCCAAACGGTGTCGAATGTATAATGTAAGCGCTTACCAAGTCATGAAGCTGAACGCCTGTGTTCGCTCCCGCCGAAAGCGAGGTGGGCTTAGTTGCAGAGCTGACACGGCTGGACATCAAACTCCCAGCTCGATGAAGTGGTATATATCTGTTTGAAGCAGCCAAGTTCTCCCTGTCTCCTTTGTCACAAATCTTGTCTTCCATAGATCCCACAGCACTTTCCCCTCGCAATCATGCCCACGCTCTTCAGATCCAAGACCGGTCTCACGGACTCGACCACAACCAAAGTGAAACCAACTACTGGGAAGAAAACTGATGTGGGCGGCATGCTTCGCCGCGTCACCCAGAAGTTCGGCAGCGATAGCGACGACGATCTTGCCGGCAAGAAGCCCGACAAGATCAAGAGCATCAAGAAGCCTGCAGACTTTGATATCGACTCTACTGGACCCATATCTGGATCCGGAGTCGAAAAGAAGAAGAAGAAGAAGTCAGCGACGGGCGGTATCCTTCGCCGTGTCACCCAGAAGTTCGGCAGCGATAGCGACGACGATCTTGCCGGCAAGAAGCCCGACAAGATCAAGAGCATCAAGAAGCCTGCGGACTTTGATACCGACTCTCCTGCACCCATCTCTGCGATCGGGGCCGACAAGAAAAAGAAAAAGGGCCTGTTTGGCACCTTCACCGCCAAAAACGGAGCAGACCCGGCCAGCATGTCCGCTAAATCCAAGAAAACAACACCCATTCAGGACTTTGAGCAGGATGCGGAGGAGGAGCAGGAGCCCGAGACCCCGCAGGCTACAGACGAGCGTATGCAGCGCGAGGCCCGTGAGGCGAGGAAGAAGGCAGGCGGCAATAAGTTGCTCAAGAAGTCACAAAGGGGCGACGAGATCACCAGCATGGGAAAGAAGGAGAGGCTTGCGCGCTATCCTCAGGGCGTGCTTGATGGTAAGTCCCGAACATTTGCAAGTGATAAAAGTGAAAAAGCGCTAATCGGACGCACAGATGAGTTCAGTGGCGAGGACGAGAGCGAGGAAGAGGAATTCCCCGTCGTTCAGAAGTACAACAAGAAGACAGGCACGCACTCCAACGTCAAGACGGAGGGCAAGATGGCAGATGCGAAATTCGTGTATGCGCGCGCCACAGGTCAGGCGTCCAAGAAGACTGAGCGTGTCCATGGGCGGAAGGGGGCGAGGATGCAGATTGACAGTGATGAGGAGGAATAGGAAAGTCAAGGTGGGCTCCAGCCAGGCTACGCTATCACCAACTACAAGGCCGGGAGATGATCACGATGATGAGGCAGGAATACATGTATATATCGTAGCAGCATGCATTTCAACACCATTATCGTTTTAGATCGTCTAGCTAATCTCACCTCGGACGGTCGATTTGTGTGTGTATACACCTGCGCCTCTATTCGCTTCTCTCGCTGCCTTCCGCCCTTTCATAGTACCACACCGCACCCTCCGTGGTCGCGCACGAGCTCTTCGTCGTCGAATTCACTTTCACGATCGTGTCTCCCGTCTGATCCTGCGGTCGTCCATTGGCCTACAACAAACATTAGCGACTCCTCTGATCACATCCGGACTCAATACTCAATACTCACCCAAGAAAAGTACCACACCTCGCTCAAGCTTGTTCGTCCAGTATCATTACTGCCATGGCCTTCCTCGGTCTCATTATACCGCTTGCCACTGCAACCTAGATACGGCACCGCCCCGTACTCTTGACTCAATGCATCCTGCAAATCTGCCAATGAGTACGCCGTCTCATTGCTGGGTGTGATGCCGGCCTTCTCCAGCCACTCGTACGTGGGTTCCCGCAAGAAGTACTTGATTACCGTGTCGAAGAACTCGATAATCTCCTGATGCTCGACGTAGTTGGGTCCGTAACATGGCACGTCAAAGGTGCTGAAGCACGTGGCGTGCTTGCTGAACTCGTGAGCCCACAGCTCGGCAGACGGCTGGCCCTGCGCAATCCAGTACTCTTCCATCCACGCCAGAAGGTCCAGACGGCCGAAGTCGCGGATCCAGACGTCGATGGTCGTGCCGTTCCAGGGCGGTACTGGGGTACCACTGGGAGTGCCGGTGGTCGTGTTGGGCGAAGGCTCTGGGTCATACTGTCGGAACAAATCGCAGTATTGGGTATAAGAGCCGTTGCAGAAGTCGGGCCAGAGACCATGCACAGACCATGACGACGGGGGTAGGAGTTGGCCCTGGGACTCGCGGTAGGTCGAGATGGTCCAGAACTGGGTGGAGAGCTGTGTCGTGGTTGGTCAGTAGATGTACTCGTGTGTATGAGACTTCCAGAGTACACGTACGAAGAGGCCGCCAAACGTCTCAACGCAACAAGTATCAACTGCCGAAGGGTCCGCTGCACCAGCAGAGCAGGAAAGCACAGGCTTCTGGATAGCACACGTGTGGTTCAAGTTCGAGGTGCCGGGGTAGAGCTGGGCGGACGCTATGGCCAGCAGGCCGGCAGCGGCAAAGAGCTGGGGGGAGATCATCATACTGGCGGACGCGAGATGGAAGTATACAGCTGCAACACGAGGGATAAAAGCTTCGGGTAGAGAGGTTCAAGCCTACCGTTCATAATATACCACCGAAGCACACCAAGCTACTGGAGCTTCTGCGCACAAGCGTCATGGTAGCGTTCGCAGCTTGCGCATCGCATCAGACCAAGCGATCAGGGCTTTCAGCGAGTCGGATCTCGAGAACATGTTTTGCACCTGCCTAAATCGAAAGTGTCTGTTCCTCGGAGGCGAGAAAGCATGATGAGGGTCTGGCAGAGCTACGGCAGAAGCGGCGGAAAGGGTACCTGCATTCAGGTGAACGATAACACTCGTGCTAAAGTGATTGGAGAAGAGTTAAAGACTGGACGACAGCGGATTTGTGGAGGCCAGTGCAGGAACCCTGTTCGTGGACGTCATACGTCGGCGAGCGCCGAATTGCAATATGCGAGCCACCGGCCACCACGGCCCGAGCAGAAGCAAATGTCGGATTAGACAAGAACGAATACAAAATGTTCGTGAGAGCTATCTAGTTGTCCTCCGGCCGATAGTCGGTTTGGCCAAGCGCCTGCTGGTCCGCCGCCGAGATAGAAGGCGTGATGGAAGTCGGTGGCTTTGGCTGACTCGAAGCGGCGTCGTTGAGTCTCTGGTCAAGGGCTCGCAGAGCCAGAGCTCTCCTTCTTTCTGCCTCCTCCCGTTTGCTCATGCCGACCTTTCCACGAGACTGCCGGACAAAGGTTGGCAGCCCGGCGTCACCTCGAGAAGCTGCCTGTTGGTTTGACAACTCGATCGCCTCGTCCGAGAATGGTGTGCATAACTTGAGCGCACACATCAGGTCGAAGACTTGGTCGCAGACAGCAGCTATTGGTGGTTGGACAACGTTTGGGAAGAAGGTCGCAAAGCTGAAAGTTTCACTCGCGTCGCCCTTGATGCTAGTGCTGTTGCCGGTCAGATCTGGTTGTTTCTTGTAAAATCTCAGGTATATCCAAGTAGTCATGAAGCCTAGCCATGCAAAAATCAAAGCCGTATCAGTACCTAGTATTAGGCCAGACAAAGTATTGACCAAGAGAAAGATGGCGGGGAAGTGCTTGACTCGGATTTTGAGAATGCCCTTATAGACACTGACGGTATGCTCCGGCACCAGTTGTTTAAAAGCGACCAGGAAGGCAGCTTGGAGCGTGATGCCACCAGTGCACGCCGTTGCCGCCCGATTCGAATTGCCCATGATGGCGCCCCATGCGAAGTAGAGTGGGACAATGAGAAGATTCGGGATCAAAGAGGTGACTAGCACAGTCATAGCGAAGCCTTTGCTCCCCCATGCTCTTTCAAAGTATCGGCCGCCGAACACGATCAAGGCCAAGCTGATCAGAAAGCCGACCAGATTCTGTTCAACGAAGGTGGTGGTGACCAAGGTCCAGGGGTAGTATAGGATATTTTTGGGGACAAGGGCTAGCCATGGAACTTCTTGAAAGCGCGCTTTGGAGACATCTATCGGATGTGAGAGGCGCACAGCGTTGTAAATGACATTGATGGCCAGCATCGTTCCCAGGAGACCCTTGGTGACATCTGGCAGTTTCTTGAAGACGTTTCGAAGCGACATGGTGGGCTATTCTATCGGTCGGGCATAGTTTGCGCAACTCGACGTGGATGGTCGCGAGAGAGGCAAGATAGTTGATGCGTCGTTGTGGTCAACGCAGCAGACGACTGCTGAAGATTCGGAGTAGGCTCGCAGGCGTCAACAAGAATACAGCGATCTGGCAAGGCGGCGGCAAGGAAGGCGCAACGAAGATCCGCCAAGTCTGCGCTGGCAAAACCCTGCTCCCGGGTTCAACGCCACACCCGACGATGATGGTGCTTAACGAACAAGTGATCGCACGCGCGCCGCAGAGTGCAAGCCGTCCTGATCTATCAGATGGACTGTCTGAAGCCAAAGGACTTAGCTACTATAGCGTCATGAAAAGAACCACGTTGTTGCTTTCCATCAGATAGTCAGATCACATGGTCAGATGATCTTAACAAGGCTGGAGCGGGTATTTCTATCGGCGATGATGTACGCTGCAGTGGCACCCCCGGGCGGGCAGCCTGGACCGGAGAGCCGGGGTGGATAACGGGTGTCATAACGGGCGGAAATGGCCAGTTCGCTTGAGTCAAGATGCGTTGCTGGGCGTGCTCCGAAGCTTGAAACAGACTCTCGATCGCGCCTATTTTCATCCACACACGGCCCCTGTGGCCCTGCATGATGCCACCATCCACCACCCAGCTCTTTTTCACATCTTCCAGGTCGCGGCATTCTTTCGCCTTGAAACCCGATCGCGTGTCTTCCCATCCTGGGACCTAACACCATCCCAGTCGCCTAGCCCGCCTTGGCTTTTCCATCCACTCTTTCGACTTTGAGAGCCAGAGGTCACGGCCACGACTCCATCCTCTTTTCTAATCCAGAACGTTGCGCATCATCCACATTCACATCCTTCAGATCTGCTCTTGAAGTGTTCCCAAATCTCACTGTCTTGTCGGGCTTCACTCCGCTCAGCCAGTCTACTCGGGCTCTCCGCCACCATCTCCGCGACCCAACCGGCAAGCTTGTTTCGATCTCCATTCTCCCATCTCCGCCATCGCCAAACGCCAATTTGCCAAACAATCGACGAAACTACCACGCGCACACGGCGCGCCATCTTGTCAGAGCTTGTAACAGGTTTGTATCTGGATCTGAACTTGCATCACTTGGTTCGCGCTGCGATTGTCCCACTATCTGGCGCGACACGACTACGATTTTCTTCATCATCCCCTGCTGCGGCATGTCGGCATGGAGGCCGAGAATCCTCCTATGACCAGCAGCAAACCACCGCCGTTGAACTCGGACCAGCTTAACTATCTTATCTGGAGGTTAGTAGCTCTCTTCCTGGGCCCGCGCCTGTCCGAACGTGTACTGATGATGCGCGTGCAGATATCTTCAAGAAGCTGGTATGTCTTGTTCTTTTGGGTTTAGCGCCGAACCTCATCTGACCGTGCGTGTCCAGGTTATGGCGACGCTGCCGTCAAACTACAGCGCGACTGGAATGTCGACGCCGAGAACCTGCCCTTCGCACGCCACATCAAGGTCCAATCTCTAGTATCTCTGGTGCAAAAAGGCCTGCGTTACCACCACCTCTCCTTGACCATTGATGAAGTACGCCCCGTCACCACCACCCATGCCAAGAGTCGACGCTAATCTCTTCGCAGAATGGCCGTCCTTCCCGCGAGCTGAATCCTTCTATGTTCTTCTTTGGACCTGAAAGCGAGAAGCCCGCTCAGGAGGTAAGAGAAATTGCCCAGCGCCCTTCAAGCAGCCATCGAGCTCCATCACCAGCATCACTTGTTCCACAAAAGCGTGAGCCCGGCCCAAACGGCACCAGTGAAGGGCTACTCCAACCTGGGCCTAAACGCAGTCGCAAGACCACAACCTCTGCCGCTGATCGCAATGGCGTTCCTGGCCGAAAGCCAGCACCCACAAGCGCGGGTCTTGTTACTAATATAGAACTCAATGCTCCGAATGGTCACCCCGGATCTATCAATGATGCTCGGTCTCCATCGGCGACCGAACCGGGTCCCGAAGATTCAACTTCAATCGCCAACGGCATTCAACTGGGCGACCGAATGGACGTCGACACCGATGCCGAAAACCACTCCGAACTTCCGCCAGAGACTCCCGTACTCCACACCTTAATGAATGGCGAAAGTAGGGCTGTCCAGGTTGAACCAGCGAAAGTGGTCAACTTAGTCCCCAGCACAACCATTCTTGGGGTCCACGAGAGTGCGAGCCTCTGCCAGTCGTTATGGCATCCTCACGACACCAGTCTCCTGACTGCCTACAGCCAGTCGCTATGTGGTGCTTGGAGACTATCTGGCATACAACAAAACTTCAGACCCGAGCTACAAGAGCTGGTCAGATACGCTGCCGAAGACGAGATGGTGACTGCAATCGCTTGGGAGCCCAGTGGCAGAACGTTCGCTGTGGCACTTTCCACAAGCGCTGGTGGCGAGATCCAGCTCTACGATGGGCAAGACTTGGGCTTGTTGGAGACTCTGTCTGCCTCTCAGAGACTCATTTTCCGCTTGCAGTGGCAAGAAACAGGTTCGAGGCTTGTGGGTTTGGCCCCGGTCGAGGACGAGAGGCAAGGCTCTTCCATACTCCTCTGGGACCTCTCGAACGCTGTTCAACATGCAGGCCCTCATGATGTCACCGTACCGGAGATTCTTGAGGATATTGATTGCGCCATGTTTGAGAACCAAGGAGTCGTCTGTGCATCAGGCGGCTCTGCTGTCTACCACTGTCGTGCGTTCTCAGAACTCGAAGTGGAACAGAAGTGGACGGCCAAGTCTACGGAGGGTGCTGAACAATGGTCTTTCGTGAAGTGTGCGTGGCAGAGCCTCAATGACTCGCTGGTCGTGGCTGCTTCTAGCGATACTGGCCGAATCTGGCTCCCAGCCAAGGACTTGATTCATGAGGCGCATCATGGACCAATCACTGGCTTGCAGATCCGACCCAGACCTGCTAATGGTCTTCACACTCTGTCAACTACCGAGTTTGCGACATGCTCAGTCGACGGCACAATCAAGGCCTGGAAATACGACGAGTCCAGCAACAGCTTGATGACCTTGTGTAAATTATCTCTGGGTCCTTCCCAAATCTTGAAGACCCTGTCATACTCGCCCGATGGCTTCTGCCTCGCTGGCGGAAGCTACAGCGACGTTCGGATATGGAACGCAGAACATGGCTACAGTCAAATGGCAACCTGGCAAGGACAAGAGCCGGAGTGGCATGGCAATGCTCTCAAGGACGAGGATCTTGTCAGCAACGGTGGCATTTCGAGCTTAAATGGGGATTCTGGGTCGCAAGCCTATCATTCACTGGCATGGGACGCGGACAGCATGAAGCTCGCCTTTTCTTTGGGATCGCAGGTATGTTATCCAGACTCTACGTTTTACAAGTACTAACTTCTGCCAGGTCGCCATCATCAACTTTCAGCGGTGACCAATAATCTCGCTATTCCATCATGTAATTTATGGCCGTGCTGCACGGAAAGAAAGTGTCAACAACATGGATTTGAAGGGCGTTGCTGATGCCGTCAGTCGAATCTGGCACTCGACGCTGTCTGGAAATCTCCCCAATCATCATCCTCTGTCACAGAACTCATTCTGGAGTTCATCGGGAGACCACCTTCACTAGTTGGATGTCTGTACACAGCCGAAGATCTGGACTGAACACCGGTGTTCATCGCATCTTCGACGTCGCGAAATCCTCGGACCCAGGCAGTAATACCATCTCGGACTTCGCGAGCATCGATTGTACCATCACGACCGTCCATTGGGCCCTCCACAGGAACGTCGACATAATAATGTGTTTGAAACCGGCCTCGCCCTCTTGTTGCCCTTACTCTTCTCGTTGCCGGCCGGTCGGGACCCAACGAAGTCTGTATCCAGCCATCCAATCCAGCTACTGCACTTGACATGGCTTGCACGGCGAGATCTTTCTGTTCCAGCTCAGAAGTCAATTGCATCGCATGTGTCTGGAAACCGCTGTTGTCACGTTCCAGCTTTTGCTTGTCGATCCTCAATTGTTCAACCTCATTTTGCAGAGCGCGGATCGTCTGTTCATGGCCCGCGCATGTGCTTGCGATATCCTCCATTTTTCGGATAGCCAGCTCATTGATGTGCCGCTGCTCTTGTTGCCTAAGGCGCATCGATGTCACGGTGGCAGCCAGCTGTTCATGGATGTACTGCAGCTGAGTCTGTTCGAGCTCTCGATTCCGTATCGCTGCTACCTCGGCCTCCTGCGCACCTCTGGCGGAGTCGCCTTGAACGCTCAGCTCTTCGTCCTCGTCACACTCGTCGAGGCAAGACTCAATGGTTTTTGTTGCTTCGAAGACCTTCTCTTTTGTATGATCATCAACGTATCCATCTTGCTCGGCAGCCCATGCGATAGCCGCCAGCTGGGAAAGGCGCTCGGACAGGTTATGCTTCGGTGAGGTTGGCGATCGCAGCTCGAGGTGCTCATCGTCGAGTTGTTTTGGAGTGTTGGATCTGGATCCCATACTGATAGCCGAGTCGGCAAACACGGAATCGTTGGTCCATACAGACGAGGGTCGCAGGGGTTCGTTTGTTGGATCTGGAGATCTTTCGCTTGGTGACATGGCGCGGGGCGTAGAACTCGACATCGACACTGTACAGACTAGGCGCGCGTGTCACGTCGAAGGCACAATCGTTTGTAGACCGTTTGAGATACCCAGAGAAGAGAAACGGTATACTCTGTATTAAAACTCAACGTCTGAATGATGGCGGCGTTTTGGCCTGGCTTCAACGTGAACGATGTGGCTGGGGAAGGCGCACATGGCAAAGAGACCAGGGTCCCGCTTGCTCGGTTAAATCGGTGGCAGGGGGCTCAAGTCCTGGGCGGTGAATTTAAGCTGCCATTTAGCGGCATGCTTAAGTTCAAGGAACGCCTGCACCCAAGGCAAGCGCTAACCCGTCGTGCTAGGCCTTGGGGGAGTCATTTCGTTGGAGTCATTATTTTGCGGTCGACTGCGGCATGTTGTCTGACTGCATCAAATAGTCGTAGATCGCTACAATCTTCACGGCATTGGATGATAGATCAGGCCCGAGGACAGCAAGGTTTCGCGGGACTCGCTTACTGGTTGCGTCGGGCCTAACGGAGGTGCCTACAAGCACGCGCATAAAAAGATGCTGCCCTCGGTAAGTCGGAGCATGCTCACCAGGAAATGGGCAACATGGCTCATACAGCGCAGTCAGAGATCAAACCCTCCTTGCAGGAGGTATCGGTGATTATAGAGAAGTCGAAGTCATCCTCACATCCTCCGAACCTCGTCCCGTTGTGCGCACAAGTCAAGGCCGATCTGTTCACGCCGACCCAAGCATACCTGAAAGTATCAAATGGAGCAAAGTTGTCGTTTCTTTATGAGAGTGCGGCTACAACTGGCACAATCGGCCGGTACTCTTTCGTTGGCGCCAGCCCTCTGAAAGTGCTCAAGTCAGGACCAGGCCATGGACCTGAGGAGGATCCTCTCCCGCAGCTGGAGCAAGAGCTCGCGCAGTATAGAGTCGCCTCAGTCCCGTCGTTACAGCTTCCGCCGATGACTGGTGGTGCCATCGGCTACGTCGGCTATGACTGTGTGCGATATTTCGAGCCTAAGACGGCCCGACCTATGCAAGATGTCCTGAATCTGCCGGAGAGTCTCTTCATGCTGTTCGATACAATTGTTGCTTTCGACCACTTTTTCAACGTCTGCAAAGTTATTACATATATACAAGTGCCACCGAGCGGCTCGGTGCGGGACCTGGAAAGTGCGTATGCAAGAGCCAGATCCACCATTGAAAAGGTCATCGCCATGCTGCAGGACGAGCATATCCCTATTCCGGAGCAGGTAGCCATCCAGCCTGGCAACAAGGCCACATCGAATATCGGTCAGACTGGGTATGAAGGCCATGTGGCTACCCTCAAAAAACACATCACCAAGGGCGACATCATCCAATGCGTCCCCTCACATCGCATGGCACGCCCAACCAGTCTCCACCCCTTCAACATCTACCGCCACTTAAGAACGGTCAATCCCTCACCATACCTCTTCTACATAGACTGCGAAGATTTCAGTATCATAGGCGCCTCCCCAGAACTGCTGGTGAAGGAAGAAGCCGGCCGAATCATCACGCATCCCATTGCAGGCACTGTCAAGCGGCATCCAGATCCCGAGGAAGATGAGAGATTGGCGGACGAGCTAAGGAACAGCATCAAAGATCGAGCCGAACATGTCATGCTGGTCGACCTTGCACGAAACGATGTCAACCGCGTATGCGATCCACTCTCGACTCGTGTTGACAGACTCATGGTTGTGGAGAAATTCAGCCATGTCCAGCACCTCGTCAGTCAGGTATCTGGCGTCCTTCGTGACGGCGAGACACGCTTCTCTGCTTTCCGCAGTATTTTCCCCGCCGGCACAGTATCCGGTGCTCCCAAAGTCCGAGCGATGGAGTTGATTGCCGAACTTGAAAAGGAGAAGCGGGGCGTCTATGCTGGTGCAGTCGGATACTTTGGCTTCTCTCAGGTAACGCCGGATGGATCGGCAATTGAGGAGGGCGCAATGGACACTTGCATCGCGCTACGGACGATGGTTTGGAAGGATGGAGTTGCGTACCTTCAGGCCGGTGGTGGTATTGTCTTTGATAGTGATCCGGAAGACGAGTGGATTGAGACAATGAACAAGTTGGGCGCGAATGTTAGGACGCTCGAGGCAGCCGAGGCATATTATCTCACCATGCAAAAGGCAGCGACGCAGCAGAGCAATGGGCTTGCGAGATAGCTGAATAGAGTGAGAGACTTAGATCCTGCTTCACTTCATGTCCTTATGAGACTGTTTCGTCAGGATGTATCCTATGCCACGCCCAGAGCCAGACCACATATGCAGCGACCAGCAAAACCACAAATCCCAGCCGAACGATGCTCCGTGTATCCAGCTGAGCATCCGCACGTTCCAGACGATTGTGTCGTAGATGGCGGTACACCTCCGGCTTCAACAGGACCAGATCAATGAAAAGCAGCACGAAATCCAGTTCAACATATCGATCAGCAAATTGCTTGCAGGTGGGACATTGCGTAAGTCGGACACCCTTGCCAGCTGAGCGATCATCTGCTTTGCTGTAGTTTGTGTAGAGATGCGGAATCGGCGTCGAGCAGTGGATGCATATCGGCATTTCTGTATCTCACATTGTAATAAGCCAGTGACGGTCGTGGCTCAAGTTGAAGAGTCTCGACGTTCAGTATGGGATGACGCCAATCCCGAGTTGGGATTAGACCCGCCAAGAAAGGTCATTGCCAAGAGTTCTCACCCACCACAACTTTTCGACTTGAGCTTTTGAGTCGAGCCTGCGCACCACGACCGACGACCTTCATCCCTCTCACCCACCACAATCTTTCTTCTTCGACATTGTCGCCGCCAATATTCACCATGGTAAGCTGAATACGACCTCACCACCCCTTTTGGCCCTCTGTGGCTCCATCCTCTGGCCGCCGAACCCGCTCCGTAAAACGAGTGAGCTCGCGCCGAAAATCACAATCGCGAAACATTTTGCGAGCAATGGCAGGAGTAGGAGATGGTGCTGGAACTCTTCATTGAGGCTTCTGCACGTCCACCCTCATCGCCGCCGCAATGAATGTCCGGTGAAAAAAAATCATATACTGGCTGGAGACCATGAACTCTCTCTCGCTGTCGTGAAAGCGCAACGAAAGAGGGCATGGGCCTCGCTAGAGTTCAAAAAGACCCCTACACAAAATCAGTTGCAAGCAAAATGTTTTGAAATATGAACAAACGTGTACTGATTGGTCTTTTTTCTCAATGACAGCCTCCCAAGGGAAAGAAAGCCGCCCCTGCCCCGTTCCCCGCTGGGAAGGGTAGCAGCAAGAAGGCCCCCAAGGTACGTTCCAACCACTCTCCCATTCCCCAGGCATTCGTGCTCTGGGAGGATTATTGATGAAGTGAAAGCTGACGAATCCAGAACCCTCTCATCGAGAAGCGCTCTCGCAACTTCGGCATCGGCCAGGATATTCAGCCTCCTCGCAACCTCTCCCGTATGGTCAGGTATGTTTTCTCGCCGCCGAAGAGCTATCGACATCGTCCACTAACACGATCATTAGATGGCCCGAGTACGTCCGGCTGCAGCGCCAGCGCAAGATCCTCAACATGCGCCTGAAGGTCCCCCCTGCGATCGCCCAGTTCCAGGCCACTCTTGACCGCAACACCGCCGCTGCCGCCCTCAAGCTTCTCAACAAGTACCGTCCCGAGACCAAGGCCCAGAAGAAGGAGCGCCTGACCGCTGAGGCCACTGCCGTCTCCGAGGGCAAGAAGAAGGAGGATGCCTCTAAGAAGCCCTATGCTGTCAAGTACGGCCTCAACCACGTCGTTGGACTCATTGAGAACAAGAAGGCCAGCCTCGTCCTGATCCCGAACGATGTCGACCCTATCGAGTTGGTTGTCTTCCTTCCCGCTCTCTGCAGAAAGATGGGTGTGCCCTACGCCATCATCAAGGGCAAGGCGCGCCTGGGCACTGTTGTCCACAAGAAGACCGCCGCCGTCGTGGCCCTGACCGAGGTCAAGCAGGAGGACAAGAACGAGCTGTCGAAGCTGGTGAGCGCTGTCAACGAGGGCTACGCCGACAAATACGAGGACCACCGTCGTCACTGGGGCGGTGGCATCATGGGCGAGAAGGCCAACAAGAAGGTCGAGAAGCGGAGGAAGGCCCTCGAGCAGGCCATCAAGATCTAAGTCTCAAATGCCCATGATGTAGATGGGTGTGGAGAGTGAGGATCGAGATCAGCCTGGCCTCGTGTGGACCTTGACCTTCCTGCTAACCACCCTAATCACCCTCTGATGAAGGAGCTCTATGAAGAAGACGAAGAAGAAGCGTCGCAGATTTGCGCCTGCATGCATCAGTAGCGCTGGCAGTAAGCACTACGAAGCCACCATACAACCACATGCACCTCTCAGGGGCCCATGCGATGCGCGGTGCTCTTCTCGGAAGGGACAACCACGAGCACGTCGTCGTCGGCGTCGTCACTACCCACTCGTCCACAGAAAAACGAAGTAGGGTCTGTGCACGCTGACTCCCAAGACGTCTGAAATGAAATGATTGATACCACTTTCAAACTCTGCCTTTTTGACCCCTATCAAAGTCTCACGTTTTGATCTGCTATAGACCTCTCCCAGTCAATGCCTTTACTGTCTACGTACTACAGTGCTCATTACCGCTCACTCTTCACCCTCACGTGCTCGGTCTTGCTTCCTGGTTAGTCCATTCTTCTATCCCGGCGTAGGAAGCAGGGCGCGCTGACTTAAGTGCTTAGTGAATATAAATGCTGACCGCCATGGTTATGTTTGTGGATAGTAGTGAGCAGCACTTTCGCGAATAATAATGCACTCATGTACAGAGTAGAGCAATAATAGTCACTCGCGCCGCAACAAGTTCACGAGGACGAAACATAGTAATCTACCTCCTCAAGATCATGCCATAGTGGAAAAGGCTTATCAACCGATTGATTCCCTCTCCCCGGAAATCAAAAACGCCCGCTTGCTTCCTCGTTCTGTCGCTGCTGCGTGGGACGCAAGCAGAACGCATGCTTTGTCCTGTTATCTATGTACCCACACCCCCATCCCCTGTCATCACCCTATGTACAATAACCCAGAGTGGGCGCACGAATGGTCATGAGATGGACATTATGCGCCAGCCATGTACCGCAACCGAGTCCAACACACAAAGATCGGTCACGTTGTAAAGGCGTCGGGAAATGCAGCAGAATAAAAGTTGATGCGGCCGTGAAAAAAAGGTGAGAACGGCAGAAATGGTATCTTCGAAACAAAAGCAACCCGCGCCTTGTGGATGTACCCATGTTGCCTGATCTTGGATTTGAGTCCTCCACTGCGGTCTTGTCACCAGGTCGATCAGTGATGATCCGGCGACAGCCCGATTTCCCTGCCCCGAATGCGAAGTCCGGAAGGCGTGGTATATCCATGGGACACAAGCTGTGATGTTGCCGTGCAAACCACTGTCGGGCCCGTGAACGCGCTCCTAGGCCCAACAGAAGGACTGCGGTCTGACAACGCATACGGATGTTTTGCTAAGCGGGTACCTGCACGGGGGTGCATGATGGTGCTTCGCAGGTATCCGTGTTTTGGAGGGGGCGTCAGAGGCGTCTGATCCAGCAGTCGAGAGGATATTGACATCGAAGACGATGATGATGTGTCACACTATTGGTTACGAGGTAATTGCCTCGCCTGTAGAGACATTAGCTTATAAAATCACCGGATTCGGAGACACCTTACCTTCATAGCTTCAATCCTTGCCTTCAACTGGCTCGTCACCTCGGCGGCACGCTTCCAATTCTCAGTTTGACCTGCACCTCCTGCTTCATTTGCATTTGGACGGACGGGACTCATGTTGCCACTTCCCACAGGAGGGCTGATTTTCCGCCGTGACATTAACGTGCTTTCAAAGCCATTGTTCTCCTTCTCATCACTTGGGCTGAGACTGTTGTTTGTGAAGCCAGACATTGGCCGGGGTTTGACGCTGCCTGGTCTACTCGTGCCGCTAGCAGCAGAATCGGTTCTTTGAAGGCCAAAAGACCGACTGTCAGGCCTCGCATCGACTCGACCATTGGCAGCAAAGCGTGACGAGTTGTCGTCGTGGATACCATTGGCACCCTCATCATCCAGGGGTCGACCACGCATGATGTCTTCCCGCTCGCGGCCTATGCTTTCTCGCCCCAGACGAGATACCTCGCGCTTGTAGCGCTCAGACTCTTTCTTCAGAGACTCCATCTCAGTACGAAGAACATCGCACTCACCACGGGCGCGAGTGAGTTGTGTTTCCTTCGCTTTGATCTGCAAGACGTCACGAGTGTGGTCCTCAATTAGCTGAGCATTCTGATTCTGGAGTTCGGAGATTTCGGCGTTGAGTTTCGCGTTGCTGCTTCTTAGGTTATCGGCCACGGCACTGAGGCGTTCCTTCTCTGCGCGAAGTTCTTCCAACTCGGCGCGTTCAATGGCTGACATCCCGATAGCAGCAGGAGCTTGCGGCGGTGACATGGGCATGGCCGCGGGTCGCGATAGAGGACGACCGGCAAGACCACGGCCCATTCCAAACTTCGACGGCGAGGCAGCTGGAACTTCATCTTCGCCATCCTGGCTCACAGGAGGCGAAATGACCCGACGCTGCTGGGGGCTGGCCATATTTGGCCTTTTGAGGCCACTCAGCTTTAGGCCCGATGGTGCAGCAAGACCCGGCTTCGGCACGCCGCCCGGTTTTGGCAGAGCTTTCGCCGTGGGTTTCGCTGGAGGAGCCGGTTCTTCCGCTGGAGGAGCGGCAGCAGCTGCTTTCTTGACCGCTGGCTTTTTCGAGCCGCCGACGACCTTCCTGCCAACAGCAGAAGCGGATTTGGCTGGAGCGGGGGCTGGCTTCGGCTTCTCCTTTGCCTTGACCTCGGCAGTGTCAAAGTACTCCTTGATCTTGGTCTTGCGAATGTCATCCAGGTTATCAATATACTGAACCATGGGTCGTTCTCCAATGATCTTCATCAGAGTTCCTAGGATCTCAGCACCGCCTGCTCGCATGGCCTCGGTAGACTCTGTCAGAAGTTTCGTACCGGCTCCCGCAATAGATTTCTGTTCGTCTTTCGACGGGACCACTCTTGTATTTCGTAGACATCGGACGAGAAATTTGATCGTCTCACCTTTGACATTGGGATTCTTGTGGGCCAAGAAGCCGAGTATCTCCTCTAGGCACTCAGTCAGAGATGTTGCAGAGAAGACACCATCAAGAGCAGCTCCGAGAGCATCTGTGACGGCTTGCTTCTTTTCCTTCAGGCGCTCCATCACTGGACCCATAATGGTCGATCGATAACGGCCAAAGTCTTTCCGCATCCCGAAGGCTAGTTTTTCAACGCAGTTTGCCGCGACGGTAACGACAGCAACGTTAGCGTCTTTCATTGACTTGGTCAGTGCTCGAATAACGTCGTCCCAGTGACCACCTTTTATTCTTGGTACGTTGATGACGTTGAAGAGGGCGTCCAGGGTCTCTTTTCGCTCCTTCCATTTAGAAGAGTTGATCATCTCGTTAAAATCCGCTGGAACTTTGGCTAAGCAGTCTTGCGGTTCTGCGAGATCGAACGCGTCGACCTCGACGGCCTCTTCTTCCTCTGCTTCAACCTCTACGCCTTCGCCACCAACATCGTTTCCGGTATTGGCCGAAGCAGTAGCCATTTGAGCCTGTTGGGCGCGAGTGAAGCGCTCCTGCTTGGGAGGGGATTCCTCTTTGACTTTCTCGAACAGCTTCTCCAGATCACCTTGCTGTACAGGTTTTAGGTCATTCCAGAAGATGGCCTTCATTGCATCTTTTAGCCAGCGATACAGCTCAACTGTGAGATTTTGAGCCTCGGCGCGGACGTTCTTGTCTGCATGACCGAAGACTTTGGGCAATAGTTTCAGGACCGGATTCGGTTGCGCGATTTTAACACCAAAGTTATGGAAGATCGCGGTGATGGCAGCCAAAGTCGCGGCAATTACTTTGGGTTGTTTGTGGGCTAGGGCTGGTAGTAAGTCCTCGATGACCAAATCTGGCTTATCGATCTCGACGTAGAGAAGTAGTGCTTCGAGCGCATTGGCTTTGGCAGCGGGTCTTGTTGACGACAGGCCTTTCTCGTATATGGGTTGGATAGTGTGCGGTCTCGAACGTGAGGCGGCTTGATGACCGCCATATTTCAAGAAAGCGCAGAGCGCACCTAGACCTTCTTGCTGAGCCGCCACGTTGGAATCTGCAGCGGCGCCTTTCCACAGACCAGCATCTTGAATAAAGGGTCTGAAAGCAGGGTCGGACTCATCGGGGGTCTTCTCGAAGACCTGGGCGGCCGCCTCATATCCTTCCTTGCGGACCTTCCATAGCTTGTGAATAAACCTGTCTGGCAGCGGTAGCTGCGAGTAGTCCTCCTCAGCCTCCGCCATACTTGGATTGGAGAATTTGCGGCGTAGACGAAGGACACTGCGGGATGAGTTGGGCCAAGAGGGGTCCTTGGGCTTGTTGTGCCTTTTAAACATGGTTAGCATATTGATTGATATCGCAACAAAATACGCGTGTAGGATTTGTGACTGACCTTGGGATTCAGAGCGTCAAGGACGAGAGGAGATGTGCATGCGCGCGTGAGCAAGCGGTAGGCAGGTGCGGTCAAAACAAGTCGTCGCTGCGCGAAAGTCGTGGAGGGGAAGTTGTCAGTGTTTATTTCGAGAGACACTGCTGCACTGCAGGCGAAGAAACACGCGAACGTCCTGAGAAGGTAGTGGCGCGACTGCAAGAGAACTGTCGTAGTCCTCAATACCACAGAAAGGACGTGTCGTGTCTATAGAAAGATAGCGAGAGTGGTGTGTTGACCGGGGGCGCATGACGAAGATCGGGCATTATCCAGGGTTGCTAGGCGGAACCAAAACTTTCCTGGGCAGTCATCCCTGCACCTCATCCCAACTCCAAGGGCATATGTCACTGCCTGTTGCTCTTTAGCACTCGTCCAGATCTCAAGTCGTGTCACAATTTCACAGAATACCTGACACATACCTCGCGTTGCTCTCGCGGCCGAGTCAACACACTTAGTATTTGCACGCTGCCGGAAGCACTTGCAAGCAAACTCCGCAACTGCGCAATCGCCCACCTGTTCATGATCTCCTTACCCCTGCAGACTTTCCCGCACGAGCCTCAATAGTGTTTCTTAGACCACCGACTTGAGAAATATCGTCGCATGTCCCAATTTCGTCGCTAGGAACACCCCTCGCTGCGGCCTCAGGGCCATCATGAGCCAATTACTGACTTCTCGTCAAGCAGAGGAGCTGTGAGTGACCCTTTGAACCAGACGAAGACACGACTTAAGCTGACCCTGGCAGCCATAAGTCAATGGTGTCCTACTTGCTATCTGTTGGCATGACCGAGAGTGCCAATGCTCTACGGCAAGAATCAAAGCTGGCCGAAACATTTGACGATGCGACCGCAAAAAAGTACGAAACTCTGCTGGAGAAGAAGTGGACGTCAGTGGTACGATTGCAGAAGAAGATAATGGATCTGGAGGCCAAAAACGCATCTCTGCAGCAAGAAGTAGACACAGCAACACCCCTATCATCCAGTCGGAAACTGGACCCATCTACCTGGCTACCACGAAGCCCCGCCAGGCACACATTGCAGGGACACCGTTTGCCCGTCACATCAGTCGCATTCCATCCGGTCTTTTCCTCCATGGCCTCGGGTTCCGAAGATGCTACCATAAAGATCTGGGACTGGGAGTTAGGAGAACTAGAGCGAACGCTGAAGGGCCACACCAAGGCCGTCTTGGACCTGGACTTTGGTGGTCCGCGGGGAGGCACACTATTGGCTAGTTGCAGCTCCGATCTGACCATCAAGCTCTGGGATCCAAGTGACGAATACAAGAACACGCGGACATTGCCCGGACATGACCACTCGATCTCGTCCATCCGCTTCATACCTTCGGGGGCCGCGGGCGCACCACTGTCTGGGAATACTCTGGTATCTGCGTCACGAGACCAGACACTGAAGATCTGGGACGTCACAACGGGCTACTGTTTGAAAACACTTAAAGGTCACACGGATTGGGTCCGGTCGGTGACGCCGTCGATTGATGGCCGATGGCTGTTGAGCGCGGGCAACGATCAGATACCACGACTGTGGGATGCCAATACCGGCGAAGCCAAAATCACCTTTCTCGGGCACGAGCACTACCTTGAATGCGTGGCCTTTGCACCAAGCACGGCATATGTGCACTTGGCGGCAATTGCTGGCTACAAAAAACCACCTCCTTCGGCAAGCACAGGCGAGTTTTTGGCGACGGGAGGTAGAGACAAAATCATCAAAATCTGGGACAACCGAGGCACTTGCCACAAGACATTGGTTGGTCACGACAACTGGGTCCGGGGCCTAGTGTTCCACCCTTCGGGCAGATATTTGCTTTCGGTGTCGGATGATAAGACAATACGATGTTGGGACTTGTCACAGGAGGGGAAGTGCGTCAAGGTCGTGGATGGAGCCCACCAGCACTTTATCAGCTGCATTCGCTGGGCGCCGGACGTGCCCGGGCAGCCGACTGTCAATGGCGAGTCCAATGGGACGGTGAATGGCACGAAAAAGGAGGACGCTGCAGGCGGTGGCAAGATCCGGTGTGTGCTTGCGACCGCCAGTGTCGACCAGAATGTACGAGTATTCGCTGGCTGATGAGACGACGATTTTACGTAGCATTTTATGATACCACGGATTCAACGTTGGCCATGGCCGGACTGGCAGAAAATCCAAAGTCGATGCTCCCCAGAAAAACCCCTGGCTGTGTAACCTGTCTCGTGCGAAGAGGACGAACTTGGGTGTCAAACGGCGCACGGGTGCTGCACTCTTCCTGGCTGCAGCGATCCGTGATAGCCTGACACCAGCTATGCCAATGCTATACTATACTATACTAGAGCATAGACTTGCGATGTGATAAAAACGAGGCTCACGTGGTGGTTGCCATCAGCCGCGCGGAAAGCTACGCGGTTCCGCATTCAGCCTTCGACAACCTCCACGCTGCCTTCTCCCAACCTCCTTCTCTTCCCACCATCACGCTTCGAAGGCGGAACATGGCTCTTTTCCGTCTCGGGACCGACCCCGGAAGCTCTGACCGGCGACTTTCAGCGGCGTAAAGTGTCCCTATCGGAAAGCAGCTGAGGCTGAAAGACAGTCAGTTGCAAACCTTAGCCGATACCATCTCCGTTGTTCCCACCGGCGAGAAGCTCCAGCGAGAGCCTCCCAGCAGATGGATGCCCCCCCCCCTCCAATTCCACTTATGGTGTGGCCGTGATAATCTCGCGACCAATCGAGGGCCCCTTTCTTTGTTCAAGACTGCATTCCTCGCTCCATTGTCGCGGGTGCACCGTGCGTTCTTGACGCATACTTCCGACCTGGGCCCTGCCGCAACAAAGAAAGCGGTGCACAATCGTCTGCCATGGCTTTCGAACAGGTCAGCTCGTCGGCTGCCTCGTACCATGTTTGCACAGCACGACGCCAGACAAAGAAGGTACTGTTGCGAACTCCAAAGCTGGCAATGCCCATTCCATCTGCTATTATGTTGACCTTGACCCTTACCTTGCATTCTCTCGTCCATGCGGCATTCAGGAATCTGCACCTGCCACTCCCTCACTGAATTCCTTTCTCTGCGCTATGACTCTTTCCATTTCAGATCAACCTTCTCAATGGCATCGCGTCACCAAGCGCCATTCCCTACTCAGTGATGCAACCATTGACCCTTTCCCATATCGAAATCATCGCGCCGCTTCACTTCTCGACCATCACATAGTCAGAGACCGTTCGCAAGATGCTTCAGTAGCTGACAATGGCCGCCGGAGCACTGTGGCCTTTCTTACCCAGCCTCCAGGCCCTGCTGTAGCACCTCTACCCCCTCCTCCACCATCACCACCTCCTGCTGCTGCTCCTCCGCCGTTTGCAGGCCCGGATCAGTTCCATGATTCAAGAAAGCGGTCAATACATGAAATGGCAGTTCCTGAAATGTCAGAAGGCTCGTCATCTCCTACCAGCACCGGCAATGTCGAAGGAGGAAGCCAGTTCTGTCTCTGCCAACCAGAACCAAAGATACCTAGACCACGTAACGGTAAGACCCTCGCCTGCCGGGATCTTGAAAGCCTTTTAACAATAAAGTGCAGCCTTCATTCTTTACCGCCAGCACCAGCAAGCTGCGGTGGTTCGTGCGAACCCTGGACTGCCGAATCCGGCCATATCTAAGATCATTGGCGAACAATGGAGCCGACTGCCAGAGGATGCCAAAAATGAATGGAAAGCGCTTGCGGAAGTACGTCAAAGCAGGCCTACAAAGTTCTTTGTGCTGACTGCCTCGTGCTCGACAGGAAGAAAAGGCTCGCCAAGCGCAACAATACCCTGACTACCGCTACCAACCTCGACGAAACGGTCGCTACAGCAGTCAGTCCTCCGGCTCAGGTCCTCCAAGCAACAGCCAAGTCGACGAGCAAGGCAACTGTAAGAAGTGTGGCGGCAAGACCATGAACCCCCCTGCCACCCCCTACAATCCCTATCCTACCACTCCTCGGGGTCCACCTCCTCAGATGCCTCGTGGGTCTCAACCCATCGTCTCTCCACCACAAAGCAGCCGACCTTCTTACCCCGATCGACACTGGCCACCCGGTCCGCCTCGGTTTGACCCGCGCGACCCTCGTAACCACGATCCTCGTTCTCGATATTCCTCTTTACCAGATGGACCTCCGGATGCACCCGATCTGAAGCGGCGACGGTTCGATGGCAATGGCATTTACATCCCAACTAGAGAGTGGCGCGAAGCTCCCTACCAGTATTCTCCTCGGGGATCTTTCTTTCGGGCGGAGATGCCTCCCGACGGGCATCGACCATCCATACCCGGCGGGCCTCGCGCAACTTATGCTCAACCGCCGGCAGCCCACCCTCCGAGATTATCGCTTGCACGGCCACCTCCGCCTCCGCAGCAACACAAACGTGATCCTAGTCTGACTTTACCACCGTTGACGACGGCTTCTAGCAATCAGCCGCCATCTACTTCATCTCCGCCCGGTCTGGAAGCCATGATCATGTCTATTCCCGTCCTCAACAAAGTGAAGATCCTTGCGCAAATCTCACCTCATCTTGCACCGCCTAATATGGACTCTCCACCTCAACCAGTACGCGGCTCAGTCGTCGCCATTGAAGGCATGGATCCCACAGCAGTGTACAGCATGACTAATAGCTTGGCCGAGGAGCTGGAGAAGGACGGTAAATTCGCAGTACGAATCTTTGGCGGACCAGATTCATACTCGCTTCGAGGTGAGAACAGCCGCGCGAGCAAACGACTTTCAATCGCAGAAACACTCAGCGTGATCGGCGAATGGCACAAAATCAGTGAGGAAATGAGAAAATTCATTACTACCCAAGTCTCTCCCTCCAGTGAAGGCTCCATGAGCGCTTCAGACCGGCCTCGTAGAGAGTCCATGATCATGATGGATGCTCCTGCCTCCTCAGACCCCCAGAAGACTCCCGAGCGCGGTGCAGCAATAAAGGTGTCCGAAGTGGAGCATTCTTTCATCGAGAACGACGAAGATGCAGAGAAGCTAGCGGCCACAATAATATCTCCAGGAACCATCTCGCAAACAGCCGATCTCAAACTAGCAACTCCTCCGTCTCAGCGACACGCTTTTTCGGGCCGCACGGCTTCCATTGCCGCCTTCTCAATCAATCAGTCGAAGGAAACCGACGACGCGCCCTACACTCGTATCCCTGCAGCTGCCATGCAGCGCCCGGGCACGCCGCCTCGCGCTACCCGTTCTGCTTCCAATGTGAGCAACAGCAACAAACAGTTTGACACTGTCCCTCCCCCTCGCTCCGCGACCTCCTCACAACCACCGACCCCTTCTATCTCCGCTCCGGCCACGGGTGTCCCTCCTGTTATACCAGTTGCCGTCACACCTTCGGACCACGCCACCTCGGTTGCCAAATCCGCGCTGCCATCCCCAGGTCTCGCATCACCTGGGCCGATCCCCATCGCTCTTGTCCCGCATTATCAGCTTACGACTGTCGATAGCGCAGCCATCACCTTGCCAATCAACGACTCGTATTCGCCTCTTGCGCACTGGCAATGGCTTGCTACCCTTTGGAGAGGCTGTATCGGTCCGGACGTCAGCATTGTGATCAACGGACCTACCGGCTCTGTCTCGGAGGCATCTGCCGGGGCTCAAGTCGATGCGGAGAAAGCGAGCCCGAACAGCGCAGGTACAAAGGACGCATTTGACAAGCAAGGGGAGAAGAACAAGGATTCGGAGCCCAAGTCACAAGGACCAAACGATCCAGCGAGAGCCAGCAATGCTAATACCGGCACCGACCGTACCTCTACGAGTAGTGTTAGAGGAGGCAGCCAAGGCGTAGATGTCCGGTTGCTGGAGTGTCGCGCTGTTGTGGTTCGGATGGACGGTTCTGTTGGCAAGGATTTGGCCACGGCGAAGGATAGAGAGAATGCGGAGTTCTGGGAGAAGGCGAAGAGAAGAGTAGGGTTTGAGGTCGGGGAGTTTTTGCGGCGGTAACGTTTCTTCAGGTTGGACTTTGTGTAGTCAACGAAAGCATCTGCCGGCCCAAGAGGCAGTGGTCGGTGGTTTGGAAGACGATAGAGATGATATTGGAGCTGGAGAGTGGGGAGGGAGAGAGAGAGATTTAGAGTGCGACATCTAGTGGCAAGAATTCAATGATCTATATATGAATACAATACGCTGAATGATCACGATATAAAATTCTATGAAGTCAGGCAACAGCAAGGTCCTCCTGGCTTTGTCTTAACACGCAACACGCTTTTGCTGCCATCGTTCTCTCCCGGCTCTCATTGTATGAAGGAACATCTCACAGGCTGATAGCTGCAGTCAGTAGTCTTCTCCTTGTTTGTGTCAAGCAGGAGAGTTGCTTTTTCGAATTGCTCATTCAAACAGCATCGCCAAATTCATGGGGCTGGTTCACAGAATTGTTTCGTGACGCTTCCGAAGTAGGAGTTTGTCACTGTCACATTTTCCAAGCCCGGGGTAGTCAACGACAGCAGCTGAGTGCAATTCGTGTGCTGCAGCTGTACCTGCCTCGCACTGTGGCCACCAGTCAGTTGCCCGTCAGTGAAGTAGCGGGTAGGGCTTTGGTCAACACACTGAATGGGCTTCCGTCATTTCGACAAATGTAATTCCATCTTCTCTCCTTCCTCCTCGATACCACGATCGTTGGCGCGCAGTTCCTCTGGTATCAAAGTGAAAACCAACGACCACATAATCCTTTCATCAGCACCAGTCAATACGGATCCGCAACCAGAATGTCTGTCTTCGGCACTAGAAAGATACCCACACTCGCTATGAAGGCTGGAGATTCGGCGCTGCCTGATATTGACAGCAGACATCAGACGCGACTGATGGGCGCATCATCGTCCAAGCACCAGACAAGCTCTCAGATATTCATGTAAGTTGTGAGCACCATCAAGACCACAGCAGCTGCCGCTAATTTACACTCTCAAAAGCCTGCAGTCATCTCTGGTCCCCCTTCCAATCCCGATCTGCAGCTAGTGGAAGTTCTGACCGAGATCCGTTCCAAGATCTATCCATACCTTCCGCAAAAGGATGGCGTTGTTATTGTCGATTTCGACTAGCCGCCAGGACCTGCCCAGCTTCGCGATGATCGCAGCCTAGCCCGCGGTTTTCGAGCCGGCCTTGCTCTTCTTCCGGCCCGTAATGTGGCCAGTATCCTTCAGACCTGCAAAAAGGCATATTCTGAAACCGCACAAGCTCTCTACGGTGGCAACGAGTTCTCGAGCACCAACATTTTAGGATTTCGGGACACCTTCGTGAAGGACCCAGAACATGGCATTGGCGCTACGAATGCTATGCTCATCAGGCGAGCGCACTTTGACTTGACTATCCCAAACACATACTTTGATCCTGAACACACCTACGACTTGCGGAGTTTCTCGGTCTTTCTGACCAAGGAGTTGCCAAAAGTAGAGAACGTCACACTCGCAAACCGACGCGTTGATAGAGTATAGAAGTCTAAAAAGATGAATTGGGATCCATTTAGGGCTACACATCGTCGGAAGCTACTACACACAGCGGCATGGGTGACTTTGGAGGGATCCCAGGCTCAAAAAAGCTATACGGGTGGCGCAAGGTGAGCGGATTAGCAGTCTCGGTGATGCTACACTATTACCAAGTTATGTGTACGTCTGTTACCGGCTGGCATGACATGTCGTCTAGATAGGTGGGGTACTAGTACAGTCACAACTCCACGAGGGCAGGAGGTGGAAGCGAGAGATGTCGTGCTTGACTGTGTCAGAATTCGTCAGGTGGGATGGGAGAAGAATGAGGAGCTCGCTGATGAAGCATTCGCATTACCTGAGGACGCGTGGTCTTCTGAGCCTGACGAGGGCAGAAAGCCATCGGTCGGAGGATACCACCCAGATGCAGGCGGACTAAGCGTCAGCAATGGTGAGGTAGCGCGAACAGAATGGATGTTGCTACGAGAAGATCTGTCATCCGGCAGCCAAAGACTTGCTGCGATTGTGGAAGGACGGAGTCTTTTGGCAGGATATGGGGAGCAAACCATCGAGTCCTGTGCTATACCTCAAGGACGAAATGCGTCTTTCAATAGTATGAGAGACTCCTGCCCAGACCCTGTTTCCTTGGCACGCCCAAGGCTATGATTGTCAGGGGTCGTGGCCACCACCACGAACTGCATCATGTGCTAAACGCCCTTTGCGTTGTATATATGAGTCTATTAGGCTTAGAGTGGTACGAACCATTGATAGGAGGTAAGAGAACCTCATTTGCTGCCCATCAGCAGCTATGCGCGGCGCTCACTACGGTGTGCGTTCCGTGACTGCCGGTACGCCTTCTCATGTGTCGGCTACATATTCCAGCATGACGACATGTAGCTTGCTCAGCTCCTGTAGTCGCTGCTGTTGAGGTCGTAAGAGGTGACCATGATGCTCTCAACCTAGCATTTTATGGGTCTAATAGTGGAGAGAAAGAAGGAAAGTTCGAGAAGGCAACCAAGCCTGGTAAAGGGCCCAACAAGGCGCAGAAGCTTCAGATTCCATTACTACTCATTGTCTTGTACAGACCATCCTGGAAGCTCACACCCTTTGCATATCTCCAAACCCTCTCATGACGGAGCCGCTCCAAGTATAATAAACGCCTTTCCGTCAAAGATCCTGAACCTTTACAACAACCTTCCCTTGCGCTCTTCGACTGAACATCCGCTCATATGCCTAGTCATCAAGGTCAGTAAACCATGCTCCAACAACAAACTACACTGGGAGAAGCGAACTCACCTTCTTCGCATCGTCCATAGCAAACACGCTGTCAATCTTGACCTTGTGCCTCCCCTCCGCCACCGCCGTCTGCAGCGTCTTCCAGATGTCCACGCCCGCCTGTTCCGAGCTGATGAAAGTCCAGGTTCGGGGCGTCCCTCCCAGAAAGACAGGCCAGAGGTTGTTCGATGCCTGCATGGAGATATTGCGGAAGAGGTTCGTCCAGGTGAGGCCGTCGCCCATGGGCGTGCCGATCGCGAGGAATGGCTTTCCTTGAGCGAGGTACTTGGGTGAGCCGTAATAGAGGGCCTGACTGGTGCCGACGGTGTCGATGATGGCGTCGAAGGGCTTCGTTGAGTACGTCGACGCCAGATAATGGGGTAGAGATGCATGCTGGGTATAGTCCACCACCTGCCCCCTGTCAGCCTCTTGCCATATGATCACGGACGGGATACCGAAACTTACCTCATCCGCGCCCATCCTCTTCACCAACTCCGCATTCTTCCCCGAACACGTCGTGACAATCGTTCCCTCGGGCCCCAAAACCTCCCTCGCGACCTGTATCGTCGACAACCCCACCCCACCACTCCCCCCATTAATCAACACCCGACCCCCGGGCTTCAACCCACTCTTACTCACGACATAAAACGCCGTTAGGCCCACACAGCCCAGCCCCGCCGCCTCCTCGAACGACACGCCCTCCGGCTTGCGCCAGACCCCGTCGCGCTGCGCGACGACGTACTCGGCCAACGTGCCCCGGCCCAGCCTGACATGCTGGCCGGGCGCGATGGCGCCAAAGACATCGTCGCCGACGCTTAAGTGGGAGACGGCCTTGCCGGTGGCGACGACGCGGCCGGAGAAGTCGTATTCGGGTACCGAGGGGGTGGTGCGGATGAAGGAGGGCACGACCCAGGCGAGGAGCGAGCTGAGGAGGTTGAGGGAGGAGTGGGAGATTTTGACGAGAGTTCGTCGTCGTGCAGGTTAGTGGGGTCGGGGCGCGGGAGGGTTGTCAGTTGGAGGGTGTGGAGGGTGTGGCCGCGGCGGGTGAAGGTCCAGGCTTTCATTGACATTGTTGTGGTGTGACTACGGTGTTTGTTGTTTGGAAAGTTGGAATATTACAAGTGTGTTTCGTGTTTGGGAATATCTCAAGATCCGAATGGGATTGACGATCGACAGGAACACAGCGTTCCTCACGTCCCGCTTCATGAAGATATACCTCTGAGAACTGGGCCAGCAGCCCAGCGACGCGGAGGAAAGGCACGCCGATGCGATGCATGAGCACATGCTAGATAACTGTACTCGTACCTACTGAAAGGACGCGCGCCGCACGCCACCGACATCTCTGCCGTCATGCTTTAGTCAAGGCGGTCTTCACTTCGGACTGCAAAGTGCCTAAGCAAGGGCCCGAGAGACAGATAACTCCAGGCCGAAGTCTAATAAGCAGGTTACCGATACATACATAGGTGCGTTATACGACGCCGGCATGACGCGATGCCTATACCCGACAAGTGTTGGCTGACTAAACGGCCGTATGATGGTGGGGGCCGAAGGGGGGTGTTCTTGGTCGGTGATTTATCATCCGCGAGGCCGAGTGTCCGAGAGGGTCACATAACGCAAGGTAAGGTGCTTCTGTGCCTCAGCCTACTGGGTTGCGAACCTATTGAAAGACCTGTATATGCTCAACGCCTTGGTCTATCGGTTTGGTGGCAATGTAGTGACTGAGAGCGAAGCAGCTTCAGATGTCCAAGGCTGATGGATTCGTACAACTGCCACCGGATCATGCAGGCTTGACAGAAGGCATGCATTGGCTGTATATTGAGAGCCATACTTTCTCACAATCTTTCCCCGAGCTCAATATTCTCCAAATCAACGCCGGTGTATGCAGATGGTGGCAGCTGCCGAATGCTCCCCGGGTCGGGATTACGGGCGAGAGCTGCTTGGCAGAGGTGCCTGTGCTAGTACATTGGTTGAAGGACCAAGATCTCCCTCATCGCGCCTTCGTGCTTGTACAGCACGAATACTAGTCAACGCTGTGGCTGAACAGGTAGCTCACACTTTCGCCGTTGTGCGTGCGCCGAATGGCTTCGGCCAACACAGGTGCAATGTCGATTGTTTCCAGTTTGCATCCCTTCAGCTTGCCATCCTCCCACACTTCCTGGCTCAGCGCTTCCCATTTCTGCTCTGGGATCGGCACCGTGTTCGTTATCACCAGTCTCGAAAGCGCGCCTGACTTCAACGTCTCCACGGCGTTGCCACTCAATACGCCGTGCGTGACAAGCGCAACAACGTCCTTGGCACCGTGCTTGATGAGTGTATCCGCCGCCTTGGAAAGCGTGCCGCAAGTATCAGCGATATCGTCGACGAGGATGGCGACCTTGTCCTTCACGTTGCCCACGAGTGTCATGCGAGAGACTTCGTTAGGCCGAGAGCGCTCCTTGTGGATCAACGCGAAGGAAAGGTCGAGCCTGTCGGCCATGGATGTCGCCCTTTTGGCGCCGCCAGCATCGGGAGATACGATTACACACTCTTGTCTCGGGCCGTTGATCTCATTGCCAGATTCGCCCACGTGTAGTAGATTCTCTCGGATCCACTTGGTGGAAGAGGGTTCCGCGTAGAGGTTGTCGACGGGAACATTGAAGAAGCCTTGGATTTGGCTGGCATGCAGATCCATGGTTATGACATGATTGCAACCAGCAGTCTGCAGCATATTGGCCATGAGCTTCGCGGTAATGGGCGCTCGTGACTTGTCTTTCTTATCTTGTCTGGCGTAGGGGAAGTTGGGGAGAATGGCAGTGATGCGGCGCGCCGACGACGTCTTGCAGGCATTGATGATGATGAGCAGCTCCATCAAACCATCGTTGATGTCGTTGGGACGCGTCGACTGGAGGACGAAGACTAGCATATGTCAGAGGGGTCGGCCAGGGTTTTGCGGACGTCGGTACCGTCTTCGTCTCTGACGGACTCGCCAATAGTCACTGAAGTCTCTTGATTCGAGTACTGCAGGACCATAATCTTGGTGAGCTCGATCCCTAGCCTGCGGGTCGTGCGTCAGTATCGCGCACTCCGCTACGTGTTGTCGCTGCATGTCCTCGAAAATTTCACATGCGCAGCCCTCGAGTCGGGATGAGCAGTACGACGACGTACCTTCTAGCCACGAGCTTGGCCAGCTCTGGGTGGCTGTTGCCAGTCAACAGTTTAATCGAGTTGGACGCCATGCCGTACTCTGTAAAGTCAGTGATCACCGAGGAAACATGGTGGACAAAATCTGGACCAGAGGGGTCGCCCATGAGCAGGTCGGAAGGCTGAGGGACGGATGTTGTTCCCCGCAGAGAATTTGGGGCTTGGCAACGGCCAAAGTACGGATGGCGGCAGCAAGGCAAAAGACTGTTACTTGTGATAGGATACGCAGGAGGAAGCATGTGTTGTGGTGTTGGGTTTCTCATTGAGTAAATTTGGGTCACCGGTATCTCAGCGGGTGGATGTGGTGCAGAACTTGCTTCTGATGGTAGCACATGGCCTGAAGCGGCTGCCCAACCTATCCCTTGCTTTGCTATTTCGTGACCACCTTGTCGTACATCCTCACAAGCAGTGGGATGGTCTCCTCGAAGCCTTTTCAGGTCTTCGAAACCCGTTTTCGCACGGTCTAAACTCCAAACGCAAATATCTACTTCCTCATGGAAGATGCGCGTCTCTTGCGCAGCTCAGACTTCTTCTCACGCTCCTCATGGACGCGCTTAGCTAGCAGCTGAGAGTACTCGTTGGCAGCATCCTTGGACGCTTCCGCGCGTCTGCGCTTCAGAGCGAGGCGGTGCCTCTTGTGTTGCATACGCTGGGGAGTGACGAGGCGCTGAATCTTGGGGGCCTTGGTGTAAGGCTTCGCACCCTCCTTCTTGGGGACAACTTCGCGACGAATGACGAACTTGCTACATGGTTGTTAGCGTTTGTGAGGAGTACACACAGACCCGTCTCTTACCGAACATCATCTTGCTTGGTGAGACCAAAGAAGCGGCGGATCTTGGTGGCACGCTTGGGACCAAGGCGCTTGGGCTGAACAGTGTCGGTGAGACCAGGGATATCTTGCTCGCCCTGCTTGACGATGGAGAGGGCAAGCACAGCCAAGTCCTGGGCGACGATGCAGCCACGGACAGACTTTCGCTTGCGCTCACCGGTGCGACGGGGTCGGTAGCAGGAGTGGCCATCGGCGAGGAGGAGCTTGACACGGGTAGGGAGCATCTGTGGACACAAGTCTCAGCGAACGTGCTGGCGCTTTTAGGAGCAGGTTTAACATACGACACCCTGCTTCATGGGAAAGCCTTGCTTGTCATTGCCACCGGTGATGCGGACAATCTGGCCAAAGGTTAGCAAGATTCTTGAAACGATCATCTCTCGAGGCGCATCGTACGTAGCCTTTCCACTCATCGCCTAGGGAGTCGGCAGGGACCTCGGTCGACATCTTCTTGTCCATGAAGACGCGAAGCTTGCGCTCATCTTCAATCTCGATCAGCTGCGGCCGAAATGTTAGCAGGTGTCCATGGCAGTGGAATTGACGACACTACGTGCCTTCTGCGTGCCAGCAGGCGGGTTGCTGATATTGAGCTTCATGTTGGCGATTGATGAAGCCCGTTTGTCGAGAAGTTGTCGAAAGCAAGGACAGGAATAGGTTGTGTCAAAAACGGGCGCAGGCTCGCAAAAAGCAGTCTCGGTGCGCTAGTTGTCTTGGCAATTGCTAAATCTTGGCGCGCTCGCAGATCACGTGCTATTCTACCTGCATTGACTTGTTAGGATAAAACACCGCCTGCTTCAGATCCAACTGTTCAGTGTTGTTTGTTGTCTGCCGCTCTGTATAGTCGCGTAGGCTACAGGTCAGACCAGATCTGTACTTACGAGGGCAAAACTCGGAGGAATGGTGGGCTAATGAATGCTCTCAATTAAGCTGCTCTATCCCGCCACTTGGCAGCACCACAGCACGACAGAAGGCTTTGAGGTCTGCACACCTCTTCTCACTGGCCGTCTGGATACTACCGCGGCTCGCTATGTAAGCTATGCTAACTCATCGCCACCTACACCATGCGCTTTTAATACACTCCTCCCTCCATCGCATGTCCGCGTCTCGTTCCATCATCACTATCCTCAGTGTCAAACGCCGGCCGATGCAAAACAAGAAACGACCGTGCCATGCCATTTCGCTGATATCAACGCTTTCAATACAACATGACGAAGTGTAGAAATTGTGTTCGAGGTCGTAAAAGGCAATCAGGCAAATCCAAAGTAGTCGGCGCCCAGATTGATGGCCTTCATTATGTTGGTTTTGAGCGACTCCTGGTTGTCGTAAGCCGGAAGGTCGAGCTGGTTAAAGCAAGTGTGGCTGGTTGGCAGCCGGTTGAGGTTGGGTTCACGGTGGACTGTACTCTAATTAGTCATGGCTCGGTCGCTGAAATGGAGTGGAACTTACCAGAGAAGCGAGTTGTTCCCTGCATGCCTTCAAGATCTTTGAAACCGTTGAGTGGCACCTTGCTAGTGCCCGTGATGAATTGCAACAACTTAGCTCGCTCTTCGTTGCTCATGGCCCGCACAATACGCCAGAACCAAGTGATCTGAGGGCTGTTCGCGTTGTAATTATGGTAGTCGGTATTCGCCTTCCAGTCGTCGACATCGATCTCGGGAAGACCAGAAATGAGCAACTCGAGTTCCTGCTCATCAAAGATGGCAACTAATTCGGCAGGAATAATGTCGTGGAAACCGCGAATGAAATGCTCAAGCTGCTCACTAACGGATCCCGTTAGGCGGTACTCGACCAGCTTCTGGACGTATTCTCGCTTATTCTCCTCCGTAACGGGAATGTTGCGCCCATCGGGGATCAGGTCGACGATCTTTTCTTCACCAAACTGCTCTTCAACGATCGAAAAATCCTCGGTGAGGATATCAGTGATGTCGTTCTCCAGGATCCAAAGAAGAGACTTGTAATAGTCAAGATCCATGCTCTCAAGATCCTTGAGGTTTGGTTGCTTGCCAAGCATTCTCTTGTAGGCAGCGCGACTGAAATGGCAGTCAAGGACTCTACCTTCGTGGAGTGCTTTGCCAATGATTCGACCGATGAACTTGAAATACACAAGATGCTCACCGTTGATCCAACTGAGAGGATTCGGGTGGAAGGTGGTCTTGTCAGAAGCGACTGGCTGCCACAAAGCCCAGTCGGGGTTGAAGATGCCCCGAGCGAGGACTTGGAACCATTCGCGAGTAACACCGCCGGCGTCCACGCCCTCCTCGCCGTTGAACCGAATGTTGAGCTTGCCATACTTCATCTCATCAGCGGTCTTGAAGTACAGCGCCTTGTACGAATCTTGGAAGACTTGATCGCGGCGGACATTGAGCTGTAGGGGTGGCTGAACGTGGCGCTGCTGGTGTAACCTCGAATGGATTTGCTTCGTGAAGAAAGCACGCTTGTTATCGAAATCGAGCACTTTGGGATTCTTCACCAGTAAGCTGAAGCTACCGTTACCTTGCATCAATTTCGGCGATTGACGAATAATGTCATTGAGGATCTTCCGGTGCTCGGTAGTGAAGTTGAAGAAGAGCTGTTCGAGATCGTTTAGGTCCTCAACAATGGGAGTTGTGGGGCCCTCCTCGCGAATTTGCTGCACCAGAGGCGCTTCTTTGAGTGAAGTGTTCTTGCAAACAACCATCAGAGATTCGATCAGAGGAAGGAGAATGGACGCGAAAGCAATGACGTTGTCCTTCTCGCCCATGACACTAAGGCATTCGCTCAGCTTCGACCACAAAGGCCCAAGAGATAGGCCCTCGTAGGAGGTTGTCAGAATGCTCTTCACCGCACCTTCCTCACCCTCGCCCTCCTTCTTCGGCTCCGACAGATAATCGAGAGCTTTGAGAACGTGGAGTAGTTTGACCTGATCGGATCCACTGTGGGAAAAGCGAGTAGAGGTGATACCGTGGAGATCGGTGCTCGCTTGGGCCTCGCGGAGCTGTGGTATCAGCTCATCGAGACTTGAGCAAAGAGACGAGGAGAGGTTCTTGACATGCCCGATCAGCTGCTTGCCGAAGACTTCACTGGTGCCGGGCACGCAGGAGATACTCGACATCGTATCCAAAGTGGCATGAAAGGTGTCGTTACCACATTCGGAAGCAATGAAGATATTAGCAATGAGCTGGAGATTTCGAGTGGGAATGACAGGCGGCTCGAAACTCTTCTTCGGCTTGGGCTCTTCATTTTTGCTGACTTCGTTCTCTTCATCCTTCATACTAGCAGTGGCTTCACCGCTCAGGGCCTCGATTGCAGTTGTTCCCTCAGCCCCAACCTCAGTAGAACCCTCAGTCATAGCAGTATCTTGCACCTGATCAGTGTTAGAAGGTTCAGTCTGTCGCTCGGAACTTTCGGTAGTATCTGGCTTCTGGCTCTTCGCCTCATCCTTTTGCTCCTTTTCCTTACGCATCAGGACGACCAGGGGCGAGGTTACCGCGGCGAGCAGTTCAGCAAGAGATTGCAAGCTGGGAGCACTTTCAACGATAAGCTTGCGGTCAAGCAGGGTGATAAGGTCGTTGATAGGATATTTGGTCGTCTTGCTCTCTTTGTCTTTGCCCTTCTTGGATTTGGAGCTGCTGCTGATATCGACCTCGCGCAAGAACAATGTACGCACGTGTAGACCGTGCTGGGAGAGTTGCTTAAGCGCCGAGAGGCACTGTTGAACGACAACCAAAGGAGTGACGTCCTCACCTAAACCAGCACTTGGCTGCATCGATAGGGTTCGCTTTAACGGCTGGGGAGTTTTCTGAGCAGCGGTGGCTTTGGCGCGTAACGAAAGACTGGCAAGGCTGCGCTCGACGGCGGTGACATCAGTCGATCCCTCCTTCAGAATGACCAAGAGCATATTAATGACCTCAAAGCGAGTGAGTCGGTTGCCGCATACGTTCCTCAAGATGTGCCACAGGTTCGACCGAAGTGAACCCTGTTGTGGAAGGAACATCAGACGCAAAAGTGTCGCAACGCCAGCTTTATCGACTAATTGAACCACTTGGCGTTTGTTATCCTTCTGCCCATCGCGGTCAACACGACCGCCCTGGGCCTGCCGACCAACAGGCAGGCCAGAATAGTGGAAGATTCGGCGAGCGTGTTCACGACCTTCAGCAGCAAACCGGGGATTAAGCTGCGCCAAAATGTCGTGAGATTGCTCACCCAAGATCTCGCGGCGTAGTGCCGGATCTAGAGTGGCTAGGAAATCATCGTTGTTCATGTCTTCCGCCTGAACTGGTCTATTAACCGCTGCTTCTCGGCGAGCGGCTTCTCGCTCCCGCTGTCGCTGAGCATTGGCTTCAGACTGACGAATTTCTTCTCGGACTTCTTCTGGCAGAGCATTGAGGAAGTCGTTCAGGTACTCAGGATCAATAGGTGCATTGTCAGTACCCGTTGCCGCCCCCGTGCTAGCATTGGTGTTTTGCTGTTGCGCTTCTTCTCGGCGAGTGGCATATTGCTGCATGATGACTTCTTCTCGCAGCTCCTCTGGCAGCGCTTCGAGGTACTCCCGGTCAATGGCCAACCCGGTGATGTCCAGTTGACGTCCTCTGATTGTCGTGAAGACGCGCTCTTGAGCTGCCTCTGACGATTCAGCCTCATCTGGCTGGTCCTCACTTCGAGGATCTGGCTCGGTAGACTGCACACCTTCCATAGGCTCCGCCTCATTAGTCTCGCCACTGGCGGCGGGTTGGTTATCAGCAGCAGCAGCAGCAGCCGCAGCAGCCGCCTCAACTTCTGCAGCGACACGTCGCTCCTCTTCGGCACGCTCCGCAGCCTCTTGCTCTTCCCGCTCCTTGCGGGTGCGCTCAGCTTCTTGGCGTTGTCTCTCTTCTTCCTCTCTCTGAGCCCTGATTTCCTCTTCCCGCTTACGCAGGCGCTCCTTCTCCTCTTGTTGGGCAGAAGGGGCAAGCATCGACATAAGGAGGAGCTGTATGCGCTGGAGCTTGTCAAGGTACTGGTTGCCAAAAAGGATGGCTCGCTCCTCTTGCCATCGAACCATGGTGGTGGCAGGCGTAAAGCTTACAGCTCGAGGAGGGTCTTCGCGTACACGTTGGCTTGAGATAGCCCCGCCACCCATGCCGAGACCATGCCGCATTCCTGAGGAGAGTTCTCCAAGGGGAACATTGACGTTAATGCTCATAGGACTAGCGTACATGGCAGGGCCGCCTCGATGAATAGTGTTCGCGATCAGATCGAGGAGCTGACCGTGGCCGCGGCTCTGTCCGCCTTCGGCCTGAACGACGGATCGGAAAGCGTCGCGCACGGGGCCTGGCATCAAACTGGTGAAATTATTGAACTCCTCCAGGTCCTCGTCCCCGGGGAGCCGGCCTGAGGCCAAGGTAATGCGCGAAACATCGCCTGCACGTGATGATGGCGCTTCTCCCGGTGGTCGCTGTAGCAGTGGATTTGTGCCATCGTCATTGTCTTGTCGACCAGGACGGCGTCCACTAGAGGATCGGTAGAATGATGGGATGGACTCGCCAGCTCCACGAAAGCTTGGAGGGTGAAGGAATGCTGTAGGTGGAGGTGGAGGGCGGAAGATGGAACGGCCACCGAAATTGCGACGTCCAAAACCTCTAGGTCGAGGCGCAGGTTCGTCGAATGTCCACTGATCCTCGTAGTACTCGTCTTCGATATCACCATCCATGAAGTCATCGAAGTGATCATGGCCAAGAGCGTCATTCTCGTCCATTTCCTCGTCTTCCTCCACAACATCGACATCCTCATGGTCCTCTTCATCATCTGCACCAGCCACACCAGGGTGCATTACTACGTGGGTATGATTCGCACGCCCACCTTCTTCATCCCGTCCGTTAAGAACACGAAGAAGGTTGTTGAGGTCGTCTTGCAGAGCAGGTGCTTCGTCTGGACCGCCAGCAAGGAGGTCGCCATTCATGTCGACCTCAATCTCATCGCCTTCGTCATCGTCAGCATCGTCGTCAATGTCTTCATCACCTTCATCATCTTCCCAGTCGGCTTCGTGGTCGTGTCCATCACCGAGGCTGTCGTTTTCGTTGTCGGCGTTGATCTCACCATCTTCGTCTTCGATATCGAAGTCCTCGCCATCCTCGTCATCTGAACCATCGTCACTACTGGTCTCGCTATCGTCATCACCAGTATCAACTTCCATGCCGCCCTCATTGACGACAAACTCGAGCTCCATAGGCACGTCCCCCGGCAGACCCTCGATTGGGCCGTCCATGTCGTCCTCATCTTCGTCACTGACAGCTTCGTCGTCTTCTTGGCCTGCGGGCATGCCATCGTCGTAGTCCATCTCGTCAGGATACTCCTCGTCGTCGTACATCTCTTCGTCATCATCCTCATCATCGGAATCCGAATCGGACTCTCGAGGTCGATTCGGGTCAAGAAGACCCAAAGCCGAATTACGGTAGAGATCCGGAGTCTCCTCTCGTTCGTCTTCTACCTCTGAGACCGATGAAGCTGATGATATATCGTCATCCGATGTATTGCCCAGAACCGAAGTGATCACGTCCGGCGAAGTGAGACTAAGTTGTGTGGCCAGACTGGTAAGTTCTTGAAGCGGTCGCAAGATAAACTTGATTACGCGCCGGGCACCTCGCTGGGACAGATCGATTTCAGCCAGTGAGCTTGTAAGGACTGAGATCAGATTCTTCTCAAACATCATTCGACCGAGAATTCTGTACGAGGTGTTATTAGAACCAGCCGCTCCATCAGAGGCCGATGGCTTCGAAAGTAGGCGATTGAACATATCCGACAAGCATAGTAGCTTGCTGTACTTGGTTTGCAACGACTCGGTCGACGAGGTTGCATCTTTGAAGGCTTTGATGGCATGCTCAAGCACGAAGCGGCGCACGAACGTCAGCTCAGGTTCATCGTCCTTGTCATCTACCTGTACGAGAGCATAGCGCTGCACAGGGGCTGATTTGCCTTTCTCGCCGGTCTTAGAGCACAAAGAGACCAGGACTTTGATGGCCCAATCCGAGACTGCAAGTCGCTTCTTGCAATGAATTGACTGGTCGTCTTTGTCCACATAGCCAGAAGCGACCAAGCCGTTCAGCACGTAATTAAGGATGCCAGATCGTGGCTTCGATGGAGTCACTGCCAACGGATCCGACTTGCGAGAGAAGTTGATGAACTCAATCTTGGTGCGACTATACGAATGCAGCAGCTCCACCAAGCACTGGAGTAAGAAGCATCGATAGATGAAGATGGGGTGGTCTTCCGGCTTGAATCGAGGGCGCTCTGGCTTGGCTGCATCTGACTGTGCAAGGCCCGAGCCATCGATAGAAGAGGCTGGCGACTCAGGGGCAATCGTTGGAGCAACAGGCGGGTCCAGTACCGGGCTGGAGTCTTCCGAGTCAGCTCTTGCTGTAGATGGAACGTCCTTGTCATCGACATCCTTGTAGGACAACAGCTCAGAAAGCAGGAAGTGGATGACACCATCAGGGTTCTCAACGACCGGGGGCTTAATGTCAGCGGTCTTGCCTTTTGAGTCATCGGCAGGAGCATCGGTGTTTTCGACGCTTGCGGCAGCTTCGTTGGCATCATCTGCCGCCGTGCCGTCTCCAGCTGGGGACGTAGTCTTATCGGCGGGTCTCGCGTCGTCATCTTTGAGAACATCCTTGAGCGCAAGAGGGGGACCAGGCGAGTGGGGCTGCCATTGCGACAATTTGAGCAGGTCGTTCGACACCTTCACAAAGACCTCGGGTGACCGGATAGCAAGGTGGTGCAGCTCTCTGGTATAGCCATTTAGATCCAAGTTCCGAGAGGAGTTTCGGCCAGTGAAGGCAGCTTGGATCTCGCTTCTCATGATCTGCACAAGTGTCTCTTCGTCCTCCACAATGTGACGAAGGATGAGCATGAACGAGCTCAGGAAGCGACTAGAGACTCCCATACCAAGCTGTTTGACCATAAGGAAGAGGCGTTGCAAGTTCCGTTTCTCTGAGAGTGCCGTAGCAATCTCGCGCTTTCTGGTCAGCATGACCAGAACTCTTGCAATGGAGAGAGCCATAGATTTGTCTTTTCCAACTCGAGGGAGACAGTCGAGCAAAGCTGTGAAAAGTTCCTTCTTCTGATCGAGACTGATGGTAGCCTTCTCAACCAACTCTGCCTTTGGCATAGGTGACTCAAGGTCTCGAGGATGGTCCCAACGCACCTCAGCTGGCTCATTATCCTGCGACAGCATCTGCTCGATAAGTAGCAGGATTGGAGCGACCCAGGGATAAGTATCATCTCCCTTTCGAATCACTGTACCGCTGAGCTTCAAGAAAGACAGCAGCCCCTCAAAATTCTCTTGGAACACCCCAAGTGCTGTCTTGAAGACCTCCTTATCGTTGATAAGCAAAGCAATGAGATGAGCAGCTGCGGCGATCTTCTTGCCTTCGGATTCCTCGATTTCTCCATCTGCCTGCATTGATAACAGTGAGTTGACGAGAAGATCGGAAGTCGATTCCCAGTAGCTCTGAGCAGCCTCTCGCGACATCTTCTTCGTGGCACTTGAGATGAGATCTGCTAGCTCAAAAACCATGTCTTGGTGGCTGTTCAGTACGTTGTTGCAGCGCTCGGCAAGATCATCTCGAATGGATCCCCGCTCTGCGTTGATAATTTCGACAGAGTAGGAAGGGTGAGCGGGCTTCTCTCCCTTAGAGATCGGCTGAGCCGCAGGCTGCTCCGAGGAGTTCAAAATGTTACTCAGATCCATCGCCGAAGACCCTGATGTCTGTGGGCGAGCAGGATCCGAGGGGCTCGAAGATGTTACGCCTTCCATTTCGCTATCATGAGATGCATTGTTGACAACCTCGGCCAACGCCGCCTCGATAGGTCCAACTGGCAGAGCAGAAGAAGCACCTGCCGGACTGGATGTAGAGGGTGTCTCACGGGTCGTTGCAGGCAAATCGGTTTCGCTTGATGGAATAGGTAATCGACGGCGCCGTGGATGGGCGATCATCGCCCGACAGTATTCTTTCGCAGCAGTGTTAGAATTGCCTGAGGGTAATGTGTTGGTGCGGTATAAGGCTTCTTTAGCAAGATCTTCATCAAATCCATCGTCCTTAAGCTCTCTAAGGCGGTTGTGATCGATGGGAAATTTGCGAGGCGGTGGAGGCGTGACTTTGGGGTGACCACTCTGCGTCTGGACCGCTTCCTCTTCAGAGTCTCCCTGTAAGGCGTGCTTGAGGATAGATACTAGTTTGTGAACAACGTCCCGGGAGGCTTGATCGGCATATTCGCTGTCCCAGATTTCGCGCACAAGAGGTAGGGCCTCCATTCGGAACTCTAACAAAGCTTGCGGCGGTACAAAGTAGTGAGCCTTACCAGGATCCGAGTTCTTCATATGCGAAGACTGAGGAGCGCCCACAACACTCTTTGCACTTGTCAAGATGTCGAAAATATCGAGACAAGTTTTGAGGCCAGTGTTTGCAGCAAAGGTCCAGACCTCGACTTTGCATTGCTTCAACTCTGAGAAGAATTCAGTCCCGATGTCTCGCAGCCGACGGATGCCACCAAGCTTCTTCAACGCGTTGACCACGAAGCTCTGGCAGAACTCGCCTGTACCAGCACCCTGAAGGTCGTCATGAAGCGAGACTCTCATGTTGGACAAGCATACAACCAGGTACTTGAACCTCGTCTCCTTATCAAGGACAGCATTGTTGAGCCCTGGTTGGATGAAGTCGGGCTGTAGTTGCTTCAGCAGCGCGCCCGCGATAGCGTCGGAAACCATAGCGCTCTTCTGTCTCGAAAAGGTATCTGGTCTCCTCCTCCCGCCGGCAGTGCCGTGACCAATACTGCCCAGAAGCTCTGCAATTGCTGCAGGTGTCTCGAGGGTGAGATATCGTAATGTCTGCACGTTCTTGAAAGCGGCTGTCTGGCGGTCCTTAGTAGTTTCGGGGCTCTCGTCCTCACCTTCCGTATTGGAAGAGCTATCCCAGATACGAAGGATCTGGTCTACCTCGTCGTCTCCCATGGAGAAGTTCTCTGGCTTTGTGGCCTTGACCCAGGGATCAGGAAGCTTCTTCTGAATGACGATCGCCTCGCGAACACACGCAGCGCTTATGTCACCGAGCATGCCACTCAGCTCCGCGAATAAATCGGCCAAGTTGACGAGGCCAAACAAGAAGGCATTGTGGGTACGCGAACTGAAGATGGCTGTACTGAACACCTCTCCAATGACTTGGGCTAGGCAATAAATAGCCATGAGACTTCGGACAAGATACGTGCCATTCTGCTCCACTGGTGATGTTGCATCCATTTCCGAATGCTGGCTCTCTCCGCTCGTCAGCTGGATGAGAGGATCGAAATAGCTTTCATCCTGGCCCGGCTGGGAATGACTGAAGTGCTGCAATTCGGAACAGACGAAGAGTGCTCGATCGACGAGTGCAGGTAGGACTAATCCAGGCTTCAACTCAGCCATCATGTGGATGACGTTTGCAAGCTCTTCCATATGCCCATGCATACCGAAAGAATACTCGGCCACCGGTACACTGGGGATAGTGACAAGATCGAGTACCATATCAGCGCCGCCATGCTCGAGGAAAACAACACATGAAGATTGGGTTCGGAAGAGGTGGGACAGGAATCCCACCGACGGCCTCATGTAGTCCGAGGCGGTCAGGCCATGTGAATCCTCGTTTTGAGGATGCGCACAACGAAGACCGTTATACCCCGGCTCGTCAAAGGTGAGCTTCTTGCCGTCGGGCAGTGTAACAGCATCAGAAGGCTTTGCGTCGGATCGAGGGGAGGGAATAATCTCCTGTCGTAGCGCCTCGATACCACCTGACACTTTAAGATCACCATTCAGCCCCTGGTGCCAGAGTTTCGGCCCAGCGCCATAATCTCCTGCCATAGCCCGTGTAATATGTCGGACGCGTGCAATCATGACGATGACTGAGCTCATTACAGTATCGCGCAAATTAGGGTGATGACGAACGAGCTCGTCGAACGTGGTGCCGAGTACTCGCATGTTGTTGAGATCCTTCATAAGCTTAACATGAGCCGGTGACTCAAAGATCTCGAAGAACTTCTCCAGAGCGCCAGACGACTTGAAGAGGTCGAATCCTGCGCTTGTCAAGCATATGGCCTCAAACAGTTGCGATGCGTTACCAATGGCTTCAACGGAAGCGGGAATTCCAGGACCCTCTTGAGCAGAAACATCTGAAATAGTCTGCTTGATGTCTGAGTCTGATTGCGAACCATCACGACGAGTGACCGTGCCCAAAAAGCTCTTGATGATGCCTGCTTCTGCAATGACTGTGAAACACGTAGGCTCGTTATTAAGAAAACCACTAATGGCCTTAACAACCTCGCTCCAGGTGTGTGTACCAAATGCTTGCAGTTTGTCCATGATGAGCTTGAAGGCAGTTAGCAATGATTGGGAATCCACCAGACTTCGAGAAGCCCTATCCGCATTAGCACCTTGATGACCAGTGATATCGTTGATCATGTCAATGATAGAGCGCAAGACTTGTCGGTGAATGTACGGAATTTCGTAATCGGTGAGCCGGGTCTTATACTCTGGCGGAATGCCTTTCCCACCCTGGTGCTGCTGCCATGCATCCTCGGCTAAGTCGCGTGTCAGGTTACTGAGGTTCTCAAATGCATCGGTTTGTAGTAAGACCTGAAGACCATCCTTGAAGTGGTGGAAAAAGCTCTTCATGAAGTCCAGCATCCGAAGGTGCACTCTCATGGCTTTGACAGTTGTACTACGCAGTCCCGTCACATATGCAGCCACGAAGCTGCTAGAGAAACTGCCTTCGCTCAAGCGGCCGTGATGACCTGAAGCTTCGATGACATACTGTGGTAACAAGAATACAGCTTCTCGCCATTCGTCGCCATCCAGTGTATCGTTCTCATCCCCGTCGCTGGTGAGATCGACAAGAGCACGTTGAGTAAGGCGTAGCAACAACCCATTGGCGGAGCTGGCGCCAAGAGCGGCGGTGATATCTTGAGCAAATAATTTATGTCGAGCGAGGACGCCGATCGTCACCATGCTCAAAGTTTGCATGTAAACCTCGACAGTGGGTTGGCCTTTCTTCGGATCTTGGATTAAATTGACCAATTGCTGCACCAGCTCTTGAGGCTTCTGTCCCGCTTGATCTCTCCCTAGTAGGTTCCGCTGCAGTTCGTCATCGGTAAAGACATTGCCCACAATGTTGATGGCCAAGATGCGGATGGCTAAGACGTCTTTGCGGCCATGTGATGACAAGAGACCATAAGCGATACGCAGCTTGTGCAGAAGCTCGTATCGAGTAGTCTTCGGCATCTCGTCTGGGCAGGTGCGCAAAGCCTCTTCAATAGTCATCTTGCTCAGATCTGATGTGGAGAACTCAAGACTACGAAGATTTGAGGATGAATCTGAAGCTTCTTGAGCACTATCAGGCAACTGAACCGCCTTAGCAGAAGCACTCGTCTGGCGGCGAAGTGGGGTCGGCGTGTTTGGGGTTGAGGGCGCTGTGGGCTGAGCAAGCGGTTTGCTCTGTTCTCCTGTGTCTTTCGCTAGAGCTTCGGGAGTCCACGCAACTTTCACCTGTGCCCATGCCTGCCAGTCGCGATCAGGTTGCGCAGGTCTTGCGGAGCCAGTCTGGGCTGAGAAATCTCGACATAGAGAGCGGAAGTCGTTTGGGTTCGCGGCAGCAGAGGTACGCCTCGACCCACTGACGTGGCCGGCTTTGCTCTTGGTAGATTTGACAGGTGAGGCTGGCACGCGTTTCGCGGGAGAAAGATTCTGTGCGATAGGACTTGCTAAGCATCGTAACCGGTCGTGATCATAATCGTAGAACTTTGCCACAGGCGCAGGAACAGGGCTACCGCGCTCGGAGTAGCGTTGTGCGAGCAAGATGGTAAGTCGTAGAGTCCGGTGCAGCAGTGAGAGAGAAGTAGTATTGAGAAGGTCGTTGAGGCGATCGGAACTGTTGTAGGTAGCTCGATTGGCGCATTTCTCGACCAGCAGTCGGGAGAAGTCCAGAATGGACTCAATGAGAATGCGATCACCTTCTTCGCCAAACTTTTCGACCATCTGCGTTTCATCCGCTCCTGTCGTGCCTTTCACGAGGACAGCCACCCCAAAAGAGGCAGTCTGCGGGCCTTGCTCTAGACTATATGTGGTGATGAAAGTTTTAAGGATTTCGTCGAATCGATCGAGAGGTACAACCCAGTTCATCAGATCTCCCCGAGGATAAGGCCATCTTCGATCCCATGATTCGAAAAGGGCAGGTAGTTCTGAGTAGCTGGCAGCCGAGATCCTCTTCACGAACTCCAGCACAGCTGGTGACTGCGACATGTTAGAGGTAAAGGTGGAAAAGAGGGACAGATTGGCTAACCAGAGATGAATTGTGTTTCTCCTGCGGCTTCTTGGTGATCGTCCCCATCTTCACAAAGCTCCTGACAGTGGCGATGGAGGCCACATGGGAGGGGAGATATCAGGCTCAATTCTGCACTCAACTAGCTTCGTCTGGTGATGATTCTTGGACTGTCGAGAGAGTTGCAGGCAGAATTGAGTGAGGAGGAAGGACGGCAAGTAGGGTTGAGGATTTGTTTGCGTGGGTGGCCGCTTTCGTGGACAAAGTCAGGTTGGAGTGAGGCTCTCGGAGCGGCGCAGGCCCAAGAAGTGATCAACTCGTGCAGTAGTCAATCAAACCTAGACTTCGCGTCGGGTAAGAGTAGAACTATCGGGTCCACGAGGTCGCAAATGAATGACCAAGGGGGGGTAGACTAGTTTACAAGTAATGCGCGATGACAGTAATGCGAGTAGGAAACGTAGACGATGCGGCGCGTCGTGATGGACTTGAAGGTGCGGTTGAAGGCTCAGCCTTTGGAGATTTGCAGACTGACGTAATTTTAGGGCGGTAGGCCGCCAAAAGCTGCCGAGCTAGCGACTTCCGCCTGTCACGCCAATAGTTAGGTGTCAAAATTTAGGCACCGCATGCCTACGTTTGTCCTTCAGTTGCCTTGTTCTACTGCTACTATTTCTACTTGACATATTCTTGAAGTGCTTGCTCAAAATCAGTAGCAACATTTGACATTTGTCTGGACATTGCCTTTGCAAGGTGCATGCCTCGAACTTCTGACGATTTCCTCAACATGGCTCAAGTTTTTGTTCGGTATTACGATGTCGGCAGTCCGCTGCGACTACGACCGAACGCAGAGACACGATAAGTAGACGTTCCGCATGATCGCAACGTATAGTCCATCCCATTTGAACTTCGCCCCCAGTACAAGACTCGTCTCTCACCTCCGCCAGCCACTGAACGCTTCATCATTTGGCCGCGGAGCGGTAGCCTTGTAAAGCCTCGCCGATTGGTATTAGCACAGTATCTCCGACGTCTTTCGCCATCATCATGATTTCTCTCTCCTTCTAACAACATGATCCGAGCTCTACGCCGTCCTGACATTGACTTGTACAAGGATGGCGGCTACTTGCACGAGGCTATGGACTTGCTCCCGCTGCTTCCAGATGCAGCGGCGATCGCAGGTCCGGTGTAGAACTACAGCTCGCCCCACTGCACGATACCTATCGTCTACCCCACCGCGAGCAGAGGAGAAGCCAACCGAAAGGGATGCACCAACTCCGACGCAAGAGGAGGAGCAGGGAGCTATGTCTCGTCGACTTTCCGCGATGGTAGAGGAATCGATAGACACGGGCAGCAAATCTGACCGTCGCACGATGCAGTCCGCGTCCAACACTTTCTCAGAACAGCTCAAAGCTCAGCTCGAGGCTCGAATAGCGGAGTCATCGTTCAGAACAGAGAATCAACTGGCGCATACCGAGGCTAATCTGCCAACTTATGCTGGTAAGGGCACCTCATCCACCGCCACCGCGCCGCATTGGACTGGATCCGAGCCAGTCGAAGACGCAGCCTTACGAATGCTTGACGATGCGCACAAGAAATTGCGCTCTTCTCCACGTCCACCACGAGTACCTCAGAACGTCAATCTGCGCCCACAGCCAAAGGCAAAAGTCTCCCAAGGTGCCCGGCTCGCCACCGCCAGAGACAAGACTTCTATCTACGCGTTCTCTCAGCAAGAGGACATGTCGGAGGAAGAGCGTGAAAGGTTTCGCAAGGAGCTCAAGGATCGTTTCTCACCTGGCGTACGTCCAATGCCTCAGACGTTGCAGGGTTTGACATCTTTAGCGAACGAGCGCATTGAGGATGCCATTGCGCGCGGGCAATTCAAGAATATCAAGCGGGGCAAGGACGTCAATACACAACGCGACTACAATGCCAACAGCCCCTTCCTCGATACTACCGAATACTTCATGAACAAGATCATTCAGAAGCAGGAAATCGTACCACCATGGATTGAGAAACAGCAAGAGCTCGCCAAGCTAGTGGATTCGTTTCGCAAGCGCTTGCGGAGCGACTGGCGCAGACATGCCGCACGTATGATTGCTAGCGAGGGTGGAAGTCTGGAGCAGCAGGTCACACGAGCCAGGGGGTATGCACTGGCGGAAGACATCGTCAATCCGCGGTCCACAGAAAGGCAGAAGATGACGGGAATCAGCAGCGACGGCAACCTCGTCAATCTCACCGTCGAGGACCGCATCGCCGCGGGCATCCAAGCCGAGAAACCGGAACCAAAAGTGAAGGTAGAGCTTGTGGACGCCAATACTCAAACCAGTAGCAAGGAGCTGGAGAAAATCGAAAGGGAGCTCGAGGACGAGATGCAGACCGTGGCCTCCATTTCTGCTGCCACCTCCCCAACTCCATCCAATGTCGCCACGACTGCCGTATCCGAGCACACTCCCATCCCCAACGAAACACCCTCTCCCAGCTCGGATTCCCCAGCACCGGCATCCTCGCCACCCCACCAACCAACCCGCGTCCTCCCAACCGCCCACCCGTTCCGCGACCCCGCATGGCAGCGCACCGAACACGCCTACCACACGCTCGCCATCGACGAAATCAACTCCTTCACCCGCTCCTACAATCTCATGGCGCCCAAGATCGCACAAAAGCCCTACACGAACCTGGAGCGCGAGCTGAAGCGCTGCTTCGCGACCGTGGCGCCGCAGCTCGCGGACGAGATCGTCGAGCGCGCCCGTCGGCCCACGGTCAAAGGCTTTGGCGCCAAGGCTGATGGTGGGGGCAAAGGGGTGTTGGAGCGCGTGGTCGGCAGCGGCGCGAGGGAGTGGAGTGGGCACGAGGGTGTCATTAGGGATGAGGGGGTCGAGAAGGGGTATGGGTTCAAGCAGCTGTGGAGGGATTTGTTTGGGGGTCAGGGGAGGAGGAAGGGGAAGAAGGAGAGGGAGGCTGCTTGAGTTGGCAACCTGAAACTGCGTATAGATGGTGTGAGTGAGAGTGTGTGTGTTACGATATCGACGAGCATTATCAACCGTCATCCATGAGGATATTGTGGGTATAAGATAAAGGGATCGCGGGAATGGTAAGTGCAGAAATAGAATTGCAGAGCCGCCAAGATATGGCGAAGGCGCAAGGCACGAATACATAAGACACACAGATCAACTCTCTAGACCAGCGTCAGACCCATACACAGCCAACATCTGTGCGCCTGGCGTAGTTCGTGGTTAAACCAGTGATCCAGATGGGAGTATCGGCCCCCGTCCGCACTCGACTGGAGGAGTCGTCCTCAAGGGCTGCGTACCAACAATGCTTCGCTTTCGAGTTTTCAGGCTCTACGCGTGTTCCTCGACGATATCGCCTGTCATCTCCACCTTAAGTAGGATACCTTACTGACAATAGTCGCTCTTTTGCTTCTGTTGGGGGTTGGCGCCTGCTGCATATCCAGCGCCCCTCAATGGCTGACTCTCCGTCACAGAGGACGGCACGTTTTCCTCCAGGCTGGCGGTACCAGCTGCTTATCATGCGCATTTGACGGACTCGATCAGCTGAATTATGATCCAAGGCGTAGCCATCTCGTGCCCAGAGTGATAGGCACCGCAGCGCACGGCGGGTATGGCCCCTACAGGCGAGCTGGAGCCGGCCCGATTGCGGCTGGGCACTGTGGTCGGGCGCGCACTACCGTTCGCCGGGCTGATATGCAGCTAGAGCTGCGATCTTCTGAAGATTTTGGTCACTAAGTTCACATGGTTCCCCGCGGCCAGTTGAAATGGGTGAGTTCTCCTGCCTCGTTGATGGGCGCAGGCGGTGCCGACAGATTCGTGCCCGTCCTCGATATCGGCTTGGGGAAATATTCATTTTCGCCCGACGCCAACGAGTGACTCGTCCTCCGCCGCAGCAGCTGCTGCGCGGGCGGAATGTCTAGGTCGTCCAGTCGATCTGGGTTCTCTGGGAAGCCGTCACTGTTGATGACCTCGCGGACTTTCATCATGTTGTGCTCGATGACGATTCCTGGCACGGGTGTGGACACGTCTTCTCGTGTCTCCCCGTTGACTTCGAATTTGGGTGACTGCTCGAAGACTTTGGCCAGATATCTCATGAGGCTTGTCAACGCCTTGCGTCGGTCGTCCTTGGTGCAGCCTTTGGTCTTTTGGAGAGTGTCCGCGAAGACCGCGGGCATGTAGTAGGGCAGCACGGCTCGCTCGTTCACGTTGCCGTCGATGTTTAGTCCCTTGATGAGGAAGTCGCGGCTTGTACTTTCGAGTTGGTTGAATGCCTCGGCAAAGAGATCTGCTTGCTCTTTGTCAACGGTTCTGCCCATGGTGAGTAGTCGCAGTAGCGCTCTATCCTCGTCTCGGGTAACGCTCAGGCGCCGAAAGCCGACATTAACCAGGAGCTTGTTTCGCTTTCTCAACACTCGGTCGTATGCTTCTCTCAAAGGCATGTCCTCGCGAATAATCTTGACCGATACATCGTGGACGGTTTGAAATGTCTCGAAGACAGGTTGGATCAGGTTCATAGCTCCATCCGAATTAACGTGGCCAAGAGCACCCGCAACATCGAGCATCTGTTCCATAAATTTCAGTTCAAAGGCGTGCTCTTGCCCTTGCATCTCCTGCAGGAATTCGAGATTGATTGGAACACTTTCGGCTTGGGCGAGCTGTCCAGCATTCAGTTCCGCGCCAAGAGCCAGACCTAACTTCAGCTCGACCATCTGACTCTCGTCTAGCAAGCTCAAGCAGTCGATGATGCCTATACTGGCCGCTTCATAGAGTATTGAATCATGGTTTTGATCGGGCAGGCTCCTCCCACCTGCCTCAAAGTGCCGCTTGACCTGTTGCTCAAGATTTGGGTCCTTACCAAGGTCATTGATTACCATGGAGATGACCAACAGCAGAACATCCTGAGTACTACCCAAGTTCTGCCGAAAATAGTCTCGAAGCCAAGCGAACGAATCTTCGGTCAGGCGCCTCGCATCTGGCTGATTCCTGGTAAAATGGTCATAATCGCCGTTATAGATCCAGCGCAAACATAAGATGCCGGTAACAGTTCGGTTAATTTCGTCATACTCGTGGTTGTACAGTATCATTGACGGACTAGGCGCCTGTGCTCGCACGTGACTGGTTGGCCGTTCCGAAGCAGCAGCGTGCTTTAGCCGTTCAAGCTCACTCGCGAAGGTGACCTGGACTTGGGAAAGAAGTGACGACTCGTCGATGTCGAAGAAGTGGCCGTTTTTGATGGTGTCGACGAGAGCGTGTGCTGTCGGCTGGGCCATGTCGTGCTTTGAATGCCCCAGCCCCATCACTATCTGGTTCCTAGCCTCGGAGGACAGATGTTTGTGGGCATGTTCAATATGCGAATTCGTTCACCAACAGAGGAGTTGGCTACTATGCTGCAAGAACAGGTCGAGCCCGCGGTGATATCGCAAGACCAACTGGGCAAGCGCGATCAGGATGATGTGGCAGTGTTGACGCCGTATCGCCGGGTGTCAAGCCTGGCTTGTAGGAATAGGCTCAAGGGCTTCAATCTAAGACAGTATGAGCTTCGTCTGTGGATGCTCGCATATTGTGCCGTATGCCGCAAGCCGTCCAGGCTGACATGAGATGCCATCGAGAGAGATCGAAGACCGAAAGGTGGGCGTAGCCGCTTGGCTCTCACCACGATGATTGGCTGACGTAGGTATGGCTTCGGTGGGGCTGACGAGGCGTTTTTCGACCGCAGCAAAGTGCTGAGCCATCAACGACTTTCCGGCTTCCTTCGTGCTATCTAGATATATTGCAGACCTGCCACACGGACACAGAGACGCCGTTGCGATTTCACAATGAACGCGCACTGTGCTGAGATTGATGCCTTGACCAGCACCATCCACGACCAAAGCAGTCACTGCGCTAGAAGCCAAGCTATACCCGGCAAGAGATGGTGTACGAAAGTGCCTGGCTCGAGAACTTTTGCCGTGGAGCCAGACCAAAGTGCTTTGCAGCATGGACTTCGGTCGCCATGAGCGCAAGCGAGAAACTTTCCCATCTACTTGCGGGGGCTGCAGTAGCTTCCAACTCCTTCCACTAGAAGCGCGCATTGATGTGGATGTATGGGCACGCTCGCTGCGGCGACCGAGAACGTGGTAGACGACAGCTTACGCTTGTACACACTACATGTGAGGCTCCATGCTTTCATGTTCAACTTGAGGAATTTCGCACCTCAAGTTCCCGTCATGCAAGATCCTGCCATGCGCTTTCCTATCTTCTGCAGCTCCTCATAGCACTTGTCTCTGTGAGATGGGAAACATCTCGGTATTACAACTGACGCTTGCATCAAGTCAATGTACGCGTCTATAATACAGAAGTTGATGATGTTGATGGGCCAGGACATGGAGCAGAAGACACCGACTTGGCATTGCAGTGACATACTGACAGATGAGCTTTCGCTTCCATGATAGGTCGACGACCCTTCATTATTGCATCGGTGAATGTACAGTACGGTAGCGTCCTCACTTGGTTTCCAGAAGCATCAGAGAGGTGACTGCGGCTCAGACGACTTGGATCTGGGCATCAGTCTTCACTACACAGCATGACGACAACGATGTCGTTACAAACATGCCAAGATCAGGTGAAGGTTGGTACTCCGGTTTGTCTTCCTCCTTTATACCTACATGACCTCAGTACACGCACGAAGTAGAGATTGGCACCACACCGTCGACATCTTCAGCCTCTGCCCATGGATTGGCACAGCAACCCTTCTGCTCACCTTGCAGCCCTGCTGGCATCGATTCCACCTCAGAATCAGCCCGTGCAGCCTGCCTACAGTCCTTGTGTCCAGTCAATGATCCCGATCAATTACCCTCTATCCAATGTCCGGGGACTGCCATCGCATGGCGATGACTACTCTTTCACTAACCCAGGCTACAACATGAACATCGTTGTACCTTATGGTCAGCACTCTGATCTCATGCAACTGCCATCCGCGACGACTCCTGCGCGGCGGCCTCAGCAGGGTGCCCACGCTCCTTCTCCCGCTCCAGAGCGCTTGCATACTCCCGTGGTAACCCCCAAGGAAGACTCACCTAGACCCGCCGTTCGCCGGTCTCGCACCAAGCGCAAAGCGACTCCCATTCTTGTTTTTGACGATCCCAATGACGAGGACTACGAAGAAAGCCCCAAGAAGAAACCGCGCAAGACGTACATCTACGACAGCGAGGGCGCGATAGATGCTGAAATCGGATCAAGCTCGTCGGAAGACGTCAAGCTGGCTCCGGAGCGGAAGCACCAAAGGAAGCTGAAGTACACGAAGTAAAGTTAATGAACACGGCAGCAAAAGCAGAGGCTGATATTTCCGCAGGGTCTCCCGCAAGTCTCCATCCAATACTCCTGCTCCCAGAAAGTGTGGCACATCCGACGCGAGACGCAAGTCCGAGCAGGCAAGCAATCTCCTCAAGCGCAAGGGCAAAGGCCGTCCCATTCCAAAACACGTCGAGGACTGCGACGAAGCGGACCTTATGATGTGGCAGTGGAAGCAGAATGGAAGATCTTGGAAAGAGATTCGTGCCGAGCACATCCGCATCGTTGGCGTGGAGCCTGGGAGAAGCAGCTTGTCTGTCCGTTTGGCCAAGATGGAGGACAATTTCATTGACAACGGCTGTGCAAACGTGAGTGCTTCTTCTTCACCTGCACAGGAGCCCTTTCACTCACCCAATGCTTTTCCTTACTCTTTGGCTGCAGGATGCTGACAGTACCTCAGGATCTCATGCTCCTCAAATACAAGGAACAAGTCGAGAACGAGCTCGAAGTGCTCAAGTGGCAGAAGATCTCAGCTAAGATGAAGAAGGAGGCGGCCGTCGACATGAGTGCTGAAGCCATCCGCAAGCGCTACCAGCTGCTCAAGGAAAGTGGCTGGAGGGTCGGCTCCAAGTTGCTCGACAAAGACGGGCATAAAGCCGAGGCAGAGGATGAGAGCAAGCATTCACTGGCCGACTCTAACGAACATCCTCGTGGAATCGGCCCCGATGGCGAGGGTGTGTCGGTGGATGAAAAGCCGCACCGCACAAGCCTGGTCGACTACAGCAGTGACGAAGACAATGGCTACGGTGGTTGAATTGACATTTAGCAATGGACCTGTCATACTGACTATGGCACACTTCACACGTTGACAAGAGTGGCACCCACAATGTCAAGACCAAGTAGCTCATATTGCTGCGAGAACGGGAAGCGTCCAAGGACCATGGCCGACTATGAGCTTTGGTAGCAGCCAAGGCATCAGGCAACTAGACACAACCACTACGATTGCAATCAAACGTTCTCTCCTCCTCACAGTTTTGAGCATATCAGTCTTCTCGGTCAGGTTCTTCGATGCCAAGCACGAGTCACACTTCGCAATCAAGGCGTAGTCGGTACGCGTGGTTGAACGCGTTGTGTTCAGCTGTCAGAGTCCATGAAAAAGAAAGCAACGCAATCTTCCATACGCAAGTATACCGTAACTTTTCGAGATTTGAGCAAGACGAGTGTTGGACACGCGTCGATGTGATTTTGCCTCCCCCTCAGCGAGACTGGGGGTTTCTCCAACAGCGGGAGCTCCAAGTCACCGCACTACACTCGTTCTTGGTCCTCCGATCGGTGGTCTGCCTCTTCCCCAGGATTCACACCACCGAGACCGCAGCGACCTCGGGGCTCTGTAGCTTCAATCTAGTTCTACATCACCACCTGGCAGCTCGAAGCCCGGCTATGGTGGCCTTCCACCGCCCGCAACCATGAAACCAGCACGCCTCCTCCGCCACCAGGCACTACTACCTCGGCCCCACCCTCCTCGACCACGCACCTTCAGCACCACGCGCGCCGCCCTCGCCGACCATGTAAGAATAGTGGAAGTCGGTCCTCGCGACGGGCTGCAGAACGAGAAGACATCGATCCCGCTGCCCACCAAGCTCGACCTCATCTCACGCCTGGTGCAGACGGGCGTTACGCACATCGAAGCCGGCAGCTTCGTGCCCGCGAAATGGGTGCCGCAGATGGCGTCTACATCAGAGATCCTGGAAAGCATCCTGGCACAGCCGCCACCGGCGCCGAAGGCCGTGCACTATAACTACTTGGTCCCCAATGTGCGGGGTCTGGAGAACATGATTAAGGTGCTGCAGTCGAAGGGCAAAGGGTCGGGAGGTGCTGCGGACGCGTACCCGACGCCGCCACCGAGTCCACACCCGGAGCAGGAGAGCGGTCAGGGCCCCATTACATCGACGGAGGATCCGAACGCGATGAGTTCGGAGCCGCCGGTGCAGGCGTCGCAGGCGAATACGAGTGAGATCTCGCTGTTCGCGGCGGCGACGGAGACGTTCAGTCAGAAGAATACGAACTGCGGAATTGCGGAGAGTATGGAGCGGTGCAAGCCTATCATGGAGCTGGCGCGCCAGCACGGGATACGGGTGCGCGGATATGTGAGTGTTGCGCTGGGGTGTCCGTACGAGGGCCCAGACACCGATCCGCACAAGGTGGCCGAGCTGACGGCGACGTTGTTGGAGATGGGCTGTGACGAGGTCAGTGTGGCGGATACGACGGGCATGGGTACGGCGCCGAAGACGAGGAAGTTATTGCAGACGCTTAAAGAGGCGGGTATCCTCAATGAAGATCTGGCGCTGCACTTTCACGACACCTACGGTCAGGCATTGGTGAATACGGTGGTCGGCCTGGAGCACGGGGTGCGGATATTTGATAGTAGTGTTGGGGGTCTGGGAGGATGTCCTTACAGGTGAGTTCATGGTATCGGCTTGGCTTGGCGGATGAATACTCACTACCTCACAGCAAGGGAGCCACCGGCAACGTGGCCACAGAGGATTTGCTGCACCTATTGCACAGTCTAGGCTGTGAGACTGGTATCGATATTGTCAAGATGGCGGAGATTGGCCGTTGGATTACCGGAGAAATCGGCAAGCCCAACGACAGCAGGGCCGGTAAAGCCACTCTAGCCAGACTGGATATGTAGAGGGCGTAAACCTGTTCTGCGAATATGGTCACCACGAGGGAAACATCAACACTGTCCGAGACATCAAATGGCCTGTACAACTTGTACTCTCCTGTTTGCAACCGTATGTCCAAGCACTGAACGCCAATCAATTGTGACAGCCTGAGACGAAAGGCCACCCATGATCGAAACTTGTGCAAGCACGGAGTATGTTATCCTGAGAAGCAATTAACGTCATCGCTATTTTGTTTCCCCATTTTAGTGTAGCCTGTACGTATATTGGAATCCTACTAGTAAGCGACCCAACGATGTCAAAGTCCAGCCGCGGCAATTGAGGTCCCGCGGTCTGCAACCCACAGCGGGCTTCTGCAGGACCAAGAACTAGACTTCGGAAGCCAGTCTGCCATACCGTAGTCCCAGATCAATAACGGCCTGGAAGCGTCTCATGAGTTGTCGACGCCATCGTATCAGTCGTATGCAGGTACCGGGGTAAAACCTCCGACACAGCCAAGCGTTGTTGGCCTGGACAAAGCTGGCAGAAGCCTCGCTCGTTTGGAGGGTTGCCCGGTTGCACCGGGCCGAATGTGGAGGGATGAGCATCATCAGCGATCAGCCTCAACTGCAGCCAGTCCTAAATTTAATTGCCAAGGCGTTTGATCTGCACCCGCAGACCCAGCCACGATCATCAGGGGGGACGCAGCTCAGATCGGCTCAGTGTTATGACATTTGCCATTGCGGATCTCTCGCGAGCAGAGATGAGTGGCCACGGGCCTGAACTGATTCCTTGCGCTCAGCCTCTCCTTGCTGGCCTTCAGGGCTTAGCAGGTACGGCCGCGTCTGCGGGACTGGTGGGTAGCCGCGCTGTGCAGCTGCATTCGTCACTGCTGCCCACGACGAACAAGACTTGTCTCTCCGCTGCCTACGTAATTGCGCCAAGGCGCCCCTTCGCTTCGCCTCAGGAACCTTGCCCGCTTGGATCCGCGGTGCTTTCTGTTTCTCGATACGGATAGTTCCTCAAGGTCGTCGAGTGATATAATGGTCCCGGTCCTCAGCTCAGTCGCCGTTATCTGTTCTCTCACACCACCAGTACCACTCCAACACTGTGACAACATTACACTTTCCCTTTCCACTGTATAATCAAACCTTCTTTCGACTACTACGTCCTCACACAATAGCCAATCGTTCAAGCACAATCACAACCACCTTTTCAAAATGAAGTACGCATTCGTTGCCGCCGGCCTCGCCGCTCTAGCCTACGCTCAGGTTGACGATGTCCTCTCCGAGATCACCTCTGCCGTCGGCGGCGTTCCCAGTGACGTCGCCAGCGTCGCCACCGAGATTGCCTCGGGTGCCGGCAGCGTCGCAACCGAAATCGCCTCTGGCGCGGCCTCAGTCGTGACTGATGCCAGCGGCGTCGTCTCCACCATCACCGACGGTGCCGCCTCGATCGCCACTGAGGGCGCCAGCGCCGTCGAATCCGCCGCCAGCTCTGCCGTCTCTGGTGCTTCTTCTGCCGCCACCGCGGGAACCGGTGCCGTTGGCTCTGTCACCTCAAGCCTCGCCTCGGACTTCAGCTCTATCACTAGCTCGGTGTCATCGCGTGCCAGTGCCGCTACGGCGGACGGTACCTCGACCGACTCTGATGACGGTGCGGCCATGATCACCGGCATGCCTGCTATGCTTGTCGCGGCTGGTCTTGGCGCCGCTGCTCTGCTCTAAGCGAATATTATTCGCTACCCTTTTAGGAATGCCATTGACCTCCGCACCTTTTTGCGTTGCATGCGGCTGGAGAGGAACATATGGCAGGCTGTAATGATATGAAAGCATAAAGGCGCACGCGCAGTCTCGGAGAAGCATTTTGGCCGGCAAGGGGTCTGGTATATATGCATGTGCCTATGGACGGCATCGAACACAATTCACAGCATAAGGTGCTTGCACCTTTCTGTATTAGGAATAAAACAACGATTTTCTTACCTCGTCAAGACTGTTTCACTTCGTTGCCACAGGGCATGTAATCGCACTCTCTGTGCGATACTCTGTACCATTCCGCATGTAAGGGACCGCACTCAGTCGCCACTTCATCCCGCACACCAGATACTCTGTACATACACACAAAACCTAGCCTCACTCCCCGACCGACCACCAATTTTCCTGTTCCTCATCCTCCTCCCCATCCCGACACAAAACCCCCACACCTCACACCACACACACCACAAAGATCCCCGAAACACCACCACCAACAGCACCGGCACCCCCCAAGCCGACCACCCGCCCCCACCCCCCCGACTTCCGACAACTCCCCTCCGTTCGGTTCGGAACCTCGCGCCAAAAAGCGGCGGCCTCTTCCCGACTCGCGCGCACCGTACCTCTCTTACAGCCTCAAAGAAGCAACCCGCCTTCCTGATGCGGAAGCCGACGGTGCCGAAACCCAGGGCAGGGCAGTACGGAGTTACCTGGTCAGTGATGTTCGATACGATGGAGTGACATGACATAACATGACATGGCGTGGCATGACCAGCTCATCGTTCCCACGCGTTGGGGCTGGAAGGGGCCGGACCCGAGGGGTTTGGACACGTGGCGCGGTCTTGAGCTGGCTATGGATGGATGGAGGGATGACCGGGGTTTACTGGTACATACAGGTGAATACTCGATACTGGTGACTGGTAAACGTAGCATGGGAACAGAATATCCGTATACTGTGTAGGGATCGGGTTATAGCCGAGCCGATACTCCGTACTCGTAGCCGCGCTACCGTGTTGCGTTTGGCGGTTGGCGAATTGGTGCTGCCGAACCGGCCGGGCCTTAGGTGAAGAGTCACGACGATGCAAGCAGCGCACAGCGCACAGCGACGGTGACAGCGACAGTGAGCAGCGAGCAGCCAAGCGGTACTGCCTCACCGATATCTACCGTAATCTATCTACGCCCTTTGTTGTGCTGTATTGCTCGATACCCGTGACTGGACACTACTATGTAGTGAACAGAACGCCAGGTTACAGTAGATATCCGTAGTTACCGAGCCTCCCGACCGCGGCCCGCAAAGATGCCGAAACGGCGCCCATCGAAACCCTTCTCACACTTCTCAGAAGGGCAGGTAACTTACCACTCTTATAAGAAAGGAAAAAAAAGGAAGCCGGAAAAAGGGCTGCGGTCGGCTCCCTCCCCAAGCGGAAAGGCGACTGGACGCAGACACGGAAGCGGCTTTTCATCATACTCTCTTTTCTGCTGTTTCCGAACCGGTTCGTGTATTCCATACGGTACTGCATAATCAAGTAAAAAGGTGTTTTTCGGAAAACGGCCCAGCCGCCCCAGCTCGGGAATTCTGTCGAAGTTGTGCTGGGGGGTTTTCGGTTCCAGGGGGCTGCTGAGCCGAAGTTGGACGATGGAAGTTGAGAATTTGGACAGAATCGGGAAGGTGAGTTGCTTGTTTCGGGGAGGGACGTTAGGCGGACCGGCCGGCTGGGGGGGAGTTCGGCTCGGGAACTGCGGTGGAGGGCGGCCAGGGGAGTTTCGGACTGGGTGGTGGTAGCGGGAAGGGATCTCGGATTTCTTTTGCATTGCTCGTTCATTTTGTTAGACTGTGAGGTTGCTGAGCGTTCTTTCCTGGACTTTGCTGTTTTTGAGGATGAGGTTGATTACCACTGTTGCCGGTACCTGAGTGCATTTAAGCTACGCGTGCCTCGAACGTGCATGTTTAGACATCCGCCGCAGCCGGCTGGAACTGTTGGGGGTGAAGTACGGATATCATTCACCGATGCCGTCCGGAACACCTCACGGTATGCGAAAACGCTTCACGTCTATTTCGGTGGACTCGCTCCGCACGATAGGTAAGGTCATGAGCTGCTGTCCTGTCCGTAGGATGTGCAGCGGCTGTGCCAATAGCCTGGACCACCCAAGAGATATGGGACTTTGACAATCTGAAAGCCCGACTTTAGTCTATAGTTGCTTCCAAGAAGCTGCGATGGCTATCTCGGCCGTTTTCGACAGTTTCCTCCATAGGGAGGCTCTGTTCTCCTAAAGAGCTGTCGCCCCCCCGAACTTCCCCCCGGACATTCTCTTTGCTCCGCATGGCGCTGGCCCGTATTTCTTAAGGAAGGCTCGTCGCTTGTGGCTTTGCCATGGTACAAGTAAACACCATGGCCATTCCTAGTCCCCTCAGCGTCGGTGACAACTTGGTCCCTCCTCTCCCAGTTCTTTGGATCCCTCCTATAGGCCACGCCTGGTAGTCGCTTGGCAGGATAGACTGCACTCGACTCCTGTGTTCCGCCATTCGAAAGGCGCTGTCACAGCCCGATGGGGGTAAGGCAAACTTCACCATGCGCGGGTAGCCATAGATCGATGCGTGGCATATCTTTTGCGTAGCAGCATGCTGCCTTATGCCTCGCATATTTCATGGTTGGCACCCCAGCTTCTGGGCTTTGCTGCGTAGGCTGCTGATCGAGGTTGCAGGGGAAAGTAGCTTCGCTACTTTCAGCCGAAAGAACAGTCCCTCAGGCCGCTGCGCTCACCTGTGCAGCTAGCTTTTTTGTTGTCCTGCCGAGTCCATTATTGGCGTAGAAGTCCACAGGATACGTGCCGTCTCCTTGCTCCCAGCTTTGCTGGCTACCCAACACCACAAGCGCCTCATACGGTGTCAACAATGGCCGAGAAAAAGCATATCCCCAATCGATGCTGAGCCGCGGACAAGCAACCTGGACCCAGCATTCAACATCGTCGAACAAAGCCAGCTTCCCAGGAAAGATTTCGCTCAGCAGCAAATTTACGGAAGGGATGCCCTGCCGTTGCAGCTGATTCTCAATCATGGTCAGAGTGTGCGGATTGCCTTGCCGACCGAGCGCGCCCAGAATCAATCCCCACTTCTTCGCTTTCTTGGCTGTAGCAATTGCAGATGAACGCATATCGAGCATCTCGTCATGCGAGTAGGTCTCGCGGGTCAGCTTGCGTGAGTATGGATCATAGCGGTAGGCAGGAATGTCAGGATTGGCGATCATGGCAGCTTCCAGATGGAAGCGTCCGTCACCCAGATAGATGATCAGGTCCACCTCTGCATCTGGAGAAAGCTTAGGAGCAGTGCAACCTAGAATCTCGCCTTTGCTCAGTGGTGCTATTTGAGGCACAACCACTTTGAGGCCCTCGGCTTCAAGAGCAGGGCCGACATTGTGGAGAGTCGAATTAAATTGGATGGTACCCACCATAGCAATGGTCTTACCTGGAGAGATGTTGCGAGCTAGCGTTTTCACCAGATGATTGGTATCGATTGTGATGTCCACAAAGATGTAAAGCGTGGCGATCTTGGAAGCGGACACCGGAATGAGGCAACTGTGGGCATAATGGACCAGGAGATCGCAGCCCAGTGCACTCGCAGTATAATCATCTATACAGCAGGCGCCGTACGTCACATCGCCCATGATCAAGGTCTCGGTTCCCGGACAGAACTGAGTCAAGATATCGGATATGGTGGTGGCAAACATGAGCAAACCTTCCGGCATTTGCAACGCGACTCTTTTGGCCTGCAGACTGCGAATGCGGTGGATTGTTTTGTGTATCTCGAAGGCATAATTTGGAGGCAGCAAGGCAATGGCGGCATTAATGTCAGGATCCTCGAGAATCTCTGCCGGGATCTGGTTCAGAACACGAGGACGTCGCTTTGCTGCAGATAAAGTCAGTGCTTGTCGCCGAAGATGATGCGCGACTTACTGCTCTGGACAATCGCCGTCGTCTCTTCGACACTGCCATTAGCATCTTGTTTGGATTTCGTTTGCGCCTCAAGGGTGCGTCGCCCAACGAATCTCTTCTTGGGTGCACGATGTACAGAAGGTTGCTCTGTCTCCTCTGCGCCCGATGGGAAGGCTCCCGGAACAGCGTAGTCGTCCATCTGAGCGACACAAGGCACCTCGGGCCCGTAGCACTCCGACGATACGACGCAAAGAACGACTGAGATAGGTGATCGAAGAATATCTGCAGATCGAAAAGCGTGCGGGACGTTGGCTCGGAGCCGGATGAATCTTCTCCGCCAATCATGACCTCACCTTGAACTCTGTTTGCACCGTCAACAGCGACACATGTATTCGAGAGCCTGGGATGGGCTGGTTGAGTGCACGTGCAAATCGAGGTTGTGTATATACATACAGAGTAGACCTCAATAGACTCAATTCACGCTCACCCATATCCTGTGCAAAAGCCATCCACGCACGCCAACAACGATGCCCATTCTAAACACTTTACTCGCTGCAACCAACTTCCGCAACCCTTTCCTTCGCACCCTTGTTCCCAGTATTGGTCTGGCATATGGACTACAAGCAGCAGTCGCAATCCCATCAATCATTCTCCAGTCCGAGCGCTTCTATGATCTTTCCGGCTCCCTGACATACCTTTCATGCACGGCCCTAAGCTTGTACCTTCCAGCCTTGCGGGCCCGATCTGCTGCTGCACTTGCTGGCAAGGCAGCCCCAGCGTGGCCTAGTCTGGCAGACGCTCTACGCGGCACTGGAGGCCCACATGGATTCAATTGGAGACAGGTCGTGCTCAGCGCTGCGGTCAGTGTATGGGCTTCCAGACGTAAGTTTTCCAGTGGTGGTCTTGCCACCTATTGCTAACCCTCAAAGTTGGTTCGTACCTCTTCCAGCGCATCTTGCAAGATGGAGAGGATTCTCGCTTCAAGAACATCCGGAACTCACCACCAAAGTTTGCGGTTGCCTTTCTCGCCCAGGCCACATGGGTCTCACTATGTCTATTGCCTGTAATGGCCATCAATTCCCTGCCTGCTGGGACCTTCGCTTCACTCGGTGGTGCCGTGGCTGTCACTGACGTTATTGGAATTCTGCTCTATATCGGAGGCTTGTCCTTTGAAGTGACTGCTGATCGCCAAAAGAGCACCTGGGTCGAGGAGAAGAAGGCGAAGAAGCACGACGAGGACTTCCTAACCCGTGGTCTTTGGAGCAAGAGTCGTCATCCAAACTATTTCGGGGAGAGCACTCTCTGGACTGGCATCGCCACTCTATCGGCCGGAGTTTTGTCTTCGAATGCTGGTATTGCTGGAATGGCGTTGGCTGGTGGACTCACCGGTAAGATCATCGCGCTACTCAGTGCGGGCGTCAGCCCAGCATTTGTAACTTTCCTACTCCTCAAGGTCTCTGGTGTGCCTCTGAGTGAGAGCAAGTACGACAAGAGGTACGGCGACCGAGCCGACTACAAGAAGTGGAAGGAGACAACGCCCAAGTTCATCCCCAAGATCTTCGGCTAAGGGCACGTCATCCGGTAAACAAGATCACGGAGAATGAGAAGTGCGGCAGGAAACTTCGTGACAGGCACCCTTGCTTGATAAACAATGGTGTCGTACAACCAGCGCACCTTTTCAGACTTGCGGTTGAACTCCAGCCTTGTCTTGTCCTAACTTATACACCGTGTTGTTGCAATCCTTTCCTTGTTAGCTTCCTCCGCGCTCGCACCCACTCAGAAGCCTTCACCGGTTTGTCTATCCGGGTTACTTCCACTTACTCCCACCGTTCAGCTGATCCCCCTCCTCATGCAATTCAATCAATATGAATGCCTCTGTTACGAACGCCTCCTTCACGCGGTTAAGCCGTCTCTGCAGTTTCGCTGAATTCCCCACGTATGCTTCACGCTCACTTATCAACTCGTCCATTGACGCACTCAGCTCTGCAAACGCAGTCCGCTCTGCCTTTGCTGTCACTGGATGGCCCTCCCTGGTCACCTTGACCTGCTCGTATACCTGCATACACGCATATCCATATGGCAACTGCTCCTCATCCGGTGCAATACACCTGGCCCAGGCTCCATTCAATGTCCCGTGCGCAGTCATCATGCAGAATGTGCTGGCCACGCCTAGATCTTGCCACACACCCTTGTCAAATTTAAAGAACCAATCATTGAAGCTCTCATGCTGGATTCTCAGACCATCGAACAGCCTTGGATATCTGTTATCCACATGCTCTGGAGCTGAGAGCTCCTGCCGATCCAAGTACCACTCTTGCACACCAATATTCATTTTCTTCATCAGTAGGGCCACTTCCCTCTCAGTTGCGTCTGCCTGCAGGTCCTCCAGCACCTCTTCGTAAATGCGCACATTGGACGCTCTATGCAGCCGCGCATCATCCCACTCCCCAATTGCCAACATGGCCATACCTAGGAGTCTACTCATGACCATGGCGGGCACGACCTTCTGGCCACTGTTGATCCAAGCCTTGACCGCACTATTGCACCACCGCAGGACCGGCCCAAGACTGCACGAATCTCCGTTGAAGACGCGATAAGCATACCATGTACTGACCATGCAATGCTGCAGTGCCAGGTCATTGTTGCGAAGCGCAATCTGCGGTATCAGAGCTGTCCAAAAGTACGGGAACGGTGCCGTGCAGGCAATACTGGGAGCGACCGTCGTGGTGAAGTTGTGGATGTAAAGCTCATATGACGAGCCGGACCAGGGCGAGTCTGACAGCGCAGGCCGAAGAGCAAAGGGAGTAGATGCGAGCACCTTTCTGAAGAAGTCCTGGTCGTCGCGCAGTGCTGCATCTGCACCAGATGAGGTTGGTAGTGCTTTCTCTGGCTTGCACTCGCCAAAATGCCATGTCTTCGGCGGGTTGTAACGACATTCGACCCGAGCACGACTACAGCGTGCGCAGACGGGCTTTTGCTCGTCGCATTTGACGCGTTTGCGTTTGCAAGAGTCGCTGTTGAATCGAAAGAGAGGATATTAGTCTCTGTGTGCAGATGAAACCACTGCTTAGTAGATGGCTGGCGACTTACCAACCGGAACGCTTTTTCGGTGCCCAGGCACGTAGGCGGGGCTTTCCAGGGTGGCGAGGGATGGCGGTTGTTCGGGCTGAAGGTGGTCGTGGATGATGTGTGTCGACACGTTGCCGTGGGCCGGCGGGCGCTATATCTATATGGCCAGGCATGCGGCGAGACCTTCAAGCAGACCGGAACGAGCCTCAAAGCTGTCCTTCTTCCAAGGCCGGCCTACAAGATCAAGTCAGTGACAGAGCAGAAATCAACACATCTGCATATCAGATTTCGTAAAGCGCCGCAAGCCCAAATCACTTCTGAACACAAGTCGCGAGCTTCTCCCATCCGGTGTACGAGGTCCTGCTGACATGAATGACATGGCCAGGCCCCCACCCCGATCTCGAGAGCACGGTAGGCCTCGCTTGATCCCTAAGCGAGCCAGCGAGCTTGCAGCCAGGCGGCAGAAGTACAGCGCTCACTGCCTGCTCTCGACCACTAACACAAAGTAAAGTGCCAGTTGGGACCATTGGCAGCACAGGGGAAAAGCGAAGTGCAGCTCGCCACTGGCGAATGGGGACTGAGCTTCCCAAACCCAGTGTTGTGTATCTGAATGAGTGCTGCGCTGTGACAGGGTTGGCTGGACAGCTACGGTGGGATGCGAGGTCTTCAGGCCCCTTTTGGTTGGACATAAAGGTGTCTTTTGGGGCCACTGGTAGTGTAGTGGATGTGTAGTACGGTGGAGGCATTTACATTGTATTCAAGGCTGGGAGAGGCACTGTCGATAGTAGGCAGTCTAAAAGCTCAAGCTCGTAGTGCGAAGGTAGTAATCACTGATTGAAGAGATGGATGTCACGGCAAGAACATACTGGGGCGTTTGGCTGTGATAGATCAAGGTGATCAGTCGCAATGAGGTCTGATTTCAGATCAAGCTATTGAATTGATTAGACGCCAAAAACTCTTTGGGACCTACTCAACGCTCAAATCGCCGGAGCTGCCCCCATACTGTACACTTGAGTCACCGGCTATTCGCCAGCACTACCAATTGGTCGACTGATGTGACTGACGCGAAAATCTTTCCAGATTCTTTTGATTGCGGCAGGCGAACTTGATCCTTGTTGGTACTTGCCAATCCTTTATGGGTTAGCCTTGACAAAGTCAACACCCTTCTGAATGTTCTTCTTCAGGTCGCCCAAGCAGGCCTGCAGAAGCTGCTCCTCATGAGGGGTGAGCTTGCCAACAGGGTTGATCTTCTCGACACCGTTGGGGCCGAGCTCGACCTGAGAAGCGAAGAAGTCAACGCCCTGGTCCTTGTACAGAGGAGAATCGACGAAAGTAGGCTCAGTGACACCCTTCTCACCCTGAGCGGCACGGAGAAGAGACTCGGCGAAGCGGGCACCAGCCATGGCCATAGAGAGGGTGGCTGAGCCAGCGCCGTCCTTGGCCTTGACGACCTCGTCACCACCGAACTGGATGCGGTTGACCAGGTTGTCGAGCTTCTCGCCGGTTATGTCGGTGTGGCCGGACTGGGAGATCAAGGGCACGATGGTGACACCGGAGTGACCACCAACCACGGTGATATTCTCATTGGCGGGGTCGGTCTGCTTGATCTCAGACACGAAGCGGGAGGCACGGACGACATCGAGAGTGGTGACACCGAAGAGGCGCTTGGGGTTATAGGTTCCCTTGCTCTTGAAGATCTCGGCGCAGATGGGGACCGTCGAGTTGACCTGGCGCTTGTTAGACCACCTGGTAGATGTAAAAGGCGCAAACGACTTACGGGGTTCGAAATGACCAGCACGTTCGCATCGGGAGAGGCGTCTGCGACGGCCTTGGCGAGGTCACGGACGATGCTAGCATTGGTGTTGAAGAGATCTAGAGTGGATAAGCATTTTTCTGGAAGCTCGGGCATTGAACGAACCGTCTCGGGTCATGCCAGGCTTGCGGGGGACACCGGCCGGGATGAGGACAATCTCCGCACCCTGCAGACACTCGCGGAGGCCGGACGGGGTTGGATCGTATCCCTTGACGGTAGACTTGGTGTTGATGTGGCTGATGTCGGCGGCAACACCTGTACTTTGTAAGACTATTGATCTTGCGCTAGCGTTGCTTCACCGACCTGGTCCTAGACGGATGTCGTATAGCGCGAGCTGAGAAACACGGGGGTTGAGCTTCATCAAGAGCGACAGAGGCTGGCCGATGCCACCTGCAGCACCAAGGACAGCGACCTTGGAGTTCTGGAACAAAGGTCAGCACGCATTCACAGGACTGCACTTCTTGGGGCTCAGTGCGGAGCTACAGGTTACTTACAGTCCTAGCAGACGCCGAGAAAGCTCGACGCTGCACTTGGCCAAACATCTGGCGAGCGAAAGACATCTTGTCTACCACAGAGATTCGAGAAGAAGTAGAAGAGGCGAGATGAATGAATGGTGTGAATGATGAGAATGAGTGGTAGAAGTTTGAATAGCTCTCCGATCTCGAGACTCTCTCCAGTTCCTCCAAGAAAGTCCGACCTAAGCTGCGGCCGCACGGACCAGGCAATGTGGCCCTGAATCGGCTGCAAGTTTTGCCGTGCCGTGCCGTGCCGAAGATGTGAAGCTCTGAACTTCCTGAGGCGTGATCGAGCTCGCTTCTTGTTCCAAGAGCGATGCTTGCGCTAACTTGTTGATATTGTCTTCAATTGTACTCAGCTGTCACGTTAATGTCCGTCCAATATACTGGATTGACACCACTTCGAGGTCTGGACGAGCTCTTGAGGGACCATAACTTGAGAGCCGGAGTCGTGGGACGTAGCCTCGGTGGAAGGGAAGTCTCCATCAGGAACAACCACGGAACCTGCAAAGTAATCGATATTCTAAGAGGAGTTTCTCAAGGCTCAGTGCATACTATGTGACACGCCGGACATTTGCAGTGGAAGCTTATACTGGGCACGACGTTTCCGCACGGCTCTATAGGTTTACAACTCTTCTGGGTAAGTACTCCCCTATTCACGCACTTTCCTGTTCGTCTCCATCTGGTAAAACTGGCTGCCGCTGTCTTTTGGTGGTTGATTTGTAGTCCTGCAAGCTCTTGGTCAGTTCGCCCTTGAAATCCCATTGCCAAACGTCTGGAAACACTAGTTCCCCCGATTGCTTCTTCATGTCGACACGGATGCTATCGTTTGCGCGGATGGCATGAACTTCGGGCCTTTCTTTGCCACGGACTTGGTCGTCCGCCTTTCGTACCCAATCCTTCCAGGCGTCGTTCATGGGAGCAATTGATGTGGACTCATTCAGCCACTGTGAAGTTCCTGTAAGGAAGATGGCAGCCCACAACGCAGTCGTCATGTTTCGATATTCCTCGAGGTAATCGTCCTCCGACTCTTTCAGACGTGCCGGATGTGGCGTGCTGACCTGCTGCCAGCACTTAGTCAAGAACAGCAACCAGGGTAGTGTCTTCTTCTCCTTTTCCCCTTTGAGCTTCTGCAAAGTGGGTATTCTACCGGGCCGGATCTTGAAAGCCTTCTTTTCGACCAGATATTGATGGCGCCAATGATGTTGTGGCTTCAAAGAAGAGACGGCCCAGTAAAGACCGTTGATGATCACATATGCCAACGCAAATGCAACTTGGGTGCGAGGTTGTGCATTGGCAAGACAAATCACCCCAGCCATCAGCAAGAGTGTTGCAAAGAAGGCAACAGCGCGGTATCGGAAGTCTCCAAGGTAATAATCGCATGATTCGTGCTCAAAGTAAAGTCGGGCTATCTTCTCCGTTGTCGAGACGACCCGGATGGCCCCATTCGGGTAGTAGAGGACAATGTCCGATGTTGGCAGAGCGTTCTCGCGAGCTTTGTCTTTCTCAGGCTCGGGTTCTTGGAATGACCTCCCCAAGGACCAGTGTGTTCCAAAGCTGATCAAGGCGCTGATGGAGGACAAAGTGACAAGAGCCAGCAAGCCAAAGCCGTCGTCTTCCGAGATGACCCATCCTAGTAAAGCGATGCTCATGAAGAAGCTGAGGACCATGACAAATTTGAGTGGCCCATGTTGGTGGAAGTGAAAGGATCGGACCCCCTTGGGCCCAACACGCTCGACCTTGATGAACTCAACGCGATAAGGGAGCGGGCTATCGCCATGCAGGAGGTATGCGAAGAAATTGATTTGCTTTCGAACATTTCCGCTGTAAGCGCCGGCGACAATGCCCGGAAAGACTGGCAGCCGTTCTGGTCGTTCGTGGAATAGAAGTGCTTGCGGAGCTGGGAGCAGTCTTGGAAGACAAGACCACCAGGAGATACTGCTCGCCTGGGCTGTTCGAGTGACTGAGCCCTCACCCAGCACAGCTAACAGCGACACGAGATCGAGGCGCAACTGCTGAAAGTGCTCGATATGCCACTTCATTGCGGACAGTGGTGGTGTGAATGCCTGATCGGTAGGCACACTGAAACAGCAATCACCCGGCAAATAACAATAAAGTATACAAATGGCTCAGGCCAGGCTTCAAAAGGAACGCGAACATCTTCAGTTCATCAGGCTGGACAGCTGGTCCGGTATATACTCACCAAATTCGACCGTGGAAGCTCTTGCAGCTGCGTTGGAGCCGCCTAAGAAACATGCAGGGATAAGAGTGTGGTTCCCAGAAGAGGCCAATCAAAATGGTGCCCTGCGGCGCCCCCGGCGGAAGATCGCTCAATCTGGGCCAAATGGCGGGTCGAGGCACGGCTCGAGCCCACGTTGGGGCGGACTCGGGGGGCCTCAACTTTCAAATGTTCTTCACCAGTCTCAGACGCGAAGCCGGTCGGGGCCAGGCAGAGTGTCAGAGCCTGGAGAGGCTCGAGAGAGCCTGAACGGCGGCAACGGGTGGTCTGGTCGTTGCTCATGGCAAGCGACGAATCCTTAATACTGTGTTGTTGCTTCCGGTACCTGCTGAAGCCCGGACCATATAGACGACCTCCATGCTGTGCACCACTTGCCTCGCTGAGGAAGGCAATAAGATGGCATAGCTACTCAGGAAAATGAATGCCAAGTGTAATCGAGAACGGCGCACTCCGAGAAATGATGATATTTCTCATTCTGGTTGGGTAGAATCTAAAAGGGCGCCATACACACCGGTCGAGCATGAACATGAAATGACGTCTGACTCTCTGCCGTGTTCTTCCTGTGTCGGCGACATCGACCTGAGTCTCGTTCATCCTGCATCAGGGGCCATACCGGTCTGAACGACTTAGCTGCACGCCTTCTCGGATTGCCGCTGTGATGACATGTGTCCTGGAAATGTTTCGTGATGGCCGAGTTTGAGCCCCAAAGGGCCGGAAGTGAGAAGATTGCGGCGATCAAGAGCCGCATCCGCACTCTAGGCCGCCTGCCCTTTATCAACAAATCCGGGGTAGGGCTGGCGCTTGTCATTGCTATCATCGTCCAGAATTACTGACCTTCGATTCAGGACCTCCCTACCAGCCCCTCCGAGTCTCGGCTTTGCGAAAGTTGCATCTCACTCGATCTCAAGGTCGAGTCTTTCGTCGTGCAACAGGGAGACAAGGAGCATGAACGTGCCAACAGATGGAAATATCTCGGCCGCCTTTCCCAGATCCAAGAGCGGACGCACTGCCCCTGCTGCAGACTGATTCTCCATATCGCGGACCGTCCGCCCGACCAACGCAACCCAAGTCATATCACAGATGACGATCCAGTCGTCTACGGAAGATGGATCGTTGATGGACAAGAAGAGGTGCAAGATCCGGCAAAGCCCGGCCTGAACAGATACCAACCTGCTACGAGACGCATTCTCATATACAGCCAGCCTCAGACTTTCAAAGATGGATACCTGGTCCTCCTTGCCGACGACGCTCCAACTCCCGCCTACTTCGGCCGCAAACTTGCTGCTCAGGATCTGCTAGATGCACGCATGCTTAAGCAGTGGATACGAGACTGCGAGAATCTCCATGGCCCTGACTGTGAGGAGTCTCTTGTACATCGCGAGATCATGGGCCCACGAACCGATGTTTTTCGAGCCATCGATGTCAACCGCATGTGTCTCGTCGAGCCGCCAGACAATGCTCGTTATGTCGCATTGAGCTACTTGTGGGGCAAAGGATTTCAGCAGCTATTTACTACCACACAGAATCTACCAAAGCTGTCGAGAGCGGGCGCTTTAGAAAAGGAAAAATTGCCCAGAACCATCAAAGATGCTATTCAATTGACTCGAATGCTCGGCGAGCAGTATTTGTGGACCGATAGCCTAGCTTTGTTGCATGACGAGGGCTTTCAATATCACGACGACTGGGTTTATGCTCGAGCCGCGCTCACAGTCATCGCTGGATCGGGCAAAGACGCAAATGCCGGTCTTCCAGGAGTGCGAAAGGAGTCACGGACTATCCGTCAAGAGATCGAAGAAGTCAAGCCGGGCCTCAGACTAATGGTGTCGCATCTAGCAGAGGACTACATATCGACGTCTCAGTGGGACAGCCGAGCGTGGACCTTCGGAGAGCGGATGCTCTCCAGACGATGCTTGCTCTTCGTGAACGGACGCATATACTACCAATGCCGCCGAGCAACATTTTGTGAAGACATCGAAACGTCGACTAAGAACGGCTGGTCACTCAACAGTATCGACATGCCTACACGAATCTTTCGGGAGAGACCATTTTGGCAATACACCTCAGCCGTTGAGCTCTATACCCAACGAGAGTTGACCAATCCAAACGACATTCTCGATGCTTTCGAGGGCGTCGGATCTGTCCTGGAAAAACGCCTTGGTTCGAAAATGTTTTTCGGATTACTCGAGGACATGATAGACACCTCTCTTATTTGGGAGTCGACCAAGAAGTTGAAGCATCGCCTGAACTTCTCCACCTTCTCTTGGGCTGGCTGGATAGGCGAGATCCAGTGGAAGTTTACCGAATTTGCAGAGTCTTGGATTGAATGGCACACGACTCTACCATCTGATGATCTGATTCCACTCCCACCACAAAAGCGAAGGAGGATACCCCCTCCCATACCCCGGACTGTACAACTACAGCCGGCTGGTTGTTCGGTCATGCTTGGTCCAACACTTCCTCGCCTGCACTTCCAGACCGTCTTAGCGATATTCATGCTGACACAGCCTAAAACCATATCTAAGGATATAATGTCGCCTCTACGTAAACGGATGACAGGCCCTAGTGCACTGGCCACGGCGAGACCGGCCCCAACGGATCCAGGCCTAATCCGAGTAGGTATTGCTGACCGTGATGGGCAATGGTGTGGGACTATAGACCTGAATGTCTCGTACAGACAATTGGTCAATATGCCGTTCGAGTTCCTTATCATGTCAAGGGTAAGTGGCTTCGCCGACGGCGAGCTAGATCTCTGGGAAGGCTGGCTACCTGACTCCATCGAAGAGGAATTGGAGCGACGCGATTATGGCGTTTATAACGTCCTGCTCGTAACGCATCTGGACGGTGTATATCGTCGGGAAGGCCTTGGACGAGTCTTGACTAGCTCCATTTCCCGAGCAATGGATCCGGGTCCGGTGTGGAAGAATGTTGTGCTTGGGTAACTCGCTGGATGAATATACCACTAACTTCGCGAGGTGCGGCACATCTATGATAGGCTACCTATCGAGTGACGGCTTCGTGCCAACCTGTCGTATTCAAATACGTCACGCCCTGGCCAAAGAAGAGCTGAACTCAAATGGCTCCGGACCCCCACCGAACAGGGCAGATTGCCGCTTGACAGATCAACAAAAGTCGCTCATGCGCTTGGTGATGACTGTGGGGTAGGAACCTGCACTCTTGTAGAGACTGCATGAGACGAAGCGACGAGGCAGAATCGGTCGGGATCATGTCGAACAACAACTTGGGTTCGTACCCCGCGGACGCCGCTGCCCACCCCGATCACATGAATTGCGTCTATGCCATCTCAGGAACATATGGCCTACTTCCTCGAGCTCTGTACTATGTGACTCTAGCCTTTGCCATCTTTGGTCGACATCGCCAATGGCTGGTCATTGGTGCCTTGGTCACGGCAATGACCTATGCTGGAACAACAGCAATTCATCAAATGGCATTAGTGTCCAGCAAAGAGTATATCTACGACCTCGATATCCTGGGCGCCTGGGCCATACTGAGCTCCGGCGCACTTGCATATATTGGTATGATGCATTGGAGTAGCACGCTGAGGGATTCACACGTCCGAGTGATATTCCTCCTCTGGGGCCTGCTGCTGGGTATAGCTCTGATCTTCGGTCGGAGCGAGATTTTCAGCACACCGCTGACGCCGCCTGAGCCAGCATGCTACTCATCGACTGGACAGTTGCTGGAATATCCCATCGAGCTAGGCAGCCCGCTATTCAACTGTACATACCAATGCTTCTCAAAGCGCAAGCCGATGCGACAAGCTTCAGAAGTCATGGCAATTCCATACTCGACTCTCAAGAACAAATACACAGACTTGTCCGTTGTGCTGGTAGGCCCCATCCAGTTTGCTGCATACGCAGCCCTTTCGTGGGATTCGATGCAGCACAGTCCGTCACGCACATGTACCTGGATTGTCATGAAATACCTCCAGCCTAAACATCATGAAAGACTGGTTCGATTCATCCACGATGCCTCAATGGAGCACAGATACGGTGGTTATGTACTACTCATCCATTTCATGTGGCGCATCCCGTGGTCGTGGCTCAAATTTTGTCTAGTGAGCTTCACACTGCCATGGTTCATTCTGGGTGTCATCGTGGATGTCCTCGCTTTGCCGCTGCTGGTCATCAACATCACCCTGAACGAGATCACTTTACTGAAACCTGATCTACCCACCAACGAAGCTAACTATGCAATCGGTCAGTGGGGTCCATGGACAGCCTCTGTGATGGTTGTTTTTGCAACCTTCCTCAATCAGTTTCTACTCTGGAACATGCGCCGAAAACAGCGGGCAAAAGCAGCCGCAGATGAGAAGAAACGGCAGAAGCAGTCGGAGAACGTGTACGAGATACAGGAACGTCTCGAGGAGCAAACAACAGGAGTGGTCAAGCCGGGCCTCATGCACATTCCGACTCTACAAGATATGGGCCGACCTACCTGAGGTCAAGTTCATTCGAGCTTATGAGCATCTACTACCATCATTCAGGAACAACATAACGTGGCAGCCTTCCATGCCGTCGATGGCTTTTCCAGCCTTCATCGCGCCCAGTAAGCGGCGGCGGCTCTTGCCGCTCTCTACCATGTCCGGCTACGATTTCGTAGTGAATCGGTCAATACGCTCCACACCGATTGGTCGCTCATGGAACGCTTCTGGACTCAGGGCCCGCAGACGGATCGTCGTACGGCACTGCTACTTAGACGGACCTCAAACATGACAAGGGAACTTCTCAGGCAGCACCTGAGTTGGACGTCCGCCGGATCATCCCCAGAAGAGGTTCCGCCTGAGATTCGGCTACGACTTTGGCTCTTACGTGTCGGTGCATATATCGAGGAAACAGTTTGGCACGGTAAGATGAATAGATCAATATATCACAGAACGGAGCTCATGGAGTTATGCTGCAACATGTGCAAGGACGGCCGAGCGGACGGCAGCTTGAAAGTGAAGGACAGTGATGGACGGTCGTTGCCGCTCAAGAGGCCTTGCATGAATGGCAGCGATATCGAACATTTCGAGTACGGACCCAAATGGCTAACACCGGTCCTGAGAATTTGGGGCTTCCCGAATTGGGATGGTGATCTAGCTTAGGGATGGCCTCGGATCTGGGGCATCTCAACATGATGCCTCACTGAGAACACGAGGACGACATCGCAGATGGCACGGAAGGTTTCGAGTCGGGATGGTAGCATCCGTTTAATACATGGATATCTCTGAGCTGCTGGTGCCGGAGGGCTGTCGGTAGGTGACAGATCCTCGCCACAGTAGGTATTCACCGTCGAACAACGGCACCGACTCGATAGATCAGTAGAGACAACAGCCTTACAGTCCCCTAATACTGAAATTCGGTGCTCGCGTGATGGGGGACAAGGCGCGGGTGGAGAAACAACGACGCGCTAGGCCTAAAATCCGTGGGCTGGCTGCACCTGCAGCTGCAGCGCCAAAAACCTCCCCTGCCGCTCGCTGCTGCATTATTTGCTGCTGTGCACAAACAACTTCACCTTCTCTCGAGACCGTCTCTTCGATCGACGCCCGCAACTCTTACCCTTGAGCGACTGTATCAACGACCTTCTATTCGCTACGATCTAATCGAACCTCTTCTTTTTGCGCCTAAAACCTCAGACACTCGTTGCTGGTTCGCAGGATCCACTTCCGCCACAAGTCCTCACACTCAACTGCACCACGCTTTTCGTTTTCATATATTGTGCCAAACCCGCACTTTCTGTTCCTCGAACCAATCTCCACTACCAAAATGCCTACTCCGTTCACATCAACCTTTGCCTCGGCTGCTGCGAGCAGCAATGGTGAAAAAAGAGACGGCGGAGGTGACTGGTAAGGCACATTCCTCCCCCCAAACCCTGCATATGCGGCTGTACCAAACTTTGCGGCTCAAAAATCATCACAACACGTTGCCTGTCCCAAATTGCATGCTCATATATAAATCCCTAGGCCCCGAAGCCGGCCCAACGGCGCGACACAGACCTTCCGACGCCCCTCCGCCAACACCACCGCGCAACTACGCGACACCACACAGCAGAACTCTACACCTTCGCCAAATCCGGGAACCTACATCCACCCACACCACAACACGAACAATGCGATGCGAAACGGCGTACCTGTGAACACGAGGTACAGCCGGGAGGACTGCTTGAACATTTTTCGCGGCCAGCAAGAGATGAATGGTCTCGATCGAAACCTTCCGGGTATCTTCCAGGGTACGTGGGATCCGTTGTCCGATACAAATGGCGCCGCTGCGCAGACTCCGCGCAGCGACCCCAAGGACCAGTACCCTGGACCGGATGTTTGCTGGGAGGCGCGGCCTGTGTCGATTCCACTGGGCTTGCGGGATCACAATGCGGATGAGAAAGAGGTATGTGATGGCTGTGCTCACGCTGAATTTGGCTGACAACTGTAGCTATTTTCCACCTCTGTCAACTCGCCCATCAAACTAGTTCAAGGTTCCAAAGAGGCTGGTGGCGTTGCGCCGATAGGGACTCGCAAGACCTCCTTGTCCAGCTATACCACTGGTGGCACTGCCTCACGCCCAGGAACGCGCCGCCGGGATACCAGCGATTCCTTCACTGCCAATGGTCCCCTGTCTCCTGCTGGCGAGAAGACATTCTTTAGAGGCGAATCGAATACCGCTACTCCCCCTCCTGCACTGCTGCGGCGTCGTACCGATTTCAAGGATGATGAACCGAGCCCTGGTCAGAAAGATGTTTCCGCTAAAGACGAGGATGATTCAACGGCTACGGTTGGGCCTCCCAAGCGCAGCACTACAGGGCCACTGAGTGCGGGTCTGAATTCTCCAGCCAATTCTCCTTGGTCCCAGGGTCCCAACTCCTCCGCATTCGGCTCCATGGGTTCGTTCGGCAGCTTCAACGTAGCACCTGCGAATGCTGGCCCGGATAAACCGGAGCAGCGCCCCGGTTTCGGTAGTGGCCGTGGTTCTAGTCGATTCAAGGACATGATGGCGAAGTCTAGTACCGAAGATATGCACGCTGCAAAAGAAAAGGCTATGTTCGGCGCACTGGAGAAGCTCCCAGAAGAGGACGCGGATCTGAACCAGAGCAAAGTCCGCGACCTCTTCAAGACCAGACCCAACCGGAGCGAGACCAACCCGTATGAAGAGATGCCTCTTCGCACCGGCAGCGCAGCTCTGTCCCAAGAAGGCGCAGGCTCGCAGCAGGGCGTCGATCAGTTGGGCTTTGCCTCCGTTGGCGGACAGGGTTTTAACGAGCCCATGAGTCCCACCCACACCAACCCCTATCAAAGCCCCCACGGCGCGCAGCGCGACGATGGCAGCCAGGCCGAGCCAGATGCGAATGCGCACGGCTTGCCTCCATTTGGGGGAGCTCGACGCAATCTGTTCAGTGACAATGATAGCGCACCTAGATCTGCCAGCGGTTTCGGCGCGTTTCCCGGATTTGGAGCCCCCCCGGGAGCCCCTAGCTGGTCAGGTGCTCCTTTTGGTTCCGGTACACCCGCGAGAGAGCGTGGAATGGGATTCGGTGACCCTATCTTCAGCCCTCTCTCGGACATGCAATCTCCAGGTGCTGGCCTCGGATCCGGCTTCTTTGGAGGTGGATTTGGGTCTGTCGGCCGATCTGCCCGCTTAGGTGGAATGCTGCCTCAGGGCATGCAGGACCCTATGCGCGGTGACTCTCGCAACGAAGGGCGCCCGTTCGATCGCCCGGATAGTGCATCTCACATCCGCGATCCTTTTGAGAACGGCTTCGGGAGAGCACCTGGCGCTTTCAATGATGTCAGCAAACGCGAGGCAGTCGAGAATATGTTTGGACCACCAGGTGCATCGAGCACTGCCCAGCAACCCAGCGGTTCTGCAAGTGCTGGAGCAGATCAGCACTCCTCTGGGGACGCTGACCCTGCGCTGCAGACTCCGACACCTGGACAAGACGGGCAGATGCCCGCAGCGCAACAACGGACTATGGTTATGCCCGATCGAATGCGATGGATTTATCGTGACCCTCAAGGCAACGTTCAGGGACCATGGTCGGGGCTGGAGATGCACGATTGGTTCAAAGCTGGCTTCTTCACCGCCGAGCTGCTCGTCAAGAAGGTCGAAGATACCGACTTTGAACCTCTTGCCCAACTCGTCAGACGTATTGGAAACTCCCGTGAGCCATTCCTAGTACCTCAAATCGGCGTGCCACACGGTCCAACCAACGAGGGACAAACAGCTTGGCCCAATGCTCCTCCACCTGTTGGTAATGCTCAACCACCCTTCGCTAGCGCCTTCCCGAGCTTTGGCACAACCTTGACTGCGGAGCAGCAGAATGCCCTTGAGCGCCGGAAGCAAGAAGAGCAATACCTCATGGCGCGACAAAAGGAACACCTCGCCCAGCAGCAAATGCTTGCCAAACAGATGCAAATGGGTGGACCGGGCATGCATTCACTTCAACACCACTCAAGTGCGCAGTCACTGCACAGCCAGCCCAGCTACGGTAGCATTACGTCCCCTAGCGGCGGCTTCCACCCGTCCCCACTGCCACCAGGACCACCAGGACCACCAGGGCAATCTGCCCAATCAGGGCCTCAACAGTCCATACACCACACTCCGATAGGACAACAACCTTTCTCTCGGGAAGAGAATCTCCCCAACTTCATGGATCGCATGAACTTGGGCCAGATGCCAGCTTCTGGCCCTTTAGGCGCACCTGGGGACGGCCCTAGCCACCAGCAAGTCTCGCAGATGCTACAGGACAGAGCACGAGTCCAACAGCAGCCTACTGATACGCACGCTCACCAGGAAGCTTTTTTAGGGCAGCAGGGCAGGAACGAGCGCCTCGAGGAGTTCAACGAACTACGTGGCCAACCCGAGGAAGATCGTCCCGGCCCTGATCCAATGCTTGCCCCGATTGGGGCGCCACGCCCTTCCGAAGAGCCGCCTGCTCCAGGTTCTGAAGGCAGGCAAGCACCTATTGGGCACTCCAAGAAGACGGCACCAGCTGAGCCATCCCTGACGGAACAAGTGCAATGGACTGCCGCCCAGCAGCTGCAGCAAAAGGAGCAGGACCCGCTTCAAGCACCCCCTGTATCCATCTCCCCGTTGCCAGCGCCGGCAGCTCAGCGGAACCGTCAGCACGTTGCCGAGTCTCTGGCAGCGGAGTCTCGCTCCCAGACTCAGACGCCGGTCGAGACACCTGCCGCTTCGATTGCTCCTTGGGCGGAGAAACTCACCGAGCACAAGGGGGGCCCTTCGCTGAAAGAGATCCAAGAAGCCGAGGCCAAGAAAGCTGCCGAGCAAGCTGCCATGGCCGAAGCGGTGCGGCTGGCTCACGCGGAGCAGGAGAGACAGGCTACGACTCATGCACCGCCACCAGCACCCGCTCCTGGCCTGCCAGCCAGTGCAACGTGGGGTACATCATCATCACCGGGCACGCCGACTGCGACGAGCGGCTCTGTGTGGGCGAAGCAAGCTGCCAAGCCAGGTGTCACTCCAAATGGACCTGGAAAGAAGACTCTTGCACAGATTCAAAAGGAGGAAGAGGCTCGGAAGCAGCGGGCCAACGCGGCAGCGGCTGCACAGGTCCAAGCCCAGGCGCAAGTGCAAGCCCAAGCCCAAGCCCAAGCAGCGAGTTCTCCGATCTCTACTCTCCAAGGCAAACGGTACGCAGAGCTGGCCAGCAAGGCTGCAACGGGTGTTCCCGGCGCTGCGCCCGGTAGTATATGGACTACGGTAGGGTCCAGCGGTAGGGTCAAGGCTCCGGCCACGGTAGTGGCGACTCCACAAGCAGCGCCTCGCACCGTCAGCTCCACGGCTGCGAGACCGTCTGCGCCCCCGAGCCGCAATTCTAACCTGGTGGAAAAGACCAAGGCCAAGGACGAATTCATCAAATGGGCCAAGGTGCAGCTTGGCAAAGGGCTGGATAGCGGCATCAATGGTGAGGATGGTCATTCCTATGACAGCAACGGTTGCTAACGTGTTCTAGTGGATGGGTTCATTCAAACCTTGACCCAACTTCCTGACGACACGGAGATCATCGCGGATAGTATCTATGCTAGCTCTCAGACTCTGGACGGAAGACGCATTGCGCAGGAGTTTGTCCGGCGCAAGAAGCTGATGGACAAGGGCATTGTGGAGCCTGCACCTGTTGCAGGACAAGGCGATATCAACGGCGCGGAAAGCAAGAGTGCGGGTGGTGGCTGGAGCGAGGTAGCCAAGAAGGGACCTGAGAAGAAGGAAGAACCGAATGCTCAGTTCAAGGTCGTGGCGGGCAAGAAGAAAGGCAAGCGTTGAAGAGAAGCGGCATGCATGGCATGGATGAGGTCAACGATAATGGTGGGTTCGAGCGCCAGGATATTGCAGCCTTTAGCGCGAAGTACCAGTCGTGTCTATCCATGCGCCGAATACCTTTCATCTCTTGAGCTGTACCTGCCTAGCTGTACTCTGAACGAACTTTGACGGGACTTTTGCAGCGGCGATAAACTGCCAAGACCCGACACGCGATTGCCGAGCCAAGGCGTTTTGTAGCTTTCCGCCAAGCTTTTATTCTCAGCCGCTGCGCCAGTCACATCCCGTTGCTACCGCATCACCTCACCTTTTTGTGGGGGCTTACTAGCCGCGGAACCGCATCCAATCCTAGTTTGAGCTGCAATTGCGTACCTCTACGGAGATGAAGCGGCGTTGAGAATGAAGGAGAGAGCAGGAGTTTGCGACGGTAATGAATCTGCTGCGATGGCTCATGGAGGGAGGGGGGAGATGACTGCAGCTGAGCCATTGAACTTTTGAAAGCACTGCAGCCCAGCCAGCGGCGACTCGGGAGGCGGAGGCGGAGTTCGGACAAATCGCATTCGACTTTCCATTCAATGACACAGTCCAAGACTTTTTCTTACCCGCTTGGCAAGCTACGGAAATCTCGGTCGCTGGGTCTGGCTTCAGCCACTGTCGTCGCACGGGCACGGTGAATCCTGAATCTTGGATTGCGCGGGCTTGGCTTGGCTGGTGGGGTTGGGGGCTGAGGGCGGTGCTTAGCAAAGTGGTAGTGCCACGGGCGGCTGTGCTGGTCTTGCCGTCATGCTGTTGCTTTGCTTGCTTGCTACCTTTGTGTTGTGTGTGTGTGTGTGTTGGCTTCCTTCCTGTTTCGCGCTTTCGACGTGACTGACTTGTTCGCGAGGGACACAGCTACTGATTTCGTTGCATTGCATTGCGACCTGGACGGGTGCTGAAATATTGGAAGAGCGTGAGAAGGCGATTTGTGACCACGAAGCAAGAGAGAGTGTCTGCTGTTGCTGTCTCGGAGCGGGGTGCTGACGCTGACGTCCAAGGCCTTTTTCTTGGTTGTCTATCGAAAGTACGCTCCTGCGGCGTTTGTGAAGTACGGGCACGCGTTTCCGTCTTTGTGCTGGTTGCTGCAGGACTTTGAGAAAGCGAAGCGGCTTGCTTACTTTGTGCTTTTAAGCATCACCGTCACCAACCTTTTCTACTTCCTACCTGTAGACGAGCATCAGCTATGCGAAGTGCAGTACTGCTATCGGCTCTGGCCACCATCGCCACTGCCGGATTCGTAAAGGTCGATATCGATGATGGGAAAACTCATGGTCCGGCACCGGCTCCCGCGGTCAAACCACGTGGCGAAGGCAAAGGCTTCATCAAGTTGGACTTCGAGACCGAGCATGTCGGCAAGCGTTTGAAGCCTCGACAGTTGGATGACGACGACCTGGACCAGAACATCACCTTGGCTAGCCAGAGAAGTGTTCGTCTTATTCCCTAGCGGTTATGATGGCGTCTTGCTAACCAAAACAGTTGTATTGGCTAAGCCTAGAGATCGGGACGCCGCCGCAGCCATTTCGTCTTCAGCTCGATACCGGGTCGAGCAATGTCTGGGTGCCTGACTCTAGGGTCCGGCAATGCCGAGATGAGTGTCCCGGAGGATTCTTCACCCCCGAGGATTCTTCAACCTACGAGGTTCTCGAGGAGGATGTTTTCGAGATTGCATACCTCGATGGCACCGGCGCCTTCGGCGACTACTTTTCCGATGCTGTCACTATTGGCGAATCTACTATCGATGCTGGTGTCATGGCCATCGGCTTGGCTCGCGAACTTCAAGATGGCCCACGACTCATCAACGATGGTCAGGGCTTGGTTGGTATCGGCTACTGGATCAACCAGGCAGGTAACGAGTACCTGGCCACCGAAATCAACGATCCACCCACCTTGATACAAGCACTTGTCAATCAGGGGGACATTGATCGCGAGTCGTACTCGATCTATCTCAACGATGTCAATAACGGCACTGGTAGCATCATTATCGGCGGCACTGATGCCACGAAGTACGAGGGCGAGCTTGTCGCACTTCAGACGCTCGAGGACCCCAATGGCAGCCAGCTCACCAACTATACGCACTTCGAGGTTGCGCTTACGGGCATTGGTATCGAAGACGATGACGGCAAGCGCTGGTTGACAGACCCAGACTTCGCGGAGCCTGGCCTCCTGGACAGCGGTACCACGCTGACCTACGTCTCGTCCTCGCTCTACCAAGCCATCGCCCAAGGCTTCGGCGTCACCGCCGGCTTCATCCCATGCCACTACCGCAACAGCAACGCCGCGCTGGTCTATCAGTTCGGCGGTGCCGATGGGCCAGAGATCCGCGTCCCCCTCAACGCTCTCATCGACCTAGACAACGCCTTCAGGTACGAAGACGACGACGCCACCGACGCTTGCTACTTCCTCATGCAGCAGTTCGAGGAGCCCTTTGTCATGCTGGGCAACAGCTTCATGCGCTCCGGCTACTTCGTCTACGACCTGGAGAACCATCTCGTGGCGCTCGCGCAGGTGGCTGCCAACGCCACCGAGGACGACCCCATCGCCATTCCCTCTGGCACGGAGATCCCAGGATGCACCAGCACGAATACCTATACGATCAGCAACCGCGTCGCGAGCCCCACGGTCGAGGACCTCATTACGCCGACTCTGCCGAGGAGCATTGTGCCTGCGACGCCAACTTTTGCGTTGGGTGATGTGGCCGAAAGCAGTGGTGGCAGCGGGAGTGGCAGTGGCAGTGGCAGTGGCAGTAGCAGTGGAGGTGACGAGGATGCTGCACCATCTGTCAGGGTTGCTGGGTACGCCATGGTCGTGGTGGGCGCGGTGGCGGCGCTGATGGTCATGCTGTGAGAGGACTGTGGTCTGAGCGACTCAGTGATAGAGCTTGAGCGTACATACACGCAGTCACGCTCGTCATAGAGGATCTTTTGGGTGATATCTATATGTGTAACGGCCGAGGATATGGTAGTCCATTCTTGTATGTGAAACTACAAGCATTTAGCATTAGCATTAGCATTATCATCAGAAAAAGACAAATCAAGGGCAGTGAGCATTTCCATGGTTCTGCTGGATGCCAATAGTCCTTGGACTTTGCTCTAGCCACATATCATATTGACAGCAGTGGGTCTGATGCTGAGCAAGTAGGAGTAACAAGAGGGTTCTCTAACGAGCCACATGACTGCGGACAGAAGATCTCTTCTTACCGGTAAAGGTTCGGTCACATTCCTCCCAAGGCAGTATGCCTCCGAGTCCGTCTCCGGTGGGATGTTTCTATACTCCACCATCCCCGCTCCCCAGACTCCCCAGACCTCCCAGACGGGTGGTTCCGCTTTCAAACACTCTTGAACAGTTCAACTCATCCGTCATCGCTGTCGGGCTCGGGCGCTCGATAACACATCGCAGGACTCAACATACATGCTCCGGAGAGTGATTGTCCTGACCCTTAGACCGCAACCAGCCTTCTGTTCGACCGTTTGCTCAGTCATAAGCTGTAGTTGACGTTACATCCCCGGCGACTGACCTCCCCTTGGCTAATGCAGATGACTTCGCTTACGCCGGCGGATGTTGGGCACACTACTTCGTACCGCCAGCAGTAAGAAGCTACATCAGGATATTCTCCGACGATTATCATGCGCATGAATTTGGAGGCAATTCCGCCTCCCCGTCCTTTTTCCCCCCCGCATGATGGCACTACTACACTAGTACAGTCTACGCGATTCACCCGAATCACCCAAGGCAGGACAGACTGGATTAGGCCACTACGCCATAAGACCCTGGTTGACCTGTCGGTATTCTCGTTTCGCCTCGGATGTACATCTCTACCCCGAGAGAAGCCACTACGGCCGCTGCCCCTTGCTAAGGTAAGACGACTGTCTAGATGTGACCGCCGGACTACTTCCAAGCCCCATCATCCACCTTCTATACGCGAGCTTATATCGATGCCCTCCCCCTCCCTTCCCATCCTCCCCCATTCTCACCCCATCTGACCCCTGTCGGACACGCCCTCCAATATGTCGACCAGCAATAATGGCCAAACCCCAGCAACAACGTTCCACGCCGAAAAGGCCGCGACCGCGCACGTCGAGGAGCAGCTGGGTCACGGTGCCGCCGTGGACGCCAAACATGCCTCGGATGCAGAACATGCCATGACCTTCTGGGCGGCGCTGCGCTCGCACAAGAAAGCCGTTTTCTGGTCTATGGTGATTAGCATGACCATAGTCATGGAGGGTTACGACACAATCCTGATCAATAACTTCTTCGCATTCCCAAGCTTCCAAAGACGCTACGGCCAGTACACCGAGGAGCACGGCTGGCTACTCACCGGGCCGTGGCAAGCTGGGTTGACGAACGCGAGTGTTTGCGGCACGGTATGTTTTTCTTGCCGCTTTCATATGCTCGGCAACGCGCTTCGGACAGCGCTGACCTGCAGAAATTGGTGCTGACAACGAGATTCAGATCATTGGCGCCTTCATCAACGGCTATGTGACGGCCAAATTCGGGTATCGACTGACGCTCGTGGGAGCGCTGTTCTTCATGAACGCCTTTATCTTCATTACTTTCTTTGCCCAGAACATCCAGACATTGTTGGTCGGGCAGATCCTATGCGGAATTCCTTGGGGGTGAGACACTATGATCCCTGGTCGGGTGTCCTATACTGATCCAGAGTGATTTGCAGAGTCTTTGCAACATCGGCGCCCGCATATGCTAGCGAGATTTGCCCAATGATCCTGCGTGGTTACCTGACGGTTGGTGTTAATTGTGGTTTGTGAGCCGACGAGTGAAGGTGACCGATTTCCAGGTATACGTGAACCTGTGCTGGGCAATCGGCCAATTCATCGCGGCCGGTGTGCTGCAAGGCTGCCTCGAGCTGACCAACCACTGGGGATACCGCATTCCCTTTGCAGTGCAGGTTAGTTTCGACACTTCTCGACAGCAAGTCTACTGACGAGGATGCTTTAGTGGGTGTGGCCAGTGCCGCTCCTGGTGGCGATCTTCTTCGCACCCGAGTCCCCCTGGTATGCGCACAGAGACCCCTTCTGACCTAAGCTATGTTACTCACTTGACGATGCAGGTATCTCGTCCGCACCGACCGCCTCGACGAAGCAAAACGCATGCTTCAGCGACTCAGCGACAAGGCTACCACGGACGAAATCAACGGCACCCTCGCCATGCTCGTGCATACGGTCAAGATCGAGCAAGACACCACCGCCGGCACCTCGTACTGGCACTGCTTCCGCGGCGTTGACCTGCGCCGGACCGAGATCTGCTGTGTCACGTTTGCGGGACAAGTGCTGTCTGGCTCGACGTTCGCTTACGCTCCAAGTACGTTCACTCTACTCTTCCCTAGCCTAGCCCAGCCGAGCCGTCAATTGACTCTTCTCCAGCCTACTTCTTCACACAAGCCGGCATCGACACCGCCAACGCCTACAAGCTCAACCTCGGCGGCACAGCCATGGCCTTCCTCGGCACCGTCCTCTCCTGGTTCCTCATCACCTGGTTTGGCCGCCGCACGTTGTACCTCACCGGCCAAGCCTCACTCGCCACTCTCCTTGTCCTCATCGGCATCCTCTCCGCCGCCACAGACAGCGGTGCTGGCCTCTGGGCCCAGGCCGCTTTGGCCATGATCTGGCTCTTCGTCTACAGCCTGACGGTGGGGCCGATTGCGTACGCCATCGTCTCCGAGACTAGCAGTGTGCGGCTGCGGGCGCAGACGGTCGTGCTCGCGCGGAATACGTATCAGGTCACGAATATTATTTCGGGAGTGTTGAATCCATACATGCTGAATCCGAACGAGTGGGGATGGAGTGGAAAGAGTGGCTTCTTTTGGGCGGGGACCGCAGGCTTGACGGCGTTGTGGGCGTTTTTCAGGCTGCCGGAGGCGAAGGTATGTTTGTTCCATTGTGGTTCTTTTGTGTTTTTGGGGGGGTGCAGAGCGTAGAAGTGTGAAGACGAACTTTGCTGACGTATTGTTCTCTACACTAGGGCCGGACATATGAAGAGATGGATATCATGTTCAGTCGGGGCGTGTCGGCGAGGAATTTCTCCAAGTATCATGTCGATGCCTATGCTACGGAGGTGGACGCGACCAGAGAGAGGAAAGCATAGGTCATGGACAACAAGCCCAATACGCGAGAAAGCAAATTGAATGGCTGGTATGCAGCTCGAGGCTTACTAGGTGAACTCGAATATCCACGGACTTTTGGCGGACCCCAGCTAGACAGACTTCCAGGACTGAAGGCTCTGATCTCGCTTCGCATCTATTCCTTTGATGCTGCGAGTATCTGTTCCTTGTATCGTACGATGCGCGACATGCCGCTAATTTTCTTCTCAAACTCGTCACAGCAAGGAACGGGTCACCTGGCTTTCACGAATTTCTGCTATTATCATAGCGTCTGTTGCTGCTGCTTCTGGTTTGTTCCTTCCAAATATATGGATGTCGAGTTGCCAGTTCCTTCTGATCAGGATTACAGCGAAATCTATTGCGAAGCATGACACACAGGGGCCTACACCGCCACACCGACCTAGCCCCGTATCTCCGACAAGGCAACCACGAGTTGGCGTGTGGCATGGTGCACAATCTCGTCCAAGGTATCTTGTGCAGGACTGTTCAACGTATGACAGGCTCCCACCGGAACTCAGCCCTAGCAGGTGTTTCTTCTCCCTGCTGTTTCTCTTCATCAAGTTTGTCTCGCGCCCCATCAGCTCTCGCCAGCAGCTCAAACAAGTCATCGTCCTCCCATGCCTGCCACGTGCCGCTGATGCCCGGAGTCCACCGGCCCACCCAAGCACCGCTTCTCAGGAGCATCACGTCCAGTAGAACTGCGAGCCCGCAGAAGGCGATGACGAAGCTCAGCCCGAATACACTAACGTTAGCGTGGCTTCCGTTCGCTCGCACTCGGACGTTGCCGCACAAGTCCTTGAGCGCTCCCGTGGGGGGCTCAATGTATTGTTCCCAGTCGGAGTGCGTGGGGCCGGTGGCGAAGTTGGCGATTGAGTATTGAAGCATGGCCATGACGGTAGCGTGCCAGTCAAGGACCTCTAACTTCCATTGGTCTGAGGGCAGAGGAAGTTGCATTTGTCCGCTGAACATACGTTGCTGGGCGAGGAGGTTGGGTGTTTGTGCGTTGGCGATGGCGGCGACGGATGAGACCTGGTTGTAGATTGATTGGTAGAGGATGTGGAATATTGCAAGCTGAATTGCAGACAGGTTCAGTTCGGCGATTGATCCTGGAGCCGAGAGAATTCCGGCCAGGCTTGTGCAGGATCTCAAGGTGCAAAACTGGTACTGTGATAATGTCAACAGATGTAACAAGTGGACGAGGTTGCTGCTGACCTGTTCGGTGCAACCCAATACGTTGGCAGCGTTGTCGGCATGGTACATTGTCTCGTTCCCGTAGAGACCTGGCATCACAAAGGGCTGGTGCGCCGCGAAGAAAGGATCATCAGAGACTGACTTGAAGTATATCTTGTTTGAAGATAAGAAGAGGAGCGTGAGGTCTGCGTCGTGCCTTTGTAATTCAGGAATGGGCACGAATGTCGAGTTGTCGTCGAAGCCTGGGAAGCTGTACATCCAGCTGACGGTGTTAGATTGACTCAGGAGTCGTGGGAGCAACTCACTCCATAGTGTAGCTTGGAGTGCTATTCATTCGCGCTTTGTTGCCAAGCCAAGTCCATGGAAAAGACGTCTGGTTGCCATAGTCTAGCATGACATAAGAGTCTCCGTCCAGAGGTATGGCATTGGGCCAGGATTGTTGCACTTCTTCCGTACTCGTCCATCGTTCGTGGCCAGACTGTGTCAAAGGCGAGCATTCTGTGACCTTTCTCAAGTCCAAACTGGACAAGGAGTTGATGCCGAGGAAGTGATTGGAGTTAAGCCTTCCTGAATCAATTTTCACACTCTCTTGATTCGCAAAGCAGATTGAAGCAGAAAAGGGGCAGGCCGCATTTTTGTCAACATTGGGAGCTACCGATGGCACTGTAAACGTGTTGCAAGCCGAAGCTGCGCCTGAGGTGTCGTGGTAGCATGCCCTTTGATAGTTGATACTTTCGCTGATAACGTTGCTCAACGCTGTACCGGAAGCAACGACGAAATCGTCAATCTCGATGTTGGATGCAACTTCGTAGATGCTCTTCCACATGCCACATGACGAGCTGCTGATTGAGACTTCCACATTGGAGCTATCGAGAATGGCTGAAGAGTACAGACTCGCTGCGAAAGTTGCGGCGAGATAAAAGGCCACCAGTGTCGCTGAGAAGAGGTTTTTGGTCCAAGAAGTATAGCTTGAGGCTCTAGACTTCCAGCCCGTAGACAAGAGATCCCAAATCACTGCCACAGGCGGTATCGTGTTCCTCAGCGTCACCTGCTGCTGACGCCAGACCATCGTCGTGTTAGGCTTTCGTGCTCGTAATTGATGCCATACGAAACAAATGATTTCGAAAACGCACGTGGATGCTACACCGACAAGGATAGCGCTGAGAGCGACAATGACAGCACCATATTCAGATTTGAGAGTCAAAGTGGCACCGAGAATAGGGTCGCGTGAGCGGTTGATCCAGAAACCGGTGTGAACTTTGCTGCTTTCTACAAGAGACATGGTGAGTTTCTGCAGTCTCAGATGCTGACGCTACGCAGAGGGCTTCGGAAGGTGAAATAAAAGGGCATTGAGCTGGCCAGCGCAAGATCGGTGGATGACACAACTGAAATAGCAACAGAGCTTGGGGTGGTACGGTCTGGGTACATGCATACCGGTCAAGGCAGGTCACAGCCCTAAACTACCGGTCTGCCTCGCCTGTCATAGACACACGGACATTCGTGTAACACAGTGGCAATTTGCATACAAATAGTCGTTCTTCAAGCAGAGATCCTACCAATCATACCACATTGCAGCCGGTGGACAAGGCGACGTTGTAGGAAATTGGTAGCCGTCAAGTCAACCTGCCTAGGCTCGACTGAGGCTCTTTGTTCACGTACAGTTTCTGCTTTCTTAAGAGCTATATATTGCGCCGCCCATACAGCCTTGAAGCAATTAATCCTCCAGATCTGTCTCCCCTTTCATTATGTTGTTTTCCAAGGGATTGGCCATCGCTGGCAGCCTCCTGATCACAAACTCCATTGCCTACAATGTTTCAACCTATTCAAGCTTCCGGAGGATAGAATATGGTATGGCAAGCCCGCAACAGGCTCCGCATCCTCCCAGACCTCGACATTTGGACTTGGGCCAATATCTCAACAACCTGCCTCCTCTCCTGCAAGTAGGATCCCGTCCGTCCAGAGCTCGCCGCGAGTCTGTCACCCTCAACATCCCAGCTTCAGATCAAAGCTGCCCTGATCCGGCTCAGATTGGTGCCAGGGATCCACATGTAGCAAACCCTCCTCCTTGCCCTGAACCTTGGACAGGACCACATCCTCCAGCGCCTCGACATTTGGACGAAGACCAACATATTGATGATCCGCCTCATATCCTGCAACTGGTGCCACATGTTTCCCGAGCTCGGAACATCGTGGTCTCGAGACAGTCTGGCTCCGAACAGGAGATCAGATACACCGTTGGTGAAATCACATACTCCATAGAATGGGAAAATGCCACGAACTTTATCGTGAGCAACACCACTGGCGGGGATTACTTGGAATTCTCAACATGGGCCGATGGCCGTCTCGAGCTCTACTCATCTCGCGAGGATGAATACTCGACTCTCGTCTGTGCCGACGATGAGCATCGAGCGCTACCCCAAACTCCATTGGGTCTCGCAACATGGAATAGAGGACAACAGGTACGACCTCACTCCACCTCCATCGACGACTAACACTAACTGTCCTTAGTGGAGGCTTTACTACCAGTGCCTGCGTGAGAGTGACGATCCTTGCCCTGGGAGTGCGAGCCTCTGCGAGCTCTCAAGCCTGAGCGGGGCAGCCAACACTCGATTCGAGCCCCCCAGTCATATGTGTCCCGACATCGAGACGAATTGGCCGGAAGGCTCGTATCTGAGCGCCGTGCCCGTCGATGGCGCAATTGTGCACGGCTTGTTTGAGGGCGGGCCACCCCAAGACTTCCCAAGTGATGATGAAGGGAAATATGGTGTCGCATTTGCGTGCCGCGACAAGTATACCGACGCCAAAGAACTGTGTGTGGGAAAATTTGAACCTGGGTTGGGATGGAGCTGGAGGAGCGTTGAACCACATTAAGAGCCAGACCGAAGAGGCGTGAGGGACCTTGTTCTGAGACTTCCAGATTCTGCTTCAGACGTGGTCATGCAAGGTTTCCTTTGTTGTTGTTTTTTGGAATGGGGTGTAGCGAGTTGGAGCGGAAGAGTCTACTGTCATTGCTCGGCAACAGGTTTCTTTTGAGATTTTCAATCACGATCCTTACGCTCCCATATTGAGTAGCTGCTCGATCGTTTTGTTGAATGTTCTATGAGTATCAAGACGCTTGAGGCACTAGACTGAGTGGTGATGGTTGCTGACTCGTTGTTTCCTTTGTTGCATGGTTACGATCGCGCAAGCGCGCAAAGCGATTGGGGATTTTCTGCTCTATATTCAGCAGATGAACCCCCTTACCGCGTCGACTTCGAAACACCATCGACTTCTAAATCAAACTCTGGGCTATGTGATGGCTGGCCTGTTGACTTGCCTGCCGGGACAACCCGTGCATAAATTCGCATCATGGTCGACAACAGATACATGAATGTCCGAAAGAGCCAAATCCCCCAGATCGTCTTAGGACAGCAGAGATATGGTGCATAGCCTCCCAGCGGTATCTGCTGGCAGGTCTCGACGTATGGCCGAAGTCTCGTCTCATACTTCTCGAAGGCGGCTCGACTTCGATGTCGTGACATTTCCTGAGCCAGGACCCAAGCTCCTATGATTGCCAGTTGGTTTCCCTGGCCTGTAAAGGGAGTCGGAGCCCAGGTCGAGTCGCCGAGGAGTGCCACACGGTGTTGGGACCATGTGGGAAGCTTGACTTGCACGAGCTCGTCAGAGTAGAAATTGTCAGCATTCATCATGTGCTCTATCACTCGTGGGGCTTCCCAGCCCAGTCCACTGAAGGACTCGGCAAGAGCGGCCTTCTGCTTCTGCCTGTCGCCAGAGCTGTTGGCTTCTCGTAGCGTGGTGTTGGCGGTTTGTAAGTGGATGAGGTATACTGAGACTTCTTTTGAATCCCTTCGGATTGGCCGTATCCATATTACACGTCGGTCGGGGAAGTTGCAGAGTCGGGAGTAGGGCAGATCTTGGTCCTCTTTAGGTATTGAGAAGTATGCAACAGAGGCGCCGACGGGTTTGAAACAATTCAACTCCTCTGGCGGGCCCATGATGAGCTGTCTGGTGCGAGACTTCACCCCGTCGGCGCCGATAGCGAAGTCGAATTCCTCGGTTGTTGTGGTCTTGCTGTTTCTGTTCTCCAAGCCGGCAATGACTTTGTCTTGTGTTTGTGTGAGATTCTGCAACACGGTCTCGAATCTGTAAGTGACGTTGGAAGACTTGTTGGCGGCTTTATACAAAATCTCGGTCAAGTCACCGCGCATCATCTCAAGTTCGCCTGTAGGGCTTGAGGCGCCGACTTCGAAGGTGCCATGTGAGCGAGATTGCTGGTCGACGAGGTTGAATCCTGTTTCATGAGTTCTGTTCGCCTTGAGCTCCTCAAGGATTCCCATCTCTCGGACTACCGTCAAGGCCGGCTCTTCGATTTCTAGGCCTTGTCCGGTCTTCTGATCCACTTTTGATCGCTCAATAACGACAACCTGGTAGTCATGCTTGGCAAGCCAGAATGCCAGTACAGAACCTGCTATTCCAGCGCCACAGATGAGGACTCTCTCAGCGGGCATGTTGTTTGTCGATCAAGATGCCCGGATCCTCTGAATGGCAGCCGACAGCGAGACTAATATGATTATCTAGAAGTCGGAAACTGAGCTTTATAGAGAGGATCAGGGATAGGGGAGAGTGCTCTCGGGATTTACCAATGTCCATATGTGAAGATGCTGTCTGGTGTCGGGAACCCGGTCCCCCGACCCGGTACTCCTTGACAGCTGGTGAAGACGATTGGTTGCTAAAGTTGGGTAGCTTGTCTGTCCCGTAGTGCCCGTACGTCACCATTTACGGGAACGTCTGCGGAAATGGCTAAGCTTGATCGTAAGTATGTGGGTTCGGCGCCGATTTATTTCTCTCCCGCTCGTCTGTCGAAAGAGCACGGCGCCGAACTCACATACTGTGCAGATGAAGATCAATCCTGAAGTCTTCTAAGCAAGTTGCTTAAGGCTGCAACTGATGCTTGGACCACGGAGTTCACCTTATCGTGACAAGCTTTGAACTTGGCGTCCCTAAGCTTTCGGCAAATGCTTGTTTGATTTTCGTCTCTACCATACGTTATTTGCTCCACCTGTAATACTCTAGACTTTCTGCGGAGAAGTTCAAAGTACAGGAATACGGGCCATTGGGTACGTAGGCAGGACTCGTCAAGCAGTAAAGGTCTTGGCGTTGGACCTCTACGTTCCGCATTTGCAAGCGTACTTGTGAACGAGAATGTCGGTCTGGAGCACGTGTTGAGGCGACTGTAGAAAAGCGTAAAGCATTTCCAACTTGAGATTCGAGGATAGACTTGTACGGTTGCGTGTCGAACAAAGCCTCGGTTGGAGGACCTACACCATAGCCATGAATGATCTCAAATCTGGATGGACAGTATCCCAACATCGGCATCCCCCTTCCTCCAGCCAGCGCCCCTGACAAAAATCTTGCAGCTCTCCAGCAGCCGTCCCTTGACACCTCCCGTCTTGCGCTCCTTCTCATTGTCGGCCGTATACACGTCCATGCCCTCAAAAGCCCCAAACACTGTTTGAAACTCCAACTTCTCCACGCAGCGCCAGATGTACAAGATGTCTTTTGGCGCGAGAGGAATGCGGTTGGGAATGCTGTAGAAGAAGCTGAAGCTCGTCTTTCCTGGCCTTCCAGGAATCGGGTCCGTGGCGCTAGGGGACGGAAGGACAGTGTCTGCCACGAAAAGCAGGTCCTGGTAGTGCAGCATCAAAGAGCCTGGAAAGTGCCCTCCCGCTAGGATGGCAGTGATGCCGACGTCGGTCCTGCCTCCCACTGGGATAAGCGTGTATTGGTTGTTTAGGAATCGGATATCAGCTCCCTCGGTGTCCGTTCTCTGCAGCCACTCTTTGTCTGGCGCTCCAACGTAGACCGGGCATTTGAATGTCCGAGACCAGTCCGTCCAGGAAGAGTAGTAGTGTGGATGGGAAATCACGATGGCGTCCAAGCCTCCGAGAGCTTGGATCAGAGTGACAGTCGTATGGTCAAGCAAGGGAATGAGATCCCAGAGCACGTTGCCTTGTGGAGTGCGAATGAGCTCGGCACGATTGCCGATAGCGAAGTCTGGGACTGTACGCACGGAGAATACTTGCGGGTGGTGAGGGTCTTGCCACCAGATGTTGCGATGGTGCAGAGTTAGGTCGTGAAGAGTTGTGAAGTTCTGTCCCCCGGCGGGAACGTACTGTCGAGGGTCCTAGAAGATGGGTTAGCATAGTGGTGAGAAGTCGAAGAGCCTGGGCGTACATCGCATATTTGGCATTCGGTCTTGGTTGCTCTGTCTGTGGCAGAGTACTGAGTGCCACAGGCAGTACAGATCAGTAGATCGTTGGAGACTTTCAAAACACTCTGCTTGTCGGACATGCTGTGCAGGTAAATCAACGTACTTATAGCGATAGTCCTCGTATCTTTGATGCTGCTTATCGCATTAGAGCAGATGGTCTCCCTTTTATACGTGCTGCCCAGACCATGACTACGATCTCATGATGAAAAGACTTACACACAAGAGCTGAAACTGGTGGTTGGTCTGTTCGGATTGTAGTGCTGTAGTCCTATGTTACTTCCCACCCCCGCACAACGGACACGACTCCGGCTGGCTGGTTCTAAGTCAGCGGTCTAGTCTAGGCCGTCCGAAGAGCATCGTGAACTCTACATTCTTAGTCAGCCGTGTGGCATCCTCATTGGTCATATTCAAAGCAATGTCAAATTGTGATAGGAAATCTCCCTTTGCAGTCCAAGTCTAGACCAGTGCTTATAAAGGCCCATAGCGATCTCCAAATGCAAGAAAAGCATAGTAGCATTGACCCTATCGCCACTCATGTCATAACGAGGGCTGCTTAATATCGCTGTTTGGGATGCTCTGTGATAGCACGATAGCTTAGAGCAGCTCTGCATCCTGGCAAGCAGCACAGGTCTGTTGAGCATAAGTGCTATCCCGCTATTATGCCAGCCTTTTATTGCTGAGATTATCTTCTCGGGTACCTTGAATGGGATGGATTCCAAGACTTTTACTGCCTGAGATTCAGAAATTGTCGTCAAGGAAAGAAGAGTCCGCTGGAACAATCATATGTCATGGCTCCGGCTCTGTAAAGACGCTGTCACGCCTCCTGCATCTCCCAACTGCTTACCTGCTGTGCTACATCGAAATGCTGCTAATTCCCAAATGATCTATCTGATTTTGGCCCATCGAGTAGATATTACAGGACGAGGCCGGACTGCTTGATCATACCCAACTAATTCTTCACCTCGTATCCTTGAAGTCTCTGGTGTACATTCTGCGCCCTAGCAGAGATCTGATATTTGCACTCACGTGTCGAATCATATGACAGCGCTTGTCTATAGTATTCGACGTACGTTTAGATGAGTAGCGTTGGTAAAGAGTGAGCATAAGCACAATGGACTTGAGTCGCTTCCGACATTGTACTACAACCAAAACCCATTGACAACACTGTATCAAATTCTCGATCAGGCTAACACATATAGTACGCTGAACAAAAACCGCTTGCTCCTCCAGTCCGAGCCCGTGATTTGATGCCCTACGGGGGTATAAAAATAAAACAGTCCAGATCAAAAAAGTAGCGAGCGGTTAGCAACATCATGCTCGCCCGTCAACACCATCCTCACCCACGATCCCAACTCTTCTATTGCCATCCACCAACCCACCTTTCCCCTCAGGCAGATCCGGCAGGGCGTACTTCCCCCTAATCCTTGCACCGCCAGCATTTGTCGTAGATCTCACATCCAGCTTCGACCTCCTGATAACCTCGTCGACTTCACCCTTCCACTGCTCCACCATCTCACGCTGCCTGGCGACGTGCCATCGTGTGGTACTTTCCATCCTCTGCCAGCCATCGCCCCCTATCGTCCCCCTCTCTCTTATCTTCAGCTTCACCCCCTTCGCACCTGCCGCCAACTCGATAAGCCCCTCCAACACGTCCTTGCCCTCCTTGCGCACACGCTCTTTCCTCTCTTGAGCTTGATTCAGCGCCCTCTTCGACTTGAGATGGTCCGCACTGAGCCAGGAATTGCGTTCGGCTCGCAGCGCGACTTCGCCAACCGGCACCTTCAGCGCACTGTTCTCAGCGCGCAGGTAGCGCACCGCAGACTGCAGTGAAAGAATCTCAACCTGGAGTGCGTCGATCTCGGCACGTAGCGCACCACCGGACTCGCCTGCTTCGCCTAGTGAGCTTACGACCTGCGTAGCGGCAGCACCGCCATTGGCTAACGCCGCAGACTTGAGAGCTTGCAGTTCTTCGCGCTCCTTCTCACGCTTAGCCAGTGTTTCTTCCATGTCGCTCTTCGTCCTCTCGAGCTCGTCGATCAGACTGGCCTTCTCGCGGGCTATGCGGTCCGCGTCATCTTTGAGCGCGCGAACCTCCGAGTCTTTGGCCTTGCTCTCTTTCTGCCGTGACTCCAGAACCTCAACGCGGATCCTCAGCTCCTCCGCCTCCTTGCTTTTCTCGGTAAGGTCGCGAGCTTGGCCTTCGGAGCGAGCTTTGACACGTTGAAGCTCCTCTGCGGTATCTTGTGACAGGAGTTTTTGGGCCTTGAGGGCTTTGGCGCGGGCGGCCCACGGCGCGATGAGGGAAGACTCGAACTCGACAGCGGAGGAGACATCAGCTGACTTGTGTGAGAGATCGTCGATACGGGACTGCAGGGACGAGAGAGATTGCGTAAGCATGTTGAAGATGTCGTCAGGTGAGGAGGCCTTCGCTTCAGGCTGTACCGCAAGTGTAGTAGCTTTGGCGCTCATGAGGTCGGCCATGGAGGCGTAACTGGGCGATTGCTCGGAGTCGAACTTGTTGAGCTCGTCAATAACAACTTTTCCAACCTCACGGACGAACGCGGAGAGCTGCTCAGCAGCGCGCTCGGTGTCTTCGAAGAAAACCCAGGCCGTTTCGCCTAAGCACATAGCGTTGGCGCGGAGGTCAGCTAAGGCGGCAGTCACTTTCGAAGCAAGATACTTGACAGTTCTGGCCTTGGTGGCAGCGGCATCAAGTTTCTTGTCGAACGCCAAAGCCTCCTCATCATCCTCCTTTGGCTCGCCAAGCCGTAATTGGACTGCCTTAAGCAGAGCTGTGAGTTGCAGAGCCGTGATGTCGGCGTATCTTTCTGCGAGACTACATTGCGAGACGAGCTCAGTGGCTTTGGATTCGGTGCTTTCAGAGATGAGCTTCTCAGACATGTCAAGGAGAATGCCAATCATGCGCTGCAGTGTCTCAGCAGATTCGGTGCCCAGTTCGTCGCGCCGGAGCGCATCGACCCAGACACTGACGGAGCGTTCGACCGGCTCAAGCTCATATACAGCGCCACTGAGTCGAGTAAACTCTTCAGTACTGCAAGTGTTGATGAAGTCAATGAACCGCGCACAGCAAGCGGCTATGCGGTCCATCTTTTCCATAACCTCAAACACCGAAAAGGGATCGTCTTGAGCCAGGTGCGGACGGTCGCGCATCCTGTCGCCTAGGATACTCTTCACAAGCATTGCCTTGGACTTGATGCGCTTTAGGGCCAGTAACGCGAGCACCGGATTTCTATCCTGGTCGAAACTCTCTGGGACGAATAGCTGCACAATCTCGAGATGACTCCTGGCTTGCTCGGCTTGCATATCCCGCATCTCGTAGTCAATGGTCTTGAGTTGCGTCTTGGCCGCGGAGTTCTGTAGTTGCAGATTGAGATCCATCATTGCGCGGGATTTGACGTTCATTTCGTTTGCCTGCGTCTCATTGAGGTCTCTCGATCTCCGGAGCTCATCGATATCACCCTGTAGTCCCGACACCACCTCTCTGAATTTGCTGAGCGTGAATTCGAGATCCTCGATAGCCTTTTCCTGCTCTAGGACTTGTCGATGCTTCTCATTGAGCTGAGCCTCCGACTCATCGAGGTCGTAGTGAAGCTGTCTCTCTTCATCGATATGGAATCTTTCAAGTTCGTCCGTAACTTGGATGTGTTCTTCGAACTCCTGGATCTGCTTCTTCAGCTGCTCAATGGTAGCGGCCGCCTGCTCGCGTTGCGCTTCCATGGCCACGACTACCTCGTCGTTGGTCTCAGCATCTTCAAGCTGCTCCATCAGGTGCTTGTTGGTACTGTCGAGCTGGGCCAGCTTTTGTGCAGTTTGTTCGTACAATGCAGCCATCTTCTCGGTCTCATCAACGGTATCCTGCAACTCTCTAATTTGGCTGTGCAGCTCGCTTTCGGTCTCCTTTGAATGATCCCGAAGAAGGCCAAGCGCTTGCCGTAGCCTTTCGACCTCGCGCTCTTTCTGCAACCATCCGGCACTAGAAAGTTCCTCTTGGCTCATGCTTGATCCGAGCTCGCGGTTTTCTTCGCGCAGAATTTCCAGCTCTAGTTCGAGCTCCTCGTGCTTTGACTTGAGCATGTCAAGCTCAGCTTGTGCAAGTTCCGCTCGCTCCTCTGCCATTTCCCTGTCCAAGTTGGCGAGTTCCAGCTCGGATTCAATCTCGCCGCTAGTTGGTGGTGGTACCTGGGCGGCCTTCTGCTCAGCTTCATCTTTCAGTGCTCGCAAATCGGACATGGTTTGCTGATTTGTTTTGAGCTTCTTCTGAAGCGTTTGAATGATAGTCTCATAGCGATCCTTGTCATTTTGCAGGGTGTCGAACTTCTGTAGCTTCTCTCGATCTTCGGCAGCTTTCTTTTCTATCGTCCTCAACTTAGCCTTCAACTGCTCGACTTCCTTTTTATCGGCGGCTCGGTTTTCCGCAGTGTGATTTGCTCTTGAGATCGATGTCGTGCGCGATCTCGTCGTTTCTGATGGCGCAGGCTCTGGTGGAGGCTGTGGTACGTCTTCTTGGGGCGACTGCTGCTGTAAAACGTGATCTATGCTTTCAGCACCGGGGCCTTCATCCTCTTCGTCCTCATCAATGGTCGGTGAGCGGGGGTGCGAATCTTCGTCTGCAGCCCGTGTACGAGAAGGGTGAGAGGTGGCTTCAGGGGCTACTCTTGGCTGCAGAGATAGCCGCGATGTTCCAAGGGACGCTCTCGAGCCAGCGCTGGACTTTGAGGCTGGACTGGCAGCACTTCGACCAATACCACCACTCATTGATTGCCGTGTCGCCGGTGTAGTCTTCTTGGGTGCCGGTGGAGGGGCCATCGATGTCCTACCTGTGGTGCTTAATCTTGACTTTGTACTGGAATCGGAGGTCCTCGCGGTTGTTGCGGGTGTGCCTGTTCGAGGGGTCGAAGCGGTGGAGCTGGCGGAAGACATGCCTTTCGTGGGGGACTTTGTCGGCGACTATGTTGGATCAGTGTCAGATCAGAGCAGTAGTAGTGCATCCACTCACCCTAAGTGATAGCCTGGATCCGGCTGTTGACGACCCAGTGCTCATCATGCTTTGTCTCTTGCGGGCAGCATCAGCGCCCGCGCCGATTGTCGACTGTCGGGCTTTGGCAGCACCACTACTTGCGACAGCAGTGCCATTGGTCCGGGGCACAGAGGGAGCCTGCTTGACGATCCTCACCACTGACTCCTTTCGGATGAAGATGCCGTAGCCCTGTTGGCAGGAGAAATATCTTTTGCCTTGTACGGATCCATCGTTCTTCCCTGACCTATCCGGTAACTCGAGACCGAGCCAGGAGCCTGACGCGATCTCAAGCGTGCCGGCATATCGAACAATGCCCTGTTTACCGTCCTTGGACTCGACCGTCTGTCCAATCTTGACGTCCATGGCGATGGCCAATGCAGGCAGACTGTGCGGGAATCACTAGTTGCATGGCAGTGAAATGGATTGGCAATCGTATGGAAGCATTTCCGGTGGTGTCACGATTGGAGAGGTGCTAATGTGCTTTGTTCGGCGTGTTCAGTTGTTGACTGTGTCCGCCTCGAGGCCAACTCTTTTGGGCCCAGCTGCGCTTCGGTCGCGTCGCGTAATTAATGCCAAGTCAACCCTAACCCTGACTGTTCGATCATTCACAATGCTCGCCCGGTAGTACAGTAGTACGAGGCTGCCACTCCAGCTAGTGCAGCAGCCCCGTGCCTCATGTCATTGTTCTACTGACTGCATCATTGCGACCCACTGGACACTATGGGCGGAGACGCTTTCTTCCTATCTCTTGGAGACCGAAGCCATGTCGCCTACAGTAGATCAACCTCTGTCTAGGCTAGGACCTAAAACCAGTAGTGATTGTAAGTACCAGGGAATCGAGCGAGTCAAGGCAATGATGTTGGCTATTTGCCTATCTACCTTTATATGATATTCGTAAATCGTCATCTCAAGTCATTTGCCACACTTTTCTGACGCCAAAACCAAGTCGTAAACACTCGTCTCACCATGCTCGAACTGTGGGGTATCACTGCCTGATGCACTCTGACGGCCTCATCACTAACCCGCTACCTCAGCTTCCTCCAAACACACGCTAGAGAAACAAACGCCTTCCACGTATTCTTACTTTTGTGAATGCAAAAGCATTGAGGGTATCTAGCAGTAACCGCATGTTATGTCATGATCGATCGCATGAGGGGTATCTTTTTTTTCTTGCGCTCCAAAACCGTAGCCTCATCGTCTAGCGGAGAGGCAAATTCAAATGAGATCCTGTCGTTCCGTTGAATGGGTGGGGATGTACATTGGTGCTGCCAATGACCCCCGGGTATCCTGAAAGAGAATGAGATGTTGGCGGTCGTCCTGAATCAAAGCTCGCGCGTGGTTCATGCTTTGGGGTCCGATCGCCTGGGGTTGCGCTGTGGTTGCCGAAAGGGAACTTGGTCTCAGAGTAACGATGCCACGTTCCATTGAGTGAACCTGCGGCCGCTTCTTCTTCGGGGAGATTCACACCAGAGTCATTCCAGAAATTGCGATAGCCGCTCTCGCGGCTTTCCATTGAAATAAGCGATGCCTTGCTGGCATTGGAAGAGGCATGCTTGAAGAAAGTACCAGGTGAGTTGTTTTGGTTTTTCCGGCTCATGAAGGATGAGAAGGAGCCAATGCTGCCTGGTTTGCGCAGTCGGTCAAAGAGAGATGCGCGCTCCGACACCGGGGTGTTGTCGCCATCGCCGAACACAGACCGAGTCGGAGAGTCCGTCGAGTGAAGTGAAGGCGCATTCTGCAGTAGCTTCGACTCGAAAAACGGGAGCGAATCCTCGAAAGAGTCGGAGATGGGTCGAGGAATGGCTCCCTTGATAGTTGTCGCGTCTAGACCGCGTGGGACAAGTTGGGAGATGAGATAGTCAATCGCATCCTTGAGGCCACCTGCGTTATTGCGTGTATAGGTCAGCACAAGTCGGCCTTCCGAGGCAGACACGATGCGTTCAACCGAGGCGGTCGCCGATTTAGGCAAGCTGTTAAGCTCCGGGTTGACATGGACGTCAACTTCGTATTGGCTCTGGAGCTTCTGGCGTAGATCATTATACGAGTCTTCAGAGGAGAAGAATGTCTCAAGCTCGTCGGCTTTCTGGAAAGAGATCTCGTGGCTCTCGGGAACCATGCCGAGGAAGGCATCCACTGCTTGAGGCACTTGGTACTCGGGACCGGAGATTGTCACTACGTCGCTCGCCTGTTCCGTGCTCGGAAAGTCGATTTTGCAGTTCCATTTCTTTTCCAAGTCCTCGATCTCCGGGAGACGAGTGATGAGCTCGCGGTGGTAGAGACGATTGATGAGAACGGTCTCAGCCACAAATTCGGCGTCCTATCAATAGGTCAGTTTGTGAAAAGTTGTGCAAGTCATCTGTAGACTTACAACTTTCTCCACCATATCCATGATTTCCTGTTTCACAAGGTCCAGACTCTGCGCGTTGCGGGCCGGAGTACGACAGATGACATTGTCAACCTTAACATCATCATCCTCTTTGCCCAGGCCTCCTCGGTCCATTGCATTCGAAAATTTGACAAACACGGAGTACTTTTTCATGATTCGCTGGATGTGTTGTCCTCCAATGCCAATGATACGTTTGTGGTACTGATCGGGTACATGGAATGAGATCGAGGCTGGCATCTCTTGCTCAACGAGGTCCAGTCCGTTGCGGGTAGCTTCGTACTGGCTACCTACCACATCGATATAGAAATTGTACTCGTTGAAGCCGTCGAAGATGATCTGGACATTGCTCTGCCCCATAATCTTGTTGATCTTGCCATTCTTCTTTCCACTGACGAACTCTTTGTGCTCATTGGCGAGCTCAATCTTGACACGCATCTGGTAAGGGGTGCGCTTCACAAACGGAATCTGATAGATCACCATCATAGCCGACTTGACCGCATCATCCGACCCATTGATGGTGAAGGTGAACTTATCGAAGCTGAGATCGGCTCCAGAATTGGTGCAGACGTCGCAGAGCATCGCCCGAATCTCAGCAGTATCGGGAGCGCGGATGGCGGGGCCTTGCGTCGGGTCCGGAACCATCACCCACCAGGAAGCGCTGTAGAACTGACCAGCCAGGGCCATGATCTCCTTGACAGTGCGTTCGACATGGAGGACTTCGGTGCCTTGCACGCGAACCATGCCGCGGTTACTTCCCAGTTGTGGAAACAGCACATAGGAGCCATTGGTGTCCATGATCTTGCGCACCTTGTCGAGACGATCGAGCAAGATATTGTCAATTTTGCTAGCGGAGACGACAGCGTCCTTGGAATAGAGCTTGATGCCCATGACGAGCTCCTTCAACTTCTGCTTGGCACTGTTGATACGCTCCTGAGTCTCGCCGGTAATGAAGACTTCATCCGGGGCCCGGCGTGTTGCATTCGGTGGAATATAACCAAAAGCGCCTGGAAACGGTGGCGGGAAATATATGGCTGTCTTTGTGGCGGACTCAATCATTTTGATGTTCTTGCCAGTACGGCCAGAGACAAGAGTATGCATAGTAACCTCGAGTTTGATGACATCAATTTTGTGCTTCAAGATTTGGTCAATCATCATCAGGGCTCTCGTTTTCGCATGCTCGACACTCTCCATGTCGCCATAGATGTTGATACGGTACCTTTGATCAAGTCCGCTGTCCGCCCCATTGGCAAAAGAAGCACCAGCAGACTCAAGGTCAGAAGCTCGAGGTTTCAGCAGAAAGATGTCAGTACCGGTATACTTAGCACACAAGTCAATGTGGCTAAGCACGCTGCTTCGTACTTTGGTTTCAGCACCGTCCAGGATCAAATTGGGATCGACATCGACGACAGCAGAGCGCTATAACAAAGTTAGTGTCATCTTAAGGAGTATTCAATAAGGGTCCGCACCATCATAATTGGTGTCTCGTTGAGGATCCTCGCCCTAATCTTGTAAACCAGATCACCATCTCCAGAGACACACACGTTGGTGACTAAGCTTTGGGACTTTCGGTGCAACGCGGGGCCGGTAGAGGGTTCCGACGAGGTGACGGTAGCATAGACGCGGCCTCCAGTCTGATCACTTGAGTATTGGCACAATGTTCTCAGTCGCTCTTCATTCTGCACATGGACCGGAAGCTTGTGGTTTGGGGTACCCTCAGGCGTGTTGGACGGGAAAGTCCACTTTTGAGACGCGCCAGGACTCGCGTGAAGGATATCTTCAGGATCAGGACCGGTCAAGCTGTACGAGAACGGGATGTTGAACGACAGATTGACGGTAGTCGCCTCGGGGTTCGGGGCAGGACCGAGACTTGGGGAGGGCTGAGGTCGTCTCATGGTGCTCGCCATTTCGTGAGGCATACGGGACATGCCTCCTCCCAGCGAGGCAGGAGCTATCCGATCCCAGCGGTTCTGGGTGAAGTTGCTGAGCTTTTGCATGGTCGAATAGGCAGCCGTTCATCGACGACAGGAGCCAGATGGATTGGGATAGGAGAGAGAGGAGCCTCAATCAAAACATGAAGAGGACGAGGAACGAGCCGGCGTTGGTCGGAGGTGGGATGATGGAACAAGGTGTGTGGGCGGCGTAAACACGGTGGAGGCTGAATGAAAGTGAAAGAGGTGGCTGCAGTAGAATGAAAACAGATTGATGGGGTGGATAGATAGGATAAGCTTGTGCAGGGAACATAAGCAGTTCGAGGGATGCAGAGACATCAAGGAATCGTGATCAGATGCAACAAAGCGTTCCAAGAGGGCGACCGAAGGCGAGCACCTCAATGGTATGCCATGATTGGTGCGAAGGCCGCCCGGGCTATCGATAATGCTAGTGCAGTGCACAGCCCACACACCTACGCAGCTACGCCCACATACCAGCTTGGAACCGCCTAACTGGCCACCCCACTGGCTGGTAGGCCTAGTCACGGGCGCGACGGGCGGCGTTGTCCTTCCAATGCAGAGTAGGGGAGCACGACCGCGCACGATAGCGTAGCGAGCATTCTAAGTCATGCTGCAAGCCACGGACCCAACCTCGTCCACGCATGCGTCTTCCCACAGTGCCTGACGACGCCTCGGTCCCTCGAGGCCATACCTTGTTAAACTCTGTCGTCGTCAGCTGGTTAATAAGGCAGGGACTGTGCCCTGGACTACACCAGGAACAACTTGAACAGATCACCGTCATGACATTTCCAGTCCCGAGGAGTGGGGTATCTCTATCTATCCGGGAGCGAAACTCCATGATCTACTCCGTAGACTAACGACCTTCGTCAGGTTTCATGACCTTGATCGTCTATACTTCTTTGTGATCGATATCACGGTTGTCATCCAGACTCGTCTTGGCGGTTTGTCGACCAAGCTCTCTTAACTTTCGAGAGAGTAACCCGTCGCCATTGAACACGGGAGATGGACTCCGAGGTTGGAGATCCATCGCGGTTCCCCATGGGACGGGTGATCCGCGCTGCGAGATGGAGCTACGCAAAAAGCCGTGTACCTCGGGAGATGTGGGCCGAGAGCCGTGACTGCTACTGCCATTCGATGTTTGTGGCACCTCTGCCGGGCTGACTTCTTGATGAAGAATTTGTGTCTGTTTCTGCTGAGTGTGGAATAGTAGCTGAGGGGAGCTGAAGGACACAGGCGACGATGAGTGAACCAAGCCGTCCATCATATCGAGCTGCGGCGATGCTAGTACTGGCGATGGCGATGGCGACGGCGACGGCAGGAAGCCCTCCGCTCCGCTCTGACTCCGCGAGTTTGGCTGCGAGTTGCGCAATACCAGTGCACTGAACTTTGGCTCCGGAATTTGAACCTCATTGCGAAGCTTCTCTTTACCATCGGGCACGCGATTGGCGAATACAATCTTCACGCCGTCATATAGATAGAACCTCCCTTTGCCCAAGCAGCAGAACTTCAAGTGGATCAGGTATCGAAGCACATGCTTGCCTGACAATGGATCCTGGATGGGTTTGTCCGATAAAACGTTTTCCAAGATCGGCCCTGTTGAGAAACTTCGCTGCCGTACAAAGGTCTTGGTGCCTGGTTGCATCCCATCAAGGTCATATGGCACCAAGAAAAGCTTCACAGCTGTATTGTTCGGATTTTTGACAATAATCTGCAGTTGCCCTTGCTGTGGCACCCTGTACGCTCCACCGATGGCTGACTTCCTGGTGTGCGTCCCTTTCGCTGTGTTGTCGGCTGCTCGACCCTCGCTAATAGACGTATCCTGCGGCTGTATGCGCTCTGCGGTCATTGCATTGGCATCACTCAGACTTGGTCTTTGCTTCTTCCGGGGCATCTGTTCAGGCGCTATCAAGTTGTGTTGTAGATCAATGGTCCCCACGTAAGGGCTTGGGCTATCGTCCGAGATCGTTCGTGGTCCCGACGTCGAAGGATAGCTGTAGAAGACGGCCGGAAACGGCACTGTCACATGCGCCGGACATTTCAGCTTTTCTGGACACTTGCCTTTTCCCATGACGCCAATCTTGGCCACAAACTCCAAAGGCTTGGAGGGGGCAGTAGACATACGGCCCCTGATGATCGACTCCTCGAATGATCCTACCATGGACGTACGCTGACGTGGAGACGTTTCGGAAGCGTGTGAGAGGCGCCTTTGCCGGCTAGGATATACTGTGGATGCAGACGGTGCGGGCTGATAGGTAAAAGATGTCAGGGAGCGGCGTGGTTGGTGGTTCCGGGGAACGGTCGCTTCACGTCTGAAGCTGGGTGGCGTAATGCTGGGACTCGACTCCAGTGACGAGAATTGTAACGCTGATGTCATTGGCGAGGGTAGGGTCTTTCTCCTATCGGCTCGGTTCTGTGGCCTGGGCGGAGGGTGTACTTCAGAGAAGTCCAGACTAGGGTTATTGACTGCATTGACCAGCGGGCTAGTGGGAGCCCGCATTACAAAGCTCGACGATAGGCTGCTGCCAAGAGATGGTGCTCTTGATCGCTGTCGAATGTCTAGTGGTATGGGGTCAAAGGCGGCAGGATCTGATGTGTGGCGTTGAAAGCGACCGAAAAGAGACGGTGGAATCCAGTGCGCAGGTGAATCGGCGTCAGGAACTGGAGGAGAAGCACTATTCGGGTTCATCCGTGGCGGGATTTGCAGTGGGCTACCGTACGCACTACTGCTCTCGTGAAAGTCGCCCGTATGAAGTGCTGAAGGTGGCCGTGGTGTAGCGTGCGAGATCGGTGTCGAGGGTCGGGCTTGCTCGGCTTCCGGCTTTGCTTCTTCCATCCAAACATCTTCCTGCGGTTGTTTGGACACGGAGGACACTCTACCTTCAGCCTGTGCGTTTGCTTCGGCACAAAGAGCTTCAAGATTCGGCTTGGGCACCCACGTAGGTCGTTGTCCGCGTTTGATGCATTGTATCAACTCTTCCCTGTCCGACGTTCGGATCTCTGCCTCCTCGGAGGAGTCTCTTGGGGCTGGCTGGGTATCGGTTGCCGCATACTGGTCGTCTCGTTGCTCAGGATCTGGGGAAGTCTGCTCGTTCTCTGGCCGGTATCGAGCCATTGCCAGTGACTCAGTGATCTTCCTGCGTTTGATCGGTCTCCGCCAGAAGGTTTCTGGACCGAAGACGAAGGGCATGCCCACGCAAAATATATGCACAGTCTTTGTACTCTACCTCCCTTGTCTGCTCCTGCGATACTGTAGTGGCCGGGTGCACATGCCCACCATGACACTGCCGCAGACTGCCGACTGAAACTGAAACAGGCTTAACGACGTCACCGGCTGGAATACTGAAAGACGGGAGTAAATAATCGCAGTGACCAAGAGCTGTGTGAGCTACTCAGAGTGGTTTGATGAATGAGGCGAGGAGTTGAGCGGTTGAAGTAGGGTCAGGTAGCTCGAAACACGACTGGAGACTTCATGGTGACTCAAAGGACTGGTCATGGTCATCTGCATGGACCACCCCCACTCAGCGCTCCAAAGCCGCCCGATCGCCCGCTTGCCGTTGGGGCCCCACTCTCAAGAGACGTTGGCTTCTGGCGAATGCTCAAAACTTCCGACGCTTCTGCCCACTCGAGTGCCCATTCGTTCAACTGTCCAACGCTGGATACACCACATTCTAGGACTGAAGGACGAACAAGAGACGACTATGAGTCTCAAAAGAAGTCGGCACGAGGTCTCGGAGGATGCGCAGCCGAAAAAAAAGCGCAAAGGATTTAGCGTTGGCCCTGCAAACCTACCTGATGGTACATATCGCAGGAAGACACAAAAGATAAAGAGCGATCTGATCCAAAAGGCAAAAGTCAGGAAGGAGTATGCAAAGGTCAAGGCAAGGGAAGAAGCCGAGCGACACGCACAGGAGGGCAGCAGTCACAATGCCGGACAGTTCACAGACGCCACAGAGCAACCTGAGCCCGCACCTCTGGATTTGCACCCAGATCGACAAGCTATGCTAGACGCACCTGAGCAACCTCAGCCAGGAAGGATAAAAGACCACAGCGGTGTGTCGGACAACGTCAATGGATTTCGTGCCAGAAGAAGAGAGCGCAGACCTCAAGAGTCAAAATTCAAGAAGGAACTGGAGGCTGCGGAGCAAAAGCGGTTGCAAATGGAAGCGAGGACAAAGGCGATCGAGGCCAGAGGCAAGGAACGCAAGGCTATGGCGAAAGCGAAGCGACCTGGTAAGAATGGCAAGCAGAAGCTAGGTCGTCAAAGCACGGTGTTGCTCAATCGTGTTGAGCGGTTGATGGGCGAGGGCACTATCTGAGGCCGCTCTTGGCTTCTTCCGACATGAGTGCATATGAGCACTCGGCCAACACACGGTGGCCACATCATTGGTCGTACTCATTCCCCTGAGTCTTGCGATTCTGCTTTCAGAGGCTACTTCTTGCGACTTGCTAGCCACATTGCGACCATCAAATCCGTAAGGTTCAGCTTCGCCAGTATCTGAAGCTAGATTGCAGTTGGTGCCTCCAATTTGATGGTGATCTGTAGACCTTGATTGCGGACAGACGCGTGTAATGCTCTGCTATGCTGAGAGGCCTGGGGCCTCGCGCGAGGTATCGAATGTCCTCGGATCCTTGATCATGGTCTTAAGAAGCATCGTCTGATCGGCCATCTGGTGGTACATTGACGCTTCTGGACATGCCCATCACCACATTATCCAGTTGCTTCAAGCATTCGCGCATTTCTTTCCGCTTCTCTCTCCGCTGCCTCTCCACATTTCTCACCTCTTCGGCCAAGCGCTGAATCTCCTCGTTCTGCTCCTGTTCTCCTGTACCAATTCCAGGCAGCCGCCGGATGAGATATTCGATTTGTTGACCTTTCCTGACCAAGTCTTCGGCCAGGTCCTGTTGTGCTTGATCGAACTCATTGGGAGATTTGGGCTGAAGATCCATATTGTCGGGATCGGAATCCTCGGGACCCAATTTGTAAGTTACGTACTTGTGTCTGCCAGAATGTCCATCCGCAAGCTTTGCATCTTTGGGAGGGATGCTGTAGGCATCACCAGGAATCTCATCTGGAGCAATCAACGGATGTCGGCGATGATGGTAGCTGATGGTGGAAAAGAACTGTATCAATAGCTGATCATAGCATGTTTGCAGTTGTGTCAGGATATCTGATGACATGTTGCCGACTCGAAATGGTTTCGTATGCTGAAGCAGCTTGCTGAACCAGGCGGGACGGAATAAATGTAAGTACACAGACGAGGCGACCAGGAAGCCAGTTGCCTGTAGGAAATAAGCTCGCTATCTCCAGGGAATGCGGGCTGCGGGCTGGACCGCGGGTGCTCGAATGTTCGTTGCCTTCGTCTCCGTTGCGCATCATCCTCTTCTTAGGTCATCCTGTATAGTCATTCCAACGACTTCCAACCCTCATGACCAGATTTTTAGTGATCTGTACTTGCCTTACATCGAAGTCGTAGTCTTCCACGCCAGCGACTATGGGCATACGTTTTCACATGCTGTTGTTCATTTAGCCATCAGTAGCGTCGCTCACGCCCCGCCCAACAACTGTGGCAATCTAACGATATGCATCACTCGTTCACCGGGAGTGCACGCAAGCCCAGACAAGTCAATCTCTCCGGAAGGCCTTCTTCGAATCCTTGGGCAAGCCTTCCGGGATCCACAAACAAACCTGCGCAGAGTAGTACCACCCTCGCTAATGCGCAGGCCGATCGAGTCCGCCGCCAGCACGAAAGAGACCGATTGAACGCTTCCCGCCAGCTGCAAAGAACATGGAGAGGTCATTCGAGTCGGCGTCAGCAAAGAGCCAAGTTCAGAGCAGAGTGGGATCAAAAGGAGGCTGCTCGGCTGAACCAGGTTCAGGTTGACTATACTGAGGTCCTCAACACGACTTTTGCCGGGGCTACATATGAAAGCAGTAAGCAACTCGGCGAACAGCTTCGATTACTGGTCGGGTTCCAAGAATATCGCAAACATGAGGTGAGAAACGAAAAGGACACGACGAGACTAGTATACTTTGCCTCCGCCCTCCGCCGTTCAGATGTCGATACTACCGATCCGTCAATGCGGTTAAGATTACGCAAATTGGGGATACATGCCGCGAGGCATATCAAGAGCATCAGGACAGCGAAATCTGTGGCCCCTAGAAATCAAGATCTAATTCAGCTTGCACGGCTAATCCTACTCCTTTCGAGTCTGATACCTGACGAAATGATGCAATCTTCGCCGCTGTTCATGGAGGTCCTCAAGGGCCTGGTCGATGTCAGTTGCGCTACAGATGTTCAATCAGCCGGTACTGCTGCCATTATCGGCGTGCTTTCTGCTCCCTCATCTTCATCCATGATCGGCTACCAAGCCTTTGCAACTCAACTTCTTGGAAACGAATCTCTCTCACAGAATAGCCATGTATTGGAAGCATTCGCATCGTCAGTCAGCCGTCGTTCACTCCTTCGAGCCTTGCGTTCTCCGATGAGCACGACCCCACCCAAGTCACAGATCTGGCAGCTAGCATACCTGATATGGATCGAACGTCAGGCACATGGCAAGATTTCTGTTGTTGAGAAGTCGGAATTTATCCAAGCATTGTCAGCACTTTTAGGGGCATGTGCAAACGAGATTTGCGACCGACTCGGCATTCTCGATGTGCCAATGAACGTGGCCGACAGTGATGGTTTCTTTCCACTGGAGCCTTTCGTCCTGGAGAACCTCCGAGCAATTAGCGAGGAGCAGGCAGTTCGTGAAGCGATCCTAATTGTCAGTCGGCGAGAAGTTGCCAACGGGACTCAGCAAGCATCGGATTTCGATGCTACGAGGCGGCTAGCAGACTACGCTGTATCGATGCTTCGTGCTTTCTCTTCCAACGGCGACAAGGCACGGAACATAAGACAATGGCTGTGGCAAACGACAGTCACGACTTCAACCGGCGCTAGCATATCAACACTACAGTATCTCTGGGACACGATCTCACAGACCAGAGTCTTCAAGAAGATATGCCAGAGCCATCGTAGCGTTCTATCTGCCCTCCGCGAGGCAAGCCCGGAGACAAACCAGATCGGCCGACCGGCCCCAGGCGAAGAAGAACTTGAGCATTGGCGCGTGGAGTGGCGCATCATTCTTCTTTTCATGGAGCTGTACTCTTTTGTGCTGCAAGTAATAGAAGACGACGAGTTCTTCTCTGGAGCTCAGAATCTTGGTGATGAAGCTTCGAGAACAGCATCTTATTCTGGCCGTAGAGGGCTTGCCCTGCAGGACGCAGCCGCCTTGACGACCTTTTTAAAGAACTTGACATTCGTGCTGTACTGGAATGCGGCCGACCTAGTCCCAAGCACAGAAGTGGAAGAACTCGGAGCCTTCGCAAGTCTCTTCGGAGCTCCTCAGTCTTCTCGATTTGACGGTTCCAAAGGCTCTACGGAGAGACCCAAAGATCAGGCTCTGGCCGGCAATGGTGTGTCACACACTTACCTCAAGGGTTTGTCGACTTCACTACTGCGCATGCTCCATGAGCGAGACTCGAGAAGAAAATTCGTCCCCACGGACCACTGGCTCATGACGAGCCAGGTCGATATGACTGGCTTCATTTCGGCTGTGGTAGACGAAGAGGAGAAAAGGCACCAGATGGTCGATGAAGATGAGCCCAACGAGGACGATTCAATTGAAGAAGATCTGGTGACAGCCGCTAGCCAGTCTCCGCGGTCAATGTTTGCGCAGCTCATGTCTGGGAGTGGAGGCTTCAACTACGCCGCAGCCACGTCACGACACGGGCAAGCCGAGCGGCGGAAGCTGCAGGCTCGGAAGAAGCGTATGATAGAGTCTCTGGCCCCTCGACTGGAAATATTGCGGAACTTGCCCTTTTTCATCCCATTCGAAACTAGAGTTCAGATATTCCGCGAGTTCGTCTACAAGGACCAGCTGCGTCGACGAGCGGGTCATGTGGATCCTGACATCTGGCGTATGAGTGTTGCTCGTAACACGATGGGTAGGGAGATTGATGGACGATCTCCTGGCCACGATATCATCAGCCGTCAACACGCGGAGATTCGCCGTGAATCTGTCTTTGAAGATGCCTACGAAAGTTACTATCCCCTGGGTGACAAGTTGAAAGAGCCCATTCAGATCAGCTTCATTGATAAATTTGGTGCACCAGAAGCTGGCATTGATGGTGGAGGCGTGACCAAGGAATTCCTAACCAGTGTCACCAGCGAGGCACTGGATCCGAACCGGAGCATGGCCATGTTTTCGGAGAATGCTCAACACTACCTCTATCCGAATCCCGTGATATGGCAGGAGACGCAAGAAAATCTTCGCCGGATGGGGCTGAAGGAGGGAAGTGAGGCTCGAAATCACCATCTACGAGAATTTCTCCGGCGCTACGAATTTTTGGGTCGTGTCATCGGAAAGTGCTTGTATGAGGGTATCTTGATTGATATCAACTTTGCTGGATTCTTTCTGCTGAAGTGGGCTTTGACAGGAGGCAGCACGGTGGCTACCAAGGAGACGGGTTATCGAGCTTCGATCAATGACCTTCGGGAGTATGATGAAGAGCTGTACCAAGGCTTACTTAAGCTGAAGTACTACCCGGGCGATGTGGAGGCAGACTTTGGGCTCAACTTCACTGTCAACGATACCCTGCATTTGACGGACAGCGATGGAAAGGAGACGGAAGTGGTCAAGACGATCAAACTGTATCCTGACGGTGCCAACAAGGTGGTGGACAACGTGTGGCGGCACATTTATATTGACAGAATGGTCAGGTATCGCCTGCAAGACCAGCCTGAGAGAGTGACGAGTGCGTTTCTACAGGGGCTGGGACAGATCGTCTCACCGAGCTGGCTGGCCATGTTCAACCAGAAGGAGCTGCAAAAGCTTGTGGGCGGCGACAACACAGATCTCGACATTGCGGACCTTCGGCGCAACACGCAGTATGGCGGATTATATGTGATTGGAGACGACGGGTTGGAGCATCCTACCGTGGAGCTTTTCTGGAAGGCCATGCAGGAGATGGACGATGCAGACCGCCGCCGGGTGTTGAAATTCGTCACCAGTACACCTCGAGCACCGTTGTTGGGCTTCAGCAACCTCAACCCCAAATTCAGCATTCGCGACTCGAGCGCGGATCAGGAACGCCTCCCAAGCACAAGTACTTGTGTGAATCTGTTGAAGCTGCCACGGTATGGAGATCTGCAGACGATGAAGGACAAGCTGCTCTATGCGGCGAATTCGGGCGCCGGCTTTGATCTCTCTTGAGGCAGACTGATAGAGCTTCATCTAGCGTTTAGCGTGCATAGCAAGCAAGGGACGCTGCTTGAATGACTTGCATAGAGATAGAAGAATGACCCAACCATGATACCCCACCACATCTGCTAGTCGCTTCACCAACTGCCTGAGGTGCTCTACCGGCCAAGCTTGGGGCCTGTCTCCATGCGGCGAACATGACCCCTGAGCGCACATGATGCAGTTGGGCGGTTTGCATCGTGACACAATTCAGATATCCGAAATTCTGGTAACGAATCAATCTGTGCAGCAACAGCACGCCCCTTGATAACGTTCTTTCTGGCAGGGCCAAAAGCAATCGACCACCCCGCCGCAGCCCTCGACGCGTGGAGCTTCTCAATCAACCTGTGGGCTCTGGGCTTCCCTGTTCGCCCGCCTGGTCCTAACTTCTGCCAGCCCACCCGTCTCCCGTCTCCCCACATGTGACGATTCCACCTTGAGCAGCCGCTTCTGTCATTTTAAAGACTGCCTTTACGCACCGATGTCGAATGCACAACAGCACGCGATCTCGCAGTCTCCGCTCGAGTACGCAGTATCGTGATAACCCTGACGAATCGTCTGGCCCGGCCGTCGAGCTCACCGTCCTTCAGCCTTCCGGAAGGGCTGCGCAATCAACCGCGACAAAACGAGAGCTTCGTCGTCAACAACAGAGGCTCGAGAAACTCGAGTCTCTCGCCGAGCGCGAAGAGATGAAATTCTCCCACAGCATTCAATTTAATGCTGTACCTGATTGGAGCAACCACTACATCTCCTACAGCAATCTGAAAAAGCTGATTTATACACTTGAGAAGCAGATCAATCAGAAGCCGACCGCTGGTCAAGATGAAGAGAACAGTGCCCTGCTGGGCGGGCAGTTGGACCCTGACACAACCTTCAAGCGTATGCTGGACAGTGAGCTTGACAAAGTCTGCTCGTTCTACAGATTGAAAGAGCTGGAAATATTCGGAGAGCTTGAACAACTTCTTAAAGATGTCGAGCACTACAAGGCCGAGACACAGGATGTTGATATGGATGAAGTGGTAGACGCCGAAAACCGCAGAAGGGTGAATAGGTCTTCCAGCATATTTCAGATGCCGTTCCGGCGGAAAAGAAGGGCGTCCACCTTAAGCGCCAGCCTGGAGGAGCCAGAGCTTGAGGACGATAGCGACAGCGATGCTGACGATAATTCGGCTATGCTGCGAAAAACAAAGTCACGCCCAAACAAGCCACGGAGTAAGAGTGTATGGGATGGCGGATCTGCCCTGGATGGAATGGCTGATTCGAGGGAAGACTTGAGACTCGCACAAGACTCAGCCTCAATGTTGCGTCGGCGACCAAGCATGGCGATGGAGTTGGAGCAGAATGAGCCTGGCCAGCTGTCTGCCCTCTACGATTCTGGCATCAACGTCAAGAAGCGCATCATCAACCTATACGTCTCATTGTGTGAGCTGAAGTCATTTATCCAGCTAAATCAGACTGGCTTCAAAAAGGCGACCAAGAAGTACGACAAGGTCTGCAATCGCGATATCCGCAAGAACTACATGGAGAAGTCGGTTAGTCCGTCATATCCATTCCGAGAAACGACCCTTGCCCATGTGGACGAGCACATCCGGCAAATTGAGAGCACGTACGCAGAAGTCGTCACCAAGGGCGATCTGCCTCTCGCGCGCCGTGAGCTCCGTCTTCATCTGAGAGAGCATGTTGTGTGGGAGCGCAACACCGTCTGGCGAGAGATGATTGGCATTGAGCGCAAGACCCAAGCAGCCAACTTTGGCCTCCGGCAGACTCTCCTCGGCGGCAACAATGACCCTTCCAAAGCTCGCCTACAAGGTGATCAGGAAGATCCTAAGACGAAAGAGTTCCAGACACCTGTCGGCCGCTATCATCTGCCGCGATGGATGGTCTCGTCCACCTTCCTCACCTTGCTCGTCATTCTCTCCATATTCATCCTTCTTCTCGCCATTCCCATCATGAAGAAACCGGAACAACAGAACTGCCTCGCGATGCTCGTCTTTGTCTCACTTCTGTGGGCTACGGAAGCAATCCCCCTGTTCGTCACATCCCTGCTTGTTCCTTTCCTAGTGGTCATCCTGCGCATTATGCGCTCCGAAGACAAGCCACATACTCGACTCGACTCTGCTGCAGCCACCAAAGCCGTCTTCGCCGCCATGTGGACGCCTGTTATCATGCTCTTACTAGGCGGCTTCACCATTGCCGCGGCCCTCAGCAAATACGACATTGCGAAGATGATGGCGACCTTCGTGCTCAGCAAAGCCGGTACCCGCGCTAGAACTGTGCTTATCACTAACATGTTCGTTGCGATGTTCCTGTCAATGTGGATTAGCAACGTGGCGGCTCCCGTCCTATGCTTTTCCATTATTCAGCCAATTTTGCGCAACCTGCCGGCGGATTCGAACATGAGTAAGGCACTCATTCTCGGCATCGCCCTGGCTAGTAACATCGGTGGTGCCGCCTCTCCTATCGCTTCGCCGCAGAACATCATCGCGCTCCAGAACATGCATCCCGGTCCTAGCTGGGGCATATGGTTCTTCGTCGCGTTGCCCGTCTGTATTATCACGATCCTGTTAATCTGGCTGCTGCTCCTGGTCTCCTTCAAACCCGGTCGTGGAACCACCATCGTCCCTATCCGTCGCATGAAGGACCGGCTAAACGGCGTGCAGTACTTCATCATCTTCGTGACGCTCGCCACGATCGTGCTGTGGTGTACAAGCCACCAGCTCTCCTCGATCTTCGGCGACATGGGTGTCATCGCCATCATTCCCCTAGTGCTCTTCTTCGGTACCGGCATCCTCACAAAAGAAGACTTCAACAACTTCCTCTGGACCATCATCATCCTGGCTGCCGGCGGGCTCTCGCTTGGCAAAGCCGTGAGCTCCTCGGGTCTGCTGCACACCATCGCCAAGAGCATCACGGACAGCGTCTCCGACTTCTCCATCTACGGCGTCTTGCTGGTGTTTGCGGGCCTGATCCTCGTCGTAGCCACCTTCATCAGCCACACGGTCGCGGCCCTCATCATCCTGCCGCTCGTGCAGCAGGTCGGCGCCAACATGAAGGACCCGCACCCGAATCTGCTGGTCATGGGTGGCGCGCTCATGTGCAGTGCCGCCATGGGTCTGCCGACCAGTGGATTTCCAAACATGAGTAAGTTGATATAAACCCCCTTTCTATTTCTTTTCCTCGGCGCTCCCTCTCTATCTTTCTCCTCATGGATTAGGCGCTAGCAGTGCTGACGTATCAACCAGCGGCCATCATGATGGAGGTCCCCGAGACGGGCGTGCGCTACCTGCGCGTCCAGCACTTCCTGACGCGCGGCGTCCCCAGCAGTATCCTGGCCGGCGCAACCATCGTCACGGTTGGGTATGGTTTGATGGTTGCGGCGGGTTTGTAAGACTCTGACATCCTGACCCCCTTGTTTGAGCTCTTTGTATGGGAATGAGGGAGCTATTGGGCTCGCACCGAGCAGGTTCATTGCGGTAGGAGTGGTAGCTGCGTAAGCTGCGCTTTTGGGCGGTTCATGGGAAGGTGTCTTGGAAGTGGATGGGGGTGCTGGCAAGAAAGACTTGGTCATATTGGATAGGATAGGACTATACTAGGTAGCTTCAACCGTACGATATTCAGGTCTGTGTAGAATGTCAATCCACTTGCATTGTGTCTCTCTTGCTGCTATCTATCGGTATAGCACCCCGTCTGATATAGCGCTGATATAGGAGCCTGGGCGTCACCTCCCACGGTCTCAAGACATGCTTGAATGCGTAAGCCAATACACATATTCTATTGGGGTATCTTCTGTGCGACGTAACGAAGATATACGCATCTTGTACAGCAAGGACATTTGAGCCCACTTGTGCGCCGAGGTCCGTATGGAGGGCATAGTCCTCCATACGTTAAGGGCGATGCTGTCCTTCGGGCGTACCGCCAAGCGCCGCACCCACGCTTTCCATTCTAGTTTATTGCCGTGCGATTCAGATCATTGGGTCGGATGGGCACATCTCCATATTCTCCTCGTGGCCTGGGGCGATCTGCTCTCTTCGCACTGTATCGCAACTGCGACTGTAAGGCCGTGTTTTGATGCTGCGGCGGGCCTTGAAGGCGGTGGCATGGGTCGCATGCTCCTCATGGCTTCGTAGTCGAATTTGTCTCGTCTGTTGGCGGTTTTTGGTGTGGGCTCTCATCGGGAGGAGAATCGGTGCGCTTCCGCGATTCGTTGCCCTGCTTTTAGAAGAATGATCTCCGTTTTGCTTCGCTAGGGTCATAGGCTAGAGTGCGTTACAGCGCGGCAGGTGTATTTCGCAGATGGCGTGCGCAGTATCGATGTGATGGCTTGGTGTCTGATCAAAAGTAATCCTGAGCCACGCTGCGACTGTCGTTATTGCAGGGGGTGATGTTGTCTGATATGCTGCGCCGTAATGGCTGGCAGGGTTGGATTGAGGCCTTCACCTGTAGAGACACATGTTCAACCCACGGCGTTCCCATTTTCGGCATTCATCTTTTTGCCCCTTCGAACGACGTAGTACTTGCCCCAACGCCGACCCTCTTCCTCCCCGCTCGGTTTAAGGTCTTCCCACAGGAACCTCTCTGCGCCGCCATCATCACTGGCCTTCTCCGCCTCTTCTTCCCGCATGCGCTTTTGCTCCGCCTCAGCGGCAGCTCTGAGATCTGTTTTCCGCCTCCGCACGGTACCATTACGTCCGACTTTGGCCTCGTTGTCCAACCATGGCTGCAGGTCCGCGAGGGTCACCTGGCGTTCTTGCTTTGCCGCTTCTGTCTCGTCGCGAATGGCGACCAGCGGCTCGACGTCGGATGTATCGACCGACTGCAGATGCTTCACGAAGTGGACTTGGCTGCGGAGGTCGTGGAGGAGACGCGACTCCTCTTCTGCAGAACGCGGAAGGGGCAGCGCGGAGAGGCGGAGCAGGTGGTGCAGCTTCTGAGGCGTGATTTCGTCTTCGAGTGTGTCTGGGGCGGCCGCAGAGCCGGAAGGTGCGTCAACCGTCGATGCCTCTTCGGCCCCGATCGATGTTTCTGCTGGAGACGGCGTCTGTTCTTTGCGAAGGTTGCCGGGGGGGAGCAGAGACCGGACGCTCCAGGTAGGACTCTCGAGTAGTCGATCAATGCTTTTTGCAGGCGCGAGTTTAAGGACAGGGTTGGGGGAGATGTACTTCGTCCAGTCAGAACCACGCTGGACGAAACGCACCAGCGGACGGCCAGGCCAGCTCATCGTGGGAGGTACTTCCGATCAGAACATTTGTCGGCGGAATTATCTGAATGGACGGTTGTTCGCTGCAAGTATGCAGCCAGCCGGAGATAGCCGGAGTCGTGACTGACCGTTGGGCCTATACCGAAGTCGATCTAGTGGTGGCTACGATTACCCCCCAGGCCACCTCCTCTTGCAGTGACCAAAATGCTCTCTTCTGTCCCGTAATCGCCTCTGACTGTTGACGATAACTACAACGGTTGTGTGTTCATCCAGATTTGAGCGAGTCACCTAGCATGCTGAAGCCTCGGGCTGCTGCAACTGCCAGTGGTGCGTGGACCTAGCAGACCCCATTGTGAAACCACCTCGAGTCTCGGGGGGTTGTACCTTCGCATGTCTTCCTGATTGACAACTGAGTAAGCTCTTCTCATTCAAGGACGGATATAGATCGTAACATTATATCTGACCTAAGCCAACGAGGCATACACCGAGCGCCCAACAGCCGCTTTTGGGCACCGATCTACAGCGTAATTGCCGGCCTTCTATAATAACAGCCTGTGTTGCTGACCTTGCCAGTATGCCTGCTGTAAGACTTCAGGCCCGTTGGTCTTATATAAGACGAACGGCATCCGACGCCCTCGAGCCTCGAAACTCTTAAAGCTGCTCAGCTACATCGCTGAATCCCACGTCTGGCGAATCAACGAGACGCTGCCCCTAAAATGGGCCAGTGATTCTGGGCGGGTGGCTCTCTTGGGGGATGCCTGCCATGCTGTTCTACCAAATGTTGGCGAAGGTGGGGGACTGGCCGTGGAAGATGCTGCGACACTGGCCGAGTGTCTCGCTCGAGCAGAGTCTGAGCATGACATTCCCCGAGTATTGCGGGCGTATCAGCAGATCCGAGAACCTCGATGCAAGATGGTGCAGGCGAAGGCGAGAATGCTCCGAGGAGGCATGATGTTGCACGACGGTCCTGCACAACAAGGTAGAGATGAGACATTTAAGAGTTTCAGGTCGTGGCAGTTCAACGAGCCGTGGGTTGGAGAGCATATCGATGAGCTGCCGGCTAGTGTTATTGCGTCCAACTACATGGCATGGCAAAATGGGCACGATGCTGCCCTCTATGTAAGTCTTGTTCGCCATTGCCCATTTGTGGATTTCGTAGCTCATGTTTGGCAGGCCAACCATATGCTGGATCCAATGTCCAGTGCTGCGTCAGCAGAGGCGGTCTACGACGTTACCAATGGCGGGAATAGTTGAATGCGAGCTGTGCATTGGCAGGCAAAGTACACATCTATACACGACGTAGGCAAGCCCAAGCGCTCGACAGGGATGTTTCAGGCTATGTCTTCTGGTTATCGGAATTTAAGGGTCGCGACAAGCCACATGCAGCCACCGCTCTTGGAAATTGCTACTGTGTCGCACCGCTGGGGCTCAAAATAGCTTCAAGGCTGAATGCCATCTGGTCATCATCTACCACGCCAACGCCAGCGCATTCGTTCTGGAGGATGTGATCGCAGAACAGTGCTACACCGTAATCGCAATACCCTGGGCCTCCCTGACCCACGAATGGCTACTAGCCAGGCTTCGCCCGCTAGGGTTGGCCCCGAAGGACTGATCTACCAGGCCTTGTTAGCGAGGCCCCGCGTTTTGGATTGATGCTTAAAGTAGCCTAGTTTTTGCGAGGCTGACCAGGCGTGTGCCTTGCTTAAGCGACAGGCCCACAAGCCTGGGCCACCACCCCTTTGACTGCGACTAGCTAGAAAATCACGATCACGAAAACAAAGAAACCTCCTCGACCGGTCGAGCGTGTCGAGCTTGTCGCGACTTCGTTGATTTCCGCCATCGACGTTCGTACATCTGGACTGTCGCTAGCATGGACGCTGGTGATTCTAGGAAGCTCGGCTCCTTTCCTGGCTCGACCATTACCAAAAAGTCGATGAACTTTCTGCGAGACGCCTATACTTTGGCCCAGAACAGCTTCAACGATCGCCCCGAGGCTGGGCAGCCTGCATCAGCAGGATTGTCGCATCATTTCAGCAACAGCAGCTCGCACTATCAACATTCGCCATATCTACAACCATCGTCGGCGCTATCTCCACACCCACCGCCGCAACAATGGCCTCGCCCACCGCCCTCGCCGAACAGACCACAAACTTCTCACACGCCTTCACCTGCTGGACCCTATGTGCACAAGCCTCCTCCGCCTCCCCCAAACCAAGCCAACGTAAATTATGTCCCTGGTCAGGGCATGGTGTCCAAACCCTATGCGAATAGCCCTTCTTTCCCGCAGAGGCATAGTTCAAATGCATCGGTTTCTGACCCTGGTGCCAATCTGCCGCCTCCACCACCTTATACGCCATCCCAGCATGCCCCTGGCTCGCATCCGACACAATCGCAACACCAGCAGCAACCTAGCTGGAGCAGTTCGCAGCATCAACACCCAGCCCAGTCGCCATCCACAGGCCAGGAAGGTTGGTCTCAGCGACCCCCATCTCATCCGAACCAACCTCAAGCAAGCCATCAAACCGAGCAACATCAGACTCAATGGCATCAGCCCACTCAGTACCACCATCAAGCAACACCTCCGTCTACAAGCCCTCGGCCCGAGCTGCAACAGCCAGCTTGGAGTTCAGTAGGTCCACCTCAGCAGCCCCCTGCGAGCCCTCAGCCTGAACAACACCAACAACAGTGGAATCACCCCTCTCAGTACCAACAGCACATGCCGCCTCCGTCCACGAGCCCTCGACCCGAGCAGCATCAGCCTATCTGGAATACAGCACCACCAGCCCAGCAGCCGACATATCAGGCATACTCTCCAACTCACCCGCCTCCGAACATGCATCGCCCACAGCCCTCACCCCCGATACCGCAACAACATCCGAGCGCACCAGATGTTCAGTATCGTCCTTACCAATACCAACCGCATCACGCCAACACATACCCGTCTAGTGGCTTGACCCATAGACCATCCACCTCTTATTCACACCACTCTCAGACTCACGAAGCAGCACCGCCTCTGCCAGACCGTCCAACGCCGCCTCTGCCGCAACGCCCTCAATGGCAGCAACCTCCCTCGCCACAACCAATGCAAGCGCCCTACCAACCGCCGCCGCCGCCAGCAGGTTATGCAGAGCTTCCATCGCCGCCTCAGCAGCCACCTGTGTCGCAGCATCAAACATACTTCACTCCGCCGCCGCCGGGGATAGCAGAAATGAGTGGAGAGTCGGTATTACCAAGCCAGAAACCACCATTGCAACAGCAACAGCAGTATCACGCACATTCCGGAAATGACAGTAAGCCCCCGGCGCGAAATCAAGGCCAGCACGGCGGGCACAGTGTTCCTCAGATTGCGGAATTGCCTGGTTGAATATATACGTACTATGCCCGCGTAGCCTGCGCAAATCGTATGATGTCGAAACGTATACCACCTTTATATCTATGGCAGATTTTGATGTCTATGCATGATGCTAGAATATGCTGCATCTGTATCAGTCGAACACAGCTCCTGCGCTACTACCGAGTCCTACCAACATGCTGTGTTTCAGAGTGCCCTTCCCCCGCACAAGGCAGATCCGCTGTTGGCTGTTGCCTAATATGTGGGGGCCAAGGCAAAGCCCGTAGGCGGCACGGCCAAGATTACAGCGAAGCTGCCCTTGTCGATCGCTCATCGTGACACATTCGGGAGCTCCTGGTATACGGCCTACTACTGTAGGACCTGAAGCCTCCTTGCCTGATCCATCTCTTCACTCCCACTCCTTTCCTTCTCCAGGTCGCTGACTGTGTTCCTTTGTCGGCTCTCAACGCTCAGATCCCGAAGCTCTTCTTCTGTGACCGCAGACATACAGCGTTGCATTCGACTATTTGCCCAACATGGCCGCCAATCAACCACGTTCTACTGTCTCCGGCGAGCAACCTCGTCCTCCATCTCCTACCTCCACGTTCTACGCTCACACCTCTGCCCCACGCGTGAATACAGACGCCACGCTTCACGCATCCATCCGCGCCGCCCATCCCACCAGCACGATCACCATCATCCCCGAGTTCAACTCCCCTTTCAAGCTCTATGCCCAAGCCACCTCCAACGCAACCATCACTCCCCTTTCCCCAGACTCTACACTCTCTTGGCTCCTCTACTTTCCCCCACCCCGACGTCTCGACGGCGGAGCTGGCGTACTGGCAACCGAGACTTTCTACGAGGTCTACCTCCTGCACTACAAATCCGCCGAGTTCCTAGTCTACTTCGCCGACGGGCGCGACGGCACAAGCCCGTACCCACAGATTCGTAATCAGTACGTCGTCAGCACCGCCTCCGACGCCGCGGGCCCGCTCACCACGCTGGTGCGCGAGGCGGGCCAGTGGCTCAGCGCACTGAACGAGGAGATCTGGGTCTTCGACCAGGGCTACTGGCAGAAGGACGCGGAGTTGTACCACAACATCATGCAATCCACCTGGGACAACGTCATCCTGCACGAGGAGCTCAAGGACGACCTCATCAGCACTGTGTCCCGCTTCTTCGACTCGCGCGACGACTATGACCGTCTGGGCGTACCGTGGAAGCGCGGCTTGATCTTCTACGGCCCTCCCGGTAATGGTAAGACGGTCAGCATCAAGGCGACGATGCACACACTCTATAAACGTAGAGCCGCCGTGCCGTCACTATACGTCAAGAGCCTCCAGAGTTTCGCGGGGCCGGAGTACAGCATCAGCGCCATTTTCGGACGCGCACGCGCTGAGGCGCCCTGCTACTTGGTGTTCGAGGATCTGGATAGCATGGTCACCGACGACGTCCGCAGCTTCTTCCTGAACGCCGTGGACGGCTTGGCCATCAATGAGGGCGTTCTGATGGTAGGCAGTACCAACCATCTGGAACGCTTGGATCCGGGCATCGCGAAGCGCCCGAGTCGCTTCGATCGCAAGTATTTGTTTGATGATCCGGATAAGGAGTTGCGGACTAGATATGCGGAGTTTTGGCGGAAGAAGGTGAGGGATGCCGGCGAGGGGAAGGGAACGGAAGGTGTCCATGACCGGAAGGAGAAAGAGGGCGAAGTCGAATTCCCCAAGGTCCTGTGCGAGAAGATCGCCGGCATCACCGACGGCTTCAGCTTCGCGTACATGCAGGAAGCGTTCGTGAGCGCGCTGCTGGTCATTGCGACGAGGCAGCGGGAGGGCACGGACTCGAGAGGAGACGAGGTGAAGATGTTGGGGGAGCAGTGGGAGTTGTTGGACCTAGAGGAGAACGAGAAGGCTAGTGATGGTGGGAATGGTGATGATGGTGATGATAAAGACCTGGACAAGTACGTCTTGTGGAGGGAGATCAAGAAGCAGGTCGAGACGCTGAGAAAGGAGATGGATAAGAAGAAGGGAGATTGAGACTGCAACGGGTGTCATATACAGACGAACTGTTAGGCTTGGCGTTTGGATTTATACACAGCTAAATTCATTGATTTGATGATCACAGATAAGACCTGGAGCATTCTACCCATCTTTGGTGTCATGGTCGGTCAGCAGCGCCGGCCTCAAAGCTGTTGGGAAAGTTCTACGTGGAGACCATATCTTGAAGCTGGTCGCCATATATGAAAGTTACCTCGTGGGACTGGAGATAGACACGTCCTCACGTTCCGGCGCAGCAGAGCTTGTCATCTTCTCACCTTTCCCACGTTTTTATTGCGCGCACGAAAGGGGTTTTGTCAAAACTGGGGGTTGGCATATGTTGTCGTGGTCATCATAAGTTCATCCCTCTCTGAACCCCTTAAACCCCCGAACCCCAGATTCTATGATATTCCACTTCTATATATACTTCTATCGCATCCATCCATCCAGCCAGCCAGCCAGCCAACCAGCCAGCTCCACTTCCCACCTAACCTCCGAATTTCAGTCCGCACGGCACAAAGAAAGCGATCAGCACACTTAACACAACCTCCCCCTCCTCCTTCCCTTCACAAGGCAGCAGTAGCTCCGCTTCCCCGGCCCGCGCGCTCCCGCTCTCGCTGCGCCTCCCTCCATTCCCCAACCACACCCCGATAATCCTCCTGCGTATACGCCTCAAACAACTCCCTCCACCACCAACACCACCCACCCTTCCTCTTAGTCCGGAGGCCCAGGTCCCCCAGCCACACGTCAAAGCAGGGTAACTGGTCAAAGACCGCGTCCGGATAGTAGCGTCCGTGCCCGTAGGGGGCGCGCAGCTGCCAGTAGCGGCTCCAGAGCGCCGTTTGCTCAAACACGTCATCGACGCGCTGCTCCTGCTCCTGCTCCTGCTCCTGCTGGTACTGCTGCTGCTGGGGGCCCCCTTCAGGAGTCCGGGGGAAATGGGAATGGAGATGCGGCACCGCGCCACACAGGTACGCCCACGCCCACAGACACTGCAGCTCCAGGCGGATGGTGTTGCTGATGTTGGAGAACATGCCCAAAAACACCAGATCGTGGTCGCCCTGGGCCGTGGGGCCCGGGGGCGCGATGCCGCGGTACAGCCGCCAGGGGGTGAAGGAGGCGTTGGCGTCGGGTTGCGAATGGAAGGGTTTCACCTCGGTGGAGTTCGGGGAGCGGAAGGGTCCGTGGACGAGGCGGGGGAAGATGGAGGCGATGTGCTCGTCGGCAAGGGTGGTGAGGTGGGCCCAGAATTTGGTTTGGGAGGGGGTGAGGTCGTTGGAGGGGAGGCCGAGGTCGGAGTGTGTGCTGGAGGGGTGGAAGGTGATGGCGGGCTGGGCGGAGAAGCCGGTGGCGGTGATGAGGGCGTCGGCGGGGAGGGTGGTGGAGGAGGAGAGGGTGATGCTGTGTGAGGCGAAGGAGGTGATGTCGGCGCGGTGAATGGTGACGGCGCCGGAGCGGATGTAGGAGTAGAGGTCGTTGTTTGGTGGGTAGTTGTACACGCCCGAGGCGGTTCCGTACCAGAAGGGACTCTGCTCTGGCTCGAGGATGTTGAGCTCTTTCTCCTTAGCGTACTGGCAGTCTCGCAGGGTGGCGTGGTGGATGTCACCCCAGAAGGCCTGCGTCACCTTCTTGCCCAGCCATGTGTGGTGCAGGAAGTTGCGCAGCCAGCCCATACCGTCGTCCCAGAGCCAGGGTGAGAAACAGGAGATGAATCTCCTCACGGGTAGGCGCTCTCGCCAAGCATTGATAGGTCCTAATTGTGTGTATGGCGGGAACACCCACACAGGTCCTTTGCCGGAGGCGCGGATGATCCAGTGCACATTCTTGCCCTTGGAAGCGGCCAGGTAGACGGCGTCGTAAGCGGACTTGGCGCCGCCGAGGACAGCGACGTGCTCAACGCCTTTAGATGTCACACTGTCAGATTGCTTCCCGAGTTCAGCAGAGTGAATGATGGGGCATCCGAATTCAGCAACGTCGGGTAATTGAGGACGATGGGGCCGGTTGGTGATGCCAGTGGCAACGATGAGCTTCTTGGTCTGCATATCCTGCTCGGAGCCGTCTGCTTTCCGAACGCGCACATTCCAGCCATCGGTGTTAGGGCTCAGCCGCGATACCTCTTTGACGTATGTTTCGTAGTCAATGCGTCGGGGAATGTCCCATTTGGCGGCATACTTCTGCAAGTAGTCATGCATCACCTCTCCCGGAATATGGGAGCCAGCAGGGACAAAAGAGTCGTCCATAGGAAAGTCGGAGAAGTCGACACCACCTCTCAGATTGTTGGTGTTGAGGCCTGGGTACAAGTTCTCTTTGGCCCAGACGCCGCCGAGAGTCTTGTTCTGAAGACAAGGTCAATATGCGCCCGCAGACTGAATTAGGAGGACGCGTACCCCATCGATAAGTCTAAGGTTGATGCCGCCATCATCACACTCGAGGATCGTTCTGGCAGCACAGAGTCCTGAAGGTCCTGTTCAGACACTGTTAGCCTGATGAAGTGGGGCAACATTCACTGCCTGATCTTGTCAGTACTCACCAGCTCCGATGATCAACACGTCGAACATGATGATGTTGCTTGTGACACAAGAATGGCAACCACTGTCAGGGCCAGGAGTACAAGAGGGTATCCCTGCCGCATTGAAATCTGATGTATGCAACAGAGGTCAGTGTTGGCGAGCAGGTTACACAGCACAGGCTGAGGCCAGCCACGAGACTGCCGATTGCGAGCACTAATGCGCCTATTGGGGGCAGAGGTCAGCATCGGTCAGCGATACGGTCCCAGTATGGGTTCCATGCTTATGTTCCAGAGCTCTGGCAAAAGGTTGTGGGGCGCCTGACGATGTGGTATCGAATCATGCCTAGAATGCTATGCGATATTCGAATCTGTGCAGTGCGGCGCGCCGAATCACGATGGCATTGAAGCAGCGACTGCTGGACGTAAGTAAAATGCTGACATGTAATCGAAACCAGAAATGGGTGAATGGGGTGTTCGGCTGCCAGAACATGCAGCTCTAGGCCCCGGGCGCCCGCATGGTTCTCGGCAATGCTCACCTGTCAAAATGGGACACCTCAGTTCATACGCTGGCCGCAGGGACCACAAGAATAGGAAACCGGACCCGCTCCGCCTAAGCCCTCTATGTGAGGGACCTTAATATGCGACTCTGGCTGACTGGGCAGCCATCATGAATTTTCATCTTCAATTCGTTGGAAGTGAATTTTTGGGTATCTATAAGTCGTGCTCTCATTCATCATGTTCGCTTCCCAACATGTCATGCATTCGCCGTAGACCATAAGCTGGGTCGATCAGTTCTTCTCCGTCGTCGACGTCCTGGTAGGCAAGGGCGGTGGGTTGTCTTCGGTATATCGTTGTTCCTCCTGGATTGTACTTGACTGTGATGTTGGCGTTCTGTGGGGAAAAGACGGCGCATTTTGCGAGAAAAGCCGCTCACTGACCCGTCGACCTAAACCACCACCTTTCGCGTCGCTGTTGAATGCAGGCGCTGCCTCCTCGCCATCCGGAACACTATAATTGCGCCGGGGTCCATCGACTGGAGTGAAGTCTGCAGCCATCGCGTCCTCGTAACTCGGAGGCGCATCATCGGGGAGATCTGCTGCATTTGCTGGTTGACTCGTCCCAACCGGCGCCGGACCGGGGGGCCGCTCATGCATCGGCGAAGCTGGGAAGTCTGACGCAGCACTTGAATGTTTGTGCGGACCAGAGACAGAGGTTGACTGCTTCTCATCGCCGCCCGCCCGTTCCTGCATCGCCCGCAGGAGCTCGGGAGGCGGAGGAATCCCAGACCATACTTCGACAGGGATCCGAAGCGGCAGCACAATCAGTTCCGGCCGTGCGCTACCTCCCACTGCATGCGAAAGCCCAACTCGTATCTCGAGTTCGTACGATCGTGTGATGTTGCAGGTCTCGAATGAAGGTGCCACAGTATTTGGTATTGGCACATTGTCCCAGAGATTTGACGGCACCTTGAATTCACTTTGCGATTTCCGCTGCGGGACATTGAGTGGCATGTTCATGTTGGCAAGCGACTTCATGACCCAGCTTCCGCTCTCTGTGCGGTTGAGGTCGTGCGCTCGGACATGAGTATAGCCGATCAATTCGATCTGGAACATGCTCAAGTAGACGTCGGCGTCGGTGTTGCCCAACTTTTGGACCAACACCCGAAGTGGTATCGGCTCGTTGCAAGTCAATATTGCCGGGTTCGGTAGTCGTGCGTCCACCTGAAAGGTTGGCGGTTCTGAGTTGACTGTCTCGGAAGCCGAAGACTTTTTGAACAGACTGCCTTTTCGAGTCGGTGTTGTTGGGGAGCTCTGGAATTGTTGCTTACGTCTAGCAAATGTCTCCTCTTGCCGATCGGGCGGGCGCGGTGCTTCTATAGGCAGAAACTTGAGGTTCACTTGCTGAGGCCAGTCAGTCTTTGCATTTCATGGGCGAAGAATGAGACCCACAGATCTCAGATTTTCTTGGTAGAACTTGGGTCGCACCACCGTAGCTTTGACGTAGTACTTGATGTCGGCTTCACCAGGGAAGCCACTCAGCGAGGGTGGCAGCGTTTTCTTGACATGCTGGTTCTGATCTGGGGCGAATTGCACGTTTAATTGTCCAACTTTGAGATCCTTCAGCATGCTCGTGTTGACTGTGCAATCATTGTTGAACGGGAACTAGACAATTCTCAGTGTGGGCGACCAATTATTGACAACGGATCCTACCTTGAAGCGGAACGGATAGACATATTGTCCAGCAAGGAGGGTGTACTGAGCAGTGCCGGTGCCCTGTAGTTCCGGGGCAGGGAAAACCGTCAAGACTTTGTAGAGCAGCTGGCTCCAGTCAGCAATAATGTCTCAACCAGAGCAGGCTCTCCTGACTTTATGGACCTCTAGCTCTGTGCGTTTCTTGTCTGACCTCTCGTGATGAGGATATTTCGGGCCAGAAAGGCGCGTGCGACTCTCGGCTTCAAGCTTGACGTTTACGGCGGCGATGGTGGCATCAGTGGGAAGGACGAGGGTGACACGACCGCTCACATAGTCGAGGTTCGTATAACAGTAGTTGTCGGGCTGGTCGAATTGGATGCGAACCGACATGAGCACGGGGCGGGGCGGGGATGTGGGACGATCTGTTGACGACAAGGCGGCGGAAGTCGAGAAAGTGAAATGCGACTAGCAGCAAGCAATCAGATAAGGCAGTTTCACGATATCATTGCAGGGTCGCGTAGGGATTCTGCCTGACAAGGCTGATTAGCATACGGTGGAATCGCAGAAGTCGCAGATTGATTTGCGGAGGCCTGCTCAATGGAACAAATGTACGAGAAGTTGTCTGAGGCGCGGCACGCCAAAGTTGCGTCACCCCCGGCGGAGCCGCCAAGGTGGGCCACCGTCTATCCTGGGCGGAGGCCGTTCAGGTACAGGATATTTTCCTCGTATAAGCAGTAGTCCATCGTCCGCTCAGAGCCCCTCTTTGGCCAGCGTATCCGCTATGGCAAGATAAAATGCAACAGCGTTGAAGTCCTGCGTCACCAGCGACATCCTCGCCGCCAGCCGCTTGAACCGGTTGGTCCAATTAATCAGATCAAGATGCGTAACTCCCAACAGCGTGCCCTTATACTCACCCCATCGACTGCTGGCCACTGACACCAGTCCATCATTGGGCCCTTCGATCACTTCCATCAAGTCGTGTGACAGGCGGAAAACGGACAATATATGCGGTTGCGCGGCGGCGCCGTAAGAGAAGTATCGAACCTGAGGATCATTGGGTGTAACCGGGTTGAAGACATCTCCCATGTAGCGTCGTGTAAGCTGTGAGAAAGCTCCGGTGTCCACTTTGAGACGAGCGAGGATCTTGTAGAGCTGATTGATGTTGTCCGCCCCGATGTCCCTAAAGAGCATATCCGCCGCAGAGCTTCCTCGATGTGGTGTGGCGATGGTAGTTAAGGATTTGACCTTGAACTCGGGAGGTTGAATGCGACTGATCATCCATCGAGCATCGAGCCCACCCATGCTGTGCGCCACGATGTTGACGTCTCTCCCCTGGGCTTTGTCACGAACCTGTTCATGTAGAGCCTCTGCACGCTCACTTATCGAGCCAGTCGTTGGCACAGATGTAGTAATGACCTCTACGCCTGCCTGCTGCAACGCTTCTCTGATGCCACGCCAGTAGTGGACGCCCGGGAGCCACTTGCCGGCTAGACGCAGCTCATCGAACCCAAGCAGACCATGGGCGAGCACAATAGGATACTTGGGCGCGTCATACTTCTCGCGCAGAATGGCAAAGTCGTCCTTGATAGTGACGCCTAGATCTGAGAGTCGAGGATCAAGAGCTGGGACCTTGTCGTCAGGGTTTGGTGGCGCGTCATGTTTGTAACGTGGCCGGCAGTGCTTTAAAGGCGGGCACCAGGTCCTGCGAGTGCGGGCTATACGATTGGTACATCGCATGCTCCAAGGCGAGATCCCTCGCTAGTCGTCCTCTTGAAGGAGGTCGTGCAGACGGGGACCTTGATGATCAGTGTTGCAGTGAAGGCATCAAGCTTATCGAGGTGCCTCGTCCTTTGGCACAAATAAATATTGCGACGTCATCGGGCCAGCTCAGAATCAGTTCCGCGATCAAGATGAGTATACTACTAGTATGTCTTGAAACAATACTCCTCATTGAGTCTCTAGGGATGTTGCATCTACTTGCTGCCGCATCCCTCACGCACTGCTTCTGGTAACAAGACTGGTCCTGCGTAGGCGCTCACATATGAAGAACCCTGGCAGTCGTACGTGGCTAAACATACTGCCGATACCAAATCCCGGGTTCAGCGCTCTCGTCGACGGCATGCCTTACGACCAGATAATCTGCAACTGACTACGTTCGCTCCTGTAGTATTCCAGAGCTTGTTCAGCCCTCCTTCTGGATCTTGTCAGGAACTTCTGGCCGTGGCGTGGTGACGGCTTTGATGAGATCAGCGACGACCTTATCGCCCGACTTCTTGCCCGCCGCCTGAATGTCCTTCACCTTGGCCTCGGCATCCTTGTTGGCGTCGTCTTCCGCCGTCTTATTTCCGCTGGATTGCTGTAGACGTGTAAGCTATAGCGCTAGGCAATGCATTGGGGGTGCGAACCTCCGACTCGAACTTCTTGTACTCGTCTTCCTTCTTTTTCCTGTACTCATCAATCTCCTTCTGTGCTTCGGCCTTTGCGTCCTTGACTCTCTTGGTGCGGTCTGAAGGGTCAGCGTCCGGCGGTCCCAGTCACACGGTCAAGGATGCTCACATTCGCGGGCTGTATCTTGTTAGCATTGCACGATATATCTGCGGAGAGACTCGCCTTTCTGTACAATCTTCTGAGCCTCCTTCTCGGCCTGTACCTGGTCAGTCGGACTTCTCGATGTAGACATAGACACCTACGTCGAGGAGAGTCTGGATGCCGGCAGAATTCTGAGCAGACTGCGGTCAATGGTAAACAGGCGGACTTTTGGTAATGGAGGCGGGGTCAGACCATCTTGCAGGAAAAGCCTGGCGCGGCCTGGCTGAGCAGAACAAGAAATCACAATGAGAAATGAGAGAGACAGTATGCTCGGACAGTTGCAGAATGAAACGGGTACGTTGGTATGATATGCAGGTGGTAGCTAGATAGAGAAGCTGGGGTCAGGAAATGAGCGGGATTAGGTTAGCCCGCATCTGCGCCTGCGCCTCTAGAGTCGCCGATCTGCAAGCTCAAATGCACATGATATTTCTATCAGCATTTTGTCGCTTGTCTGTCTACGATTTCTTCAGCACTCTCAAAATGTCAACAGCATCCAAAATCACGCTGGGAAGCACCCTCTTAGGAACTGTCGGCATTGTTGTATTCGTGCACTGGGCACAGGGTGCGGAAAAAAAGGTGAGCTTTACTTGAGCCTTGGGTCAAACATCTCTGACCGGCTGCAGGCCATGCACGCAGGCGTGGTCCGAGATATGGAGCAACAGAGAGCGAAGCGAGAGCGACAAGCCGATTTTGAGATGCAGCGCCAGCTCGAGGAGGAGTACAAAAAGACGCAGACGGTGCATGACACCACACATGCTTGATCACTGGTCATTCCCTGGCCACCAACTCTCGACCACGACGTGTTTGATAAAGATTAAGGATACTGCAGATGACCTTCCCGCCTGCCCGCGGATCATCCTCTCAAGCGCGTTCGCCGACCTGCATGGAGGCGAACAGAGGATGCTGATCTGAAGAGCTGGACTGTGCCGCCCTGGCCTCGTGTACGCGCTCCCAACTCGCCAACCGAACACGAGCCTATTTTTTAATCCGTCGTTGTCCTGTAACGCAGTCTCGAAAGGTCAATACGCGCGTCCGAACGTTCCCATCGCGCCCGCCAGTATGTCAGTTGGTGGCGCTCATGCTCAAGTGACAATCACCGCGCGCTCTGTACCCAATCAAAGTGCCTTCAAACGTCCAATGGTGGTTACTGTACCTAAGAAGAACGAGTCTATCGTTGCCTACGACCTAGAATAGTTCACCAACTTCCGGAACGCAAACCTTGTCCACCAGAGGCGACTCAAAGTCAGCAGCTCGCAACTCAACAAGGCTCAAGAGATCGTCCAATCGCTAGTCGATGACTACTACACCAGATGGGCCGCTCTCAGGGCGAATGGCTTCGAGACCGGTGAAGCAACCACAAAGGCGCGGGAGCAGAAGCATGATCACATTGTTCAAGCCATCGAGCACTATGACTCATTGCTGGAAGTATGCCGAGCTATTCTGGAGAAGCAGGATTCATGGCTGGAAAAGGCGTCAGACATCGAAGGGTTGAGCACGACCGACCAGATGTTAGAAGCGATCAATACACAAATCGCAGCGGCGGAAGAAATGGAAAAGCGGATGGTGGTGAGAGAGGAGCAAAGCGACTCGAGCACTTGCTGGCAGACGGTGTCCTGGAAAGCGGTTTGAGGCCAGGACGACTGTTATTCGAACCGTAGGGATCTGCTAGACCGACATCGATTCCACGAGCATCACACTGGCGTAGGGGTACAACAGCAGCCACACTTGTCCATCAAAGACCCTGAGATAGCCGAAGAATTTCAGACCATTCCTGCCACCGGTCATCTCTTTTTCGCAGACTGCAAACGAATCCTGCCCTGACATGTCACCAGCCACCTCACTGCGCCACAAGCCTCCGCCTGCAAACGCCGAGGAAACGTGACGCCATGCAGCCCGGCCTTGGCGGTCACCGCCTTTCTCCTCGCACTGACGGCGTACAATAACTTTCCTTTGGCATTACAATTCCTCCTTCTGTTGTCCTCGTAGCATAAAACCTCTACAAGTCTACTTCTTTCCATCACCAAGCCTTTCCCACCTACAAGCCAAGCACCTCGTGCAAGATCCAGGTCTGCCAGGTTGTATTCGAAGGCCAAAGCTAACATGCTGCAGAGCATCGATCGAACGCAAAGTCAACATCTAACACTACCCTCGAACTCTTACGCCACCATACGGACATGAAGCCTCACGCCATCGACACCATCGACGCCAACACGACTTTTCATCGCAACTAGCAACGGCGAACTTGCCCCATTTCTTCTTGTCATAGAAGGTGGTCGGCGGTTCGAACATTTGAGACACGATAGACTCGTTGAATCCTCTCAAGCCTCTGGGGCAACGCTTGATAAAATTGCTTTATCCTTGCCCATGGATGTTGCGTTTTTGACAGCATACTCACACATAAATAGCGAATACCCCACAAAGGAAATGACACTGCCAAGGAACAGAAAAAGAGTGATATTTAGGCAATCGATGGCTCGTCGGGTCAGTGACACTGGGTGGCATTCGAGCTAGCTGGTTGCCCCGCTGCGAGTTGCTACAACTCATTAGAGTGGATGAAGGGCACCTGGATCGAGGACTTGCTACCCACCCGTTGCGAATGGGGTCTTCCCCAACTAGCCGGGTGTTGTGGTACTTACCCGCCCGCTGCGAGGGAGACTTCTCTCCCACTGACCGGGTGTTGCGGTGCTTACCACCGGTGGCATTTAAGCTCTCCAGTGTTGCTCGTCTGCTGAGACCCCTGCGCGACCCGGCACGAAGAGCACGTCAAAAGACCGATCGTCTAAATCAACAACAAACAATGAAGCTACTCTCCTCCTCTGTTTCGTCAGTGGAGTAGCCGTTGCATCCTAGTGCAACGCGAGCGGAAAAGTTGGACGTGTATGTAAATCCTCCGAAGCAAGAACCGGCTGTCAGAGTACGGGACCGGTACACTTGCTTCTGCGGCGGACATCAAATTACTAAGCCTATGCCACAGCACCCATGATGGGCTTTCATGCCTGTACCATTGTGGACGTGCCTGTGTTAGTGGGCTAGGTCTAGACAGTTCTGTCATAGCGAATAATTTGTATAGCATTCCGGCATCAAATTCAGTAGCTTTTCTTCAGGTATGTCCCTCCCATGCTCCTTAGTCTCCGTCACCCTAGCTTCTACCCTCACAAGTCTCAGCAAACCGCAGTCCAGGTTCGCCGTGACTCCTTTGTCACCCATCGAAATTGCCCTGTTGCTCGGCGCGACCGCAAGATGAATATCGATGCCCCTGTGATAAGTTACGGGCTGCATGTTTTTGTTCCGTTGTCATTATGCTTCCTCGATACGACTACAGGTCCATAACTGTGGCTTTCCTTGCATTACGACAGTATCTGTTGCGAGTAAAAGCACAATTGCAGCACAATTCGGGATGGATGACCCTTTCGAGGCTCAGCACGGTTGGTTGGAGCCCTTGCTTACACTCTACTGACTGACTAACAGCAACGAGACGTGATTCCTCTCGATGTAGATAACGAATTGAGCTCGAAATTCATCGGCGCAGCGGAGCCAATCTTTGCCCTTGGCCAGAATACAGTGTGCGAAACTCCAATCCGTCAAGCCTTGTATCATTATCGGTGGGCAGTCGAGAAGTTCACTGGACTTGAAAAACGGGCAGCTTCGTTGAGAGAAGCTGCTACACGCAATTTCACCAAGTGGTACTATGCAGAACCGCGCTCACCAGAGGCTCTGAAGGGCTCGTTCGGAAAGTCGCGGACTGCCAGCAGATCTTCTCCACCGCCGCTCAAAGCATAGATATCTCCACTGCGACATGCCGTGAGAATCTCCAATGGATCTACATTCGCGAGATCTCACATCTCTCGCACCAACGATGAGCAGCCTCGCCTCGAAGATCATGCCTCCGATCGACAAAGCTTTGCCAACGATGCCGATCAGGTCTTCCTCACTGAAGTTAATACACCCATGTCGGCCGCCCCCAGCAGCGTTTCGCGCCTCGTCCGGCCGCATGGTGAGTTGGCTTCGCGCTCGACCGCTTCTTCAACGTCATCGGCGTTTGCACGTACGCAGCCAACACCGTTATCGGACGCCTGATTAATGCCAATGTGCTGTAGTATAAGTCCGATTTGAGCGCAGGAAAGACGCAATCTTCTTTCACACGATGGGAAACGAGTCGAAGAAAGCAGAAGGGCTGTCCGCACAGTGATGCGGTCCTCGAATTTGGCTTTGTACTTCGACGTAGGCGCACAAGGCTCGCTGCCCCTTATTCGAGATTTCTTGGCGCGCTTTCCATCCCACCACCCAGCCCGCAGACGCCTGTAGATACCAAGCTTGAGGAACAGCAACATCAAACTTTTCGGGGACTAGTCGTCCTGAATTACGATTATGGTGGCTCAGTACTGCCATTTCATTGGTCGCACACATGTTTTATGACCACCCATCATATTCCAGTCACCTCAGGCTCAAACCGCACCCTTACACCACCTATCCATCCCCCATCTACCTCCCCAAAATATCATAAATCGGCTCATACAACGCACACCTCTTATCCAGACTCCCAATGACCTCCTTACCCACCACCTCTAGCACTTCCCCCACCGCCGTCGGCCCATCCTCCGCCCTGACCCCACCGCCCAGAACGCCCAGTGTGTCCGCCCCGGCGGGCCAGCCACCCTGGTCCGCCCAGCCGTACGGGTCTCGCGCGAAATCCGCCCACAGTTTCTGCATGGCGCGGCTGAGTTGTTCTTCGAAGGGGGTGGCGTTGTCGCGCGGGTAGGTGCCGAGGGCGAGGCCGATTTCGGAGGCGTGGTAGACGCCGCCGTTGGGGAAGAGTTGGGTGTTGGGGAAGGAGGCGTTGTAGAGGTAGCGGTGACCTGTTCAAAGCGGTTTTATTCAGTATTCAGTTTTTTTGGTGAGAGGGGGTTTGGAGCGGGAATGTATTGACTGGATAGGTATTCTTAAGGCTGTGAGCCCACGGGGAGGCTTTAGTGAGGAGAGAACGGGCGGGGGCCTGGAAGACTCGGAGGACCAAAAGGCCTGAAAAGGGGGTAAAAACTCACTTGGCACGCCAACCTTGGTCGTATCCAGGTGCACGAGCCGGCAGGGACACTGGAAGATAAAATCCGTGTAGATGGCGCCCAGCCGCTCAAAGTCATCCTTGAACTCGCCCGTACCGAGCGGGTACTGCGCCAGCAGCCCCTCGATCTGCGTCGCATTGAATGCCGGTAACAACCCCAATATGAACGTCGTGACATTGGTCGCGCTCACACTGTACAGCCGTCCCTCATCGCGATTCGAGCCGCCCAGGATGGGCACGGCAGCGAAGTCCGCGGTGCGGTTGAGGCGGTTGCTGCGCGCCGTGTCGGCGCTGGTGACGTCGTCGAACACGGGCGCCCAGGGCACGCGGTTCACGGCGTTGTAGTCCCGGATCTGCGTCGCGGGGAGGGCGCGCATGCAGGAGAGGGTGGCGGCGGGGTCGTCGCTGGTCGAGTTGCAGCCCATGGCACCGACGAGGAGGTTCCAGGAGGCCGAGGGCGTGGCGGTGCGGCCGCGGATGCTGGCGGTGCCGGACTCCATGATGGCGGCGCGGAAGGTGGGTGGATTGGGGACGAGGGTGAGAAGGGCATCGACGCTGTGGTGGAGTGGGTTAGTCGAGGTGCTGCAGGTTGTTGGATGTGTTCGAGCTCAAAGAGATGGGCGGTTGGGAAGGACGGGTACGAGGCTACGTGGGATAGGGGGGTTGGAGAAGCTCTGTGGGGTATGGGTTGAAGCGAGTGCAAACACCACTTCTCGCACATTGCTCGAGAACAAGAAAAACACAGCATCACTTACGCGAGTGCTCCCGCACTTTCCCCAAAAATAGTTACTTGGTCGGGGTCTCCGCCAAAGGAGGCGATGTTCCTCCGCACCCAATCGAGCGCCAGGCGCTGGTCTAGGAAGCTAAAGTGCATCGTTAGTATGACAGCTTTCGGATCCGAGAGCTGGTACTTACCCCAGGTTCCGTCCGTTGGGGTCTAAGATGTCGGCTCCAGGAAACCCGAAAACATTGGTGCGGTAGTTGAGCACCACGACGACGACGTCTTCGTTTGCCGCTAGGTACTCGCCATTGTAAGCTGGGTTGAAATTGCTGCCATAGAGATTTCCACCGCCGTAGATCCAGACCATTACGGCTTTTCTGTGCTTAGTGTTTGGCGAGTATACGTTGACGTATAGACAATCCTCACTCTCAGGAGCGGCGGGTGTATTGAACCATTGTAGAATGAGATTGCGACGTTCCTCTGGGTAGTTGAATTGCTGTATACATGCCGCTTGGATGGTAGAGGCATCGTATGGTTCCTTCCAAGGCGTGGAAGGCACCGGCGGCCCCCAGCGTTCAGGCGGAGCGGCGAAGGGGACGCCGAGGTACTCGTTAAGCTCGTACTGGGTGCCTGGCACGGTCTTCTTGAAGCCAACGACAGGTCCGGCGTCGGTCTGTACGAATGGGCGGCCATAGTCTCCCCATCCACCTGAGGTTGGAGAAGCATTTGCAGCGACTGCGAGGCCGCAGGCGAGGGTGTTCAGGAGACGAGTCATGGCTGCTACCAGAGATCTTGCGTTGCGAAGAATATTTCGTTTCTGATGGCAGTATATGTATAGCACTGTCGGAACCGAAGACCATTGAAAGGTGCATCCGGTGAACTAATGGCTTCTTGTTCTAAGCTGGACGTGTATTAGGCGACATTCCGGCGTCGGTACCTGGTGTATCAATTGAATGCCGAGAGAGTGCTAAAGTGCGGGGTGTCGTAGCCGGGCAGGAGAGATCTCCCCCAATTCTTGACCCAGAGTAAGCAATCATGTCTCACCGCTCTATCGCGGTGGCTCAGTGTTGTGCTCAGAGGTCTGCACCATTCGCTGGACTGGCACGTGGCTGATGGGGAAGCATAATGTACCTGCATGGCAAGCAGGCAGTAAAAGTCTTGGCGGCAAGGGCCTGATCTCAATTCTAGGCTTTTGAGACCGAGCCCACGACGAGAACAAACACAGCTGGTGGAACGTGCGGACAACATCTCATGGCTGCGAATCGTTCCCATTGTTTTTGAGTCAGCCTCAGGCAAAAAGGCCATATAGCGGCCAGTGGCCCGACCCAGCCTGGACTGAATCGACAGGCTTACCAGCATATCAGAAGAAACATCGTGACTGTCCTAGGCCTTCGGTGGAGCCCAATGGTGAGCTACGCACAGATCATGAGAGCTGAGCTGTGTGTGGGTGTAAACATTCGGTGGCAAGGTCGGGAGCACGCAAGGAGCGTCACGGGCAGCTGGCGCCTAGAAAGTGGCCCGCATTAGGCCTGTCTCTCCACTAAACCTCGCCACAATCTGCTAGCGAATATATTTTATCAAAGGCGAAAATTGCCTCGAAACTCGATCAAAAGACCTCAGAGAAGGTGCTTTCGAGCCCTTATGGCGCAGTGGTAACGCGTCGCACTTGTAACCACTGGCGAGTCCTTTCAAGGCTTGCTCTATGCCATGCATATGCGAAGATCTTCAGTTCAATTCTGAATGGGGGCATTAATTTTCCTTTTTGGCGCATCAAAAAAGTGCGGACGAAGTTGAGGTTGAGAGGCTGAGCTGAAAACGTTGTTTTTTGGCTGCCTGAGGAAGTGACAGAGGCCCAAAAAGCCCGGGGATTGTGCGGCCACTTTCCTTGGCGAACTTGGGTAGTCGGTCATTAGACTGACTGCGGGCACGCAAACGATACAACTGCACATGAGTGACTACGGAGTGAGCGAAGACGTGTAGGTGTTATGCAACGCTTCCATTCTGAATTGTCTGTATCCCTGTACACCTCCCTAATATCCGATATTCGACCTAAAAGCGTTTTCCCTTTATCCTTCTTTGATTGTCTGATCCTCATTCCCTGCTCCTTCAACCCTGTCCTTCGTCATTAACCTGTTCTTCCGTCGATAGTCGTTGTAACTAGCATGATAGTCATAAAATCCGGCTTTTCTCGCTTGTGCCCGAGCTTGGATGCCTGTTGTATTCGGGTGTTGGCAGTAAAGCTGGCGCGGGTCGAAAATGTAATTTTAATGGTAGTATTACAGTCAGATGGTCTGATGGCATCCTGTGTTTGAGTAAACACGATGTTGATCTCAGTGAGTCGATGCTGATTCCTGAATGCTCAATCCGAGGCTGGCTTCTGAGCTCGTGGTTTCCGCCGCGAGAAAGGAACTTCCGAATCCTGATGCTTGTGGTATCATTGAGAGTAGCAGTAGTCATACGGTTGTGAACTGTTCATGATGCAGTTTCAAGCCGACTGTCAGATAATTGTAAAGTGGTATAGAGACGTGTTGACATACTCGTAAAATGCTCGTAAAATATTCGTAAGGTCATCGTGAAGTTGTCATCTAATATGCATGGCGAAGTCGTAAAACAGAACGCCGAGACGTTGTTGCTTGTAACCTTGTTCTTGATACAAAGAGCAAGCAATGATAAATATATTCACTGCTGCAATCCAGTGAATGGTTGATTGTCATTGCAGATTGGGTACGAGCGCTTCCGAGGCGTTGTTGGTACCCCATATGTTGCCGTATTGTAGGCGGGGATGTGAGTGTGCCTGGATGTGTGCTGAGCAACGTGCTGCGTGTATGGGTAGGCGACGTAAGCGAAGCCGGAATTGTCTTGAGAGCTTGCGGGCCAAGAAGCTCCCATCCATGACTGTTGGTAGAGTTGCTGCCAGTATTGTGCGTAGTACTGCTGAAGATATAACTGGTCATATTCCATGGACGCCGTGACTGGCGGATAATGTGGAACTGGAGCTGGAATGGCTGGCGGTGGAACAGGAGCTCTCGAAGGAGACGGAGGCCCAGAGTTGCGCCGGATTGTCATCTGAGGTGCCAGCTTGCTCCTCACATCTTGAAGCACACTCAGCATGAAGTCGTGGTTCTCGTCGTTGTCTCCGCGCAACGTATGGTGGATTTGGGCGTCCGTACGTAGTCGGATTGCTGTTTCCAAATCGTGCTGAATCTTTGGAGGCACTTCAATGCCACGGGCGAGAGCGTTGGCTGCCAGGGTCTTATAGTACGAGACCGATGTCGTCGACTCTGACTCCTTTGTCAGGCCTCTGAGCCATTTCAGTACGGCGTTGGTTGCCATTTTGTACTGGCCTTGTAGTCGGCAGAAGTCACTGTCACTCATCAGACCGGCCATCTTGTGTAAGTAAGGTGGTCGAGTTTGATGAACGTCGTGGTGACAAGCGAGCAAAGTGGTATACCTGTGGTGAATAGAACGTAGACAGGCAGTGAATGTCGATGTGTGAAGTGTTGAGTGTGTTGAGCACAAGCAAGAGCAATAGTAACAGATTCAGTGGCAGTAATCTCAACGCTGGGATGTATAGACGAGAGAAGAGAAGGGCGAGAAACAGAAAATGAAGACCGGGACGCTTGTAGGCCAGACGAGAACAAATTCACGTCCACAAGCATACAATGGGGACAAGCAACGCCGGCGAAACTCCAGTTGTTCGATAGAAGCAGCATGGCTGACCTTGCCATATTCCAATGGTACGCTGCATTATTGGGCAGGGCAATGTGTGAGATTATGGTCGGACAGCCCGGGCATGTAGATGTTTACATGGAAGCCTGGACCGTGGAGTCTACGCGCTCAATTCTGGTCTGTGATAGACTGTTCGAGAAGAATTTTGAGAATAGGCAGGACCTGAGCATCGACCCAGAGCATTGGGACCGTAGGGGAGCACTTAGCTTTCCAGCTTTGGAAGTTTGGATGGGGCGGGTCGAGGGGCGGGAGCAAGATGTGCAACAAGCACATGTTAGCCAACCACGAAACCACATCCGCAAAGGCTCAGTGAGAGTTCCGTTTCTTCGAATCTCAATGCCCATAATGCATCTCATGATAAAAGGTCGACAATGAAGGCTCCCCAAGACGTGAACGAACTCGAAAGAGTCAGTGGAGCCTGAGGAAGCGAGACTCGGGGCGCGCCGTTGCCAAGAGATGCCGGGGCAATGACGTAGCGCGTTCCTGGCCGCGAGCAAGGAACGTGCCAGGAACCAACAAGGAACCAAGCTCGGGCGCGCTCCGTAAAAGGTCGAAGGTGAAGAAGCATGGGAAGTCGCTAACAAGACCAGGCTACCGTTGATTGCTACTCATGTGGCTCTCTTGGACTCAGCTACTTACTGCCAACTAAGCCCCTCGTACCTCAACTTTATCTCATCCAGCCTACAGCTCCAATATACTTATTTGTACCTATACGTCTATCTGTTCTCTACCCCTCCTTCAGGCACCATATCACACGCCGCTGTATCAAACAAACTCCTCCAGTTACCAAGCTAGGCGGACATGTATATGAGTCAACAGAAATCTTGCACTTGATCCATCCGCCCCTCGAACTCAGTTCCGAACGATTTGAGCTCTAGTATTGTTTCGGAGCATGTTAGCCACAATGTGTGCCTTGACACCCAGCAGGCTCTCAAGGTGTGATATGCCTGGTATGTGGTCAATGGCACTGGCCGCATTACTTCTATCTCAGCCCATCAATGCCCTGCATCACTTTCGGCACCCAGCAGTACACACGGTACACCGCCGAGATTCAGATATCCCTCTGCGAATACGAAATCAATGCAACGAAGACATCTGGCCTGCTGTCCTCACTCAGAGCGGTGCCGGACCCTCTCGATCCGGATTCCTGCTAGTCCCAGGTAACTCGACCGAGCTGATTGTTGGTCAAGATTGGCAAGGCCGAGTGTGGGCTCGGACGAATTGTACGTTCGACGAGAGTGGCAATGTACCTCCCTCTAGTCAAGGCAAGGTTACTTGCTCAACTGGTGATTGTGGCCAGTTTCTCGAATGTCAAGGCGCCGTAAGTTTTGCCTGCCGTAGAATTACCTCCTACTGATGCTCCATCGTCAGGGCAACCCACCTGCCACTCTAGCCGAGTTCACTCTCTCCGGCCATCAATACCAAACCTATTATGATATCTCACTCGTTGACGGCTACAACCTCCCTGTCGGCATCATCTTCCTAGCGAATGAAACCAACAACGCGAATTTGAGCGACATCCCGCCCAACCTCACGAATCCCATTTGCATCGGCTCTCCTTCCCTGCTCGACCCCACAGGCTCAAATACAGACGCCAGCTTGGTAACTAACGATTCTTTCCCCATTCCACTCGAGCAGTCTATGAGTCACAGCCTCGTCTCCTCGTGGTGCCCGTTCCCACTGCTAGCATTCCCACCCGAAAAGCCTGGCGATGGAGTCTACCCTTATCCGGATGACAACATCCAACGTCCACTCTTCTCACCTTGTTATTCAGCGTGCGCGAAATGGAATCTTAATCGGTACTGCTGCGCTGGGCCGAACGACCAACCCGACAAGTGCAAGCCCAGCTACTACAGCACGCAGGCCAAGAAGGTGTGTCCCGACGCGTACAGTTACGCGTACGATGATCAGACCAGCACGTTCATCATACCCCAGGGCGGTGGGTTTGAAGTGGTCTTCTGTCCGAGGGGTCGAAGTAGCAACATATTGCGGACGCTTGGGGATCAGATGCATGCACTCGCTGGAGGGGTGAGCGAGGACATCTTGCAGAAAGCAGGGGATGCGGAATACATTGCTCAGAAGAACGATGCTGGTCCCGCGGCGGAAATACCGCTGAGAGGTAGCTGGCTTGCACTCGCGGTGCTTCTGGCGTGGATGTGCATCAGGTGATAACTCACTCTCCTCATCTCTCGTGCTTCTAGACTACCTATGGCCCTCGAGAAGAACGCGCTTAAGAATTTATTGTTACCGATGTCATTCCACCATAGATCATAACGACCGAGTCAAACATCTTCATCTTAGTTATACGCTTGACATAATGCCTTGAAATCAACTGTTGGTACAGTCATTGTACAGTCCTCATCGGATTCCAGGCTGGTGCTTTGAATCCCGCATTCGCTTCCTCCTTGTCGTCTTCCCTCCCTCGCACGCTCTGATCCCTGCACCATCTCTCCACTAATCTGCCCCCGCCTGCTGCCCCATTTGCTGAAGCGCCTTCAATACACGCTCTCGTCCATCGGGTGTCCTCATCACCAAGCACGCGCACTCACCGACAATTCGCACGCCATTACGCACCTCTCTCCTGCGCCATGTCTCAGTTTAGTACATGGCGAGTTCAGTAAGCACCCGTCTCCCATCACAGGCCCCCCAGGAGGGAGCCCACTCCTCACCTCCGTGGCCCAACTCCGCTCAGCTGCGCTTCCGACTCCCTTGATTCACATAAATAACGCCCTCATCGCCCCTCGGGCGGCGCGTCGTCGACTGGCTTTTCGGCCGCTTTGACGACGACGAAGGGTATTCCTCTGGGTTGAAGAAGTTGAGGTTGAAGGGGAAGAGACTCATCTTGTTGGAGGATGCGGCGTCGGTGGAAGTGCGGAGTTTGATGTGCTTGGTGGTGGTTGAGGAGGATGATGGCCTAGTGGAGGTGTGGGAGCTGTGGGAAGTATGCTTGGATGGCATTGTTGCTGTTGGATGCGGCACCGGCCGTCGCTGACGGGTGATGAGATTGGTGGCGGATTGGCAGTGTGGTCGAGAGTGGTTGCGGCGGAGGTGCCGGATTTAGTGGTATTCGTTGAGATGGCGGTGGCGGAAGAGGCGCGTTGGCGGCGGGATTGTTCAGGATGGATGAATGGGTAATTGAAAGGTACTGAAACTGTGAGAGGTGCCTGTGCTTGATAAGAAGATGTAGGCTTATGCTCAAGTCATCAGGCCGTCAGCGCCGTTGAATACCCGGATAGCGGAAATCATTTCCGGAGATACATCATTTCTACATCATGTGCAAACGTCAAGATGTCATATGTATACCGGATCGGCGCAACAGCACTGAAGTAGTAGCTGCGATACTTAACGTGGCCGATGGGTCTTCACCTGGTTCGGAAGGCAGTCAAAATTCATTTCCAGCTTGAGAAAGCTTCGCTAGGGAGCAGAATGCTGAGACACCAATTCCTGCGCCAAGGACTCCCACCAGCACCCAGTTTGTGCCAGATGTCGTGCTTGAGGGTCTTTTAGCATCGTCAGATCGGAGCGGGTGCAGGAATTGCGAAAGCAAAGCCCAGTAGGGCGACGTGAGCATCTGCGGTCTCGAACATGGCTCGAGGTTTCGATCAGGGCATCAGCAGATGCTGTGCACTGACAACAGCGAGCTGGGGAAAAGACATTCTGTCGTTGTGCTCGTAATGTCAGTTGAAGGAATCTCGCATCAGCTCTGCTCGAGACCTATCAACAAAACGTGTAATGAAGTCGTTTACTGTCATTTCGAACTTGTGGTGTGGCGTGAACAATCCCCATCAACCCATCTTACAAACGAGTCATAAGCATAACAATGTCGTCTAGCCAGAGTTGGTATAAGTGACGGAAATCAGGATTGCAAACGTCGATTGATGACTCTCGCGGCTGGTATAAGTCGATAGATCCCCCTCGTCGCTCCAGAAGCTGCAGCGAAACCCAGGGCCAGCTACGGTGGCGCATAAAGCGCTTTTCAGACCGATGATGTCGCATCTTGGCATTCGCAACTGGAGATTGGTCCGACAGTCGCTGGCATAGCATCTGACAATTCTACAGGCAGCATCTCCCGCCCATCTCACCGGCTACGGATCCCTAGGAAGCTCCTGTAAATTATTGAACGATTCTTTGCGACCTTGCTGTCATTCTTTGTGCCCCCCATTGGCGTTTCCGTCCTTCGCCTTCTCGACAACCATGACGCGACTCAATTACCTCTCCTCATTATCTCTCGCCCTCCTACCACTCGTCTCGGCGAGCACGGGCGCCGTCGACTGCAAGAAGTTTGTCGTGAACAAAAACGCATACGATTTTCGAGCGCTCGACAAGCCCCATACCGTCTGGGTTCTTGATGAATCATCTCCGCCTGCCGTATACAACACATCCTGGACAGTCAATATATGCAACCAATTAGAAATTGACAAGAGCAAGGATAATTGGCGAGAAGATCAGTGTAAAAGCTCAACAAACAGTATGTCCGCGCGTCCGCGAAGAGAATCTCATGCTAATCGTGTCTAGTCTGCGGCGTCCGTCGGTCGTGGAATCCCGCCGATGACCCGGACAAGGAGCATGTGCAAGTCGAAAATGTCATCCCACTTGCCGGCCAATACGTCCACGAGGGGTACAACTTTGAGCATGAATGGACGACGCTGGAACAGAAGGACGGCCATCCGGGCGGATTGGAGTTTGTGGTCTATGGTCCAAAGTACGGAAAAGCCCTGCAGCGAGCCATCATCGATTTCAAATGTGACCCCGAATCTGGCGAGGAAGAGAAGCGCGATGATGACGACCAGCCGAAACAAAGCAAAGGCAACCCCAGTTTTGTGAGTTACGAGCAAGAGATGGAGGGTAAGAAGTTGTACGATACACTGAGGTTGTCGTGGCAGACCAAGTATGCCTGCAGAGACTATGACGGGCCAGGAGATGGTGGCAGCAGCAACTGGGGCTTTTTCACCTGGTTCATTCTGATGTGAGTGTGTTTCCTGTCGAAGTAGAGCATAGCACTGATCTCTCGCAGCTTATTCTTGGGTGCCGCGGCTTACCTGATCTTCGGTTCCTGGCTCAACTACAATCGCTACGGCGCAAGAGGATGGGATCTTCTACCGCACGGCGACACGATTCGAGACATTCCATACATGATGAAGGATTGGGGAAAGAAGGTCGTCGATACCGTAAGCGGACCGGGGACGAGAGGAGGCTACAGCGCTGTATAATTAGAATGGACTTTTCCCCTGCTGTAAAACATAGGGTAACGGCTTCGCATGCATGCCTGGAGTTGGTTGTGGGGTTGCGGATCAGCTCTGCGATTATAGAGCGCTACTTGTAGGACCAACGGAGCAAAACACAGCCACACGAACATATCGCATGAATCTCACGTGCTCATCTTTTTCGCGGCTTAGGTCAGCCACAATAGCGCGTTGCCTTATCAGGCGCCGCCGCAGACTTTGCCTTTTTGTGGTTGCAAATTTGCCCCACTCGTGAGACCCCTCGGATCACCATCGGTTCATTGAGACATTGTTCAGGCCACAGTCTGGTTATCTGCTCTAACTCCAAGCAGTTGCTCTCCAAGGAAATCGATTGCGAAGTGATTTTCCGGCGTTGACTCCTCGGCATAGTCCTCCCGGCGAAAAAGATTCAGCTTTTTCAACCCTAGGCGTGGACGCAGACCTCCCAGGTCCACCAAGCAGCACTAGGCTCTGCCATCTGTAGCGACGTCAAGGGTTCCCGCGCGGTGAATCGATACGTTACACGAGCAGATCTGCTCCGCCGTCCCGCTTAAAGACCGCCACAATGAGCGCCACGCTATCCAGGCGCGTGGTAAGTCTCCCCCTCCCCGACCGACCCATATCCCCCACTGCCTCCCAACGAGTCACCCCCCTGCACACCTCATTAACTCTTACCCCAACCCTCCATATCTCCCGCACCTCCCGCACCTCCCGCACAATCCCCTCTCTGACCCTCCTCCCCCATCTCTCGCAGCTCTCCAAAGACGACGAATCCTCCAGCACCGACGCCGAGGTCACGCGCGAAGACCAAGACCGCATCAACCGCTTCTCGTCGCTGCACAACCGCGTGCGCACCCTCGAGGAGCAACTCGCCGCCAAGAAGAAGGACAAAGAAGACCTCGAGGAGGTGGGCCAGGAGTTGGAATTGGTGCTGGATGAGGATGAATTGGTGCGGTAAGTCTTCTTTTGATGAGTCTCTCACGATCACTTGATCTACTGCGAGCATGTGGCTGGCTATGATAGAGGAGTGCCACCTTAGGCCGCCATTCTGGGTTTTCAATGCTACTCTTGCCATGTAGACTCTATCGGCTAACCCGTTCTCCACTGAAAACAGGTACAAAGTCGGCGGCACGTTCTACTCGATCCCCCTCGCGGAGGCGCAGGAGATGCTGGGAACCGCGACCGAGGAGGCGGATAAGGAGATTGAGGCCCTGGACGACAAGGTCGGCGGCGTGCGCGACGAAATGAACGGGCTGAAGGCGGAGCTGTATGCGCGCTTTGGGAGGGGGATTAACTTGGAGGCTTGAGCTGGGGTGGATTATGGGGAGTGGGTGAGCACAGCTGTCTTAGTCGGATTTGTGCTTGTCGGACGACGGGCTAGGACGAGCAGAGAGAACAGCGGGTTTAGGGGGGGCGTGTGTAGGGATGACGCTACAAGAAATTCATACATGTGCTATAGCAGACAGTCTATTGAGCAAGAATCAGGACAAGAGCCCGCACCACAAGCCGCATTGGATCAATGCACTCCCCCATTTCCTATCCTTTGGCACCGGCCCTCCGCCGCTTCGACCAACCCCAGCACCAAGCACAGCTAGACCGCCAGAATCAACGTGAACCTATATTTTACTCGTCTTCTCATTCCCACCCTGATCCAACCTCACCACCCCCTCCTGATAGCACGTCGCGACCAGCACCCCCTCCTTAGTCCAGATCCGCTGCTGCACCAAGCCCCTCCCATCGCCCGCCCACGGACTATCCATCTCGGTCAACAACCACTCATCAGCGCGGAACGCCCGGGGGTTATGAAAGTAGATAGTATGGTCCAGCGAGACCATCATGCCGATCCTTCTCCCCTTCCCGACCTGCGGGCCATCCGACTCCTGCGGCACGCCTCCTCCGCTCCCCTCCGCGGCCGCCTCACGGCGCTCCTCGGCCTCCTCGCGCGCATTCTCCTCGAGCGTGGCCTGCATCTCGCGCCTCTCCTCCTCGCTGCCCTGGAAATCCTTGACGGCGCGCTGGATGTGTTCGCGGCTCGCGAACCGCTCCAGGCGCTGCACGCGGCTGACCGTGCCGATGAACCAGCTGTCGCTCATGTAGGCCAGCGCGCTCAGGTGCGCCTGGTGGTTGCTCTCTTTGGTCTCGAAGCGGCGCTCGCCCGTGCGCTCCTCCTCCTCGCGCACGTTGGGCGCGCACTCGCTGATGCGGCCGCGCGCGCGGATCCACTGCAAAATCTTCTTGGATTCGGGAGGCGCGTTGCCGCGCGGCGTGATGCCGACTTTGACGCTCTCGAAGGGGCGGCCGGGGCCTTCGCCGCGTTGTATGCGGCCGAGCCATTCGCGCTGAACCTGGGCGGCGTCGCCGTCCGGTGGTGCGGGGACGCCCTGTGGCATCTTCAGGGCGTGGTCGACCGTGTGGGCGCCGCCGCTGTTCTCGCGTTGGAAGCTGATGGTGGTGGTGAAGATGGGGCGGCCGCGCTGCCGGGCCTGCACGGTGCGTGTGATGAAGCTCTTGCCGTCGCGGACGCGCTCGACGTGGTATAGGATGGGGATCGAGCTGTTGCCTGCTAGGACGAAGTAGCAGTGCATGCTGTGCACGCTGAAGGTTGCGGGAACGGTGGACTGCGCTGCCGAGAGACATTGGGCGATGGCGGCACCGCCGTAGATGCCACGGGCCCCGGGTGGGTGCCAGAGCGGCCGGGCATTTGTGTAGATGTCTGGGCCGATGTCGACGAGGGGAAGGAGGGAGAGGACTGACTCGACGGGAGAGTGGTGAGGGAGGGAGTTTGGAGGTTTGATCAGGGTGGAGTGTTTCGACATGTTGGGCGTAGTTGTCGGCGCCGGCGCAATGGAAGATATGGGCAGATATGTATAGGGGGATCTTGTGGTATCGGTGGAAGTGTTTTGTGAGCTCCTTTCTCAGCACATGCTTCGGAATGGCTCTCGCTCGAGAATCGGGGGCTTTCGGATGGAGGGGCGAAGGGCTGCGAGCTGCTGGCACTTTGTCTTATATTCTACACCAAGTAACGCATCAGGGAGTAGTGAACAGCGTGTATCATGAAGAAAGGCCGTAATTCACGTGGGAAACGACGGCCAGTCGCTTCCGAGAGCTCGCGATTTGATATTCCCTGCGCGCATGAAGTCATGTTTGATTCGCTACGAGAGATGAAGAGCCGAGGCACATCGGAGAGCCTTGGCATCGACAACGGAAGCGAGAACACCGGGAGCTTTTGACGAAGACTCCGTGCTGCTGACCAGAAACCGTGGAGATGATAGCAGACTTTCAGTGGGAGCAGTAGCTCTCGTCAGTTTACAGGTGAAATGTCTGGCCGTCTAGCAGTCTTTCAATATCAAACACGATCTCTTTCCAGTCCCTCACAGTCATAACTGTGGCAGATGCCTCGTCCCGTCGTAACAGACATACCGATTCTGGAAAGTCTAGAAGTTACATTCGTCTGACACTCATGATTGCCCAGACGCCACGCTCCAATGCAATACAAGCTTCTGCGAAATGCACCACAATATACACCAAGCCCAGCCCCGCAGTAATAGACACTGTCCTCTTCTCAGGCTTCGCCGTTGCCGTAAGCGGAGCGCTCACTCAAGAGCGCTTGATCACTCCTCAGCATGCCTTCGGAGAGACTACTCCGTTCAATCTCCCTCCGTCTGCGATCCCTCTCTTCCTTAACATCAGCCTGAGTAATCACTGGCTCTGGCGTTTTCGTCTTGCGTCCCAGCAGATTGCCTATCGTCCAACGGTTCGATATCTCGCTACTCTGCCTCTTATTCCCTTGCGCTGATGGCGGCGGTGGAAATTGTGGGCTCAGCATTCCACTGTCATCCCCACCGCCAGGCCAGTCAATACGGTAGGTACTTGAAGTGCCAGTTCCGGGGTTGCTGGACACTGTGTGCGGGTCGTCAGCTTGCTCTTTGGCGATGAGAAGGCGTAGAAGCTGCCGCCGCTGTGCCTCGTCTTCCGGGATGTGCATCTCGATAGGGCGAAGTTCGGTGGAGGACATGTGTCGCAGTGGTGGCGGCATCGGCATACGATGTGCATCATAGGGCTCCGGCTGTGGATGCTGCGGTAGCGCCGGGCTGGCATGGCGCGGCTGCGGTGAAGTATGGCGCGAGTGAGGTTGCGAGCGATGGTCAAGAAATGGTGTACCCGCAGACGGAATGGCACCAGCGGACTGCGCATCCCAGGTGGTAGATGCTGAAACGCCCCGTATATGTCGATGCGTGGTGCTATATTGTGGACCAGTAGCCCGCCCTGGCATTTCATGGTGTCTTTTCCTCGACTCTTCCACGGCCTCTTGTATCTTGAGCTGTGTATTGATGAAGAGCGCTCCGCCCGCGCACAGCACAGTTCCCACACACGCCACACCGAGCGGTGCATACACGTACGCTTTACCCGCCTGCACTTCCCGGTGGACCGCCCAGCTCAACACGATCTGGAACAGTCCACCGACGCTCGACAACAACAGCGGCAGTAGCACATTATCAAGCCGGAAGGAAGCCGCGCGCGCGAAGAAGTAGGCGATCAGGCCGCCCAGGTAGCCTGCGGTCAAGGCGATACCGCCGAGGGCGGCCAGCACATCGGTAGACCATCGCAGTTGTGCTGACGGAGAGACGAGCAGAGAAAGCAAGGTATAGCCGGCAAGGACAAGCCACGAGGCAGCGATCGCCGTGGTGCGCAGGAACCAAGTTGAGTGCGGCGGGTGTGAGTCGTAAGGGAAGGAGCGCAGGAAGGGACGCGGAGAGGAGCTACGCATGGCTTTTCATGTTATGTACCGTGGCGGCCGCTCGAGGGGGAGGGGGGAGAAGGTTTCGTAGACAGGTACAGCGCTGAGGGAGCTCGTGTTCAACAATACGGACTCGGGAGACGGCGGAGATTCGAGACGGAATGTAACAAGTAAAGTGAGGAATGTCGGTAGCGGAGCAGTAGCGAGCGGTATCGCGATGCCAGGCAGGTTTCTCGCTCGTGGATCGACGTTCAATGGGCACCGGGCTATTCCTGCCTCGTGCGGCGCAGTCGACCGGTACAAGGACAGGTACAAGCTCTGCCTTCTTTGTTGTGTCAGTTCCCGAATTAGCGCATACGAGTGGCAGTCTCGCTTCGGCAGACAAGGCGGCGGATATGGGGTAGCACTGTTGGTGTGTAGATGGGAATGTTAGCTAGGCAACGAGAGCAAGACATTTCCAAGGGCATGTAGGACAGCGCCGCCAGCCTGCAGAACCAAAGATCTGGAGGGCCTGAAAAAGGCTGAGGTTGAGCGACCTTGTCATTGCGGCAATTCTTTTCGGCGACGTTTCCCCTTGATCATTACCATCGTTGGGGACGCGAGACAGGTGGGCCGCATCAGTGTGTGTCTTGCTCTCGCGAGAAACGATCAGACGAATCATATGATTGGAGTGACTGACTCAAGTCCGGGGTCAACATGTAAAAAGCGTTAAGATCTGTTAAGGCTGAACGGCTTGATCTCGCTTAGGCCGCAAGCGGGATACGACTCGTGCTACCACAATATACTGCGTAGTCCAATGGTCTAGAGTGCTGAAATGCAACAACCGTGATGAACACATGAGGTGTTTCTCGATAGTTCGAGGTTTCTCGATTGTCCGTTACTGCATCTATCTCACTACTGAGACATGCCCCCAACTCATAGCACTGCACCGCCTCGCCACCTCCGAGTGCTTCGCTAGGGGCGAACAGGCAGTAAAAATCCTCCACTTTGTGCCAGCCTCATAGCCGCTCTCATTGCGGCAACATATTCGGAAGCATCTTCACTGAACTCGTGCAGGATATTGGCAAGCAATGCGTCCATCATCATCTCGACCCACAATCGGGCTTACCAGGAGCCAGCAAATAGATGCTTTGCTCGTACCATATGCAGCGCTTGCGTGACCGATGTGCACTGACGGGGCGCAACGGGTTCAAGTCCGCATTGGTCCGTGTATTGATATCCGACCTGCTACGGATGGTTTTCCCGCCTAGCTCTCGTCCTCGGTCTCCGTGTCCGTGGCGCTCGTATCACTCTCGTCGCCATCGGTATCGCTTTCATCGTCACTGCTTTCCACAGCCTGAATCTTCTTGAGCTTGCGCTTTTGCGGCTGAGATTGACCTCCTTTCATCGCCTGGAGTTGGCCTGCTAGACTGTCCTCCTCGGGCTCGCTGATCTCATCGTCGCTCTCCACCACATCCGCTTCACTCACGGCTCGTACATCTAGCACAATATCTGTTTTCGAGTCCAGACCAATGTAGCTGTCGCAAACTAGATGCATTGTGAAGGGGAATCCTGCCACCTGGGGCGGTGCCTGGAACTGGCACCTGAAGGTGATCATGTTGAACGTTGGCGACCCATCGGCGTTGAACGGCGCTTTGTCGAAAGCGGTGAATGTGAAAGGGGGAACTGCGATGCGACCAGCGCGTTGATCGGCCAGGAAGACGTGCCACCGGGGAGCGTGATCTGCCGCAAAATACGGACCGTAAGCAAGAGGTGGTTGTATGTCCTTCTCCTTCTTGCGACCCTTAATCGCATCAACGTCACCCTCCTCAGGATCTTTGTCCTCTAGGTCTGCTGGCTTGACTGCCGGGATGTCCTTCTCGGGGGTACCCGGAGGGATCACACGCGCTTTGACAATAAGTTGCACCAGGGAGCTGGGAGTGACAACCCTGTCACCTATGACCTTGAAAAAGGCCTTCTCCAATTTAAGGTAAGGGATCTGCGAAGCCACCTTCATGGCCTGGTCGTACTGAGAGTCAGAAAGAGCCGAGCAAAGGCTCCGGCGAATGGAAGGGGGCAATGCCATGAGTTTGTGAATGTTGAGCGGCGATTTCGACTGGGTCCCGGTGATCTTCTGTGCCACTTCCTGCGTGAAATGCGGTAGCTGGAGTATTGGCGAACCATTGGGAGGAACGGCTTGCATCAAATTCTGAGCCGCGTGATAGGTGGCTAGCAGAGGATTGAGCTGCTGGAAGGGTAAGGTCATCGAGGACAGCGAATTGTTGAGCAAGAACGCCGTTGGCGCAACAGAGTACTTTTCCTTTTCCAGCTCAGCATCCCCAAGATCGAGACGGCCGAGATACGCCCACAATAAACAAGCGGTCTTCCGCTGCGTAGGATCGTCGAGCGATTTCAGCTGCGCTTTCGCAGCATCCGAAAGGACCCCGCTTGCCAGCACCCTGCTCTCAACCTTGGCTGCACCAGCATCTGACTTAATGGTCTCTTTGTACTCCTCTCCCACGCTCAACGCATTGACAACGCCCTCTTCTTCAATATCCTCTTTGTACTCACGGAATAAATTGGCAGCGCTGGCATGCAGGATCTTCTCCTTGGTGCGTGCCTGTGTTCCATACCACCAGCTGCCCAGCGTGTATGGCAGAACAACGCCCAAAAGAATACCGTAGAAAGCCACAACGAAGTACCGGTTGCCTTCCTCGACCATCCACTTCGGCAATGCGATGCCAATGCTGGTGCCTTGCTTTCCGTCCGGATTGCCGTACATGAGATAGTTATTGCGGATCTCTTCATCGGTCAGTGCCTTGTAGGCCTTGGTCATTTCGACCCATCGATCGTTGATGGTCTGCATAGTCTCGTTCTTGCTCTCATCGGGTTTGGCTTTATCGGGATGGTGCTTGATACCGAGACGTTTGTAGAATCTGTTGATCTCCTTCTCGGAGGCACTCTGTTCCTAGTCAGTATTATTCGTAAGTCTGAATGGTAGACGCACCCTCGAAACCCCCAAAATGTCGTATGGATCCCACAGTTGCGGCCTCGTCTGCTCCGAATTGTATACCAGCCAGCCTAGATACGCCATAGCGGCCCAGCCAAAGACTACGGCGATGATGCGCTTGATCTTGCGCTCCTTGCGCTTCTGTTTTCGACGCTGTGCGTCGATGATGTCGGCATCTTTGGGTTTGAAATCGGACTCGACCCGCTGGCCGGTTTGCTCGAGTTCTTCTGACGCTTTGAGGACATTATATGTCAGAGGAAGTGTGAAGACAGAGACGACTGTCAACATGAAAAAGGGGAAGAACTGCCCCTCGGCGTCGTAGTTGTAGTCGGACGACATGACGGGCGAGGGACGTTAGATCTGCTGCGGGGGCTGCTAGAGAAGCAGACGAAGGACGAGGGTAAGATTTACGGCAGCATGAAAAGAAAGGAACGTGAAAGAGGACTGCAGCCTCGTTGAAATAAAGGGGAAGATGGAGAAGAACACGAGAGTGTTGAGGGGAAATGCGCGCTGGCAGTGACAAGATATTCGAAAAGTTGCGAAGGTGTCTTGATTGTCGCTGGTGTCCTGCCCCACCGTAGCCGCAGTTGGTCGTATGCCGTCGAGGCCGCCCCTGGTGCATCCCGTTGCTCTTTCCCACAAGCACAAGGCATGGTGGAAGTTAGTACGCATCGTTCTGCTACCATGAATGACAAGGTCGGACTGGAAATATCCGCTCAATATGCCTGACGGTGAAGTTGTTACAGCAGAACGGGCAATGGAGTGACGATCCGAGCCAACGACTCTAACCATTCGGGTTCAGCGATTGCATTTCAGCGCCGGTCTATGAGCTATCACCTTCAAGCGTACAGGCACCATAACTCCCTAGAACATGCTCTCGCATTGATCTCGATGCTGCATATTGGCCCATTCCACGCCCGTGCAGATTCCTACTCCCACCGAGTCACTCTCTCCCCAGAGCCACCTCCCATGCAAACCTAACAAGTTGGTGCACTCTGATGTGGTGCGCCGTTCGACTATTTCTTGGGGTCCACACTGTTCGCGCCTTCCCTCATCTTCATCGCAATCTTCTCCCGACCATCGTGCATGTACTGAAGCGACTTCTTGTACTGGCGGTCCTGGGCGCCGAAGCCCATCTGCGTGACGGCCAGGGCAGTGACGCCGACGACGCCGGCTGCGCCAACGAGCATCTTGGCTTGAACCATTGTGGTGTGTGTCGAACTTAAGTAGTGGGTAGGAATTCCGGTCGCGTATGAATGTAGTGTGACCGATGCGTGTCTTTGGAAGTGGCTGGCGCAGCGAGATGTGTTCGGACTAGTGATTCGAAGTGATTCGAGAGGGGTAGATATGAACTGAGCGTTCGTGGTGGAGGTAGTTGTAGTTGACTGTCGGAAGTAGCACGAGTGACGTGGAAGCGGTCTGCGTAAGCGTGTCTTGTATGTGCCAAGTTGCTTCTGCACTAAACGCGTCGAATGATCAGCTGGAGGGTCAGATCGTGAATGCTCGGACTGAGGTGAGACGAGGCGGGCATGTATTGAAGACGAGGTGAAGATGATGGAAGAATGGCAAGTGCGCCACGGTGTTGCGTGCCTTCTTATTGCAACCTCGGAACAGGACCCTGTCTGACTTCCAACCCCTTGAGACAAACCATTTGCGGCCTGTTTCCGTGTGTGACCATTGGGCTACGGCTTAAACGGTGGTGCCTGGGAGCAATCAGCAGGGAGGGTGCTGTCTCCAATCTCCCCCGCACAGCGACCCCCGGCTTTCCGGGGGATAAGGATTGGCCACTGATAAGCCGCAGCCTCGGTGGTGGCGCCTCCTTTTAGCCGAAGGACCTCTTGAGCATATTCCATATCGCGTTCATGTTCATCGAGTCCAGGTGTGTGCCCTCTGGCGTAGATCAATATCTTTTTGTATACAAGTACGAACGACTAGAAATGCTATAGTACAACGCTGCCCTCTATGAAGCTCGAGGCCTTAGCCTCTTAACATCCTCTCCATCCTCTCCATTCGCCTCATCTTCCCTCTTACGCTTCCCACCACTACTTTCCCCCCTCTCCTGCTCATTCCAGTCCACAGTCATACCGTCTGGGTCCTTCAAGCCATTGACTATTTTCTCTAGCCCCATGTCATCACCTTCTTTTGTCTCTAGCAGTTCCTCATCGACCCACCCTTCGGTATAACTGCCTCCAAAATCAATAACCCAAAGTGCATCATCCCGGTCCACCAGAAAATTGTCTGCCTTCGCATCACCCCATATGATACCATGCTTATGAAGTGTCTTGACAATCTTTTTCGTCTCCTGTGCCCACTTTTCCCGTTTCGATTCGTCAACCTCACTGTCCAACAGCTTGGTCAGCGGTACGGCCTCATCGATCGTGGTAAGCAGGTATCCCACAATGTCGGTTTTGGAGGTCCGAAAGCCAACAAAGGCATGGATGTAAGGGACTCTAAAGTGTTGGTGCAAGTCGAGGGAATGAACCTTATGTAGAAGCTCGATCTCACGGTTCGCGGGCTGGGGTTGGGTCGGGTCCACGGGCTTGAAGAAGTACGTGTTCGGGTCACTGCCGTCGATGGAGGCTCGTACAAGGGAGGGGTGGATGGGAGGAGGTTCGTCTGTCTCTGCCAGGACGGTGACATCTGAGGCTTGGATCCATGGGATGGGTAGTGACCTGAGCTTCTTGGGTATCGGAACATGTGGTTGGAGGCCTTCGACGCGTTTTCGTAATATCGGTGTCTCTTCGATCGGTACAGGCTCGACGGACGATTCGGAAGACGAGGGTTGTAACTTGTAGTATGCGATTGACGTGTCGTACCAGTCTTGAATGCTGCGATCCTGCGTCGCACTGTCGCAAGCCTCACGCTGCTGTGGCACTTCGTCGCCGAAGTCTTTCAATATCCAGTTCTGAAGCTCCAGCGCTGCATCGGAGTCTTCAATAGCCAAATTCGGTTCGTTTTCCTTCGAGCTGGCCCCCTCTGAGTCGGCGTTGACGTCGATGCCACTATCTCGATCTCCACTTCTCTTAGTCGGCCAGCCACCGTCGCCGGCCTTCTCGACGCCCTCGTTTTCCACCTCATCTTTCCCCTTAACCCGCTGCAGTAGATGTCGGTACTCATTCAGAGTAGCACCCTCGTCACCGGAATCGGTCTTCAAATCTCCCGCATCAACACTGATATGAAACCTCTGGTCGTTTATCCGCGCAGTGAATGCTATACCTTCCTCATCGTCATAAAAGAAGTCCAGAATGTGAGTCTTGGGTGGCTTCGGGTCACTTGAACGTGTAGACGGCATTTTTGTAACAGACCACAACCACAGTCATACACAGAGAAGCTTACCACCAAGTCAAAAGCGATCACAGGAGTATATACAAGCACTTTACGCGGTCCGCGAATGTCCTATGGGCGCGTCAGCACTCCAGCCACCACCGAACGAATGATGAGCACATCGCATCTTCAGCCTCGCGGGTGAAAGCTTCGTCAATCGATGTAGTCATAGACGCTACCAGCCGTACCTGGATCTGCAGGTACCATCGACCCGCTGGGAAAGCCAGTGGGGAGGAATGTTAGTGCATCGCTACGTTGAGTATCGCCAGGGAGTCAGAGATCTGGTCAAAGGATGAGAAAGGCAGGGGCTTAGATCCGTGGAGGCGCTAGTCGGACGGGTCGATCGATCGAAGTCGTGTGCTCGTAATCCTGGTTGCAGGATCTTGGTTCCGGTTGTGCATTTGGGATCTTCCCTCTACCAACATGGGGGGACTTCTAGCTGAGATGATCAAGAGGACAACACATACTCCATTTCGAGAAACTTCTTTCGTAGCCTGTTCTTTCATGTTATCGGAGTCTTGTAAGTATGGGAAATCGGTCTTTAGCTGACAGGTGTAGAATCGATGTCGTCACGAAGGACTTCTAGGAACTTTCTCACGCCAAGGCTCGGGTTCCCCTTCCTTTCTTACTCTCGTAGCCACCAGAGTTAGACGGATGTTATTCTCGGAATATGAAAGATGGGTATCATTTGAATACTCGTAAGGGCATAACTCATCGCTCCATCGTTGACTACCCGCCAGAAGACGTTCATAACCTGATACGCAACAATGGCAGGTCATAGCTCTCCATCGCCTTCTTCGTCCTCACTCTGCACCTTTACCTTCTCCTCCTCGCTCTTCATATCCTCAATACCATCTAGAAGCTCTTTCCTGTACTTATACCACTGCTCGAGCCAGTCTCTTCTCTCTTTCGGAGTCCAGCTCTCCACCAGAAGCGCAAACCCAACCACATCAGCATCAAAGCCTGCATACTTTGCCATGGCACCGAACTGCCGCCGCATGACATCTTCTGGGGGCCGGTAGCGGTACCTGATACCTCCATCCGCATCTAAGAACTTGTAGACTCTGCTAGGGCTCGTCTGAGTCTGTGTCTCCGGCTGAAATACCATTTGCCGCTGCTGGCTGGCGTTCCAGTTGGACTCGTCTGCTGCAGCTGCCTCCGCTGCTTCCGACAGCTTGGTCTCGACCTTGGAAGAGCCAATGACTTCAGAATTTTCGTGTGTATAGCCGACCCCGACGGACGATAGAATTGCTTCTATAGGGTCGTGCCTGGCGGCTTGGTTAGGTTTGTTGAGATTCATCGCCTTGGTCTTCCGTCGTGGTTTCTCATCGTTCCCTTTGATCTCCGCCGCGAGCTGCGACATTGCAGCGTCCTCGATGTCGGGTTCGGACTTAAACGATTTGACATTTGCGTCTGCGTCTTCTTCCCCTGCTTCCGCTGCAACGTACTCTGCCTCCAATTCAAGGTTAGAAATATGTACGCCAGCTCGTGACTCCGCGACATTGGTTTTGTTGACAATGTCCCGCAAGACCACATTCTCGTTATGCCAGGCAAACAGGTTTTGCAGACCGAAAAGCTCGCCCTTCTGGCCCTTGACGTCTTGCACTCCCTGGAAGTAGCGGCGCTCTGTGCTGGCATTGTAGCCTATGCTGGCTTGCTGCTGCTTGTAGATCTGTCGAGCGTAAACGATCTCCTCCAGTGTACCCTGACTCACGAGCCGAAATACTTCGACATCGCGAGTTTGACCAATCCGGTAAGCTCTGTCTTGCGCCTGCAGATCATATGACGGATTCCAGTTTGGATCCACCACGACGACTTTGTTGGCAGAAGTGATGTTCAGCCCTACACCACCGGCTTTGGTTGAGATCAAAAAGACAAACTGCCTGGGGTCGGTGTTGAAGTCTTGCACCGTTGCATACCGCTCCTCATAGCTCATGCTGCCGTCAAGATAGGAGACATTATACGACGTACTGATGAACAGATTGTGGAGCATCCTCAGTAATCTGACTGAATGCGAAAACACCAGGACCTTGTTGTTGCCCTCATCAGACCAGAACTTTAACAACTTCCTCAGAACCTTCCATTTGCCACAAAATTCGGGGTTGGCGGTGTGAATCATCGAGTCCCGCTCCTTGTATAATTTCTGCCACCTTTCCGGCATGATGATCTGCAGCGTATGTAAGTCTTTGGACTGCTTCTCTTTGGGATCATTGCCTTGCGGAATGATATTCGCAAGATGATTTGAAAGCTTGCATAACGTGTGGATGGCTGGAAAGACCCATTGTTGCCACTTGGTACCATCGTCAAGGTGGGATTTGCAGCACCAGCCCTGGTTCCTCCCACTGCCGCAAGCGCATAGTGTGGCGCTGTTTTTGATGTATTGCACAATGTCGCTTTCGAGAAAATTCTGGTATGCATCGGCTTGAGTCTCGGTGAGAGGGCAGAAGACAACACGATCCGTTTTCTTCGGTAGTTGATGCCTAATGATGTCCTTGGTGCGTCGCAGGAAAAATTGTGGGAGCAGGTTCGTCACTAGCATCTTCGCAGTCTTTCGTGCTCGCGCGAGCTCGTAGTTGGAGGCGTCATGGCTCTGTCCTAATTTCAAGGGAGTACATATCGAGACCTTCCAAGTTGTGATGGGGCCAAGGCGGCCAGGGTTAGTCCAGTTGAGAAGCGTCCAAAGCTCCTCGTACTTGTTCTGTATGGCGGTGCCTGTCAAGCCGATCCTGCAAAGAGCGTTTACCTCATTGAGGATTTTTGTGGTCTCGGCTTTCCGCTCCTTGATTTTATGACACTCATCAGTTATCACGCAATCCCACGAAATGAGGTTTATCTGGCCGGCACTCAGACGATATGTGTCGTATGTTGTAATCATGACTTCCAGGCTGCCAGACGCAGCTTGACGGAGTATTTCATCCTTTGCAACCGTACTGCCATGGTAGACATCAGTGTGCCACCAGCCCCATCGCTTGAACTCGTCCTGCCAGTTGGCCATCAGGCTACCGGGGCATATGATCAGGGTCCGGGGGTACCAATTGCCCGCCCTCTTCATCTTCCGCATCCGTTTCTTGTCTCGCTCGTCACCAGTCTTTCCATAGGCTGCTGTCAAGAATGCAATGACCTGAATCGTCTTACCCAGACCCATGTCATCGCCTAGTATGCCTCCCTTCTGGTAGACAAACAATTCATGCAAGAACTTGGTCCCATCGACTTGATATGGCCGTAAATGCTGCGCAATACTGGCCGGGATGATGCCTAGTGAATAGGGCATCTCGATGTCCGCATACGGAGCAGCGTCATTGCGAAGCGGTAGATTAGGCCTCTCTTCCAAATGCGCAATCCGGTCATCATCCGAGAAGTAAATGTCGTCGTAGGTAGGTGGTAGACTGAGTCCTCCCTCCTTCAGCTTCTCCTTCCGCTCATCAAACAGCTTTCTTCTCTTCTGGAGGTACTCCGGGACAGTCCACTCCATCAGCTCATCCTCTTCGGACGTGGAGTCACCATAGGCTCTTTCTTTGACCGGCTTCTTCCGTGGCTTCCGTCTCCCAACACCAGTCTTCCCATTTCGCTCAATATCCGGCCGAGGATTATTGGCGGCATCTCGAGCCTTCGCTCTGCGTGTAAGGTTGGCGGCTCGGGAACGATCCTCTTTGATCTTGTTTAGTCTCTTGGTATGAAGTGATTCGCCTTCATCACTGGACCAGCCGTCGGAGAAGTCTGACGGCGGTGAGATGCGACGTCTCTTGGGCGGCGGTACTTCATTTCGTGGCTTGGTGGGAGCAAGAGGCGACGATCGCTTCGCTGGTCGGGGGAGTGGCGGGTCAAAGACCCGGGGGTCCTGCGACGGCGACAGTGCGGCCGCATCGAGATCATACTCCTCCTCATTTTCTTCGCTGTCGGTGAAGACCATCTTGTGAGGTCTCCAACACACGCCCGGGGCACAAGACGCCGGACGTTTAGCAGGAAGAACAGATCAGAAAGGCGGGGACCGCAGGACGCGACTTTGAGCAACCCCGCGTTTGCTCCAATTCTTTCAAAATCGCGAAAAGTTCTCGAAAGCACCTGATCCCCAGCGACCTTCTATCACACAAGCTACACACTCATTACTGCCTCCCAACTGCCGCCGCTCTTTCACAACCTCCCTCACAATGCCTCTTGACACCCTATCAACCTACCCAACAACCCACCTCCGCACCGACGGCCGCCGCTGGAACGAACTGCGCCGCCTCACCTGCTCCCTCTCCACGCAGCCCTCCGCCGATGGCTCCTCCCTGGTCACAATGGGGAACACGATGGTGACATGCACCATCACCGGCCCGCGCGAGGGCCGTGGTCAACGTGACCATGCCCGCGCCACCGTCGAGACAGAGCTTAGCATCGCGCCCTTTGCGCAGACAGACCGGCGCAAGCGCGGCAAGAACGACAAGCGGCTGGTCGAGCTGCAGACTACCATTAGCAATGCATTCCAGGCGCATTTATTCACGCACCTGTACCCGAGAAGTCTGATTACGATTGCGCTGCATGTGCTGAGCCTGGATGGGTCGCTGCTGGCGGCGTGTCTGAATGCGGCGAGTTTGGCGCTGGTGGATGCTGGGGTTCCTATGCCGAGCGTGTTGGCGGGTTGCACAAGTGGGCTGGTGATGGATCCTGATGGCGACGGTGGGAAGAAGGGATCGCCGCCCGAAGGTCTGTTGGATCTCAGTGGTTCGGAAGAGCTGGAGTTGCCGTTCTTGACAGTCGCTACAGTGGGAAGTGTGGAGGGTGGCGAAGATCGAGTCAGCGTATTGGTCATGGAGACAAAGGTGCCAGGGGCGAGGTTGGAGGGGATGTTGGCCGTTGGCGTGGACGGAGCCAAAGGTGTGAGGGCACGTATGGAGGCCGAAGTTAGGAGAATGGGGGCGAAGCTGGCGAGAGGAAGGGCGGGCTGAACCGAGAGCTCAACTCCCGGTCCTACAATGCTTCGGAACACTGGCAATGATCACAGCGAGGTGTTGGATGGCGTTAAGAACCTTCGATGAATGGCATCTACTGTAGCATGGAAGCCTCTACCTGTTCAGCGATGATGCGAATGGAATTTCTCGGCCATCTTCCGCCAGGAATGAGAATACGACCTTTCACGATCAAGCAAGCGAGATGTTCAGACTCGACAAGCGGACCAGAGAAATCAGATGCACTACGGGTATGCTTGGGGGGTATCTAAAGATGTTTGGAACTGCTCCCGACGGTTTGATAACGTTTTAACAGCATGGAAGCGCCGCAAACTTCCACCATCGATATCCTCTAGGAGTCTTGCCATGGCTCTGGCTTCACTGCCATAATCCACCACCAACGGCCAACACTACTCCCAACTCCGACGCTATTTTGCATCTTCACCCCCGCCACCGTCGCCGACCCCTAACTCCCGTCTCCCCTTTTCGCTCCAGCTCAGCGCTCAAAATGAAACCCTCTCCCCAAGCTCGCCTGCGTCCTCGCCCACGCATCCCTCCTCGCCTGGCCCAAATCCGCCTGCTCGACCGCATCCGCCATGTCGGTGAGCGCATCGTTGGCGACACGCAGCGCGACATCCATCTCCTGACCAACGACGCCCTGGCTGCCGCCCACGCGAGCCTCGACTTGGTTGACCAGGCGGCTGGTGCGCTGGTGGAGGTCAGCGACCCGCTGGTTGCGTCGGATCTGCGTGAGCTGGTCCGCTGTGTAGGCGGAGGCCGTGGGCTCGTATCGGGAGGTGGTCTGAAAGGGGGTGTTAGTCAAGGTTTCTGGTGAAGAGATGGAAAGGAAGAGTCGGAGTAATCGGGCATGGTGAAGGAAGGAAGTGAACTTACGGCGTTATACACCAGGCCAAGACCGCCTTGATTACCACCGCCATGGACTTGTCGATGGTTGACATGAAGCTGCTGCTGCAGCTGCGCCTTGTCCTGCTGCAGCCGAGTGTTCTGCTGCTGCAGTTGGGTGATCTGGGCTTGGAGGCTGGCAACCTCGCTCGTCTTGGCGTCGATTGCTCTTCTTGCATTCTGCATGATTCTGGCCTCGGGCGAAAGGTTCTGGTTCTGGAAGTTACCAATGAACCGTGGTTCGATTACACCAGCCAAGGCATTGCGCTCGGTTTGGTCGTTGGCGCGGCGTTGGGCCGAGTATGCTAAACCAGTCGACATCGCGGGACTGAGTTGGCAGTTGCGTAGGAGGACAGCGAAGGATGCTGAAGGACGCCGAAGTGGTCGCCGTGAATATGATATAAATGGAATGGACCTGCTGCTGCTGCTGTATCTCAAGAGGCTGATGGGGATGATAGACAGGATGCAGAAACGCAGAGACGTATGGATCTTAAGTAGTTCCGACACCATGGTGGCATTCACCCGCAAACAATAGGTTATTTGCAGCCCGTTTGTTCTTGGTGAAGTCAAGCGGAGCAAGCAGCCTGAATCACAGGCAAGTGAAGCAGCATGGAAATGGTCTATTATTGTGAGCGCGTGAAGTATGGTGACAAATAACGGCAACAAAAGGAGAGAGTATGGTGACTGTGCGGTGTCTCTGCATGTTCTGTCCTTAGCACAATAGCCACACAAATACGTGAAGGAGTTGAGCATTGTACAGGAACCGTACAGAATATTCCAGCTGAGGACTAGAGACTCTTTGCTGGACTACACAGCTCTACCAGGAGGGTTATCGTTTGTCGACAACGTTAGTAAATTGCTACCAGCGCAAGTTCAGTCGCCAATTGCCTGGTACTAGGTCGACGTGGTATACACCACAATGCCCAGGTGAAGAGATCACGAGAAACACGTGGGGCACGAGTTTGTTACATATCAATTGTAAGTACATGCTGATGACTCCTGGTTGTCGCGTCATCTCGTGTGCGTCATGAAGCCTAGCATTTATATCCCGTCACTATGTTATACCCAGTCTTTCATGCTGCGCCAGTCGATCCTCGGCTTCCTTTTCACGGCCCCAACAGTACAGAAATATCCATTGCATTCGCGTGACTCTCGTTCTTCGGCAATCATTTCCTGCTCTGCAGGAAGGCGAGTAATGTAAACCAGCAATCTCTCCGTAGGCCCAAAAGCAACGGATATTGATCCATTGGTTTGTAACAGCGTCAAACGAGGTTGTAAGCGAGATCTATGGCAATTGGCGCAGAAGTGTGTGAGCCGACCAGGACAGCCACCGAGAAACGTTCGTCGAGGATCCATAGGCCCAAAGGGCGAGCTTGGTGCATGATTGACTGCTGGTTGTTTGCAACTTCAGTACTGTTTCGCTCGTTTGAAAATGGGCACCGATTCGAAGTCGTCCTCGTTCCACGACAATTTGCCATCCTTGTCCAATGATGCCCCCTCATCTGTCGTCGGCAGTCCCGCAGCCTTATTTTCTTCGATTTCTTGCGTGGACACTCCGTACTGATCCTTGGGAATCCATACCTTGGGCACCTTCGACGTCAATGCGGGAGCAACATATGCATTGCTGACCTCTTCCTCAGTGTATGACGGTGGCTCGTCCCCTGAGGCAGGGTCTACGAGCCACGGTCGGAGATCATGAACCGAGGGGAGGAGTCTCGGTTCCAGAAACGTCTTGAATGGATCAAGTAAGCCAGTAGGGAGACGATCTGCTGCGGCGCGACCCACACGCGCTAATCGGTCAACAACGGCGCTTCCATTGGTTCGTCCTTCCTCTGTGGCCATCAAAGGCTCGGTCTCGCCTTCAGAACCATGATTAGTCACAGGCGGGACATTTTCGAGTGGTGAGAGATATCGATTCACCGTAATGTGGTACCCGAATGTGGCGACCAGGAGAATAGCCATGAGCACAGAAGGCCCCGGAGCCTCCTTGATGCTGAAAAGGCCTAGTAGACAAAGTTCGGCAAGATAGATGCCCACCATGAGATGCTGTATAGCCTGAGCATAGCATGCTCCGCGAGAATCCAACTTGACTTGAATGACATACAGGAACTGGTATCGGTAGGCAATATAGAACAAGTAGAGTCCTGCGGCTGCGAAGCCCAACACGAGGGGCGCCACACACGAATATGCGAGACCAATGACTGCGAAGTTGGTAAATTTGGGATACGCCTTGCCCCAGCCGATGCCCTTCATCTGGCTTCTGCGGGCGTACTTTTGTCTCGGAGTACGATCGAAAAAGCGATCGTAAAAGATGTACGAGAACAAGTCGGAATAGTTGATGACCATTTTTGTTGCGCTGCCGAGGCCCTGAATGATGAAGTACGAGAGGTAAAAGTTGGCAGCTTTCGGTATGTTTCGTGCGAGAAGCTCAGGAACTGAGGTCGGCTCGTTGGCGATCTTCGTTGCGACCGTGGCTGCTCCCGAAGTGAAGGTTGTAATCAAGAAAACTTGCACGACTTGAAATGCAAAGTACCAGTTCTGGGTGCGCTTTTCCGCTTCGACCGTGGTCGGTTGACCGGACAGCTTCGCTATATTCCGGAAGAAGTTCGGCACATAGGACACAAGCTCACTCAGCACGTATGGAGGGACAAACCCTGTCAGAAAACCAAGTACTGGGTCGGGAAGATTCTTGAGGAAGCGGAGCCAGCGAATACGGTCAGCCAATTCATTGACATTGGACAGCGTACCGACAATGCCGACCGGAATAGACCACAAGATAATCGTTGCGGTGATCAGAGCGACGGCGAGAGACCTATACGTGATCCGAAGCGAAGGGTCGATGTTGAGGTTTGCCCACAAGACTTCCTTTGGCTGGACTCCGGAGAACCGTGGCTGTAGCGATAAAGGACTTTGGTGACGAACAGACAGCATGGCTTCTTGCGCGCTGCCTTGATCCTTGAATTCGACGAAGAGAGAACTACTCTCGGATGACAAATTATCGGAGTGATGCTCTCTTGCTGACTTGATCTTGCTCTCGAGATCGGGAATCTCCTTACGCAAGCTATCGAGGATATCATTGTCCTTGCCAAATACGTAGTACGACTTTTTGGCTGGACGTGAGCTCCGTGAATGCTTGTTGACGGTGTTCAAATCTGAACCGTTGTTGTATGGAGTGTCAACATGACCATCTCGTTTCGCCTTAGTGATGTTCTTTTGGAATTGCAGCTCCGCGGCTTCGAGGTCTTCGACTTTGGTAGAGCGTTGGCTGACAAGGGCCTCAAGGTCAGCCAGCTTTGGCACTTGCCAAGTCCTGACAGCAGATGTACCAAAGTATTGCTGCAAGTTCTCCTCCTCGAGGGCATCGGATGGCACGGCAAGGAAGAGCACTACCTTGGAAGAGAGTCGCTCGGCGTTCTGCGTAAGGGTGGCCTGAGCTTGACGAAGCCTGACGGCGAACAATCTCTCACGAGTAATGATAAAGATGACCAGGCTGAAGTATACCCATGCCACCACAGCATGAGCATAGAGGCGTTTCTTGTTGGCCACATTACCGAAAGCAATCCTGTCAAGCTGAGACGCGTTCCCACCACCAGTCGAATTGACCGAGAAAAGGATCGGCCAGGTGAAACAACATCCCAGCACACAAATAATCATGAGTACTCGAAGGAACCGCACAAACAAGTAAGCATCAATGGAAGAGTGCCGGAGCAAGAAGCTATCCCTGAGCATATGAAAGTCGTGGTACCAAGGTACGGAGGAGTGGCTCGACGACGGTGTGCGGTCGCTTAAGTCTTTAGTCCATGTCCATTTGTAACAGCTTGAGACTTACTGCTCCGGAATAGTTTTGAAATATGTCCGCGGCATATAAATATTGCGGTAGGGCTTTCGAAGCACGAGGAAAGCTGTTACAAAGGCAATGGCAGTAATAATAGTTGGCACGAGCGTTGCACCAATGGCAGCAAAGGATGTCGAGCCTGTCCGATGACTTGCTGCTGGCTGGATATTGGTGATATCTTGCCCACTGCCAACTTGCTTCACGACTTCCTGGAGGGACGCCATGATGATGAGGACAGAGACTCTCCGAGGGCTTGTGAAAGGTGGGATAGCCTTGAGACTACGGGTACGAAAACAAAGCGTACAGTAGCTTCATCCCATGGTTAAGTTTGCCTATTGGTAGTTGTTGCTAGCTGGCAGCTTTTGCGTGAGAAATATTGCCTAGTCAAGAGGCATGACGTCAAGGAGGGTGGCTTCGGGGCGGAGATTTCAGCCTCGCCGCGCGCCTTGCAGCCTCGTCGCGGTGCCCCTCCTGGCACATGATGCCCTAATCGAATATACAATTCTATCCTCAAGCCAGATAAACGGAAGGACGGAGCACCATCTATGGGTACATGATCGATCGGACACATTCTGTGAAGCTTTGGCAAAAGAGCGATGTTTGGAGCATTGTACCAGCTGTACTGCTGTAGCTTCGGCGGTCACGGGCGTGCTAGGGAGGGCACCCCGGCGTATCCATCCCATCATTCCTACACCATTGCCTATACGGTCCGGACTTCAACATGAGCAGCGTCTGTCTTAGGGACAGCACCGCCCTCCTCCATACCTGACTTCTCAACCTGAGCATTGGTGACAGTGGCGACATCGGCCTCATCGCCATCGAAGTAGCGCGCAACTTCTTCCAGAGGAGTGTACCGGGTTTCGACTACGTACTTCCAGATGTACCAAACCTCGAACAACAGGAAGCAGCAATAGAAGATGTAGTATCGCCACTGGATCTCATCTAATGCGATCGGGTTGACGAATTGGTTAAAGAAGAGTGCGATCAGGATCGTCAATGACGCCAGAGTCGTTCCCTTCGCTCTCAAACCGTATGGGAGGATCTCCATGTTGTAAGTAGTTCCTAGACCGGTCTTGAAGTTGTAGCTCAGGTCGAAGAAATAGATCATCACAACCACGCCCCGTCCGAGTCCTGCATTATTGCCGCCTTCGATGTCGTAACGGGCACTGATAATGGTCCAGATGGTGAACGAGACCAGCATACCGACCGTGCTGATCATGAACATCGGCTTGCGGCCGATGCGGTCAACAAAGAAGGCAAAGACGACATTCACCACCAGTGACATAGCCTTCAGTCCGCCGTTGATGCCAAGCTGGTCGCGAGAGTCGTTGATGCCGATACTCTCCAGCACGATTCGCAGGTAATAGCTGACGATGCCATTTCCGGACCATTGAGAAAACAGAGCAATGAAAACGACAAGCGACAGACGCTTCCTGTTTCCTGGAGTGCGAAAGAAATCGATATAGCGTGTGGACCGATTGGCCTCGCGATCCATCATCAGCATAGAGTGGATCTCGGTGTACTCCACAGTCACGAACTCGTCCTGCTCGTTTCCGTCGGCGTGATAGTACGCCAGCACCTGCTTGGCCTTGTCGGCACGATCTTTGCTGATGAGGTATCGAGGACTTTCAGGGATGAAGTATATGACCGAGATCACGATGAGTGTACAGGCACACTGCAACAGTGATGGCAATCGCCATGCCCAGTCACTCTGGATCTGGAGGGTGCCGAACGTCGTCCAGGACGAGATGAACGATCCCAAATGATAGCTGCAACCCATGAACGTTGTCATAATTGCTCGATCCTGTGGGTGCGCAATCTCCGCCACCAGCATAGGAGCTGCGCCGATGGTGATAGCTAATACCGTCAGTACAGTCGCATTCGAGGGCAGATTCTTTCCTCACCCATTCCCATCCCTATCAGAAAGCGACTGGCTAAGAACATGTCGTATGAGAGTGCTCCGGCTTGGAGACCCACTCCAAGAAGAACGATGACTGAACCTATGACAACGCCAACTTTTCGACCCCAGCCATCACAGATAGGAGGAATGAAGCCCAATCCGGATAACGAGCCGAGAGTCATGATAGAGGACAATATGCCGAGCCTGGAACCCTGTGGATCGCCAAAGTAGTCACGCCAGTACGACAGAGACTGCTGGTATTAGCAAAGTCGAGGTAAGAGGTCGGGAAATCTACCTGAAGACCATTCATCATGGAACCGTCGAAGCCGTTTGCGACCTGGGGCCATGTAAGACCTTGAATCAGTATACATTCTCCAAGAACGGCGTTCTGATTGACGTTGAAAAGAGCAGAGCTCCCGCAAGGTGAAGAGCAGTTACTACGGGGCCGACAAAGAACTCCACAGAAAGGGGAACCTGCTCTTGATCGTGTGAAACAACTCTCAGAGCATCGAATTGATCGACAGACGCCTTCGGGGCTGGAGCAACTCACATTGTTAAGGATGAGTACGACGCAGTAGAAGTACAATTTGCGAAGCCGAGGACTCTGCCACCAGGCTACTCGATCCCAGGTACGGTCGGCGAAGAAGAACTTCCCCTTCGGCGGCTTCACAATAGCTGGCGAATAGCTCTGTACTTGCACTCGGCTGAAGAACCCCATACCGGCAAGGTGATTGATGATGGTGCCCCCTTCGGTGTTGTCAATCGACGGTTCTAGGTGCAGTTGCAGATGTTGGTGCCCTCCTCAGTGCCTTATCACTGGAAACTGCAGGACAGCTGATAAGTGACAGTGCGCCAAACAGTGATGTATTGTCGACCGGTTTGAGGAAGCTTGAAGAGATAATCGCAGCGCTTGACACTGACAGCAATCAGCATGGCGAGTCCGATGTCGATATATACTCATGTCAGCCCCGGCCCAACTCGCATTTAGCCAGATACACGGATCAAGTTGTCGAACCTAGTTCGGCCAAGTCTGAAGCAAGTTGCCGGCGCCATGTAAAGGCATGGCTGCATGGCACGACTCGCTCGGAGTAGTCGGGCCTAACCCGCGTTATGGGGCATCAGGCTATCTCCACGACCGCGTTCCGCCTGCGATCTCCCTGCCCACGCGGGGAATGGGCCCCACGAACTCTTGACATCTCCAAGCCAAGAGTCGTTCTCGAGATCAAGGATTCTTGGCATCGCACTCGCCTCTGCTTCGAGGCGGAACCGGAAAGGATAGCCATTTAGCCTGAAGTCAAGACGCCCTTGAACCGGAATTTTGTATCTGAACCTCTTCGGGATCTGCCACAGTACAGTGCAAAATCATTCCAGGGGTGGCGCGATATACATGTATGAGCGGAGGACGCAGTCTTGGCGTCCGCTCGCTGAGTCTCTCCGCCCGTTCCGCCCGAACACCTCCAGAACTTTTTGTGACGACGTCCAGAATGGCTGATGGAGCTGAGGACTTCGGGGTTGCCGTTATCAAGCTCTCATGGCTACCGAGGTCTGGAAGGTTGAGCCACGCCTATCTAGTCGACTCTTGCCTTTGCCCATGTGGCATGACCAAGAATTGGCGACTTGGAAGCTTGGCATCTGCTACGTTTCACAGACGCCGTAGTCTCAATGAGGTAGGTCGCCGGTGGCGAAGTTGTGGTCGCCGCCGATCAAGGAGAAAGTTCCGTCGGCTGGTACAGTGGCCGGATAGACACTCCTCATTCTCTTCTCTCCGGCTCGGGACATCTGGCATCGGAAAGGAAGCTCGGCATCATGTCTCAACTGCGCAACATTTAGGCAATATACCAACAAACATGAATGAGTTAAGACTCCGAGACCGAGACGTTGATTGGACTTTCTCGGAAGCCAGCCAGAAGCATTTAGGCCTATCATCAATTTCTGGCTGACCTGGCCTGCCCAGATCCAAGTCCAGAACACAATGGCGGCACGGCACATCAATCCCATCATCCCAGGCTTTGCACCTGACCCGTCGCTGTGCGTAGCGGACGGCACGTTTTTTCTTGTCAATTCGACATTTCACTTATTCCCAGGTCTCCCTGTGTATGCATCGAAGAACTTGACGGAATGGAAGTTGATAGGTAAGGAGACGTCCATAATAGGACACAGTAGTATCTAATTCGAGTAAAGGCAATGCCGTAAACCGCCATGGGCAGTTGAGCCTTGCAGACACTAGGACAAACATCCACGAGCTGGCCACTGGTGGTAACATAGTTGGTACAGGCGGCCTCTATGCTCCCACGATACGATACAACAACGGGACCTTCTATATCCTCTGTACAATCGTTACGCATCGTGACCCTCCAGCCAAGTCTCACAGTTTTGCCAATTTCATCCTCAAGACCAACGACATCTACTCCGGCAACTGGAGCGATCCTATATACTTCGATTTCTACGCCTTCGATCCCAGTCTTTTCTTCGATGATGACGGCAGAGCTTACGTGCATGGCGCAGCAATGCCAGGTCCGGAAACCACCATCGACATCTTCGAGGTCGATCTAAAGACCGGCAAGAAGCTCACCGAGCAGACAACAATCTGGACAGGCATCACAAAGTTCTTCCCTGAAGGCCCTCATATATACAAGAAAGATGGCTACTACTATTGCCTTATTGCCGAGGATGGAACCCACGAGTTCCACGCCGTGAAGATTGCGCGCTCGAAGACCCTGATGGGCCCATATGAGTCCTTCGAGAAGAATCCTCTACTGTCAGCAGCTCCTGGCGACTACTATCAGCATATTGGCCATGCCGAGCTCTTTCAAGATCCTACTGGCGAATGGTGGTGTGTGTGCTTGGGTGTGCGCAAGACCGCCAAAGGCCACTTCGTCCTCAGTCGAGAGACCTTCCTCACACAAGCTAGCTGGCCTGAGGGTGATTGGCCCAGCATAGAGCCCATCAAGCCCAACCCCGAACGTCTTGCTGGACAAGCGAAGCCACAGCTCCTCGGCGGCGCAGACGAGGACGAGTTGCTCTTCATTCGTGAGCCGGGGCTACGTGGATACAAGCGGGACGGCGATACCATCATGCTCAAGCCGTCGACTTTGGACTTCACGTATGCGGTTGGCACGGAACCCATCTCCTTCGTTGGTAGGCGTCAGCGACGGCTGGATGGAGTTGCGTCTGTGAAGCTGCTATCCGGTGTACAGGGCGCAGATCTCAAAGCCGGACTGGCATACTTCAAGGACGAGCACAGATTCATCCGACTGTTCTATGACTTCTCGACATCTGAGTTGTGCTTTGACGCCGTGAATGCTTCGCAGAAGTTTGCAGAATCGTCGAAGAGGTCATTGGAGCTCGTGCAAGGAGTTGAGCTCCGAGTAACATATACCGAGCTGGAGTATACCTGCTCGTTCCGTCCCAAGGGATCTGAGGATTGGACTCAGATGGCGACCGTAGATGGTCTGAAAATGTCGGACTTTGACTTTGTGGGTCCTGTCATCGGTGTGTTCGCCTTTGGTAGTGCCAGCGACACTCAAGTACAGTTCAAAGGTCTGCAGGTGGACTAGCGCCCGGCTGACCAGGAAGTAAAGTGTTTGGTCGATCTGGGGTTCTTCGCGCTGTATGAGAACCAAAAATGGGGTGTGGACGGGCTCCCGACGTCTAGATTAGACTAGATATCAGGTCATGACCCTTAGCAGCCCCTGCTGTGAGACTTAAAAGCATGCCCGTGGTCAGTCGATCCCTTCGACCATACGATCCACCTCGTACTAGCGAGCTCTAATTAGGAGAAGGCAAGCCAACGCGTGGCTAATGAACGTTTCAGGCGGCCTGATGAGAAGATAATGGAAGAGTAGAACAAGGAAGTGGCATTCACTGTTAGCGTTTGCACGTCTGCTTAGCAACGTCGTCACTCACCCGCTCGTTTGCATCAACGTCATAGAGATTGCTCTTTCTCTTCCCAAACTATGTCCTGTCGCTTGATAATGTTTACCAGATGTCGAAAGTATCAAGCTCTCACCCACAATATTGATTGCCACAGCAATGGCTTCCAAAGCCATACGACCCGAAAGCACCCTTCTGGCTGAGCGCCGTCAACAAGCCCGCGAGCTCCTCTCCCGCAATACAGACTATCAACAAGCTCATGTATGGATACAGGAATCCCTGGTCTACGTGCTCGCGAAATATGGCCCACCCCGCAAACTCGGCGTTTCTGGACTCACCGACCTACTGCTCCTAGACTTCTTCCAGCACGACGACGACGCACAATCGGTAAGTCGCCATAATGATCCAACTCCTGCTACTCAGGACTAATGACTACGGCAGAGTGATCCCACAGTCACGCCAGATGCCATGGTGATCTGGTGTAAGGCTCGCGCCATGGTGACAAAAATGTTTCCGGACGGCGCCTCAAAAGAAGATGTTGTAAAGGCGCTTTCACCATGTATAATAGCCTGGCAGCAAGACTTGGATGTGTTGAAAAGTCTTGAGGAGACTGAACCATTCGACCAAGGTCAAGAAAGAACAAAGGATGCCACGGTAGGTGAGCACGTCGGAGACATCGCCAAGACTCAGGGCGAGGCTGAGATTTAGGGGGTGAGGCATGCCGCAGGCATGACGGTGAGACCGTCCCGCCACATACTGTCCCGAGACAAAGGTCGCTCTTTGTCGATGCAAGAGCCGGTGTCACTGCTCACAGCAAGTACGACCAGTCATGCCTTACTTCGTTAAAAACGCTGGAACAATAAAACCCAACGCCGTCATCGCGGTTCGTCATCGCTCTTACCTACCTTTTTCTGCATCAGTGAACAGCGCTACCACGTCGTACCGAATACTTTAAGAGCTCGCTGACTGCACGTGTCCCTAAGCCGATTCTTGGAGGCATTTTGACCCAGACGACCAGCTCGCCGACTCCAACATGGCCCCCAGGAAGCGTAAGCTTCTTGATGACGGAGCCAACATGCGAATCTCGTCCATGTTCAAAAGAGTCCGCTATGATGGGCATGTGGAGCCGCCGCGAAAACAATCTTGTCAGAACGATCGGGTTGAGCAACTGATCTCATCATCACCACCCTCTACGTCGCAGCAAGGCTCTAGTAGCGACGACGCGGGTCCGGACAGTACGCCCAACAGCCACCCCGGTCCCGCAATGTCCAGCACGTATCCGAATTCTATCAGCTTCATCCGAGTACGAAATATCATCCGTGTACAGCGAAGACTTCAAGAGGCTTACACAAACTTTGCAGGTCTCGAGATTACAATAACGTAGGGTCGACCCTGAACTTGCGAAGCCCTCTAGGTCTCTTCACCACTCCCATATCACCTAGGTACATCTCCTTTCAGCGTGATCCGCAACATATCCCTCCTGAAGCCATGATAGTCATTTATGGGGTTATGCAACACGGCCCGATTATCCCAAAACGCAATCGACCCAGGCTCCCACACAAACCGACAGGTAAACTCCGGGCGCACCTGATGCTCATGCAGAAACCTCAACAACCCCTCACTCTCCTTCTCTGTCCAGCCCTCGAAGCGCGCCGTATGCGCCACATTGACGTACAGCGCTTTTCTCCCTGTCTCCGGATGCGTGCGCACCACGGGATGCACGGCCTCGAAAACGTCTGGCGCGCCCTTGGTGCCGGAATCGGCGATGCGGTCCTCGCGCGTCTTGGAGGCGTCGGCTTTGCTGCTCGTGCTCACGCCCTTCAGTCCTGCAAGCGTGGCTTTCAGGCCGTCGCTCAGCGCCTCGTACGCGAGGTACTGGTTCGCGAATAGGGTGTCGCCGCCATACGTAGGCACCTGCTCGGCCATGAGGATGGTGCCCATGGGCGGCTCGGCGAGGTAGGTGGTGTCGGCGTGCCAGACGCCGCCGAAGTTGGTGGTTTCGTGCTCGAGTTTGCGGACGCGGATGATCTCGCGGTGCGTGTCGAGGCCGCGCACGAAGGGGTATTGTTGCGGGGTGCCGAAGTGGTTGGCGAAGTTGAGGAAGCTGTCTGGGGAGAGGGGGGCGGGTTGGCGGAAGAAGATGACGCCGTGGGTCAGGAGGGTGGAGCGGATGGAGGCGGTGGTCTGGGGCGGGAGTGGTGAGGTGAGGTCGACGTTGTGGATGAGGGCGCCGCCGGCGCCGGAGAGTCGCGTTATAGGGAGGTCGCTGGCGGTTGCGAGGTGGCGTGCATAGCCGTGGTTGACGAGGAATGGTCTGATACAGCCCAGTCCCGTCCGCCGGGGTCTGATGAGCCTTGAGGCCATCGTTTCGGCACTGGCCTAGATTATGAGTAGGACCCTGCCTCAAGTCCAATATTGATTCACTCCTTGGGTCATAGCCCGATTTCAACAACGGCCGACCAAGCAGTCGAGGATGTGGTGGCTATGATGGCGGCTCTGCTGTTATCCTCGGGAGGTCTCCGCCTCATCTTGGGGTAACCAGGCATCATGCGGGGAACCCTGTAAAACCTTCTTCAAGATCGCCTCTTACTTTATTTCGTTACAACATAATAACTTCTACTCCCTACAGATATGCATAGTGAAGACGCTGCCATAGCAGTTAACGATAGAAGCAGTGATGTTGCTAGGTCACATGACCTCCTTGAGGTTGACTACTGGAATTGTTTCGTAGATTCGCAAAGCAGCCGAACGCCTGGTCCTTGGCGGTGGCTGCCTTGTCCTTGGCACGCACAAGTCGGGCTATCCCTGCAAGGAAAGGGGAAAGCCATCCAGGGACACGTGAACATTCGTCCGCATGCAGCTTCATAAGGCTGACAGGCCGTGAAGCGGAAGTGGACCCGAAGACTAAACTGACAATTACCCGCACGTCAATTACTGACCAGCAACCGATCAAGTTGACCTCCCCAAGCACCGTCTCTTGACTGTTCCCCACTTACTGAGCCTTGAGAAACACCCTCCGGTACTTCTTGTCTTGTAAAATGGCGAGAAAGGTATGTCCTGATCCAAGATCTGCTCGATCGAGCTGACCACATCCTGCAGAAGCCCAAAACCAAGAAGCCGCCTGCGCCGATGGGCTCAAAACCTCATCCACACGGTCTGATATGCACTCAGCAACGAGATTATAGCAATCATCATACCTCAACTAAGTCAAGTCGACACCGTTTACTTCGGTCTCGCCTGCAGACGAGCACATAGTTGTGTTCTTTACGTCACAAAACACGACAAGCTCTATGGACGTCCTGAGAAGCCTTTCCACATGCAAGTATGTAGACTATCATAGTTCGATGTTCCGCCGATCACGAATCCTCGAAGAGATCTTTTTCGTCGGCTCTTCAACTGGAAGCCACGTGAAATGGTTTACTGCGGTCGGGTTGGAAGAGACTATTTGAACATCAGGAGCATTAAGAGAACCGCTCACGATCATATCTACTGCGCCTGTCACATGTCTCTGGAACGTCGCTATGGGGACAGACCTTCTCGCTTCGCCATTGATCTGGCTAGGGCCAGCATCCAGCGGGCACGCGATGCGCAATATGCGTCACAGGAGATGCAGACGCGGGACTTGTTGGAGGGGACGGAGTCATTCCGCTGGCCTCGACACATGGTGGAGGAGCTTGCATTGATCCGCCAGTGCTTGGAAGATATCCAGAGAAACCTTGAAAAGATACCCAGACGTATCCAAGAGGACTTCAAGGAGGACATCGATAAGCTGAGCTGAAGGACCATACCACACGCATGGTCCCGGCCTTGAAACCTCCTTTGCAAGTTGGCATGCATAATCACCAGCACACCACAAGCACGTCTCGTTGCAGCTTTAGGATGAGTGGTTTACGTCCATTGATCAATTCCGTACGACTCGATACGCTACTAGATCCTACAGTATTAGTCTCTTTGTGATCACCGAGAAGCCTAGAGCGTCCAGAGGATGCGGCCCGCCGCTCACAGCTCGTTCTGCTGGCTTGCATTCGCCATTTTCGGCAGTCTTTTTTTTTTTTTTTTTTTTGCATGTGACGTGGCCGTGCCGGCTGGCTGCCGCGCAGACAATCTCTATTCCGAACATGATGATATGCTTTCGCACGTCCACCCCCCCAGGGTGTTGGAAACATAGTGCCTTCCAGACATTGGCCTACTTTTAGTCCCCCGAGACACACTCGCGTATGAGACGACGGAGTCATATTTGTCAATACGCTGAAGCGTGGCGTCGGATGCCATAGCAGCCAAGATGCTAGCAAATACGTCAGAGGTAAAACTGAGGGACCGCCTCTGAAAAGCGCTTTCCCTGCGTTTCAGGATCGAACTGTGGCTTAGTCCTCTGGGCTTATTTGGAAGGAGATATGGTGTCTCTTGCTCAGGTCGGTCGTGGGTGTGGATGGCGGCGAGTGGTCGAGTTAGGTTTCCTGCCAGATGCTTGGCAAAATGGGGGCGAACAAGGCGGACGAGGCAACGAGGAGAAGTCGGCGATTACGGATGTTGCCTGAATACACAGCAGGAGGGGCCTTGGGACTTCACCTGATGTGACACCGTGGGGCACTGGTCGGCCGCATCTGCCGAAGCCATGAGGCTGCGATCTGCAGGGGAAGCTGAAGGCATTAGCTGCTGGCACAAAGATTTCTAATTTTCTTCTCAACTGCCCTCGATCATTTGAGCCGAGAGCAGCGTACTTGTAGAGAGGTCGCTTGAGCTCAATCATGAGTATGACTTCTGATTCCGTCTAATTTGCGTCAATATCTGACGCGAAACCAGACTAGACTGGATGGCCATGCGATCAACCTATCAGCACCTGGGACACTTCTTAGCTGCATACTCGTCGGGCAAATTGGTATCTTAGATCTTAACCAACGTCCAGGGCGGTCGCCGGTAACGCCCAACTCGCCTGCGTGTGGCGGTAACGGGCTACCCATCCGCAGTCCTCGTAATGGAATGCGATGTAGACAAAAAATTCTCGTTCGTCGCCGGCCCAGTCGTCACTGCGTGCTTTACCGCGCTTGACACCAAGACTTCTCGCAAGCTTCGCAGCCTTAGCCTCACGCGCCTTGTTCTGCTTTTGTATCGTTGCCAGAATGGCTTTGGCTCGGCTTTGGATAGGAGTTCCCGTGAAAGAATCTCTCCGGATGGCGAGAGACCGCAAGCAACCGCAATGTGCTGGTCTATGGTGCCAGTGTCCTACATAAGGGTCGTGTGAAAGAAGGCTCTCCATCATTCTGTATTGGAAAATCTGATCGCAGTAGATGTAATCACGAGGTACCCACGTGTAGAGCGCTTTCATCAGGGACCCATAGTGGGAATTGAGCGTGCCTTCCTCTCCACCCCACCCATCACCCAAGTGAGCTTTCGAGGGGTGCGGGAGGATATCGGACAACTTGCTGACCTTGAAAGCGTGCAATATCAAGGCGTAGTACCTGCGAGATGTGAGTCCCAACAGGATTGCATCCACATCTGACACATCCGAGATGATTTTGGAAAGAATCTCGTTCGGGAAGATGTCGAGGCCGATAAGGTGTCTACCAGAGGGGGTCTTGCTGCGTTTCTGTTATTGCATTAGCCGCAATCTTGCAAGACAGCCACGGCTGCAATCTCACCTTAGGCATTGTTTGAGATAGCTTGTCCTTGCAGGAGAGATGGATCCGGTATTCGACAGGGTTCACAAGCTGTGTGAACGGGTCAGAGTGTCAACGTACTCAAGGTGATGAGGAGGTGCAAAGGAGGAAGTCCGGAGATTGTGTGGCGAAGCAAGGTGTGACAAGAACAAATTAATATGGAACCGTGAAGTATCGGTGAATTAGTGACAAGGCCAGTGACAGGCAGGTCAAGATAAGGCTGAGATGAGGCACAAGTTGAGGCAGGAGGATGTTGTTGAGCATCAGGATTTATCAAAGCGGTCAGTACATCAGAACAGTAAGCGTTTTATGGGCTCTTGGATCAGTGCTAAAAGTCGATGAGTTCGCGGGTGACTCGGATCATAGTCTAGCACACCAAATTCTCAGTTGAGAGGGCAGGTCATCGCAGGCGCTTGTACCTTGCTATGTTCGCTCTTCGTATGAAGAGGCTGCAACGTCGTAAGCAGGAGATAAAGCCGATACTGGATACTGGGCCAACCTCACCTAGCATGGACAATGCGCGACTCGTAAGTTGGCAGACCGTACTTGGCGGCAATAATGTACCACTTCCTCCGCCTTCGTAGCAGTGTCTTGGTCTCCATTTGCCGACTTCTCGAGCAGGGACACCAGACGCGAGCTCAGCAGCGCGCCCAAACCCGAGTTCTTCAGCGTGCCACTCATGGCGACCTGACCTAGTAGCATCAGCTGGCACGCCACACTAATATTCAGCCAGTCTGAACAGCCGACCAGGCTTCCCATCGTGTTCTGCAACATCCAGAGGGCCTTCAGCTCAGAAGTCCCATAGGTCCCAGGATTCATGTTTCTGCATTTGCCTAATATACGCTCCGTGCGCATTAGCGCGTCCCCCAGCAAGGTGGTCGCTGCCTGGACGGCCTCTCGCTGCACCTGCTTGTGCCTGACTCGAAACTGCTCACAAGTCTCGCCACCGGTGGCGGCAGCTCGGACGCCCATCTTATAATTTCGTTGCAGAAGCGAGTCCACACACTGGCAGTCGAGGTGGTACGGTTCGCGCATGAGTGGCTGGGGCAGCCCGGTGCACCATTCTCTAGCGAAGCACTCTGTTTTCTCCCACGCCTGGTATCGCGCGTTATTCACATAAGGTAAGTTGCCGCGCCCTCCACAGAAGATGCGATCGGACGGCATCCATGACTGTAGGGCGCGCATCAATTTGCTATAAGGCTGCTGCTGATCGAGTGTGATGAGTTGCTTATGCCTCACGAACGAGCAGACAGAGTCGGCACAATAGGCTGGGCGAGGACTGTGAGCGTCATCAGCACGGCGGTCCCACAGAGGAAGCGAAGACGTACCAGAGCTCGTTGAAGGATGTAATACTTTTGGCGCCTTTTACCAAGGCGTAGTTCGCGCGAGAGGTCAGGGCGAAACATATGAGAGATGGAGCGTCTGTATGGTCCAGGATCTTGAGCAATACCTCCACAGGTAACATCTCGAGGGAGTTGTGCCCGGTAGAGTCCCTTGAGGGCCGACAGAAACCGCAAGAGCAGCTCTTCCCAGGATCCATCTCTGCATTCTGCATGGTGTAATGCAGCTAACGGCTTGGATGGCTTGTATTGTATATGTAGCGTTGTTACCTGGTCAGATGTTCGTGAGAGCCGATGTCTCCATCGCAGTGCCGATTTATGGGAATATGCTGGGCGGGCGCCGGATATATAGGAGAACAACAGCTTTTAGCAGGTTACACCCTTGAGCCAGCAAAAAATTGCATGAGCCTCAAGCGTGCCGTGGCTGCCTTGATAAGGGACGGTTGGTAGTGGAGTTTGCTGGAGCATACCACAGTACTGGGCCAGGCTGAAGGCCAAGCTGGAACAACACCTGGTCGACCAGCAACTTAGGTGCCAGGTCTCCTGGTGAGTGACTTGATGGGCCACACTTACCGTGATGATTTCGACGAACATCCTACGCAGCGGTGCGGATCTAATGAAGCTGTAGAAGCGGCATCGAATAGTGTTAATATACTCCGGCTGTGGCCGTCGATTCTTCAGTATATACATACCTGCCTGAGGTAAGATAGATCGCTCGTCTCTGCCCTCTGTCATGGTTGGGTGACCTGTTCATTAATTTCATCAAACGCTATGTACATATCATTCGTCACTCTTGATGGGGTGCAACACCATCATAGGCAAGCACATCCTGCCGCCACCGCCTTCTCCCGTCTCTTTGTCTCCTTCGACCTCACTATGCGGGTCCTCATGTCCAAGCCACCTGTTCCATAGATATGATGCAAATGCGGCATTACTATAGTAAGTGCTTCCTCTAAATACGTGCTCGCCTGGACCGAACACGCTCCCGCCCTTCCCACCGTGGAAGTAGCCGTCGCCGTGGTCCATCCCTGCTGCCTGAGCAGCCGCGCCGACCTTGGCGTTGTTGAAGATTTCGTTCGCGTGTACGGATGGCCAGTCATGATCGAAGTAGACTGGCAGGGGTGCATATATGGCCTTCAAGCCGTAGTGCAGGGCAATAGACGCAGGAAACATTTCGGGAAACATCGTGTGCTTCTTGCCCCAAGTTTCGTGGTGCATGAGCTTCAAGAGGCGCCGTGACATCCTGGAAGCTGTGATCAAGGCGGCGCGAGTCGGCGGACGATTGCCCTGGTAGCCCGTGATGTCATCGCGGAAAGCCCATTGCGTCTGCGAGGGGTCGAAAAGAGGGTTGAAAGTAATGAGGTCCGTAATGTGATCAGCATGAACCGGATTTGCTTGTTCTGGGATACGGAACAGTTCTGAAAGTTCTCGCTGCGGAGCAGAAATGGGTCCATGTCCAGTCTCACCAACTTCGTTCTTGACCGACTCGGCGAACTTGGCGTAGGAATTGTCGAAAAGTGAGGGAATGAAGAACTTTGCCGACCTCTCCCAGGCGTAGGCGCGTGGCTGTCGCTCGGCCCACGCACTGACAGCCTCAAGCAGCTCGTGGTAATGACCGGTCACCCTGATGTCCATCTCCCATTGCCAGAAATAGTCGAATTCAGGATGCTTCTCGGCGAAGTATTGCAATGGGAAGTGCAGGGATCGATACGCTTCGTAGACTTCGCCACCGGAGAAGTTGACAATGCTTTCAGGGAATGGCGGCGGGTAGATCAGCCTCATCTGCGCAACGGACCAGAGGGTCGCCATGCCGTGGAATTCCCGAGGCAAACTGGCCTCTAACACGCGATTGTACTCATCTTCCGACGCCCAGATTGGTATACCCTCGTCCTGAACATGTACGAGGAAGTGGACGGTATACTTGCCCCGCGAAGCAAGGCCAACTTCGCTTATAATGGCACGTAACACAGCAATGTCGTATGCCGTGTAAGTATAGTTGGACCAGGTTCGAACAATGAACGCCTCTCGACCGACGACTTTTTCTCGATTCCTCTCGTAGCATTTATCTTGCGCAGGACCCCATTTGGCACGCTTCCAGTTCGGTCGTCGATCGGGAAGAGGGTCATTGTCACCGCCTTCTGCTACTGCAATGCCTGCCTCATGGTCAGCTGGCTGGTCGCCATATATTGCGAGTCTTTCTATTCGATCGTAACAACGCGCTGAGTCCAAGCCAATCTCATTATGCGACCCCATCAATGGCGCAGGCATGCGCTGGGGAAGTCCCTTGTAAGCGGACCATTGTGGAATTTCAAGAGTGTCCTCCTCATCAGCGTAGCACTTCTCCCCATCGAAATCAACCTGGGCGCGGACGGGTGTGAGCAATGGCGTCGAGGACTCGGTAGGTTCAGACTCGTTGCGATTCTGCTCCGGGATGTAATGGGAGAGAGTGACGAGATTTCGGCGGCCTTGAAAATACCCAGTCAGGCGTGGAAACTGCTCCCACCAGAATATCTCCCTGTTATCTGAATTGCGTACAGACTGCCCCAGTGGTATTCGCGCCCCCGGTACCTCCTTTGGTATCTGTGTTTCTGTTGCACGCGCAGCACCACGATGCAGCCATATTATTACCAGCGCACACGCGATGAGGGCGCCTGCATACAGCGTGTATGCGACCAGTCTCCGCGCGGGGAAGCTCGACAAACTCAGCTGACGGCGGTGTCTTTTGTGTGGCGAGGTCGAATGCCCCAGCAACCCACTGCCCGCTTCATCGTCAGGCGAGCGTGTGAAGCTGTCGGAGGACGACTCGAGCCTGAGCTCGTGCATTCCCGACGTCGACCTCGTCTGGCCTCACGCGGACTCCACCGGTCCGCAGCAAGGGGGCGCACCGCGCTGAGAAGAGGCGCTCGGACTTTGCGCGATGGCAGATCTGAGAATCTGGGGGCGGAGGGGTCGGAGCGATTACGTGCATATGACGTGCTCGTGCGGTTTTCTAAGCAATACTATTCTATCAAGACAACATGATGCGATGAGAACTCAAAGAAAGAAAGAGAACTGATAACGACCGCCAGCCAGCCAGCCCCCGGTTAAGCCAAAGTTTCGCGCTCATCTCGACAAGGTCGCAGCTCAACAGCACCAAGTCGGCATCGGCAACGACAATTAGCCTCTATCCCGCCCTCGCCCGCTTGGCGATTACGCCGCATCCTCAGCTTCGTTTCTCGGCACCCCAACCACCCCTACCTGCTAATCTATCATCATGCCTACCGCCGTGGTTACCGGCGCCAACTCAGGCATCGCACATGAGTTCGTCAAGGTCCTTCTGGGAGAGGTCAGCTTCTTCGAGTTGCTTCTCCAAGAACTTGTGATAACGCCGAGGTAGGGCTACAAGGTTTTCGCTGTCGACAGGGATCAAGGCGACGGCTTGAGCGCGCTTCAAAAAGCAGGAGCACAGACTTCTGTTCTTGATGTGACCTCTATCGACTCTATTGGAGAGTTCAAGAAGTCTCAGATCAAAGATGCACCCCTCGACCTTCTCTTGAACATTGCAGGTGTGCTAAGCCAGCGGTCAGGCATTCACGCCGTTGTACTGACTATCCGTAGGTATTGCAGCAGGCTCTGATGTGGACGGACTAACCAACAGCACTCTTGACATCTTTCAGAAGACCTTCGCAGTGAACGCCTATGGGCCCTTCTTCGTCACGCAGGCCCTCCTGCCGAACCTCGAAGCCGCCACCAAGGCCAAGATTGGCATCGTCACGTCGCGTGTTGGATCCATTGGCGACAACAGCAGTGGAGGGCATTATAGCTACCGGGCGTCGAAAGCAGCCGCGAACAGTATCGGCAAATCCATTGCAATGGACTTGAAGGACAAGGGTATTGCCGTACTGCTCCTACACCCTGGCTACGTCAAGACAGGTTTGCTACCAAACGCCACCATGCCGCCCGAGACAGTACTGCCCAATGAGGCCGCCGAGAAGCTCTGGCGAAACGTCGTCAAGCCCAAGGGCATGGAGCAAACTGGCACGTTCTGGCATCGCGAAGGCTTTGAACTACCCTGGTAGAAGAAGTACCAACGTCACATGACCGACATTCAGACCAAGTCCGAGTCATCAATTGTCTTCGATTTTCTATGGCTGTACCTTGTGTCAAGCGAATCGTGTCCCGGTACACCGGTGTCATGCATCGTAGCTTGTGGAAACGAATGTCCATCTCCCATAGGCCATTGTACTTATGCTCATCCGCTAATTACAGGCGTTGTTCGTCATGCCCTGATGGTGGCGTTTGCACGCAGTTCCGGCGCTCTCAGCTGAGCTTGCACCCCCATTTCCATTAGCATTGGCGTTGGCGTTGGCGTTCGCCGCACCGTTGTTCGCCGCACCACCGCTGGCGTTCGATTTTGCTCCGGCGCTGTTCCCAGAGCCGCTGTTAGCGCTAGCGGCACCATTGGTCGCCGCACCGCCATTTCCACCCGCCTTCGCTCCAGCATTGTTGGCAGAGCCACCAGTAGCGCCACCAGCGGCGTTGTTGTTAGCACTAGCGGCGTTGGCCGTGCTGGAGTTGGCACTGGCTCCAGTGTTATTTGCGGCCCCTGCATTGGCATTACCAGCTGCGTTCCCATTGCCTCCAGCATTGCCGTTGCCGCCAGCGTTGCCGCCAGCTGCTCCCCCTGCGTTGTCGCAAGCCGCGTTGCCGCCAGTTGCCTTGTTTGCCGCCGTGTTTGCGTTATTGCCACCGTTGCCGGCGTTAGCAGCACCAGTCATGCCTTGGTGATGGCGAGCGCACAGGTTTGCGCCACCTGCTCCGCCGGCGGCGTTGCTCCCGCCATTTGCTGCACCGTTGGCGCCATTGGCAGCTTTTGCTCCGTTCCCTGCTCCAGCAGCGTTGTTCGTATCCTGAGCACCAGCAGCACTGGCGCCGCCGTTCCCGTTGGCTCCGCCGTTCGCTCCACCGTTGGCATTGCCAGTCATGCCTTGATGATGTGGCTCAGGTGCGGGCTCACGCACAAAAATATCACTGGGAGATCTGGTATCCAGGGCGTGCACCATGCGACGGGCGATTGCAGCAAAACTGCCAGAATGTCTCTTCTCCACCGCAATTGTTTCAGCCACTGCGGTACATTCAACGAGCGTGGTACCTGCCGCCAGGGCGATAGCAAGGGTCTTAGTGATGTTCAAATGCATGTTGAAGGTACTGAAGGAATGAGGCAGCTGGCCGGCAGCTATTTAAGGAAGCAGAAAGACAAAGGAACGGTGGTGGCTGAGGTATTGAGAGTGGTGTGAGTGGCATTGGGAATACGGACTGAACTTGGCCATATATATATATGCCGTTCAATGCAGGCTAGAAGTACGTAGACACGTCTAAATCGATTGGAAGATCTTTGATCCTCCTGATCACGACATGGAGTAGTCACAGCTTGGCTCTGAGACAAGACTTGGAATCGCTACGTACTGTGTTTGAGGAGCTGCAGCGAACGATGGCATGGAGCTGAGTACGGCGCGCCTCCTTGCTGGCTCTCAACCATAGTTTACGTTCGGCGCATGCCCACAATAGGCGACAAACAACTCCACACTTAGCCGAGCCTCCCTTCTGATATCCTCCAAGCCTCGCCAAGACGAAACGCCTTATGCCAAGCCGCGACAAGGCTGACACATCTAAGCGCAACCCCTGAGCGGAGACGCCTGCACCGCTTGACATCCCCCTACCCAATCAGTGCGGACTCTTTCCCCATTCTCCTTCCGCACGAGTTTCACTCCGCCCTGATGTGTCAAGAATTGCCCCCCTCCGCCCTTAACGACTCGCCAAAAGGCGGTTTGACGAAAAGCTTGACCCCTTCGCTTTGCAGGCTTAGCCGTCGAGCCAAGTTTGAAATGATGAACTCGGGGCCATTCGACGCGAAGGGGCATGCGTAATCGTGAATGCGTGGCCCCCGAGATCGAGGGCGAGTCGCCCTGGTGAAACGTGATGGCTCGAAACGAGCGTCGTTGGGTGTGGGCAAGTTGATGCGCGATGCGGCTACAGTTGCTGTTCGGTGAAATGATGGGGTAAAAGCAGGAGGGCGGCTGGACTGGCCTTTGCAGGTGAGTGGTTGCAGAATGACTCGAGGTTGCCTCGAGTCCTTGTCTTTGTTGCATCGCGTGGTTGTAAGAGTAGGTTCTGGCTAGTTCTTGAAGCAGCATTGAAACAACCTGTTCACGCTCCGAGTGCCTAACTACAATCCCTCTCAACCACGGTCCCATTTCGAACCCATCAGAGGGGTCGAGGCCACCCCAGCATATAGAAATCCTGGCGCATTCAATTGCAGTCCCAAGAAGCAGGGCCGCTCCTGAAGTCCCACCAAAAAGAGCTTCTACTTGTTACCCAATCAAGTCTCTAGTCAACTCTCAGCAACAGCTCAAGTCGATACTTATCTAGGAAGCGAGTCGATACTCATAGAGGCCTCAAGTCGACCCAGGAGAACTCAAGTCGACTGCCACTTTGACCCGAGGCCACCTCTATCTACACCAGGCTTCACCCTCCACCAAGATGGCAGCACCACCGCCCTACACCACGGAAAAGCATCCCAGCCCCAACCATGGTCTGCACATCTCCCTCCTCCCACGAGACGACGACGAAGACACCTCACCACACACGCCTCTCCTCCAGCACACACCCTTCACCAGCACACACCCACGCCACCCCCCCTCCCCCGCCCACCGCCGCCACTGGCCCTGGATCCTACACGCTCTCCTCACCACCCTCTCCCTAACCATCCTCCTCGCGACGCTCCTCTCTCCCCGCCTGCCCAGCACCGCCGCCTGCCTCCCCCTAACCTCCTCCTACTCCCCCGCCTTCCCCGCCATCCACTATCAAACCCTCAAGCTCGACCCCGGCAGCAACATCAGCGCCTCCCCATACGTCGGGCCCACCCTCGCCGCCGACCTGCACTGGGGCCGCGTCAACTTCGGCGACCAGATGATCTCTCCACGCGAACTGGACCTGCTGCACAAACCGCGCGACAACTCACTGAAAGTCACAGACCCCAAAACGGGCGAGGTGGGCTATAGAGTAGGGCTGGAGGTGTTTCACCAGCTGCACTGCTTGAACATGGTGAGGAAGGCCACGTACCCGGGCTACGAGGATGCGTATACCGGTGGGGATTTCGGCGTGCCCAGGGCGCAGTTGCGGGGCCATCTGGATCACTGCATTGAGATTCTGAGGATGACGCTGGAGTGTCACGCGGATGTGGGGTTGATCACGTTCAGTGAGGTGGAGGGGAAGGGGTGGCAGCCGGACTTTGCGCAGTGGCGCGTCTGTCGCGACTATGAGCAGGTGAGGGACTGGGCGGTTGAGAGGGTGGTGGCTACGGATGTGGTCTAGCGTGGGCCGGGCAAGAGACGTCAGAGGCTGCGCAGGGCAGGGCAGGGCATCAGCCATAAACCAAAGATCCTGAGCTGTGTCGAGGGTAGAGAAGCCGGACAGCGTCCTCCTGCACACATAGAACTGCTCCGGAACGTCCACGGGGCGTGCTCTCGACGTCTTTGGTGTGTTGTGCCCAGGTACGTTTCGGGGATTTGGTCCTCGTAGGTCAGCTTACCAATTGACTGAGCGGGTGTTGAGACACCTGTCTTCCACTGTATGGCTTGTATATTAACGGACTTCATATCATTGTCTAGCTCTCATCACCGTTCAGACATGTCTCTTCTCACTGACAGCCAAACGACTCCGCCACATTCGGATCGCCCCCATTATAGACCATCACCTTCGGATACCGACACAGATTCGCGCTCCTCATCTCCGTCGCACCGCCCGGCACCCCCGGCCACATATCCGGAATGGCCCTCGCCTCCAACACCTCCGGCGCAACCCCATTCTCCACCCAGTCGACCAGACTCTGCAGGGCGTCGCCCGGAAACCATCCGGGCCCGGAACCGCAGTGGAAGATACCAGGGGCCTCGAAGTAGCGGTAGTACTCATCGGCATCGGGGTCGAGCGCCTTGACCCGCTCCGCATAGCTCGACGTGCCGTTCGGGAAGATCAACTGATCCGCCAGGCCGTGCCAGGTGAGCAATTTACCGCCCGCGGCGCGGAAGTCGGTGAGGTCGGGATCGTTGGTGCCGGTGATCGAGTCGTATCTGTTGACAGACTGGCGCATCAGTCTGGCGAAGGAGGTGCGGTTGATGGTCGTCATGTCGAAGTCCGGGTCGCGTTCGAGGAAGATGCTGATCCAGTCTTTGGGGATGCTGAATGGGTTTCCGACGCAGGCGTCGTCGGTGCAGCTGATGTTGACGAGGGCGTCGAATGTCGTGCCGGGGGTGAGGCCGTACCACAGCGAGTTTCCGTTGGCGTCGACGGGGCCGGCCCAGGTGGCGTTGGCGACGGTGGCGGCGGCGGAGGTGACGGTGACGTTCTCGCCGGTTAGCGTGCAGTTGTAGACTTTGCCAACTGCGGTGCTCGCGTCGAAGTCGCATTGGCCAGGATAGGAGATGACGCCGTCTTCGACGCCGTCTAGGGAGTCGCAGGCCTCGAGTGCCGCTAGGCGGACGGCTTCGAGCTCGCAGGGACTCGGGTATTCTCCTGGAAGACTTTGGTTAGCCAACATCGACACACACGGGAGACATCCCGGGTCCCAGGATGATCCGGAGCACACTCACCCAATTCGTTCATGATCAATTGCGGCCAATACTCGGCGATGAGAAACTCGTTCCAATTAATGGCCGGCGCCGTCGCCAGAATGCCATCAAACTGATCCGCATAGCGCTGAGCCATCATATGCCCCTGCCTTCCACCCGTCGAGCACCCATTCCAGTACGAGTAGTCCTGCGAACGGCCATAGAACGCCCTGACGATACCCTTCCCCAGCGTCGCGGCATCATCGAGCGCAACCGCCGCAAAGTCCTGCAGAAGCGCCCAATTGACGTTTCCAGTGCTCGTCAAGCCCCAAAAGGGCGGTTCGCTCTCGGGTGGCACCATCGGGTGCCCGCCGTCGGTGATGATGGCGGCGTACCCATCTGCCGCGGGCCGTTGAAGCGTGACGACTCCCGAACCAGTGGCCCAGCCGCCGCCTCCGATGCCCATGAAGCGGCCGTTCCAGTTTTCGGATTGGGGCAGCCACATTAGGGCATTGATGGTGTCATTCTGGCCCGGGTGCGTGTACGTGACGGTGACTTCGCAAACGTCGAGGCCGGTGATGTTGGTTGGGAACTGGTTGGTCTGGGTCAGGAAGGATTCGGGGCCAAAAGTGAGGTTGGTGTGAATCTGCGTTGTGATGTTGAGGATCTCGCCGCCGAACAGAGTCAGATTCTGGAACGTGTCGGCGTCGCATGGCTGGGAGGTCTCTTGTGCGAGCGACGGAGCGGCAAGCGAGAGCAGCACCATGGCTCCAGCCATCATTATTCTGCTCATGTTGGGCGTCGAGCGTAGTCTGCGCACGGCGAGGTCGATGCAAGTGCTCAAATGATAAGTACCTCCCTGGGGCGCATTATCCTACACACAGACCCTGTCGTCGAGCTTTCGTAACGACGGAAGCAAAGGGAAGAGTCTTCAATGATGTACCTACTGCGACCGAGATGCCCCATCGTACAGAGATCGTCATGCCATGATGTTCCCCTCATGTCGCTTCCGTCTTGGCCACGCTAGAGCTGTGCGACGTTGCTCGCAGCATTTGAGCCACATGAAGCTAGCAGGAGAAGTGTCAAGCATCGGTACTAAGGAACTAGGTATTCCGTATCCGTATCGGATCGCGTGGCCAAGCATGGGAGGCTTCGAACTACCGTTGCTTGCAGTGCGGCTGCGAGCCGCAGTTCCTTCGACTCATGGTACCTCTGGGGAGAGCGCAGCGCCGGATGAAGCTATTTGGAGTTAGGTACCTACATAGATGTTACGTACGCCCAGACCGGTATATGAGGGGGGCATGGGGCTAGGTACATTTGTAGTGAGTCTAAGCGGATGACAGCCAGCTTCCAGGTAAGGTAGGCCGAGGTTAAGCTTGCCAAAACGATCAAGATGAGAGACTCGAAAGCTGAAGTACAACGTGCTTTTGGTCTGTGTGACACTAGAAGGGGTATACATATTCCAGCTGGATATCGGTCCTCGTCGCTCACTTCCAAGCTCGTCCTCATTCTGGCATATTCTCCGACCGTCAACGGTAAGACGTGGTCATCGGTCGTGGGTAATGCTCGCAGGATGGATTGTGAAAGTCGACGAATTACACATCTCCTCCCATCATGCTCGAATATGATGACCCCACGGGTATGCGAGGGAGGGAACAAGGTGAGCCGTACTAGGAAGGTTTGGCGAAGGCTACGTCAAGGTCAACTCCGACCTCGCGTCCGCGTGCGCTCCCTCGTGTGCAGGCTACACCATTTGTCTCGTATCAAGGAGGACTGGCGTAGTTGCTTGCCCCATCGACCCGGACTCGTGCTCTGATCCGCGCAACTTGATTGTCAAGCGATGTTATCAAGCCTCCTTGCCCCACGATGAATCTCTTTCGGATATTGGCAGACGTGTGTCACACGGCCTCGAAGTGCATCCTGATATGGGCCATACACTGGAATTCAAGCGCTGAAGGTGAGCTAAAACAGGCTGCATGCCTCGAGATGAACATTACAGCTGACCCTTCCAGGCGTGTCACTCCTCACGCAGATCCTCTATGTAATCGTCTTCTGCTCCAGATACCTGGACTTGTTCTGGGTACCGCCGACACACTCGTGGTGGAACTTTTTACTCAAGAACTTCTACATATGGACCAGCTGGTATATCATCTATATCATGCTGCGCGTCTTCGCACGTACACGAGAAAGAGAAAAGGCATGGAAACTAGGAGCCTACGCACTGGGAGGCTCTATCGCAGCCACTATCCCTGTAGGCCTCATCTTTGAGGGAACCGCTGTATTGCACTTTACCGAGTTCCTCTGGGTCTTCTCCATCATCCTAGAGTCTGTCTGTGTGCTTCCACAGCTCCTCCTCTTGCGCCAGACTACCGTACCGACCGTCATCGATTCCGGATACCTGATTGCATTGGGCTCCTACCGATTCCTGTATATTCTCAACTGGATCTTCCGCTTGTTTACTCCAAAGAAACCAGAACTGATTCCGGTACTGTTCGGTATCGTCCAGACGGCTCTATACCTCGACTTTGCGTGGGTCTACTGGACAAGACAGCGTGTCAAGCTAAGAGGTGGAGGAGTGGTCGACTCCGATGACTTGCGCAAGGGCTTTCTCGTACATCGCGCATTGGACCATACCGGTGGTCGGGCATCTGTGGAGGACCCAGAGGCGCAGGATGCAGTCGATGACGGTGCACAGCCTAAGCCCCCCAACGCCAACCGCTGGGGTGCTCGAGGCGTGTCTATCACCGCGGACGACACGCTTGATCAGCACCATAGCAAGAAGAGCAACAGTAACACCAATGGATCGCCATCTGAATCCAGCGGCATGTTCGACGACGAAGGCGAGGACGATTTCCTCAATGACCACGATGATGATGCCCCGGCGCTGGGTGGTACGGGCAACAAGGTCTTGAATAGCGATGCTGAGTGGCGGGACGATGATGGAACGAAGTGAGATACGGTATATTGAGTGGCAGTACGTATCAACCAATTGTATATCCTGTATTCGTCATTCCAGTGCTTGCCTTCGCTGCCTCGATTTCCACACCTCCGCCGCCGCCTCAGATGCCGTGTCGACTTACCGCTGCTCATCTCAGCAAAGAAGCACACACCGGACGCACCTACAGACACAGTGCAGCAGCCACACCACGAACCCAGTCCTCGTACGATGATCAACCATCAAACCAACGCCTGCACTCCGCCCCTTTCGTGCCAGCCAATCGCCACCACCCACATTCACTGCCTGATGTCAGCCTTGGTCTCCCGCAGGCGCGCGGCAATATCAGCATTGGCATCCCTCCAACAACATCCACCCACTCAACCACCACCATCAGCATACTACTTTAGCTTGCAATGCAGCCCGTGTTCTGTTCTTGCAGCCTCGTTTCCACACCAGCTCGCTAAGCAGATGTGACGACCCACGACCACCGTGCATCTTTTGCTCGGTTGCTGCCGTCCTGCTGAGTTTGCTTTCTCGGCTGCGGATGCACGTTTTGCTATGCTTAGATCTCGCCGACCCTCATCGCTGGATCGACGGGGCGTTGGGCAGCATGGGACCCGCTCGCTCGGTTGTTTGGACCATCGGGGG